CCGCCGCCCCCCGCCCCCCGCCGGCCCCCGCCCCCCCCCCCCCCCCCCCCCCCCCCCCCCCCCCCCCCCCCCCCCCCCCCCCGCCAAAGTGTGGAAACACTGGCATCAAGAGTGAAAAAAAACCTGTTATTTAAGATATCATCAAATTGTTCCCATGTCTATCACAAAAAGAGAGACATACCTGATACCCGGGCAGAAAAGAAAATTACAAACCTAGAAACTGCGCTTGGCGCAATATCGTTTTCCACTTCCATTCCAGTTGTCCTACCTTCGTTCCGTAGTTTGCAGTCGCCTCCCGTCCCTTGCCTGTCTGTTTGTTGTCTGTTATCACTTATCACTTACATCGTATCCTACACCGCCGAATTAACACGTCCTTGCCCGGGTCGGCACTCCGCCCATGTCAGAGGGACTCCTGCGAATCGCTTCACGCACGTGGGCTACAACCTGGTGTATTTTGGATTCTACTAGGCAATGTCGGGTGGGACGGGTAGACGCGGAAGGAAAACGCAGTTCTATCGCGCGCGGCAAAACGCAAGGTGAAAACGGGGGCTTTGAGCTGACGTGACCAAAAACAGATTTGCATGATGATGATCTGCATGTGCATGCATGCGCATATGCGCATAGGAACCACCTACCAAGGTACCTTGGGGTCCACCATAATTCCATCCTATAGGATAGGGGGATTACTTCCCTCGCCTTGCGCGAGACTACCGTTATCTCCCGCAATTAACTCATTGAGGCAGCCAATTTGTTCTAAGGCGGGTCTAGGCTCAGAACTGTGGCGGTTCGAGGCAGTTCTATTCAGGTGTCTAAAGTTACACAGATACATACTGCCTTCGAATGACTCCTGGCTAACTATACCATTGTAGGTAGGTATGTAGAGAACGACGGTGAACAGGTTTTCAAGCCCTAGCCAGCAACTGTAGTGACTGTGGTCAGCGTCCTTGAGTCAGTGTTGTTGGGGAAGCATCTTGAGAGGTGTGTCGGATTGGTTGGGGGGCAACTTCCATTCTTATCCGACCCGGACAGCACGACTCAATATCGGACCAAATGATAAAGAGCGGCGGACTGCAGAACACGCGACCATATCCTTGGATGGCTGCAGTACCTACGTCGTAGTTCTGTATTCTATGTTCTGGGTGCTGCATTTTATGGTCGAGGCAGATACTGAAAAGGAAGTCAAAACCAGGGAATGGCTGTTGTTTCTGCGAAGGATGAGGCTGCTAATCAGACTCGGTGCAGACCTGAGGATTAATATGCACGGATGCCCTTATTACCATAGTACACTAGACGCGAGTGGCGTGTCGCCTCCGTATTGTACGCGCAGACGGACGGGTGTTGTGAAGTGAGTTAGCGTAATTTCCTCCTAATATCTTTGGTTCGCGAAATCCGTCATCTTGAGCAGTGGCCACACACCTTCCCAACGTTGGTTTTTCATTGTTGGACCACAGCTGCAGCCGCCAAGCAGTTTTTAGCTGCTGTGAGAAAGCTTGGAGAGGGTATTCAATATAGCTCTGGCCACGATGGAGGAATTGCCGTGCCCCAGTAAGCGACTCCCGATTCCATGCCCAAGTTCTTCAAGACCCTCGGCTGATTTATCTCCCCTTTGCCTTTTGACGTTGGTTTAGCTACAAGGCCATAACTATTCTTTCCCCTGCAGCTCTCCTGTATGGAAGGCGGCAGTTGCCCATTCACCTGATTATCCGTCCCTTGCCAAGCCCCGCCTTCTTGGAAGCTAAATCAGTTCGTGGCCCAGTCCTCTCAGCCACCCTGTCTTGCGACCGACCATACTTTTCTTTGCTTCACTTCTGGCTGCCTCTTGGACTCGACTTCACTCATCATCACTCATCATCACTCATCATCACTCATCATCACTTGGAATCTCTTTCTCTCATTGAGAATTGAAACTTTGGACTAGCAATATGCCAGTCTCCCAGGTCCTACTTCTTCTGACTACTGAGAGAATACTCGATTGACCCTTGCTTTCCCGGAAGGAATCCTCAGAGTGAAAGCCGGGGCAGCATGGTTATTTCAAAGGCCAAGATAGAGCGAAGTACAGGCCTGTACTTTTGGGAGGCTTGAATCTTATATATCACGAACCTCCAATATCATCCCGGACGCATCGACGCATCGACACATCAGGTTTATCAAGACCTCTCAACCTCGACGAATCAACACAAATCGACACATCGCTTCCGCCTGAAACATGGACAACTTTAAAGACCTTGTCTGGGGCCAGATCAAGGGCCTTCGGCCCTCTTTCTTTGCCAAGAAGCCTCACTTCAACTTCATCACAGTTCATTGTGAGTGTCCCAGACCTGGCATTCTTGTCCTTCCCATTTGCGGAAGTGCACTAACTCCGATGCACAAACAGATCTTTGGATTATTTCTCTCACCATTTTGGGCTCTGTCATAATATTCTCAGCAGGGCGTGTCGCGGGGGGAAATAGCCAGTTGGCTTACATTGATGCCCTCTTCTTTGCCAGTTCTGCCAATACTCAAGCTGGGTTGAACACAGTCAACGTAAACCTGTTGAACACCTTCCAGCAGGTTACCATCCACTTGCTGATCATGATGGCAAACCCAATAACCATCCACTCCTGTGTTGTCTTCCTTCGCCTGTACTGGTTTGAGAAGCGCTTCCAGCATATTGTCCGCGAAGCAAGACAGCGCAGAGGGACATTATCCAAGGCAACATCAAGGTCTGCAGCAAAAAACGACGCTGACCGGGTCGAGAGAGGTGTCAATGCCAGGGACATCAGAGTCATGCACAACGGTGCCAAATCTCGAATCACCAACGATGGCATCCTGCTAGACCCTACCCTTGAAAAGACACTTGATGAGGATGCACTGGGTCCTGAGCAAAATGGCTTTGGCCCAAAATCCCAATCCCCGCATGCCGAGCCCCAAGAGAACAGACGAATGGAGATCAAATTTGCCGACACGGTCAAGAGGAGCGATGGCTTAGAAGACGGCATAACAAAGCTTCCGCCCGCACACCCAGACGACGATCATATTGCCATTGTTGAGCGACAGAGAAAGGGAGACGACGAGGTACTTCGGATTCCTGGGCCTCGAGACGCCGAGAGAGGCATGCTACCAGAGCCGGTTGAGCATGGAGACGAGGATGAAAACGACCCGGCCGGGCTAGGGAGGAGGGACTCCAGACTCCCCACCGGGAATGATGGTCTGGCTGGTCCGCCCAGAGCAAATACTGAGGGCCGCCGTCAGGCAATCACGATTGAGGAGCCCAATCGGCCACAGAGAGAGAAGTTGGCCGAAGATGTCACAGATGATGTCCGTGCCGCTGCAAAAACCTTCAACATCCTCCGGCTGCGGAAGCCGAGGATCTTCAACAAGAAGGACCAGAAGCTGCATCACGACGAGGACAATATCCATATAACACCCTCAAAAAGGAGGCAAACATTGGAGAATATGAGGACCGCTTTCAGCAGCAACAAGGACGATGGCGCTCCATACTTGAGTTGGGAGCCCACGCTTGGCCGAAACTCGCAATTCCCAGATTTGACTGAGGAGCAGAGGGAGGAACTCGGCGGTATCGAGTACCGGTCTCTTAAAACGCTCGCGCTGTTCCTGATCGGCTATTTCTGGGGCTTCTCCATCTTCGCCGTCATCTGCCTGGTCCCTTTCATTCAGAACAGCAAGAAATATGGCGCCGTTGTCGACGCGGCTGGGCAAAGCAAGACGTGGTGGGGGATCTTCACTGCCAACTCCGCCTTCATGGACGTGGGCCTGACCCTGACCCCTGACAGCATGAACTCGTTCAATACGGCTGTCTTCCCCCTGATACTGATGAGTTTCCTCATCGTGATCGGGAACACTGGCTTTCCGGTCATGCTTCGCTTCATAATTTGGGTAACCTCGTTGTTTGTGCCCCGTGGTTCGGGATTGTGGGAAGAGTTGAGGTTCCTCCTCGATCACCCACGACGCTGCTTCACCCTGCTCTTCCCGTCACACGCAACTTGGTGGCTATTCTGGCTTCTCATCATCCTTAACGGCGTCGACCTCATCTTGTTCATCATTCTCGACGTGAGTCTCGCCATCGCCTCCTCTCATTCGTGAACGTCGATGCTAATTTCCTGATAGCTTGGGGGCGGGGTCGTGGCCGACCTCCCCGTTGGCATTCGGATACTCGATGGTCTTTTCCAGGCGACCGCGACGAGGACGGCCGGGTTTTCCTGCATCAGCATCGCTCTCGTGCATCCCGCCGTGCAGACTTCGTACCTGATCATGATGTACATCTCCGTCTTCCCTGTCGCCATTTCGGTCCGGCGCACAAATGTTTACGAAGAGAGATCGCTGGGCGTTTACAGCGATGTCCCAGTGGATGACCCAGCGAACGCCAGCGATATGTCTTACGTTGGTGCACATTTGCGTCGGCAACTGTCTTTCGACTTGTGGTTCATCTTCCTCGGATTCTTCATTCTCACCATTGCCGAAGGCCCGCGCATAATGTCCGGGCAAATCGCCATGTTCCCTATTCTGTTCGAGATCGTCAGCGCCTACGGTACCGTCGGGCTTACTTTCGGATATCCTGGCGTCGACCCGTCACTTTCTTCCCAATTCACCGTCGTTGGCAAGCTTGTCATCATTGCCATGCAGATCCGTGGGAGACACCGCGGCCTCCCTTACGGCCTGGATCGGGCTATCCTGCTCCCCAGCGAGTCGCTCAATTCTAAGGAGGCAGATGACGCCGACGCAAGACTTGCACGCAGACCATCACAGGCATCGGCTGCGACTGGGACCAAAGGGCGAGGCACCAGCTTGCAACGCGGCCGGAGCAGGAGCATGGACCGCATGAACAGCAACATCATCACCCAGTTCCTGCATCCGGGGCCGTCAGTTCCGTTGAAAGCTTCGGGATTTTCGCCGCTGCGGAGGGCGACGACCGGTCCTGGTCCGGAAGATGATGATGACCAGTCGGCATCGAAGATGCACCCGGCACGACGAGCCCAGACGGCATCTTTTGCGAAATCGAGGGCAGACGGGAACGACGCATGACATTGAAATCCTTGGGCGAGAACATCTGCTGCTGGGAACATGGTGCAACAGTTGGGTAACGTAAATATCGGTGGCGGTAAATATGGTGGATGCATTATGGCAGATAGGTAGACACAGAACTATCAGCCTTGGATGATGCCTTCTTTTCTCCCGTTCTACTGGTGGAATCCGGGTTCTTTTTTCGGTCGTTTTGCTAGCATTTTTTTTTGCATGCTCTTCTATAGACCGCCGTGCAGCATAGCAAACTTGTCTGTTGGTATAGACGATTTAGGGCGAGATCTTATATATACGGAAAGATCCTTGTGCACACGCATGTGGTTGCTGTTACGATCCCGCATAACAGCTTCCGATCGAGTCATATAAGCCAAGCGAGCTGACTCCAGCCGAGGTGACGCAGCGCGACGGTAGGCGTCGCACAGAAATCATCTTGCCCTCAGCAGGCAAACAAGAATACTTCCCTTCCATCAGTAAGCGTACTTTGCCAGCGTAGTGTGAGCGACCAGGCAAGCGCATAAACAAACAAGCAAACAAACACGTCAACCGGTCATGCATTGAGTCAGATCGAGGCCCTAACCCGGTCCCGTTCCCGCGCCAGAACCCCGACGACGAACTCGCCAACATACGCATTGACCTGGTCGGGAGCCTCCCACAGCGCCCAATGCCCCGCATCCACATCCCCCCTGACCAACCCGCCATCGAAGTGCGCCCCCATCCCCTCCGCCATGGCAGGCGGCAGGGCGGCGTCGCGCCGGGCGACGACCATCAGCGCGGGGGCGGCGACGCGCGTGCGACCCCCGCGGACGAGCTCCAGCTCCTCCTCGTAGTTGGCCCGCCGCGTGCGGTACCAGTTGAGCGGGCCGCGCATGCCGCCGCCGGAGCGCGCGTACTCGTCGGCGTAGAAGTCGAGCTCCTCGGGCGTCAGAAGCGGGCAAGGCCTGCCACCGGCTGCGACGGCGTCGAGGTTGTCCACCAGGACGCCCACCGAGGTGCTGAAGACGGCCTCGCCGCGGGCGCCGCGGGCGCCAAACATGCCGCCCAGGAAGGCGCGGAGGCGGTCCCGCCCGACCAGCGCGGCCTCGGCCTCGGGCCCGGCCAGCTGGAGCTGGTAGCGCCAGTGGGGGAGGCGGGCCGCCAGGGCCGGGAGGTCGACCCAGGTCGGGGAGGGCGGGGCGTAGGGCGTGCAGACGCTGAAGACGCCGCGGACGAGGGACGGGTGCCACAGCGCGACCCGCCAGGCCAGGAAGCCGCCCCAGTCGTGCCCGCCGACGAAGACCCGCGCTTCGACGTCGTCCGCCCCTCCCGCCCCTCCTCCCTCCTCGGAACCTGGACCGGCGGAGCCGGCGGAGCCGAGGACGACGTGGCGCGCCAGGGCGGCGATGTCGGCGGCCACGCTGCGCAGCGAGTACGCGGCCACGGGGTCGGGGGCGTCGGTGCGGCCATAGCCGAGCAGGTCCGGGGCGGCGACGCGGAGGCCGAGGGAGAGGAGGTGCGGGATCTGGTAGCGCCAGCCGAAGGAGAGGTCGGGCCAGCCGTGGAGGAGTACGACGGTGGCCGCGGGCGGGGTTGCCCCCGCGGGGTTGCCGAGGAGGTAGTGGTAGGTCCGGCCGTTGAGCTGGGCGGTTCGGCTCTCGACGCGGGGGTCGTTGACCCGGAGCTTGTCTGGGGCCATTGCGGGGTTCGGCCTGCGTGTGTTGTGCGACCGGGCCGGCTTGGTTGTATGCTAATCGAGGAGCATTTGAGAGAGCGCCGATGTTGAAGATTCAGTTAAGGGACCTAGTATAGCGGGGAAGGTCTCTCTTTATAGGTTTAGAAGCACCGGGTTGAAGTTCTCAGAAAACGAGAACCTTTAAGCTGAGAGCTGCCTTACGCGACACCTGGCTCTGCCAACAGATGACCACATTAAGTACCTAGAAAACCGAGGATCAATGAACCGGGCTGCCCTTTTCAAGGCTTCGCCCATATTTTAGGCCAGGGTTGTTGTCCGAGGTACCTACCTACCTACCTATCTGCAGCTTTAAGCGGAGTCCCACCCAACTCGGGATTTCCAGCTTCCATGTGACTCGTGAGGAAGGCAGACAATCGCAGGAGTCCGGGTCTGCGCATTACAGACGGCTTACTCTTCGCGCCACTGTGTCAGCCGAATCTCACGGGCGGCCGCTTTTGTGCAAAGCAATTGGTCCCATTCGGTAAAACTATAACTGTGTCGCAGCTGGAATCTCTCCGACCGCGAGGCGACTCTCATAAAGCGCTATCATCAGTTCCTGACTATACTCCATGGGTTGTAAAAAAACTCGCCGCCTTGGCACCACAAAAAGGATCCGAGCTCCCAAATACAGTGGTATCACATATTACAGTAAACCCGAAGATGGATCCGGCGCATCGCAGGCCCAATGGCGTGAATAGTCGGCCGCTCCTTGACTCAACCAGTGACTTATGGAAATACATTGCAAGAATGGAACACGTGGGGGAAAGGGGGGGAAGACAAGAGTTAGTCAGTATATTACCGTATCCTCCTCAGCCTCGACCATGACATCCCCATGCTCGTCATGGTCCTTCTCGTGGCTGAGCTTGGATGACGACGCCGGAGCCCCGTTGTTAGCATCTTGATGGGGAGCAAGCTCACCAACCGTTGCGCCGAGATCATGTAGTCCCTGCTCCTTGGGGCTTTTGGACACCCGCATCTCTCTCTCGATCGTATCTTCGGCGTTGCGGATCTGATCTTTGATTATGTCCTCCTGGGCTTTCGTGAGTTCCCACGGCCGATAGTACTGCAAACACAACGGTTAGAGACGTTACCCAACGGCAGGATGCGACGAGCTTACTATTGTGGGCTTGCTCTTTGTTCCAAGACTGTGCGCCGTGGCGAGCATGCGGGAGTGACGGGATCTCATCTGCAATCGGCCGAGGTTAGCGCAGCCACGGCCCGGAGGAGCCGTCAGTCGGACATACCACTTGTTCGTCGAACTTTGCCTGCTCGACCTTCCGGATGCTCTTGAGCTTCGCTAGCTTCTCGACTCGGCGCTTGTCATCCTCGACTCTCTGATGCTGTGCTTTTTCCTGCTGCCGACGCTCAATCTCAAGTCGCCTTTTCTGCTGAGAGCTTGAGGTGGTTTGACTTAGTGTGCTCAGCAGGCCCCCGAACAGGCGTTGCCCCCGTCTCCTCTCCTCCTGACTGACGTTACTTCGGCGATCTGGTGCTGCAGCCAAGGACGGTCGCCGGGCTTCCGCAGATGCCTTGGCCGAGACGCCCTCATCCCGAGCCTTTATAGGCGGCGTGCCTTCCTTCTGTGCCGGTCTGTCTGTGTGAGATTCATCTTGATATGGCTTGTCATCCGGCTTGTCATCCGGCTTGTCGTCCGGCTTGTCGTCCGGCTTGTCGTCCGGCTTGTTGTCCGACTTGTTGTCCAACTTGTCATCTGGTTTGCCGCCAGACTTGTTGTCCGGACGGGTTGATACTTGGCCCAGATCTCCAGCCGCAGAGGGTGTTCCGTTTTCCTGGGCGACGCCGTTCTCGTCCAACTTGACCCGTTTTGGGGACGTGTCTCCCCCCTGTTCTCCCCCCTGTTCAGACGTGGCAGTCGAGGCCTTGCGCTTCTGCGCAGTCTTTTGTTGTTCGGGATCCGACTTCGAATCCGCTAGTTTCGGGTCAGGTACCATTGCGTCTGCGGTTGCAAGTGTTGCGCTGAACTATGCGTTAGCCAATAGTACGTATGCAGGCGGGAAGATCCTTACTCCTCATCGATTTCCATAGCTGTGAGGTCGCTCGACAAAGATGGGAAAGATACTTCGACTAGCAAGATTGTATTTGTTGTCCTGTTTGTGAAGCACTCGACGGCGAATTCCGAGCAAACGATGGGGGAAATGTGACGCGGCTACTGACTTTTCCGATTCCCCGCCTGCGCATAACTAGTAGTAAGCAGATCCCTGCTCCCCTCTGGGTGAGGCTCTTCAGGACCGGACGTCGGCTGTTTGTTGATGAGTAGGTACCTAACACCGAGCTCTCAACCTCTATTGTATTTTGTTCTATTCTCCTTTCCCTTCAGCTGTAACGAATTTCAGCCAATGGCTAAGGTAATCAGATTCCCAGGAGTTCGAGTGTGCGATTTACGTCGCAGCGGTATCGATGCAACCCGCGCCAAATAACAATCCCGTTCGAACAGGAAGAAGACTATCTGAGGTACTTGACTACTTCCCTAACAATTTCCCTTCCGTTTACTAGGCTATTTATTGTAGAGGTAGGTGTATGCTTTATATGCGTACAATGAATGGATGTTCGAGGTGTAAGTGACGGAAGGCACGCAGGAACCTCGAAGTACACTAAAAGTGGCCCCACATGCCAAGAGATCTGCATAAGTTTTGTGCAGCTTATGCGGCAAGGCTGACCAAACAAAATTCCAGAAACTTCAGTGGCTTGTGGCAAGGCTGAGAAATCCTCGGCTTCTGCGCGCCCTTCGTAGAAAATCCTCGACTTCCACCTCCTAAGTCGGCGTGACAGGACACCAAACAACACAATCTCCTCCGCCAGGCCCTACGATTCTTCTTCATAATGTCTCGCCATCACCCGTAAGTTTATCTCCCTGCGACTTCTTCCTTTACTCTCGCCAAGATCCACCGCAGCTAACTTCTTCTACCCCCGCCACCAGCGATCTAGTAATGTGCCGAAAGCAGGCCGGGATCGCGATCGGGCGGCTCTGCGACAAGTGCGACGGCAAGTGCCCCGTGTGCGACTCGTACGTGCGGCCGACGACCTTGGTGCGCATCTGCGACGAGTGCAGCTTCGGCAACTACCAGAACAAGTGCGTCGTGTGCGGCGGCGAGGGCATCTCGGACGCCTTCTACTGCTTCGAGTGCACCCGGCTCGAGAAGGACCGCGACGGCTGCCCCAAGATCATCAATCTGGGGAGCTCGAGGACGGATGTGAGTTCTCCTTGTTTATTTTTCTACCCCCCCTTATCTACCTACCTACTCCCTCTGGAGTATCTCAAGACCTTTGGATATACTGACTTAATGTGTTCCTGTTCGATAGCTATTCTACCAGAAGAAAACAAATCGGAACTACTAGCATCGGTGTCGCCCGGGTTTTGGGCTCCTTTTCTTTCTCTCTTTTCTGGCACCGTTCTTTTAGATGATACCTTGAGGGTCTATCTATCCATCTGGGAAAGAAGCTGGTATTGGCGTTCTTAGGAGTTAAAGAGAGCTGGGGGGTTTCGAGTTGAAATATGTACTTGTTGTACGAATTACATTTGACTTCTGGCTATGAAGGGAGGAAACGTCCATTCCATTTTGTGCTGAGGGCACAAAAACAAATCAAAACACAGTTGTCGGATTCCCGCCTATTCATGCTAACATTAAACCCCTCCCAATGACGCCCCATGTGTGTACACGACGTGATACAAAGTGAAGCCAAACGATCGACTGCGGGGGGCGGTCAGAATTAGATGTAGCTAACCTTGACGCCCATGCCCGCCGTGGCCTTGATCTTATTCCAGCTGGTGCCTAGGATGCGCGAGATCCTCTCGCGTATGCTTTTCCGGCCGAACATGAGGAGTACGCCCAGGATGAACGCTAGCGTCCGTATTAAGAAAATAGGGTTGGTTCGGAAGGACGAGCCCATCTGCTCGATGATCCCCCGGATATTAGACAGGACTGTGACGGCCCTCGTTGCCAGGGTAGGGGGCGCGATGGCGTTGGTCTTCTTGGATGTTGATGGCTGCGGCCTTGATATGCTCGAATACTGGTTCGTCGGACGCCTCGGCTTACTGGATCCGGCAACGCTTGGCGTCCTGTCGATGCCGTAGTCGACCTCGCTGCCCTCCTGGCGCGCCCTCTCCTCCTCCAGCCTCCTCCGCTCGCGCTCCTCGTTCTCAGCCCTTAGCTTCCGCGCCTCCTCGATGTCGCGGCGTAGCTGGTCCTCCTGCTGCTGCTTCTCCTCCCGTTCCCGCCTGTCGGCTTCCTGCTGGTCTTCCTGGAGGCTCTGTAATGCCTGGAGAAAGGCCTCCCGCCTCTCCTCGTCCAGCACCGAGCTCATGCTGATGAACTCGCGTGCGTAGTCCCACTCGTTATTGCGAAGGAGCACATGCAGTGTGTAAAGCTCCAGTATCTTGACCCGCGCGTTGAGGTCCCGGGGCGTGTCGGCGCCGCTGGTTGCCTTCGCGGGGGAGCGGTGCCTTGGAGGGTGCCGTGGTGACGGGTTTACCGGGAACCTGTCAGAGATATCCAAGTTGGGTGTGTTAGCCGCTGCCAAGTAGCTCTCTAGGCGCCTTTGGTTCAAAATCTGCGTGCGTGCATGCGCCAGGAGGAGCGTGGCTCTGGCGGCTTGTTAGTCTGGGGCAGGTCGTTCGGAAGGCGAATCAATACTCACAGATTGATGACGACGTCCGAGTCCACGTTCCCCTCAATTCCGTGGTAGCCATTGTGGACCACCTCCTCCCAGACCTCGCCTTCTCGGACCCTGGAACAGATGGACCGCCATTCCTGGGCCCCGAATGTCTCCTTCCCCTCGGCCGGATCCAGTTCCAGTATGGCGTTCAGGATTGTCAGGTACAGGCTCCACACTTTGACTCTCGTGGTGCGGGAGGCTCTGGCGACCGGCGCGGGCTCATCGACGCCGTTTGTGTCTTCCGAGGCTGGCGGGGTGATCAGGGGCTGGATGGTGGACAGAGCCTCGGGTAGCCGACGCGTTAGGAAGAGCGTAGAGGCCTGCCGGTAGGTCTTGGAGACGTATGAAGAGGAATGCCGCGCCGCCGAGACAGACGAGGACAGAGATGAAATCGAGGCGGAGAGTATATGCGATGAAGAGAAACTGTCGGTGAGAGTTGGGCTCGCAGTCGCCGTGTATGAGGCGTTGGGAGCCATTACTGCGTCTTTGGGAAGCGCGACGAGGGTGATGACGATGGCACGGTAACCGGGGGGACAGGGAAGGAAATGAGCAATGGAGATGTTATTTAAAACATCTTGACGCGGAGGAATGTGACTCTCGCGGCTTGACACGCGCTTTCAATGGCAGTGCCAGTGGAGAGCCTACACATGCTGACCTCACTTACAAAACACACTTTTCGGTGATTGCAGTCTCTTTTGCCTCGGTATATCGGTGGTGGGTGGCAGGCCCAGTTGGATAAGCGCATGCGGGGATAGGCTGGCTGTTAATCGCATACCCGTAATATAGTAGGAACCTCTGCAAGAAATCAAGTATAGAACTATCTGCACCCGTAACCGGGACCTGCATCCACCCCTGCCCGAACTAGGGACTTTCAGTATCCCGTTCAAGAACTTCGACCGTTTCTGGACCAACCCCAAACTGCTTGGCTTGCCGATGCACTTACGACGTCGCATGGCATTCATTAAACATTATTGCTAGTCTCAACCAATGCATTGAAGAAGAACAGCGGTCATCTAATCTGCAACTTCGAAAGCCGAGGACTGGTTGTAAGTGACCTGGTCTTGACATGAAAACGGTGGAGGCCAAGGTTCTCTACTCTTTCCAGGCCTCTCATAGATTGTTCTTTAAGCTTGCCCCATGGCGGGGGCCACATGTATCATCCATCAATCCCCGGATCTTCATTTGGTCTTCCTCCTGGCCTTAAATGTCCGGAGAGGGTCGCCTTTCCGCGCACCCACTTTGAACCCCTTACCCCTGCCCTTCTTGAACCCCCGAGACTTCTTGTCGTCCTTCCTAAGTGGGACGAAACCAATCTCCTCCGACGTGAGGCCCTTCTTCCCTTCTTTGGGAAGCAAATAGTCAGGTACATTCTTCAGATGTGCCTGGGTCCGGGCTGCTCTGAGCTCCCCGTCGTGCCGGAGGTGATGCAGCTCGGCCGGATTCTCCTCGAAATGCCGCTTCAACTTTTCGCTTTTGAGCAGCTCCTGTCTCAATTCCCTAGTCCTCGCCTCTCGGATAGAAACCTTTGTGACTGCACGCAGGGCGTCATTCATTCGATATCGGAATGCTTCAGCCTGGTCCATATTGAAAACGTATGGCTTCACCTGCTTCCCTTGTTTTGCCTGTTGCTGAACGATCTTGCCCAATACCTTATCGTCGTTTTCCGCGGATTTGATGCTTGTAGGGATGTGCTTTCGGTAGAGTTCGGACGGGACGACGAAACTCAATGCCATGCCCGTTTGGCCAGCACGGCCCGTCCGCCCGATTCTGTGGACATACGACTTTGCAGAGGTAGGAAGATCAAAGTTGATCACGCATGCCACATTTTTGAAGTCGATACCTCTCGAGACGCCATACTCCTTATCGCGTTTCGGCGTCTTCCGCTTCTTCTTTGGTCGGGACCCCTTTTCCGTGCGCCCGCTGTCTCCTGGCTCGCCTGCATCCTTCGTCCCATCCGTTTCTGGTGAGTCATCTTCATCCCCGAGCACTTCGTTCTCGTCCGAAGCGATGATAATGTCGTAAACGGCGGAATTAAACTCCTCGACAACATGTATCCTCGAATTCACAGGAAGTTCCGAGTTCAAGACACAGCTTCGAATGCCGAATTGTTCAAAGAACAGCCTGAGACGATAACACCGGTCCACGTCGGCCACGAAGATGATGCTCTTGCCCTTGAGCAACTTCAGTTTGAAAATGAGCATGGACAAGAGGAACTTTTCATCCTCTGCACACCTAGAAGCCGTTAGCGGAGCCGCAGGGGTGGGTTATGCGGATAGCGCCTCGAACCGTACCTGACAACAAACTGCTGCACACCTTCTCCCTCGGCATCAGCCTCCTTTAGGTCCAGCATTGTAGGGTTCCGGCAGAAAAGACCCTTGAGTGTCTGGACCTCAGCAGTGATAGTTGCACTTGTGAGGATGGTTTGCACACCCTTGGGCACTGCCTGCGCAATGTTTTGCAGATCGGCGTCATAACCATATGACAAGACAAGATCCGCCTCGTCAAGAACGAGATGGGTCAACTTGTCTAGAGACAAGGCCGACGATTCGATGCACTGCCATGCTCGGGCGGGTGTTGATATGACAATGTCGGGGTGACTAGAGAGCATAGAGCGCTGCACAGCATCGGAGAGCTTATCCGAAAGCTTCGCGGCCTGCACATCTTTTGCGCAGAATGAGGAGAAGAGCTCGACCGCCTTGAAGACCTGATCGGCGAGCTCGCGGGTTGGGACCAATATGAGGGCGGTAGTTGCGGCAGTGGGATCCGTCTTTATCTCCAGTTAGCAAGGCTTGGGCACACAATTGGTGATGCTGTCTTTCGTAAACGTACTTGCTTCCGCTTCAATACACTCTGAATCACAGGTAGGGCGTAAGCAGCAGTTTTCCCGGAGCCAGTCTTGGCCTTGGCAATTATATCCTTGCCATCAAGTGCCAAAGGAATGGCCGTCCGTTGCACCATGGTAGGTTTCGAGAAGTTCTGTTTTGCGATGGCCTGCACAAGACGGTGGTCGAGCCCCAGATCAGAGAAGGAGGTATCGGCCGTTGAAGACGTTCCCGTTTTGGCCAAAGCCGACGGCTCGTCGTTCTCATCGAGCTTGCGCTTCATCGTTTCGTCGGAGAATCAACTGACGCTCACAGATCGTAGGAGTCCGAGGAATTAGGGATATATGGGATCCTCAGGATGGACCTAGTAGTGGTTGGGAATATTTTTTCCCCTTATCTTATCGGCGACTTTCGAGAGCCTGCGGGGCAGGAAGGGGGAAAGCAGGACACCGGCTGCAGTTGTAAGTTGATGCCTTAGGCATCAAAAGTTATTCTCCACCTTGGCTGCTTCTATAGGTCTCCCCAGAGATATAAACCAACAATAATCCCACGATATGTTCACCTGTTGTTTGATCATCGCCGCGTTTCCGAGATCATCCCTGGGGTCTTCGAGAACAAGAATACCCCTGTGAAGTTCCCGGGATCCCTGCGGTTTTCCTTGCTCCTATTCTTTTTCGTGGTACAACCTAGATGAGACTCCCCGAGTCAGAGGTGTTGCCGTTTTAGGACCGCAAGTCTCCTGTCTCTAGGATAGCCTCATGAGGGATTTGTTCACATCCAAGGAGCTGTTCGGCGCCTTGCTGGAACCGAAGGGTGGAGGTACTATGTAGTCTTTCTTCAAACTGATGGACAACAGTGCAACAGCCTAAGAACGGCAAATGCAACTCCATTGCAGTTGCATTTGCCGTCTACTGTTACGAGTCGGACCTCAGGACAGGGCCGAACCTTTGGTTCTCTTCATCATAAACTCTTGCAAATCACAACCGGTCTTGGCAACGATCAAGCTTCTACAGTCTGAAGATTCTTGTTTGGGTTGTTGATCCCACCACTGGGATGCACTTAGGGCCATGGAAGCACTGAACACTCTGAATCCCGTAAGACTTGTCTGTGGGAATTATGTAGGTCAGTTAGAGCAGTGTTGGGACCAACCACTCATGCGTCTGGTACTTGCTGCAAGGCTCTAGAAAGGTCATGGAAGAGGGCCGAGGCTGTGACCCAAGAGCTCCAGGACGGTACAAGCAGGGGTGTCGGCACTGAACTGAACGCCGCGCGCCAAGTAGCACGGGGGAAAAGCCGGGAATTGGTGTTTCGCCCGGGGAGCTTCTTTCCCAGCAGGTAGGCGTCGCCGCCCGAGCTTGGTGAGCGATTTTACGGTCGATCTTTGGAGTTATTCTCACTTGCGACGCCAGTCTGAAACCACAGGCGCTGAAAGGGATTGAGTCCAATTCATCGCCTGGGCCCTTCGAAGTTCGAAATGCCTCTCATTTCTCCTCCAATCCGACTCTATAATTACATCATCGAGGCATTTTTCATCATCCTGCTGCCGAGCTCTTGCCTATTGTCAAACACCAAGGGTACCGTGGAATCCTTGTTTTCGAAACTGGTCAACTCGGGCCTCGTCGCCCTGTTTGCTGTCTGAATGGCTTTGGCAACAATATGGCAGCCGGTGGTTCGTTGGCAGGTTATTTTGTCTGATCAGCTTGGAGCACCGGAGCCCCTGGTTGACCCCGTCGACTGTCCATGACAGAAGATGGTTCTTGCCGTGAGGCATATTTGACCATTGGTGTGGTTTGAGCCTTACGACGCCTAGCTCTCCTTGCTCGTGTGCCTACGGATGAATTATATAAGTACAGACAAGATCCCTTCGTCCAAGATGGGCTGTTCGAGGCATCTCCTTCTGTTCCCTCTCCTCTCCCTTTCTCCCCCTCCTCTCCTTCCCTCCTCTCCTCCCCCTCTTCCTCCTCCTACTCCTCCCTTTCCGCTTCTTATCCGCCCTGAAATACAGCTGGACTGTAAAGTTGGTTGGTCGTATCAAAATGGCACCCAACTTTATGAAGGTGAAGGTGTTTGGGAGTCGCCGGTCTTTCCAGCCGCCGGTGCCTCTCAGCACTGATCCGGATTACCAGGGCGATATAGAATCTGGCAGTTTCCTGAATGAAACCCAGAGCTCCACGGGGCCCGGTCGTGAAGTCAATAGGCATCGCCAGGGTGATAACCCGTACTTGGATGAGTACAGAGCGTAAGCCCCCTCACCATTTCCCAGTTTCCCCTCCAGGCAGGTCCAACGGAAGCAAAGCTGACTCCCGGAACAGCCTTGTGAGGTACATTGACACCTACCGGGACCCTCGCGCGGACTTGGAGGTGAATGAGGAAGAAGGGGCGGTAAGTGGGAAGAAGCCCCGGTGGGCATTCTGGCGGAGCCGCAAAGGTGGCTCGTCGAGTTCACTTAGTGATTTCGTCACCCCGGACGACTGGTTATCTACACACATTGGCACCGGTCTCGATGATTTGGAGACGGAGCGGAGAAGAAAGTACTCCGGCTGGAACGAACTTACCAGTGAGAAGGAGAACATGCTGCTCAAGTTCATCGGCTTCTTCAGGGGTCCAATTCTCTACGGCAAGTCTCGATCCCGGAAACACCGGTCGGCTGGTCGTCGACTGCCGAGAAGTCTTATCAGCTGACAGTTGAACTATAGTTATGGAGGCGGCTGCCATACTTGCCTTTGGACTTAGGGATTTCTTAGATGCCGGCATTATCTGTGGCATTCTCTTACTCAACGCTGTTGTGGGCTGGTAGGCAACACTCTATACGTTCGATCCAATGCCTTGCCTACTGTGTCTAATGCTTCATCGACCCCTAATTCAGGTACCAAGAGAAACAGGCAGCGGATGTTGTTGCCAAACTTAAAGGAGACATCGCCATGAAAGCCCGCGTCGTTCGAAATGGTACGGAAAAGGAAATCAAAGCCCGTGAGCTTGTGCCGGGCGATATTGTAAGTGCATCCGGTCCCTGTCTAGTTCGCACCAGATATTAATTGCCAGCGAAAAGATCGTGGTTGAAGAAGGAACTGTTGTCCCCGCTGATGCCAGACTTATCTGTGACTATAACAACACCGAGGGCTTCTCTCAGTACAACGCCGAGCTCAATGCTCAAGACGTTGCTTCCCCCCGCCACGAGAAATTCCAGGAGAGCGACGAAGACGAGGAAGGAGTGCCCCATATCGGCCATCCCATCCTTGCCATCGACCAGTCGGCCATGACTGGCGAGTCTCTTGCCGTGGACAAGTACATGACCGACACCCTCTTTTACACGACTGGCTGCAAGCGTGGCAAGGCGTATGCTGTCGTCACCCACGGGGCTCAGGCCTCCTTTGTCGGCAAGACAGCTTCTCTCGTCCAGGGCGCCAAGGATTCGGGCCACTTCAAGGCCATAATGGACAATATCGGCAGCACGCTCCTGGTTCTCGTCGTCATCTTCATCTTGATCTCCTGGATTGGCAGCTTCTACCGCCATCTCCATATCGTTCTACCCGAGGACAGCTCCATCAACTTGCTCCATTACGCTCTTATCCTACTCATCATTGGGGTCCCCGTCGGTCTCCCAGTTGTGACTACGACCACTCTTGCCGTCGGCGCTGCTTATCTCGCCAAGGAGAAAGCCATTGTCCAGAAACTGACCGCCATTGAGTCGCTTGCCGGTGTCGACATCCTCTGCTCAGACAAGACCGGAACCCTTACAGCCAACCAGCTGTCCATCCGCGAGCCCTTTCTTATGGAAGGCGTCGACATCAACTGGATGATGGCTGTTGCTGCCCTTGCATCTTCCCATAACATCAAGGCGCTTGATCCCATTGACAAGATCACCGTCCTGACCCTGAAGAGGTACCCCAAGGCTAAGGAGATGATCAGCTCAGGCTGGAAGACCGAGAGCTTCGCCCCATTCGACCCCGTCAGTAAGCGTATCACCGCCGTCTGCACTTACAAGGGTGTCCGCTACACCTGCTGCAAGGGAGCTCCCAAGGCTGTTCTGAGTATCAGCGAGTGCACCGAGGAGCAGGCCACCCTATTCAAGGCCAAGGCGACCGAGTTTGCCCGCCGCGGTTTCCGGTCCCTCGCTGTTGCTGTCAAGGAGGGAGATGGCCCCTGGCAGCTGCTTGGGATGCTTAGCCTATTCGACCCTCCCAGGTCTGATACCGCCCAGACCATAGCTGAGGCGCAGGCCCTCGGCCTCTCCATCAAGATGCTCACAGGTGATGCCATTGCCATCGCAAAAGAGACTTGCCGCATGCTTGCCCTCGGAACCAAGGTGTATAACTCGGATAAGCTATTGCACAGCGACATGGCTGGCAGCGCTATCCACGACCTTTGCGAGCGGGCTGACGGGTTCGCTGAGGTTTTCCCAGAGCACAAATACCAAGTAGTCGAGATGCTGCAGCAGCGCGGCCACCTCACAGCGATGACGGGTGATGGCGTCAACGATGCGCCGTCTCTGAAGAAGTCAGATTGCGGCATCGCTGTCGAGGGCAGCACCGAGGCCGCCCAGGCTGCCGCCGACATTGTCTTCCTGGCCCCAGGCCTCAGCACCATCGTCTCAGCCATCAAGATCTCTCGCCAGATCTTCCAGCGCATGAAGTCGTACATCCAGTACCGCATTGCCCTCTGCCTGCACCTGGAACTATACCTGGTCACGTCAATGATCATCCTCAACGAGACGGTCCGCGCCGACCTCATCGTCTTCCTCGCCCTATTTGCCGACCTGGCTACTATCGCCGTCGCCTACGACAACGCGCACTTCGAGAAGAGGCCCGTCGAGTGGCAGCTGCCCAAGATCTGGATCATCAGCATCGTCCTCGGGACGCTTCTCGCGGCAGGGACGTGGGTGCTGCGCGGCACGCTGCTCCTCGAGAGCGGGGGCGTGATTCAGAAGCACGGCGGCATCCAGGAGATCCTGTTCCTCGAGATCTCGCTGACGGAGAACTGGCTCATCTTCGTGACGCGCGGCTTCGAGACGCTGCCCAACTGGCAGCTGGTGGCGGCGATCGGCGGCGTCGACGTGCTGGCGACGCTGTTCGCCGTCTTCGGCTGGTTCTCGGGTGGGCGCGGCGACCCCAGCAACGGGCCCAGCCCGGCCGGCGACCTGCTGTCGGCTGACGGCTCCGTCGACATCGTCACCGCCGTCGTCATCTGGGCCTTCTCCATCGCGGTCACCATCGTCGCCGGCGTCGTCTACCACGTCATGGCGCGCATGCGCTGCCTCGATGACCTGGGCCGCAAGAAGCGCAGCGCCTCGGACACTCTGGTCGAGAACGTGCTGGCGCACCTCAGCAGGGTCGCCGTCGAGCATGAGAGGGACGACCGCGGGAGCAGGTTCTACCTGGCCCAGAAGCAGGTCATCGAGGAGGAGGAGTAGGACGCATGCACCGCGTGGACCCCCGCCCGTGGGGTGGATGGTATGGGAAACTGGGTGCGCCCTGATCACGCATGGGTTTGCTGGACATATACAACTAGGGGCTGTACAACTATAATGCTTCCCTTCTGTTCGCTTGGAAGGGAAAGGTCATAGAACCGACATGCTATGAATAGATGTTTGAGTAGACCTATAAACCTTCAAGAGTCAACATTCCTCCATTTCTCACCAGCTTGCCGACTTCCATCAACCCATCCCCCCTCGATCCCAGTTCAGATGATCTTCTTAGACTCGCCCCTCGCCCTGAGCACACCAACTTTCTTGTCGATGAATTTCCTCTCGTCCGGCTCGATCACGCTCAGGTAGTACTCGTCTTTGAACGCCCTGGTCAAGACGTCGAAGTCCGGGGCCTCGATGACTGCACAGCCATCGTAGTCGGCCAGCACGGCCTTGGCGTCCGCCGACTCCGGGCCCAGGGGCTGGGCGTTGCGGTTCAGGGCCGCGGTGGCGTGGACCTGTAAGTGCACGGTATGAGAAACTGTGCTTCCGGGGGGGTTTCCTCCTCTTTCCCGGCCCAATATATATATATATATATATATCTGTTCTCTTTTACCTGAGTATACGACACGATGCCGTATTTCCGTGCCCAGGGCTTGACCAGTGGGCCGTGCACATGCTCCCAGTGGTGGTAGAACTGCTCCGGGGTCAAGTCAGGGTGTCGCCGGAGGAAGGCAACGCTACAGACTACGTTGTCGGGCCTCTTGGTTGATGTTTGGGTCGCCATTTTATCTGAGTTTCGGACAGTGATTTCGACTTCTTCGGCCAGGCAGGAAATTAATTACAATCAATCACGGCCGATTCATCACCCCATACGTAACATGCGTGATATGGTGGTTTTAATAGGCCTGTCGTCATTACGGGTGGTAGCTTGCAATTGATATCCGGCCTGCGGAAAACAGCACCCGCGGCCTCAAGTTTGACTCCCTACTCGTGTCCCTGAACCGTATGCTGACTACGCACCTCATTCAACATATATTGATAGCGCGGAATGCTTATTTCGCTTTAATGTCAGGATACGCTTCAAGAGTCCTAGTAGCCTGCAGCCTCACAAGCAGCTTCATAATCCTCCACATTTCCCACCCACCTCGTGTCTGGCTCTTGGGCAGCCAACCACTCTCGACACTTTGGTTGAAGGGATCGATAATGCTCCTCCGCAAGAAGAGATCTAATCTCCTCCTCCTCGACATGGACGGCATCGAGTGCTCGACGAGCCTTCTCCGCCACCATGGCCAGTGTGTCCATCCCTGTCTTCAAGTTCCAGGCTCGTTGAAGGATGTCTGCGACGACAGCGGCCTCGGGGGCAGTTGTGTGCTCCTCGCGGTTCACAATTATCTTCCGATCGTCCCATGAGGCCGGAGAAGGGTCGGCATCCGGATTGATGCCGCTGAGGACGTAATGTAGGCAACATGCCAAACGCTGGTGTGCTCGCTGCACGTCGTAGCGATACATCTCGCTCGGCGGAATGGGGTGGACCGCGGCGGTCTCTCCCTCGACTAGGTTTAGTTCGGCGCCGTCTTCTGGCGGCGGACGGCGCGGGGATGCACCGAAACCGACGAGCTTCAGCCGACCGGTTCGATCAACACCAAGGTCCTCAACACGGACCCCGGTCGGGATACGTCCCATGTGTTCAAGGTGCTCAAAGGCGGAGACGAGCTCGCGAGCCCAGCGATATCGACGAGGCTTTCCAGCCTCTCCCCAGACATCGGTAAGTGGAGCCAGGCGCTCGAAGAATGCAATCTCCGCGTGGCCAACATCGAGTTCGTAGACCAAGTTCGGGTGCGGGTCGGATCGCAAGCGTTCGAAGAGCTCTCGTTCCATACTACGGCCAACGAAGTTGGCGACGGAGAGATCGAGAAGCACGCGTTCGGACGGGAGCTCCACGTCGCGGATGTAGCGTTGAGTCTGTACCTTGACGGCGATATCGTCGTCTACGAAGAAGACGGAAGCTCCATTGAACGTCCGGAAGTTCACCTGGAGCAAGGTACTGGGGACCTTGATGGGACTGACGGGAGTCGTCAAACGGCGGACAAGAAAGTTGCCTGGCGGCTGCTGCATATGCTCTGGCCCCGCGAGATCTTGAGTCACCATCGTATCCATGTTGCTTGCTCGGCCCAACTGACAGAGTAGCCGTGCTTGATATAGATGACAGGCTTATGTGAGAGGTATGCGAATCTGGTTACAGACTAGCCTTTTGAGTTGCGGTGCGGTTGCTGTTTGGCTAGCTTTACAAGCTTGTCTCTAGTTACATAGGCTCTGCGCAACCTGGCGAGGCGACAGACTTGTGGACGGCTCTATCAGTATGCATCGAAACGTTGAAAAATTTGTCTGCTGGACGGAGAGCAGGGCAGAATGTTTGTGATGCTGAGAAAGGTGATGGGCTCGCGATAAGGTTTCCAATAAGTACATACATACGCCCCTCCAAAAATGTACCTGTCGGTGGTGCTTTGGGTTGCCGAAAATGGCATCCCAAACAGCGACACACGTACTTTTCGTGGAATTCATAATTCCTTTGACCGGCACGCTCACTGCCCCGCGAAGCTAACTACCTATATCGAGAGCCTCATCAGTAGGCAGCAGCCATCCATGCTTTTTCTGCCTCTTCTCCTCTCTCTCTCTCACACACACACTCTGTCTCGCTCGCACCCCTCTTACCACACCCAACGAGTAAAATCAGCGCAGACATTACGTAGCCTCAGCCAGCTTTCCCTGGCTGGCAAGATAGGCAGCGCCCGAGTCAGCCCAGATCTCATACCTAACAACCTTGCGGTCCCCATCAAAGGCCAACAAGTAGGCAAACACCTCCTCCCAGCCCTGCCCCGTGCTCTTCCACGTGAACGTCGCGGAGCCCCGGACCGCGACCCTGCCGGCCTCGGCGTCGACGGCGTACTCGCCGAACCGCATGTCGCGGAAGGCGACGCAGGCGGACACGTCAGCCAGGTACCGCGCCGCGCCGTCGCGGCCCCGGTACTCGCGGCCCAGGAAGGGCGCCAGCGCCGGGAGCCCGTGCTCGAGAACGACCACGTCGTCGTCCGAGGGCGCGAAGTGCTCGAGCAGGGCTGCGGCTGGCTGCTGCGACGCAAAGGCCTCGCAGAAGGCTGTTGCGGCCTCGAGGAGCTCGGCGCGGCGGTTGGGCATTGTCTAGGTTCCTTTTGGGGGGGGAGATTGGTCTGATGCAGGATCTGGGAACGAGTGGGGGGAATACCATGCAGGTGCAGGACGTGCAGCTAAGAGGCAGGCAGTTGTTGCAGCGTACGGATGTAGTTCTACACGTGTAGGGGCATGGGCTCAGAAACCAGGGGCATGATTGGACAGCCCGGCATATCACGTAAGCGAAATGAATGGGAAAACGGCAGTCAGGAGCCACTCTGAAGCTATGGCCACTTAATGACCTGAGCTCGTGGGCTTTGATGTCATCCGCCTCCTGAGACGTCAGTGACTCCTAACTTCACGATCTGTACTGCTAGCCAGCATCATCGCCCATTAAGGTTAACGCATACTGGGCAAACCAACAACACAATAACCACGATGGTAAAGACCCCCAGAGCTTGGAGGCTACGTGTGTGTGTATGCGTGTGTGTAAAACTAACCAGCGCAACTATAACAGGCGTCGGCACGCACCCCTCTCCTAGCCGACTCCCGTCGGCTCTCCCGCGACACAGACGAGCTAGACGAGCAAGACGAAGCAGATCTACAAAGCGGCCCGCACTTGACCCTGCGTCGGCTCCGCGGCGCGGTATGGACGGCCCGCCTGCGCGAGACCATTATCTTTATATGGGCCCTGCTAGCGACAGCGGCAGTCATCGTCCTGGCGGTGTGGACGCAGCACCAGAACCAGGGGTCGACGCCGTCGTCCAAGCCCGCCGGGAAGCGCAACCTCGTCTTCATGGTCTCGGACGGCATGGGCCCGGCCCCTCTGTCCATGACCCGCTCCTTCAGGCAGCTGGTCGACGGCCTGCCGCACGACGACGTCCTGGCCCTGGACAGGCACTTTTGGGGCACGAGCAGGACCCGATCAAGCATGAGTCTCATCACCGACTCCGCAGCCGGTGCCACCGCCTTCTCCTGCGGCGAGAAGAGCTACAACGGCGCCATCTCGATGCTGCCCGACTACACGCCCTGCGGGACCGTTCTCGAAGCGGCCAAGCGAGCGGGCTACACTACCGGGTTGGTGGTCACAACGGACGTGACGGACGCGACACCGGCCTGCTTTGCCAGCCACGTGTACTTCCGCGCTCAGAATGACGAGGTCGCCCTCCAGGAGATTGGAGAGGGAGCCCTTGGGCGCGTGGTCGATCTGATCTTTGGGGGCGGGAGGTGCCGCTTCCTCCCGAACTCAGCCGAGGGCAGTTGCAGGCAGGACGACATCAACGTGGCCGAGATTGCACAGAAGAAGCACGGCTGGACGTACGTGGATAACCGGGCCGGCTTTGACGACCTCTGGGAGGGCAAGAATGTCTCGTTGCCCGCTCTTGGCCTGTTTGCCCGCGGCGATATCCCCTTCGAGATCGACCGCCGCAACATGGCACACATATATCCCAGCCTGAGCGAGATGGCGGCGACGGCCCTGAAGGCACTCGAGGAGGCGACCAAGGACAGCGACAAGGGCTTTTTCCTGATGATCGAGGGAAGCAGGATCGACCATGCTGGACACATCAACGACCCCGCGGCTCAGGTGCGAGAGGTGCTAGAGTATGACAAGACCTTCCAGGCCGTCGTCGACTTCCTTGACCGGAGCGACACGCCGGGCAGCTTGGTGGCTACCAGCGACCACGAGACAGGAGGCCTTTCCGTGGCTTATCGTAAGTTACCATTTCCCCATCCCTGTTCCCCCTAAACTCGACCATATGACATTGTCTTAACCGAAGAAACAGAACGGCCCGGAGAGCTTCCAGTGTACGGCTGGCACCCTTCGGTTCTCGCCAAGGCCAACGCGTCGTCGGAATACCTAAATTACCTCCTAAACGACCACATCGAGTCCGTTACAGAGACTTCGGGCTCGTTGAAAGACTGGATCAACAAGAACCTTGTAATCAAGAGTCTCGGCATCGAAAATGCCCTGGACTCGGAACTCGAAGCCCTGGTTTCCCACCCAGAGGCTGCGACGACGCTTTTTGCCGCCATGGTCAGCCGGCGAGCCAGGGTCGGCTGGAGCACGCATGGCCATTCTGCGGTCGACGTCAACATCTACAGCTCGGGCGGACCGGGAACGGACAAGATCCGCGGAAACGTGGAGAACACGGAGGTCGGGAAGTTCCTGCGAGACTACCTGGATGTCGACGTGGATGCAATTACGGAGGAACTGAAGGAGAAGTTCGACCTCGAACCGCCTGGGGCAGCCGAGGTTGAGCAGCTTTCGGCGCAGTTGACTGTCCACCCGGAGAGCTGGATGGCACAGCAGCCTTCGGATTCGTTCTCTCTAGCTGATGCATTCTAAGTGATAAACGGGTTGGGCATCTTTTCATTTGGCATATATCTCCAGGATCATTGGATAGCGAATAATCATCCTCTCGTAACAGTCATTCAACTTTGAAAGATACCCCTTACTTCCAGCTTCAGGTCTCTCTTCAGTCATTCAGGCCCTGTGCAACCGTAGCCGTGTTTCCCGGGGCTGACGATCGTGGAATTCGCGGCTCTGTAATGTTTCAGTTCCGTTCCTAGACATAAATAGGTAAGTCAGGGGAACCCCGTAACTGCCATACATGTGAGAGCTTGACAAACCGTACACTCCTTCTTTTTTGCTCGCGGAAAGGGGAAAAGAGAACATTGACTCCTATCGCGACGTCGCCACCTGATTGAGGGGCTCTAGGATTATAGGTGTTGATTGCTTCTTAAAACCTGGATTCTCCACGTAGGCATGCTTGTTGCGCTCTCTGTGCCGAGGTGCGATCCATGATGGGGGCGTGTTTGCCCGCCTGGTGAGGTTCTGAGTAACGATTCTCCTTGGCGGTGCCGGGGGACAAGATAACTCGCTATCACGTATCTTGTGTCTCTAGACAGGAAGCATCGCCACTTTCCCTGGGCGTTTCAAGCAGTATCCTCCTAAGGGCCAGGCAGGGGGTGTTAGGCAGTGGGCCTCTACGTCATGGAGGGCGATAGACTGTGAAGTCGACGATGGGATCACGCTGCCCGCTGCCTCGGGCGCTACGTTGAGTCGTCGTTTCCCGTCGTCGGACCAGGTTTTAACGACTGGCGAGTTAATTTTTCTATCTATACCTAGCTTCCAACTTAAGTATATATAAGAGGAAGCCATCTGCTGTATGGTCTTCCTCGTCCGCATGCCCAACTTGGAGGTTGCCCTCACGATTTACGCATTCGGAAAGCACTTGGAACCGCTCGGCAAATCTAGCGTGAGAACAGGAGTACCACCCTCGCGTTATTTGCCCACAGCTTCATTCCCGCCGGGTTGCCCACACCTCTAAATATCCTCCCACCTTGAACGCAGTCCTCCTCCATCATCATCCCACCTCACTACTCCCCCCTTTCCTCCGCCCAGACGTGAAGACCCCTCCCAACAGCCACAACCGCAACCACCATGCCCACACCACCCCCCGGAAAGACGAGAGAATAAACATGTGCCAATACATCCTTCCCCTGCCCCTCTGCAACCACCCCCCAGCCACCATCTGGGCCCTGCCAGGCGATGAGTCGTGCCCGCTCCTCCTCGCCCAGCTGCGCCGCACCTACGACCCAGCCGAATGGGAAGGGGCCGCCCGCGCATCCGCCCTGCCCTTCGACCTGCCCGACCGCTGCGGGCCATGCCGCGACAACATCGTTGTCATCAGGGTCGCCCGCCTCTGCGCCGGTTGTCGGCGGGGCGGCGGCGGGGGATGTAGGGGTGTTGGGGCGGAACTGATTTAAGATCTCTTTTTTCCTTACTCTGCAAATGCCGAGGGATTTGCTCAGTCCGAAAAGTCGGACTCGTGCAGCTCGTCGGGATCCGCCTCGTAAGTGATCTCGAATCTCCCCTCGAAGCTCCTCGCCACCTCGTCCGCCAATATCCGCTCCTCCTCGTTGGAGATCTTATGCTCCCCGAACTGCCTCATAATGTAGATGCGGAGGCCGTCGTGGCTGGCGCGCGGGTCGAGCTGCAAGTCGGCGATGAAGCGCAGGATGCCCTCGAAGGTGAAGTGCGAGACCGCGTTGACGTTCAAAGTCTTTAGGCGGTGCATCCCCGCGATGGGTAGGAGGGAGTCGTTGCCTATTTCGCCGTCGAAGCTGAAGTCTTCCAGCTGGGGCAGGGATTGCGCGATTCTCACGATGTCTTCCATGGTCAGCAGCTCGCTCATCAGGTCCAGCTTTCGGAGCTTGGTGCAGTTGCATATGGAGTTCGTGAATTGCTGGTGCCGTTCGGTGCCGATATCTAGCAGGCCCTCGACTGTCTGCACAACGAGGGACTCGAGATCGGTCTGCTGGCCAAGCGACGCGAAGAATTCATCATTGGCATCCAGGAGCTTGACATCAAGTGATGTCAGCCGAATCTGGGGGACCTTGAAAATGGGGTCGAGAATGGACGTGGCGCTCGGGACGAGTAGGAGTTCGAGGTTGGTAAGCGAAAGGCACCCTGATAACCAGGAAACTACTTCCTGGAACTCCTGTTTCAACTCTCTCTCCCAATCGAGTATTTGTGCGAGTCGGCTAGCCTCGATGGTGACGGACTCGAGGTTCTTGCACTCGCTGAGAAGATGCAGAGCGGCGAGACCGGGCTGGTCCAAGGAGATCACGAGGCTCCTGAGAGATACAGAGTGGCCACTCAGTGCCTGGAAGGTCTGATTATGGACAGCATTGGTGCTCATGATGGTGAAGGATTCGAGGCTGTTCGGGGGCAGTCCACGAATAAAGCCCGCAAGCTCTTCGTCCACATCGGTTCCGACGCAGTAATGGCACACAACCTCCTTGAAGAAGGGACAGTTGTTTCGGATTGCCTGTGATACCTCGGCGGTGAGAACAGATCCATCCCGGACCCTTAGGCTTGACAAAAGTGACAGCCTTGAGACCAAACTCGACAAGTATGGGGAAGGAAGGTGGTATCCCTCAAGGCTGGAGAGCATGACAGTCTTGTCCTCGTCTTCGGCAGCCTGCTTGATGAAAGAGGTCACCTTATTGCCAACATCGAGGACGATTTTCTCGATATCCAAGACGGGCTTCTTGGATTTGTTTGCATGTAAGAAGGCACCCAAGGGGTAGCTGAAGAACCAGTCCCTAATTTGCTTGTAGTTGAGCACAATTCTCCCGACCCGGACCCTGTCTCTGGCCAGATCCTCCAGCAGAGAGTAGAAATTGCCGAGGTTCAGAGCCTTTATCCAGAGGCAGTAGGGGTAGACCGTCTTTCCAACACTAGACATGACGATTGACCGCCAGAGACAGGCCCATTTCTCCGTCTCAACCACGGCGGTATCGCCCGTGCTTGCAGGGGATAAGTCATGGATACTAAACAACATCAGTTTCCTGATCATGCCTGCTGAGTAGAAATGAGAAGCAGCTAACCTGTAGAGGAGAGGCAACGTGATATTGGCGAATGAGCGGTTGACAAGGGCGCACTTGTACAAGCTCCCAAAATCACGTCGGTCTTTGAATTGCTGAGAGACAATCCACCAAACCTCTTGGGGGAGTGCCATTGTTGTCGAAACCGACGTGGTTCCTCTGCTGGGGGGGTTGACACTCATGTCAGGTTTCCAGCAGATATTGTACTGAACCTGCCGGTCTAGAGGTAGTCTTTGAAGATACACACGATGGTAGATTCCCGGGAAAGTTGAATCCGGGGCAATAAGATTGGTGCTAATCCTGAGTGATAAGGCAATTGCACTTGCAATGGCGTCTTGGATCGAATTTTGTTGAATGTATCAGAGAATAAGAATTTGTTGTTGTGTTTCTATTTGGGATCAGGGTTGTGTTGAGGTGATGTCGTGAAAGTCCGTATAACACGGCGCAAGTACCCATGTACTGTATGTACTGTAGGTAGGTACCTACGACCCACATCCAAACGCGATGGAACTTCCATACGCGACTCGGAAAAACCGCGGCAAAATCCCGTACCTATCTAGGACCGACCCGGACTCTTTGACAAGACATTATCCTCATTACGATCCCCTCTCCCCTCTGAGACTGCCCTAACCAGAGTAATGTACATTCCTCTTTGGCAAGCGGTAAGCGGCTGCCCAAGTATACGCCAGATGAGATCCTCGTAACCTACAGGCTTCATATGTGCACGAGCCATGGCGGTTCTCAATTTCACATTGAGTGAGGAAGGGGTGGCCGTCTTCCATGACGCTCTTGCCTGCATTGTCAAGTTCAGCGAAGATGTGTCCCTGGAAGCTCGCAAAGACAAGGTAGGTGGCAGAGACCGTCGCTCCTCCGCCAAGGACCAAGTGCCAATGACGATTGTTACTACAGTTAACCCTAACTGCCCTGAACCTGTCCAAATCGGCCTATGTCTGCATTGTGTTTGCCTCCAATAGATTCTTCTCGACATATAACTTTGAGGGGAATGCCCAGTATCGAGACAGATTCTTCTGTCAGTTGTACATCCGGGTAAATATTCCCTGCCTCAAGGGAACTTTCTCTAATGTCATGCTCCGACTGCTAAACAGGCAATCAATAGAGTCTCCTATCCATATTTCGGACCCGCACTGGGGGCGATACGACCAGAGATAGGGATAAGGAAACAACCATTGAGAGATGCGACGTTGCCGTCGACGACGGACCCGGCAAGAGTCGACTGATTGCCAAAATCGTCTGCAGGAATGGTATGCCAAGAAAAGCAACCCGTCTGAACGGCAAACCCACTAACCTTCTTGGAGGAATAACCGCAACCCATGCGTTGCCCTTTGAGCCTAAGCCGCCTACTCATGCCAAGTTCGACAGAAACGAGGCTGTCCACCACTGGACCATGTCCTCGCGGACCCTACGCCAGCTAATGGACTATTTCGGCCCTGGGATAGAGCTACTGGACATCAACACGGATGAGAACGTTGTAAATTTCACGTGCTTCACCGAGAAAGCCGTCAATCTCAATAACGATGGTAGGGTTGATTCTCTTCTTTTTAGGGAACGATAACTGACATAAGCCTAGCGGTCCTGAAGAAGCCCCTGCATACATCAATCGCTGTTGATATGGAGGAGTTTGATGATATCGAGGTCCAGGACAAGCTCCACATCATCGTCAGTGTCAAGGACTTCAGGGGCATCCTCCATCACGCTCAGATGACGAGCGGCCAACTCTCAGCGCGGTACTCCAACCCGGGCCGCCCGATGAAGCTCTCCTACAGCGGAGACGGGATTCTCTGTGAGTTCATCTTGATGACAGTAGGCGAGAAGGACGCGGTCGGCCAGAAAGCCAAAAAGGCTCGAGCCAGTGCGGCGAAGGCTGCTCGACCAGGACTCGAGGCTGCCTCAAACCGTGCCAGCTCCGTTGCCACTGAGAATGCCCGCCCTCAAGATCATCCACGGAACCCGCCGCAGCCGCAACAGAAGACACCCGTGCGTCCGCGGCAATCGCAATTCGAAATCCGACCACCGCCGCTCCCACCTCCTTCGACTCTACGATCGGAACTATTATTCGTTCCCCAAGGCGATGATGACCAGCAATGGGAGCCGATGAATCCTGATGACGACGAGGATCAAGGCGACATGGCTCGTCTGGAGTGGGATGCGAGCATTCAGCAGGTCTGTTCCCTGTGTTCAGTTCAGGTCTTTTCGTGCCCTTCTGCTGACCATTGCTGCAGAATCCCTCCACTCTGCGCATTAACAGCCATTCGGCGACACCGGTAGAGCCCCAGAATGCGCTGCCTGATCGGCTGCCATCTGGCTTAGAACCAACCCAACGGCTTTCAGAGGTGAGACATTGAGCCCCTAGATGGCTGCTGACCTCTTGGCTAACAATATCCAGGTTCGCCGGTTTGGTCTATTTTCTCCTTGAATGGCGCTTGGAACGTTGATTTGCTTTGGCTCTGATAAATTTTTTTTTTTTTTGTTGGGATACCCTGTCGTCACCATCGGAATCTCCAGGTATCATGATAGATGAGGTGAACGTCTAGCTGGGTATGTTGATGGCGATCCAGCTTGTGGCGCAGCCAGCACCGATGCTTGTGATTATAGTCCCTGGCGGCATATTTTTGGGCGAGGCAATGACATTCCACCGCCCCTTGACATCACCATTTTCAATCTTAGGCCCGCAATTCCCGTGCTCGCCCCAGCCCCAAGTCAGAACATTGCCCTCCTCGTCTAGAGCTAGAACATGCTCGCTGCCGATGGCGATCTGTGATACAGGGGGTAGACTCGGAGGAGTCATTTGGCCATGATCATTGCGACCCCAACTTACAAGAGTTCCATCCTTTTTCAGCGCGTAGACATTGCCCCAACTCGCCCCGACATCTTTCCATCTGTCAGTGGTTGCTGGGACTGATGACTTGATCCCCCATTTATCCGACCCCAGGACGACGACCCTTCCGCTGTCGAGATCGCCGAGAAGCAAGGTGAACTCCCGACCGCAGACTGCCCTGAACACACTAAACCCGACACCGTCAATCCTCCTGGGGGCATGCACCACCGCCTCAGGAGCACCGAGCTGCCCCTTCCGACCGTTTCCCCACCCGTACACGTCGCCGTTGCTCAAGACCGCCACAACATGGCCCATGCAGGCCGCGAGATCAACGACCTCGGTACCCGCAGGCGGGAAGTCCAGAACTAGTGCCGGGGACGGCGTGCGGACGATCAGCTCGCCCTGGCCCAGCTCCCCCTTGAGCCCGACGCCGCAGCTGTAGACCCTCGTGTTCCGCCCTTCCTCGTCAAGCCTCGTGATGACGGAGGCCTCCCAGGTCGCGGCGACCAGGCCGACCCTGAACGGCTCGGCGGCGGCAAGGTCCACCCTGCGGAATTGCGGATCGGCCGGGCCGGAACCGGCCGTGACCTTCCCGCAGGCGCCCGAGGCCGCGTCGCCGCTCCAGTAGAGGTCTCCGGAGTCGCTGAGGAGCAGCGTGTGGTTACCTCCCGCGGCAACGCTACGTACTGCGCTTGGAATGGCATCTTGGTGGAAGAGCACTTGTTTCGGGACGGACACGTCCTCCTTGTGTCCTATCCCTAGCTGGCCTGAACCATTGGAGCCTAGGGCAAATAATGCAGCCATGCTGAGCGCTCCTCCTCCAAGAAAGCAAATTGGTGGTGTAGAGAGAAAGTTAGAGACCAGATGACCCGCCCCTAATGAAATTGTATCTAGAATTGCCTTTGCGTGAAGTTTCTGTCAGTTGTAAATATCGCAGACAGAGGATCCATGGATATGGATAGGTACTTCTATGGGTACATGCCGGGCCTCGACAAGGGTCGGGATTTTGTTTATCCACTGTCCCGTGGATTAAGTGGAGCCAATTCCGACCACTTTAAAAATCTCATTTTGACCTCGATTTTTTTCCCTTCTCCCACCTCCCACCTGCAAACATTTCCCCAACGTTCACAGCTTTTTGGGTTGGGATGGAAATACTGCGCTTGATGATGTGACCAACTCCCAAGGGTGTCAGTGCTTTATCAAGGGATCGAGGAACAATGGCGGCACCACAATCTTGCGCCCCGCCCTCCATGGAGGGCTTCGTCGTGGGCCTCATAGGCATGGGCGACATGGGCAAGATGTATGCTCGGAGGCTCAGCAAAGCCGGCTGGAGGTAATTGCCGTCCATTTGCTTTGCCGCTTTGAAAACTGCGGCGTCCTGGGACCTGCCGATCGCATCATCTCGTGCGGACCTGTGCTGGAAGCTCCATCCAGAGCAACCGGCGAGATGCCCTCTGAAAAGCAGGGATGTATTACTGACTACAGCTCCTGGCTCTTCCTTCTACCAAATATGGTGAGTTCATTCCAGTTATCCCCCCCTCCGAGCGAGCTACCCATCCCCCCTCCCCATGTAAATGATGACTTGAGTGCATTTGGCTAGAGTATCGGCCATGGCACGGATTGATCAGCCATTCTGGCCCAGTCCATTGCCGTGGTCTTTCCATGATGATACTTCTCAGCTACCTTAATTATTTTTGTCTGAAAACATCACGTCCGACTTGTTCAACATCTTGAGAACCTCTGGTTGCAAGGTCAATAGCTAACCGCATCATAGTTTCGGATTTGCAAGTTCCTAAGCGAGACAATGTAGTACTAACGATGGGATGGCGCAGTATCATGGCTTGCGACACAGAAGAGAAGTACGGTGCCTTACAGGAGGAATTCGCGGGCAATGTACGGTTCAGAACCCCGTCTTTGGCAAATGGGTTAGTTGCTGAGAGATCGGTCTAGAATAAAGTACAAATTCTCCGCAACGGACACTTGGTCTCTCGAGCCAGCGACTATATCATTTACAGTGTTGAAGCAGCCGCTATCGGCCGTGTGGTCGCCCAATATGGTCCCTGTGTGTCTCTCAATTCCGGCTCCTCTGCCCTCCGCGCGTAAACAAAATAGCGTCTCACAATTGTATAGCAACGAAGCAGAACGCGATCGTAGGTGGCCAGACGTCGTGCAAGGACCCCGAGATCAAGGCATTCGAAGAACACCTACCTAGTGACGTGGATATTGTCTCGTGTCACTCTCTTCATGGACCCAACGTTGATAGTCGTGACCAACCGCTGGTATGTTAAACAAGCTATCCCCGAGACGATACTGTCTCTATTTGCTCTCTGCACCTAGTTCCCCCTTTGTTCGGTCGACAAACTAGTCCAGCCTCAAGTCATGTAAAAGGTCGTTGCCACTTTGCTCACCCCCTTCGAAACCCCCAGGTCCTCATCAAGCACCGAGCGTCGGACGAGTCCTTCACCAAGGTCGAAACGGTGCTCCGGTGCCTCAACTCCAAACACGTGTACCTGACGGCGGCGGAGCACGACCGCATCACGGCCGACACGCAGGCGGTGACGCACGCGGCGTTCCTGTCCATGGGCAAGGCGTGGCACGCCAACCGGCAGTTCCCCTGGGAAGGGTCGCGGTACGTGGGCGGGATCGAGAACGTCAAGATCAACCTGATGCTGCGCATCTACTCGCAGAAGTGGCACGTGTACGCCGGGCTCGCCATCCTCAACCCCGAGGCCCACCGGCAGATCAACCAGTTCGCCCGCAGCACGACGGAGCTCTATTACCTGATGCTGGAGGGCCGGGCGGACGAGCTGCGCGCCCGCGTCTACGGCGCCAAGGAGAAGGTCTTCGGCGGCGCGGGGGCCGCCGCCAAGTGGGGTGACCGCCCCCTGCTGCGGGGCGGGGTGCTCGACCAGTTCAGCCTGGGCCGGCGCGCCGACGACGCGCCGCAGCCCAACAACCACCTCAGCCTGCTGGCCATGGTGGACTGCTGGAGCGCGCTGGGCATTGTGCCCTACGACCACATGATCTGCTCGACCCCGCTGTTCCGCCTCTGGCTCGGCGTCGCCGAGCACCTGTTCCGCACGCCGGGCCTGCTCGACGAGTGCCTCCGCGTCGGCATCGGCGACAACACCTTCCGCCGCGACGACCTGCAGTTCACCATCGCCGCATGCGGCTGGGCCGAGTGCGTCTCTCTCCGCCAGTTCGAGACGTGGCGCCAGCGCTTCGCCGTCACGCAGGAGTTCTTTGAGCCGCGATTTGCTGGGGCCATCGAGATGGGCAATAACATGATCAAGGCGGTGCTGGAGAGCTCGGAGGACTGACCTATGCATAATGTATGTTGTTAGGCCTTGGGTGAGGAGGAGGAAGGGTGGGTGTTATTGGACGGGCAAACTAGGTTTTCGGGCTGGCAGTCAGATCAGGGGATAAAGTATCGAAAGTAAAGCCTGTGGAGTTCGGAAAAGCCAAGTATGGCGAGGTGTTTTGGTCCAGGGTAGACCAATTATCTAGGGGTATCTCTATTACAAGCGCCTAAGTCGCCATATACACTCCACCACCAGGGGAGGGTACATATCTATGCTATGCTTCATCGCCCCCTGACCAAACCTCTTCAGCAATAACCGATGCTAAATGTGTGCGCATCCCATTACTCCCTTGCAAAGCAAATAGACCTTATACTCGCCCTTCCAAGATGCAGCCGACAAATCCACCAGCACACCTCACTTCCCCTTCGGCCCCACGACCCTCACCCCCCTGGCACTATCCCAGACGCTGACGCTGACGCGGGAGGGTATCTTCCTGCCCCTGAGCCGCTGGTCGACGAGCCACATGCCCACCACAAACTCCTGCTTATCCAGCGCCCCGCCGCCGCCCCGGTCAACGAGGTCCCACACCTCGGCCAGCTCGTCCTCGGGCAACCGGCTGCGCTCCCAGATATCCCGCACGACCACGTTGGCGACCAGGTCCGCCGACCCTTCCTCGTCGCCGAGGAATAACCCCCTGTTGCTCGCCCACACGGCCTCGTACCTCCTCCGCTCCCGCGCAGACACCCCGTCGCGCCACCGCTTGCGCGACCCCTCGTGGTGCGCGTGCCTTTTCCCGCCGCCGCCCAGCGCCCGGGGTCGGTGTCGGTGTCGCCGGCGCCGCGCGTCCGAGTCGTCACCGCCGTCGTCGTCATCGCCGTGGCCGTTGTTGTTGTTGTCGTCGGCCGAGCCGCCGCGCCGAGACGGCGACGCCGGCGGCTGCCGGAGCGTCTGCAGCATCCCGCGGCGCTGCGGCGATTTGCTCTTGCTGTTGCTGCCCTTGCGCCGGCCCGTGCCGGAGTGTTGCTGGTGCAGGGGGAGGCTTGGGGGCCGCAGGTGGAGGGGGTGGTGGTGGTGGTGGTGGTGGTGGTGGCCCGGCCGGCGCGGGGGAGGAGGGGCCGGGGGTGTCGGGGAGTCGTGGGTGGCCATTGCGTGGCGCGCGGAGGCTAGGTTGCCTGCCATTATGGCGCTGGTGAGGGAGTCCAGGGGGAGAGAGCTGGCCGTGTCGACGGTGGTCGTCGAGTGGTTGGGCGATAGTCCCCGGCCGGGGGAATAGGAGTAGGCAGACAGGGCCTGCCGGACGGGACTCGACCTCTGCAGAGAAGGTCGTGGAGAAGATCGCGGGGGCTCCGTTTCGCGGGCTGGACGCTCCCTGCCTCTAACAGGGGAGCTCGGCCGCGGGGACTGTGTGGAGGATGCGGAGACGAACGTGTCGTCTGATGATGCTTCGGAGTTAGGTGATGAGGTCACACTAGGCCTAGTTACTTCCACTGGTTGGGTGTTCTTCGATAGCTCGGGTCCCTTTTTGGGAGTTGCGGGCTTGGGGCGCCTTGGGTTTGAGGCATCCGGTGGATTAGCTACTTTCTCCGAGGGCTGAAGGTTCGGCTTGGGCCCTAGTCTCCGAGGATCTGGGGATATCATCTCGGTCGCGCTACGGCGAATGATCTGTGGCGGCGATGCTGGGCGTGTCCGCGTGGATTTCGGCTTGGGAGCCAGCTTTGGGGTGACCGCCTGGGCTTTATACGCCGAGTCTTGTCCTCTGGGGCTCAGGGATCTCGGGGGAGTCGGCAGGCGTAGCTTGGGCCTTTCGACATGTCTTTGCTCGGGTGAAGGGTCCCTCTTCTTAACAGGGTCCGTATCGATCTTGTGCTGGAACATGGATATCAGGGATGTCGCAGGAGGGACTGGGCTCGTGTCTAGAATATCCTGGTTCGTTGCGAAAGAGTCGACGCTATTCGCCCCAAAGCTATGTCCTCGCCTTGCCCTCGGGGGACCGAGAGGGCTATGACCGGCGGGAGGATAAGGGGAGGCATGGCCGGTATGGTTCGGGGACGGTGAGGCAGACCTGCTGGCAGCCAGTGTAGCGGCGATGAAGGAGGGTGACTTCTGATCCATAGATGGTCTCCCACCAGGTGAAAGAAAGCGGAGGCTCGCCGGCGATGAGCTTAAATACTGCGTCAATCGCTGGGAGACTGCTCCATGCTCGAGCTCGCCACCGTAGGTCCCCGCCTCTTGGACACTTCCCCCCGTGCCTTGTCTGCTTATATCCCGACTCTGGCCATTGTTCTTCCTCGAGGTATTTGTCGGCGATCTTGTCCGTGGGCTACTCTGCTCTCTGGAAGCTTGGGTTGCAGCGAGAAGAGCACCATTGCCTCTTGTCGTCGGGTTCGGCGCTCTAGGGGCGGGTTTGGCTTTGTCGACGCCGGATTTCTGGGCCTGGAAGGCGAGCGTCGCACCTCTTAGGGCTGCGCTGCGAGCCGCGGCCGAGTCATGAGCTGTCGCTGATGTCGATGCCGGACTGGTGAAGGCGGGCGGGCCTTGAGGTGCCATGAGGCTGACTTGCTAGATGCTGCATACCAGGGGTCGCTGGTGGAACGCAGATCCCGAGCACAAACAAAACCGAGAACCGAAGCAAAGATGGAAAGTGGCCCGCTGAGTGGCTATGACGCACGATGCACAAAGCTATCTCGTTTATGCTGCTTGGGGTTTCCGTCGCGAAAGCAGGGCGTGTTAAAACAGTTCTACGTAAGACTGGCGCGCCTGATGCTTGGGGTCTCTAGGCGCTAATCATTGCTGGAAATAGGGGACGGCATGACGCTAACCCCGCACTAATTTAGTGGCCGGATCATCTGCATTCTGCAACCACACGCGGGAGTCTCCGTAAATCAATCAATCAAGCTTCCCACGTTCAATTGCAGAGGCAGAGCACCTGGCTACCTTTTATCCACGCCGTACAATACAGAGGGTAGTCGCACCCAAAGTCAGCTCAGTACCTACTTAAACGCCGAATAACCCTTCAACTCCTCGAATATGTCCAGTTCCATATTTCAGACACCGCCTCGCAGCCCTTGACCCTTTCTCTCCCCTTCCCCCGCATCCACAAACGGTCCCATGAGAATTACCTACTCAAGAAGAAAGAGAAGGTCCGGCCAACACAAGGAGTCTCCGGGACGCAGTCTCCTTCCCTGTTGCCCGCAGTCCGTCGCCGAGAAGTGAAGAAAAACGGTATGCACAAATTCAAATACAAGAAGTAGAAACCGAACGTGAGTGTGAACCATGAGGATAGACATGATCCGAAGACAGTCAAACAGACATTGATGGTCAAGAACGCCGTGCGAGCATGTTGGAAACGTTGTCAGATGGGCAGATCCGTGTCTGGTCGTGGCCGTTCGTGATCCATACACATAGCTAGAATGCAAATCGCACAAGAGGCGCCGCATGGATGGATGTATCAATATGCATCCTCGTCCGTCCATTCGCTTGCCGACACGACCCGGTGGCCTTCGTTATCCAGCATGGCATGGCCTGCATACAATGCTGGAGGGACCCCCCGCTGCCGCTTCGCCTGGCTCCCCTGCGACCGCCCGTAGCCAGTCTCGGGTGTCATCCTCTTGGTACGGGCAGCCCTCAGCTTAGCGTAGTATGCCTCTGAGGCGTCTGGCTCTTCTTGCTCTGAGTTGTCGTCATACGTCTCCCAGTTCTCGGATCCGGAGATGGCGGTTGATGTGTTTGAGATCTGCCTTGGTGGCGGAGCTTGGGGATAGCTGGTCTGCGCCGGTGCGAGTCGCTCGTTCTGTCGCATGGACGAGTGGTAGTCCCTCGAAGTCGGGCGACTAGGGTGTTGCGAGAGGTGTCTATCGTCGTACACGTCCTCGGGCTCCACCTGTCTGACGATGCTCGATTCGAGCCCGGTTGACCGATAGTGGTTCATTGGAGTCCCCAGCTCGGGCGGCGGCATAAGGTCTCGCATCTTCGGCGGCGGGGCTCTCATCAGTGGGGGAACCTGCCGCAGAGAGTTGTTCTCAAGTCGTGACTCTGGTCGGGGCCGTTCTGGAGAATTATTGCCGTTCTTGAGGTTGGACAGGGGGGCGCGTGCAGGAATTCGTGACGGGCTCCCTTTGTTGTTGGCAGCAGTATGGGCTCTCGTTGACAGTGGCTTCCCCCCAGGTGCGGTCGGGGTCTTTGCCATGCTCCTCGCCGCCTGACCTCCCGACTTCACAGCACTATTGGCCCTGCTCGGTGGTGCAGACTTCGCATTCCTTGCGGCCGATGGAGGCGGACCTGCTGGCGTCTTGGCTCTCGGCCCTGGCGCTCGCTTTGTTTCATCGTCATCCAACACGTCCAGATACCGCTCGCCGTGAACCAGAAACGGTCGTCCGTATTCGTCCTCCCACTTCTCCAAAACTTTGCGGAGCTCTGCTGCGACTTTCGGGAGCTCTTTCGAAATCCTCTTCCTCATTTTCTCCTCCCGCAGAAGCTTCCCGGGATCTCGTCTCTCTCCCTTCTGCCCTTTCATCATCAGGCGTGAGGCGTCCTGACTCGATGCTGCTAGCTCATCTCGGTCGTGGACGAGCGTCTTGTGTCTCTCAACAAGAGCTAGTGTTGGCGCACGCTGTTCCTTCAGGGCCTCGAGCCGTGAGATCTCCCGCTCGTGCGCCTCGAGCAAGGCATCGCTGTAAACGTCGGAGAAGGCCGGGGTGAACTCGAGCATCTCATCCTCTGACAAGTAGAGTGCATCCCACAGCTCTTGGAGCTTGTAGCGTGCGTCCTCGACAAAGAGGTGCAGATTCTGGTGCTTGAGCTCGTTGAGCCGGGATAGCTCATCCTCGAACTCGTTGATCTGCCGAACGCCGCAGCCTCGATTGCCATTCAGGAACGTCTTACGATCCTTTTCTTCCACCCCTAGTTTCTCCCAGAGGGCTTCAACGGCAGACTTGAGCTCTTTCAGCCGCTTTTCGCGGTTCTTCTTCTCGTCTGCCAGCCGGTCCCGCTTGGCCCGCAGTCGGGATACGTCCTCCTCATGCAGGCCAAGCTGCTCGGGCGCGTCGCGGTAGTACTTGACAATAGCACCGTCGGTCTGGGCCTGTGGTGTACCAAGCTCTGCCCACAGCTGGATGATATGCTCGGACAGGGCCTTTACCGTGGAGACGCGCCGAGTGTACTCCTCGTATACTCTGGTGAACTCTTCATCTAGCTTGTCGACATAGGATGGTGAGAGGTCGAAACTAGGGGGGATCGACTGATTCGGCCCGGATGGTGGCAATGCCAACTTCACAAATGTGGGCTCGAGGTGTGATGAATACGACTCCAGCGCCTCAACAAGTTCTAATCGATGGCCACCGTCAGCAACTACACGTATGTTTGAGAGTTTGGGGGACAAGAACATACTTCTAACTTGCTCGAAACGTTCCCTGTGGAGCCTGCTGATTTGGATGTGCTTCTCCTTGAGGACTTGGAGGCACCGCGTCAGCGGAAAGGTGACCTGAAGCTCGTCGTCTTCGGATTCGTAGTCCCGGCGAGGCTTGTTATCATCGAGAGATGCTTCCATCTGCCGTATGGTGGTTATGATCTTCTGTGCCTCGTCGATCATCTCCTTCTTCTCCGTCGTGACGAGCCTGACCTGGTTGTGCAGGGCTTCCGACAGAGCTGAGAAGAGCTGTGGCACATGGTTTGGTTAGCAAATGTGCTGCATGTGCACTGATGGACTCGGGCGGGACCTACCTCGGCTTCACGCGCATCGCGATCATGGTTCGGAATACCGATCTCGTCGAAGAGACCGTGAAGCTGGCCAACGATGGCGCTGACCTGCTGGGAAAGGTAACTCGTGTCCATGGTGCAAAGACGCCGATGTCAATGAAACGGACGGTAAGGGTGTGGGTATAGGTAGCGGGGTGGATCGAATCGCTACGATCAACAATGCGGCAAGATGGCCGCAGAGTGGTGATGGTGACGTGTCGAACGAAGCCTGAAGGTGGTGATTTGTTGATTTTGATGCGGCGCGTATCATTTAAGTGCGATGGCTCCGCAGCTTGGTGATGCAGCTGTAGCGCAAATTTGTTTACATGGACCGTTTCGTCACGACACCCGCAGGCAGAGCGCGCAGGTCAAGCAATGCATCTCACAAAGAGCGGTCGTAGAAAATCAGCCCAGTTCGCATCAAGCACGGTTGACCAAGCGTAGGCTATTGCGACGACCTGGGGCTGGGACTTGTGAAGAGCCGTGGGGAGCGTATAGTGTAAATAGTCAGTGTCGAGGGGAATTCTTAGTCAAGCGTGAAACGAGGCTTTTCGGGGAGCGATATCTATGTTGGGGTCAAGGCGGCTTGGGAGGTATGCTTTGCCTCTCCGACGTTTCCATAGCAACCCCGCTGTTTTCCGCAGCCACTTTTACACCGCGAAGGCCCAGTGTTTCAAAACGCGACCCCACTTGCACCTTCTCGAAGTTACCCCGCGTTCAATTCAGACCACCAAGCTTGCCCGAGACGACGTCACTTGATTGCTCAAATGGCCGAAGTCAGGTTATCACCATCAGAAGTTGAGTCGCGAATTCTTCATCTCATTCAACGGCTACCTAGGTAGTCGCAATCTCTCGCCTCAGTTCCCAATTGCTTACAGTTCCGTTTCTAGTTTTATCGCATGCCTGGTTTGGTCCCGGTCAGGTCCGTTCCCGCTTTGCAATGATTGGCCATGAGGTTGCACCTCGTATATTGTAGCATTTGCGTTCCGTGTATACGCCCGTATAATATAGGGACATGATTTATGCCACTTGACTGTGGTGGCTTGCCTGCACCGGGTTGAAAATGGACAATTGTATCGTCGTTCTCGGCTTACCGGGAAACGCAGTTCGGGCTAGCGAACGACAAGTTATGTATGTACAATACATAGGTAGCTCACCAAGGTGATACTTTCATACACCTGGAAATAAAAGTGGCCATTCACACCGTCAAGTGTGCAAGGCGTGGGCAAGCCGGCTTGTTGTCCAGCTGAAGCTGCGATTTACTAATGCATGGCGCACACTTTCCGCTCACCAAATTATAAGTTTAGGTCTATCAGGCTTCGTTTCGCCTCTCGGCATTCGGATCTTAGCCGATTGAGTCGCCGGGTCTTTTGATGGAAATATCGGTAGCCCCGAGCAATCGCCGGGGGGCAGCGCAAGTATTTGTCAGCCCCTGAAATTCCCAAATCTTTCGGAATCAGGCGCAAACGACAACGAGGTCCATTTGTCAGCCCTCATTCTCGAGAAACTTACATGGTATATTAAGGGTTGGAGGAGTCTCGAGCGTAATGATGCCGTATAGTCGGCAATTCCTATCGCTACCCATTCGCACTTGAATCTTTGTTGCCTTTCGTCATGTCGAGCCCATCCGTTCTGGTCATTGGGGCTGGCGAGCTGGGAACAGCTGTACTCGACGCGCTATCGAAACACGCGCAGCGCCAGTCCGGAAGACTGGCCGTCCTCCTGCGCGAGGACACTCTCAAATCTGCGGATCCGGCCAAGGCGGATAGGAACGAATATCTCAGGTCCCTCGGCATCGAACTTGAGGCCGGTGACTTCATCAACACCCCCATCCCGGCCCTGGCCGCCGTGTTCGGGAGGTACGACGTCGTAATCCAGTGCGGCGGCTACGGCATCCCGACAGAAGTGCAAGTGCGAGTCACCGAGGCGGTGCTCGAGGCGGGAGTGCCCCGATACTTCCCATGGCAGTTCGGCGTTGACTATGATGCCATCGGACCTGGGAATTCCGAGGGCTTGTTCGATGGGATGCTTGGGGTGCGGCAGCTCCTGCGATCGCAGACAAAGACCAAGTGGACTATTATATCGGTGGGAATGTTTATGAGCTATTTGTTCCTGCCTAGCTTTGGAATCGTCGATCTGGAGGAGCGGACCGTCCGAGCTCTTGGAAGCTGGGAGAACCGAGTCACCGTCACCACTGTGGAGGGCATTGGCACCATGACTGCCGAAGCAGTTTACCGGCCTGACGGAACCGGCAGCCAGGTCGTTCACATAGCAGGCGACACGATGTCATATGGCAAGCTGGCGGAATTGCTCGACAGCTCATATGGAGTTACGTTCAAGAGAGAAGTTTGGGATTTGCCTTATCTGAGGCAAAAACTGGCAGAGAGACCCGAGGACCTCATGGCGAAGTATCGAGTGGTTTTCGGTTCTGGAACAGGAATCTCGTGGGATATGGAGGAAACACTGAACCATCAACGGGGTATCCACCTCACCGGAATCAGGGAATACATTGAGGAGAATAGAGGGCCATAATCAGCGGAATGGGGCCGATCTCCTCTTTTCTAAAATCTTTCCGCAATCCACTTGGATTACCATCCCTAGACAGCTTGAGACATAAAATAATTGAAGTCCAATATGGAAGCTATGCTTGGAGGCTCTAATGCGAGGTGGTGAGACCCGACGTCTAGGGTGCCTGTATCAATTTCGGGGGCCTTAACTCAGGCTGGCTTAATCTTATCGCCAATGATGTGGGCTTCTTTAACTACTGTACCTGGTCCCACCCGTGCCACGCTCTCCGCCAACAGAGCCTCATCTTGTGAACATTCCCTGTCCTCCGTCGACTTTACGAAACAGCCTCGAAACAATATCATTTTGTGGAGGGCACGATGGCGACCATGGGTAAGTTTCGACGCCACTCTCCTTCCTCTCGGGATTCTTAGGCAGGGAAGACAGAGAGAGCTAACCCCACCTTCTCGCCAACAGAGCTCCCCGTCAACCATAAGCTGTCTGACCCCCAGAGCGACGCGCTATACGGTTACAATGCAGAGGAACAGAAGATAATCACCAACTCTACGAAGCCCTGGACACGAGACCCCAACTATTTCAAGGCCGTGCGGATTAGTGCCGTGGCCATGGTGAAGATGGTCATGCACGCCCGGTCGGGCGGCTCACTGGAGGTGATGGGGCTGATGCAGGGCTACGTCGAGGGCACGGCGCTGGTCGTGACCGACGCCTTCCGCCTCCCCGTTGAGGGCACCGAGACGCGCGTGAACGCGCAGGAGGACGCCAACGAGTACCTGGTCGAGTACCTGCGCCTCTGCCGGGAGGAGGGCCGGCTCGAGAACGTCATCGGCTGGTACCACAGCCACCCGGGCTACGGCTGCTGGCTCAGCGGCATCGACGTGGGCACCGAGAGCATGCAGCAGAAGTTCAATGACCCCTTCGTCGCCGTCGTCATCGACCCGGACCGCACTATTAGCGCGAGCAAGGTCGAGATCGGCGCCTTCCGCACCTACCCCGAGAACTACAAGCCCGCCGGTGTCAGCGGAGGTGCGGGCAATGGTGCGGGCACGGTCGGCCCGGACGGCTACCAGATGGTGCCGCTGAACAAGGCGGAGGACTTTGGCGCCCACAGCAGCCGGTACTACTCGCTCGAGGTGGAGCACTTTAAGAGCACCCTCGACTCGCAGCTGCTCGAGTCGCTGTGGAACAAGTACTGGGTGCAGACGCTGTCGCAGAACCCGCTGCTCTCGAACCGGGACTACGGGACCAACCAGGTGCTGGACCTCGGCCACAAGATCAAGCAGGCCGCCGCCGTCGTGCAGCGCTCCGCGAGGGGCGCCGGCGGCAGCCAGGGGCCGTCCGGCCCGTCAGCCAGGGCGGCCGACCAGGCCGTCGCCAAGGCCGTACAGGACACGAAACAGGTTGCCGCCAAGGAGGTTGCCGGGCTCATGGCTTTGGAGATCAAGGCGCAGATCTTCAACCGCTCAGAGCCGAGCACGGAGTGATTTGCCCGTCTTCGTCCATTTTTGGGCCGAGGCCTTTCTTTCTCTTTTTTTTTTTGGGTGCAATATGGGGCGTTGTTCTTGGTGTTTCTCTTCCCTTTCCTGCTTGGCATGCACCGCGAAGAGGAATATATCATGGCATAGAAGGGCGTTCCTGGAAAACCGGGAGAGTTGTTCCCGGGCAGTATTGATACAGTGCTATTACAAAACAAATGGGAAGCGCCGTACTCTAACATGGCCTGAGAATCAGTCACCGCCTCCAACCCGACCACTTGCTACTTTGCTCGCAAGCTGAAGGCGTCGAATGGTCTCCTCCTTCCCCAGAAGCTCCATCACGTCACCAAGGCCTGGCCCCTTATCCCGCCCGAGAAGAACCCACCGCAGGAAGCTGTAACCACCAGTTTCTACAGCGCGACCAGAAGTTTTGTCAACAAAGGTTATAGCCGCTGCCGCCTTCTTGAGCAGGGGGTTGAGGTTCTCTGCCGTCCAAGGCGCGGGCTTGTTTCTAAATGCAGTCTCGAGGAACGTGATGGAGTCTCCCGCTGTGGCAGGTTTAGATTCAAGGGCCAGATTCTCGATATCTATATCGTTGAGACGCTCCTCAAGAACCGTCTGTGGGACTGTCCAGAATAGATATTTGTTGTCGCCGACAAAGCTCTCGAGGGTCGAGGTGGGCGGCCGGCTAGCCCTGAGAGCCTTTAGGATGTAGCTCTGCGGGTTTCCCTGTTCGGGGCTCATAGTTGGAACTAAGTCACCTAATAGACTTGGGTCTATATTGTTGTCCATATGTTCCCCAGATTTGGATGATTCGATATTGCTGATTATCGTTTCGATTGGATCCACGAAGTGTGCTGTAAGTAGAGTCATGTTCGGAGGGTCCTCAGTCAGAAGGCGTCCAGTGTGCTGCCTCTGAAAGTATGGTAGCTTATCCATGGAGACGACGATGTCGCCCTTGGTAAACTTCAACGAGAACTAGATTGTGGCTTTAGCAGAAGTTGCGGCAAGACCATGGCAGTTACGTAACGTACGCTTTCGACCATCTCGTCCAGAGACATGACGTCTTTGCCTCGGCCTTGGTGCCAACCCAGCAAGACGGCGAAGTTTAGGAGAGCAGGTGGGAGAACTCCCTCGCTCTGGTACCAAGACATATTAACCCCGGGATGCCGCTTGCTCAGCTTCTGCCGCTCCATGTTGACAAGCAGGCCGACATGGGCGAACTTCGGCGGCTGCCAACCGAAGGCGTTGTACAGCTCGACGTGCTTCGGCGTCGAGATGAGCCATTCCTAGGTGGAGAATTAGCATAGACAACAACATGCCGCCAGATCATGATAGCGGACGTACAGCACCCCGGATAACATGGGTGATCTCCATGGCATGGTCATCAACGACATTGGCAAAGTGATACGTGGGGAAACCATCTCTCTTCCGGATGATGAAGTCCTCCTCAGGCTCTGCCTTCCGGTATCGTTTATACACAAGATCCTGAATCACAGCCGGAGCCTTGGCGCTCTTGAATCTCACAGCGTACCGGTCGCCTCGTGCTGCACGCTCTTCGGACTCTTCAGGGGAGATGCTGAGGCACGTGCCGGGATAAGTCGTTGGCAATCCATGTTCGTGCGCTTGCTTCTTATGAGCCTCCAAGTCACTGGGCGAGCAGAAGCATCGATAAGCCTTCTCTTCCTGGACCAGGCGGTCCGCATGAGCATCATAGAGCTTCAGCCGTTGGGACTGGGTTTACTTGTAAGTACTGAGCGGAGGTTTAGCGAGAAACTCTAGGACATACCTGCCGATATGGGCCGAACCTCCCGCCTACATCAGGACCTGCCAGTCACTCAGCATAGTCACAAGCAATGAGCAGAAACTATCCCCGCACCTTCATCCCAGGATAGCCCGGCCCATCTCAAGTCATCATACAGCCTTGTCTCGGCATCCCCAACGAGTCGGCTCTGAGTTCGATGTCAGTCTACGTTGAGGAAGCTACACAGACAAGGGGGGATCACCTGATCCGTATCCTCTAATCGCAAGATAAATTGGCCATTGGTGGCCCTTGCAAGGAGGTAATTAAACAAGGCGGTCCGTAATGATCCCAGATGAAGGTAGCCGGTCGGAGACGGGGCAAATCGAGTTCGACAGGGACCTTGGGGAAGGTTTGGTTTTGATAAAGACTTGCTAGATGAGTATCTGGTCTGGGGTTGCCCAGAGAGAGTTGAGAGCTGATGTCTGAAAGAAGATAGTCTCCATCCTGCGCATCCAGCGCAGATAGGCCTTCTCGGGAGGAGAAAAGCTCTCATCTCATTCAGAGAGGAGACCAAGGTGTGCTCCAAGCTTCCAATTGTGCCTTTTAACGGTTGAATAATTACCTATGTCACGACATGTTTTGAGACTTAGCACCAAAAAGGGTGAAAAAGGGTATTGGTGGTCCAAGCTCAGCTGAAAGAACCGTGATGTTGAATGAAGCAATCTGAAAGAATCTAGAACAGGAAAACGCAGTGCTCTGTCATGAGAAATATTTATTATCACATCATCCCACTGATTTCTAGAATCTTGGAATTAACTTTTCTCTATTTGTCTTCAATTGAATACCTACTTGAAGACCTGAAGAGAACCAAAGATACTAGTGCCTAGGTAAGGTACCCGACTTAGGTACAGTGCCCGTAAGTTTAGGCGAGGCTCCCCCCAACCCTGCCACTCCCTAGTCCCTTAAATTTTTAGACAAGGCTTTTCCAGAAGCCTTCTGCCCCACCAGCAACATCAAAATCATCCCAACTCAACGAGGCTACAAGCAAATCTCAAGTAGACCCAGCACCTATATCAAGATGGCAGACGGAGGACCAAGCGCTACTCCGCCGGACATGGAGGAGGAGATTGATCTTTATGGTATGTATCGCCCTTCCGGTATAAACATGCGCGGCTCCCCAGGCTAACAATGGGCACAGAACTCCTGGGCGTCGACAAGTCTGCCAGCCAGACCGACATCAAGAAGGCTTACAGGAAGGTATGCTTGGAACACCTGTGAATGTATGGAATGGGAATGCTAACGGTACCCTCTCAACCTCAATAGCTTGCCCTGCAACACCACCCAGATAAGGTTCCGGAGGATATGCGAGTCGAATCCGAGGTCAAGTTCAAGGCAGTCACCCAAGCATACGAGATCCTGCGAGATGAGGAGAAGCGGCACCTTTACGATACCCACGGCATGGCCGCCTTTGATCCCTCAAGAGGCGGCCCCGGCGGCCCCGAGGTCGACCTGAACGACATCCTCTCCCAGATGTTTGGCATGAACATGGGTGGTATGCCCGGCGGCGGCCCCCGCCGGCCCAGAAGAGGCCCCGACGAAGAGCAGGACTACAAGGTGACCCTGGAAGAACTGTACAAGGGCAAGACGGTCAAGTTTGCGGCAAACAAGAAGGTCGTCTGCGGCCAGTGCAAGGGGACGGGCGCAAAAGATAAGATCAAGCCGAATAAGTGTGATCGCTGCAGGGGTGTCGGTATGCAAGAAGCATATCGCCAGGTCGGCCCGGGCCTAGTCCGCAAGGAGGTCATCCCGTGTGACCATTGCCAGGGCTCCGGAAACTACTACAAGGAGAAGGATCGCTGCAAGAAGTGCAAGGGAAAGCGCACAGTCACCGAGACCAAGGCCTTGGAGATCTACATCCCCAGGGGATCCATGCAAGGAGAGAGGATCGTGCTAGAGGGAGAAGCAGACCAGCTCCCAGATCAGACTCCCGGAGACATCATCTTCACTCTTGTCGAGGAACCTCATGACTTGTTCACCCGCATTGGGCACGACCTCTCAGCAGACCTGAACGTTACCTTGGCGGAATCATTGAGCGGATTCTCCCGGGTCGTACTCAAGCATCTCGATGGTAGAGGCATCCACATCGATCACCCACGTGGGAAGATCCTCCGGCCTGGCGAGATCCTGAAGGTACCGGGAGAGGGTATGCCCGTCAAGCGAGGTGACGAAAAGGGAGATCTATTCCTCGTCACCAAGATCGAGTTCCCCGAGAATGGCTGGCTGAAGGATGACAAGGAGTACGAAACCTTGCAGAAGCTCCTCCCGCCACCAAACGCGCCCATTGCTACCGACGACGTGGATGAAGTGGAGTATGAAGCGGACGCGGATATCGAACAGGTAAGGAGCCGATACACTCTCTCGAGTCGCGTGACCCAAGTTAGCTAACGTCATTCTTACAGATGGGTGCTCACCAAGGAGACCCAAGATATGGCAATGAATGGGAGGACGACGATGAGGAAGGCCAGCCTCAGTGTGCTACCCAATGAGAAGACGTCGATGGGGAAAATATTTGTTGGCCGGGGTTGTGAATGACGCCAAGCCTCATGCCCAGCAATCTATCTCGCCAGGGTCCCGCGAGGGCGCTACCTTTGGTAGCGGTGGTGTTTAAGAGATGGTTGTTTGGGGATGGGAGGATCAAGATGGGACGTCTTCGGTGAATCCCGTCCGTGAGGAAGATCTCGATATCACGCCTGTTTCCACGTCCTTTGCAAGACTACCTCGGGGTAGCGATCTTCTTCAACTAGCGGCCTATGGGCTGGGGCTGGGACTCCCCGTAGGTGCTCCAAGCCACTCATAGCCTCTGGCCTGTCACGATCAAGCCAGGCCAGATTCATAAGCAGGCCACATTTCCGGACCGTGTGGTCTGGGGATAGTGGCACGTAATAGAAACCATAGACCATTGCAATCTTATCCGCGACGTACTTTTTCACCAACATTGATCCTATCTCATATGGTGGTATGTAGATTCTTGTTCCTTGGCGCATTCCGAGTTGATTGGTTTCATTGTTGAAAGTGGGGCCTCTACAGAAAGGTTAATGTAGAGTCACGTGATGCTGCACATGTGGCTACGCTATTTGCCCTAAGCCCTGATGGGGCGCAAAATAATTCTACTGACGGTGAAATTTTTGGCCAGTCCCAGCGAAATACTGCACGGAGAAGCAAAACCATCAATCGACAACCACGAACTCTGTCAAGGTAAACTTTACCTCACTTATCGCGGGCTACTCAATTCGACAATCAATCTAACGTCGCACAGATGGTTTCCGCAAAGAAGCACATCCCTATCGTGAAGAAGCGTATGTTCAAATGCCCTCGACCCCACTCTCGAGACCGACGACCTGGAACCGCGCAGGCAGGACTTGGTTGGATGAAGGACATTGAGTATTGACAGAACTGTCATCCCACAGGCACGAAGCGCTTCACCCGTCACCAGAGTGACCGGTTCAAGTGCGTTGCCCCGGCATGGAGGAAGCCCAAGGGTATCGACAACCGCGTCCGCCGAAGGTTTAAGAGCAACCTGGCCATGCCCTCGGTACGTGAGGACCTCAGCGACTATCAGATACGGAGGGAATGGCGGGGTTCCGGATCCGTGGCGTACTGCGCGGGATATCTCGACGGTTTCTGGTCTGCGATGCTAACGAGGGCAAATTTGCAACCATACAGATCGGCTATGGCTCCAACAAGAAGACCCGCCACATGATGCCCTCGGGCCACAAGGCCTTCCTCGTCAGCAACGTGAAGGACGTCGAGCTTCTCCTGATGCACAACAAGGTCTTTGCCGCAGAGTACGTTCCTCTCTTATCCCGCCGGACAATTCACATGAGACACCGAGGAGTTTGGGAGTGAGGGAGATGGCGGAACACTACGTTGGAGGGACATTTGTCATGGGGCTAACTTTTTGCGTTTCTAACAGGATCGCTCACAACGTGTCGTCGAGGAAGAGGATCGATATCATCGCTCGGGCGAAGCAGCTGGACGTCAAGGTCACCAACTCCAAGGCGCGGGTCACGACGGAGGTGTAAAAAGGGACGCTGGGGCTTTTTCACGTTTTGATGCATCAGGCGGTTACACGGAAGGGTCTGCTCTTTTGTCTGCGGGTATTCGGCATATACCTCGTGCTAGAGAAATGAAAACGCAGCTTGCTAGGTCATTATGCTGGTCCGCAACCTTCGGTGCTCGGTCTTTCCTCGACCCTCGCTTGAACACATCCGCAGCCTCCATTTCCTCCGATAACGCTGAATTTTGCGATACAGCCGGAACATATTCCCTGCTGCATGAACACGCTTTCCAATGTTGCTGGGCCTTTCAGGAAGTTCTATTGAGACCAAGTACGACGACTGCTGATCAAATACAAGGGAACGCAGCAACCTGAGCCAAAGAAGAAGGACAAGCAGGAACTCCTCCAAAACGCCAAACTGCTGAAAAGATAACCCAACAGATGATTGCCATTAACTCATCAAGCGCTCTCATTTCCGTCAGCACTGGCCGCATCTGTTCCCCGCTGTTCGAGCCGACAAGAGACAAACGCAGACTAACAGGTTTTCAAGCAACCCTCTGAAGCCAGGTCTCCCAATAGGTCAACTTGGCCCAAATAAACGGCCAAGCCTCCTCTCGCTCAGCGCGATTTGAAGCAGTTGAACATCCCGCAGCTGAACCGCCAGGGGGCCCGGTGCGCCCCGTGCCGGTCGACTATGACGTTGGTGCCGACATGGCGGCCGCCGACCCTCTTGCTGTAGAAGAACGGCATCCTCCTTCCCTTTCTTTTTCTTCCCCCCCTCGTCCTTTCTTCTGCTCGCGCTCTCGACTCCGGGACAACAACAAGTCGCCTGGCTGCTGTTCTGGGTCCGGGGTGCGGTTGATGGTGGCCTAACCCCTCGCCAGTCCTTGGTCGTAGGGGGACCCTTTCGCTGCCGCGGGCTGCCTCCTCGATTTAAAGGAGTTGGGGTGGGGAGGGGGTGCAGTACAAGTCGTCTGGTTGCTTAGGTGCTGTTTCTGGGCTTTTCTGAGCTGTTTGGAATGATCTTGAACTTGAGAGCTCGGCTGCACGTCTTTAAAAGGGGCTGATAATGCAGGTGAAAATATATCTTGGGGCGAAAATATAGAACTCGAGGTCCCGTACAGTTATATACAAGTCGATAATGAGTGGGATTCCGGGCTATGGTTTTGCAGGGGCTAAGGGGTGACGTCAGGGCCTGCGCCTGCGACCCTGCAGGCCTGCAGAACAGATGGAGATCTTGGAATGGCATCCACCAGTGACATTTTTACTTCAGTGTGGTCCGGTTTACATGCGACGAGCCGACCCTTCCTCCCTCCTGCTACCTGCATATATATTCTCATAAGGGACAAGTATGAACAAGTCTGTCCGGATATCTAAGGGGACGTCCATAGGTGCTGGGTATCCCTGATAATCTTGATGTTGCCCCTGAATTTGATTTTAAAAGCAAGTAACTTCACTTCTTGGTGTTTTGTTCCCATTGCTCCAATGTCAGCGACTGGTTGACTAACGGCTTCCAGTGTTACGCGAAGAGTACGCCCAAGGCACTACCGCGAGAGGGATAGAGCTTTTCCAAAATTTATTGAGAACAAATAACCACCAGGAAATGGGCAAGTAATGCTGGCCAATATGTCACTCGTGTCCGAATTCTGTTGAGCGTGCTCTCTCCTGGAGACGCCAAGGTCACCCTTCAGACGACAACCAGGCAGAGGCTGTCCTGCGGAAACTTCCCTTTCCCGGTGACAAGACCGAGGGCGGACCGCCCTTGTCTGGGTCATGATGTGGAAAGGGACGTACATCAACTGCTATGGCGATCTTATACCGGACGGCTTGAAGGCCTGGGGCTACGTTTTCTGGGATGCGGGACGGACAGTCAGGAGCGGAGGCAAGGACGCTCTGTTCCCGGTATGGAGATGACATGACTAGATAGGAGCAGCAAACCTCCCCCAGTCACCGTCCGCCGGGCAGTGGACACCCTAGACGTCTGCAGCCCCTGAAACATCGGGGTTGTCAAGGTGTTCAACTGCAATCTTGTCTTCGATGTCTTTTAGGTATAGGTACTCATTACAGCCATGGCCCGGGGTCACCCACCTTCCCAACCGCAAGACGCCTCGTGTCGGAGCATTGCGTCGCACATTTTCTCACTGTGACATGCCTCATACAAGCCGGACCTGACAATCCCCTTCGGCTGGCTACTCAACACCAAAAGTATGGTTCCCTCCAGCGACCTGGACGACAACATACCTGTCCCTGTACACAGCGGCAGCGCTCCCACCTCCAACAGGGCCGCCATCATATGCCACCTCCCCATCGACGTACACCCTAGCTCCCTCCCCATCCACAGGCACCGAAACCTCCCCCTTCGTGCCAGGCGGCGCCCTGACACTCATCTCGAACGACCCCCCCACCCGGCCGCCACCACTTCCTCCCACCCCCCACCGCACCTCAATCGGGCCCCCCGGCGTCGGCACCACCCCCCTCGCCCAACCGACGCCGGCCCCGCCACCACCGACGCCAACAGGCCGCACGGCCCAGACGCCGAACCCGGGCGCTAGAGGGCGCACGCCCAGCACGAAGCGCGTCAGCAGCGGCGTCACGCCGGAGGCCCAGCCGTGCGCCATGCTGGTATACGCTGCCTCGTACGGCGCGCCGTCGGGGCCGGCCGCGCCCTCCCAGAAGGTTCCGCCCCCGCCTGCTCCGTCGCTGTCGTTGTTGGCAGCAGCCATCCATCCGTAGGTTCGTCGGAGCTGGTCGAGGCCCGAGGAGATGGTTTGCGCGGACGGAGAGGAGAGGCGGGCGGCTAGCTCGAAGAAGGAGGTGTATGCGTAGACGCGGTTGGAGAAAAGGTTGGCGCCGGGGGCGGGGGGGAGGAGGAGGTCGTTGTCGAAGAAGGCGTTGCCGTGGGGGAGGGAGGTTGCGGACGAGAGGTAGGCGAGGATGGACTCGGAGAGGGGCTCAGTGCCGTTGCCATTGTTGCTGTTACTGTTGTTGGCCGAAGCTGTCACCCCCGCCAGGATGGCGATGCTGTTCCCGTCCTGCGGGTGCGTCGGACACATGAGATCCGACGTGTGGCCCGGGCAGGGCCCGCCGTCGAAGAAAGCCCCGACCGCGGGGTCCCAGTTGTGCTTGAGGAGGCTGGCGGCCACGGCGGAGGCGCGCGCGCGCCAGCGGGAGGCATCGACCGAGTCGGTCGAGAGCATGCCGGCGAGCTCCGCGGCCCGGTTGAGGGCCATGACGTATAGAGCGTTGTAGTACGTGATTGAGCCGTTCCGCGGCAGGAAGGCGTAGTCTCCGTACCCTGCTGTGCCGGCAAGGCCCTTGGAGAGGAGCGAGGTGGCTGGGTCCGTGACAGAAGGGTAGAAAGAGTCTAGGGCCTTTACCAATACCGGGTAATACTTTCGTAAGTAGTCTAGGTCCCCGGTGTAGAGTACTAGGTTGTAGCTGCAGACAACCCAGTGCAGAGGATAATCGAAAAGGGGCAGCGAGTAACCACGACTGAGGGAGTCTTATCAGAAACCAGGTTGGTCTCGGAGCACCGCAGGATAAACTCACATGCTAGCAGGAGGGATCCAGCCGTCGGGGCGCTGATGGTCTGCCAGGTCTGCGAGGACGTTTCGAGCCGCCTCCGGAACATTGTGTGACAGGTAGGACGTCAGTGCCGACACGGTCAGGTCACCCACGTACGGGTCTCGATCTCTCTTCGCCCCATCATGGATCACGAGCTTGCCTTCGAGGGACGGGCTAGCCGCCTGTCGGGGATCCGAGTCGTCGGCGCGGAAGACGTCGGTGCATAGCTCCGTGGTGTAGACGCCATCGTACCACCACTGAGTGAGGTCTTCATCCGAACATTCGAACCAGCCAGTAAAGGTGTCAGGCGTTCCCAGGAAGCCCGAATACGTGAGGCTGACGGACGAGATGGCCACTTGGCCCAGGGAGGAGGTGTAAGGCGTATCCTCGGGAAGGGCTTCCAGCCATATCCTCACGTAACGAAACCCGTGGAGGCCATCGGCACAAACCTTGCTGTCGTGTTGACAGCCCAGGCTGTCTGTCCAAGTGTATGATCCCGACTTGACAGCAACCTGCAGAGGCAAATCCAAGTTAATACCTTTCCCAACAGGGCGTGCCATGGAACTTACTTGGTCAGTGCCGCGCGGCACAACTTTGTTGGCTTTCTTAGAAGGTTATTAGAGTAAGCAGGGTTCATATCAACACCTCGAGGGTCTTACATCGCCACTATCCGCATTGTATGACCGAGTGAAATCGCTCGAGCCTGTGAGGTATTCTAGAGTCTCCGAAAAGGCTAGCCTAAGACCTGGCAGCGGCGTGGTCAAATTTGCAACATCTGCAAGGTCGAGGTTGAGATATCCGGCAAGATTCTGCCCAAAGTCGACCACCAGGGATGGGATACTGTCCGCTGTCGTCTGACGTGTGAGAATTGTCGGGTGCTCCCCATCGATTAGACCAGATGGGTTGGATACATTCCCGGAAATAGAGCCTTGGACGATTCCCTTCGGACTGACAGTCCTGCTGGAGGGCGCCCTGACGTATTTATGCCAGCTGTTGTCCCGAGACGAAGTGCGGTCGTAGAGGTACTGTTGTGGGATTCCAGCTGGTCCGAACACAGTGCAGCTGGTCTCTCCAGCAAATAGCAACACGACTGCCACCCAAAAGAGGAAACCGGACGGCATCTTAGGGGACCGCCACAATTTTAGGTGAGGCGAACGTGGGATAGGTTCAATGCTGAAGGCTGAGTGAGCTGTGAAGGGTGGTGGTTGGCCAGCGTCTCTATATACCTACCTACCTACAGGCATGTATAATGTCCTCGAGAAAACCAGGCTCACACCTTCCTTTCAGCAGTTAGACGTGATCATAGCAGGGTCCTGGGCACTGATGTAAAACTAGGTATCCCAGCCTAGCAATGCCCAAGTGACAATTCGTGACGGACATGCAGCGGGGTAGAGAATGGTTTGTTGTACCTATGTGTTCTTATTTGCTGTATCACCACAAACAAGTCGGAGTGTTTGGTTAAGGTTCCGCCTACAGGTAGAATTGTGATCTTCAGGAACGGTCCTGACCGTGGAAAGACTACCTACTCGTAAAGCGATCCGTTATTGACACAAGCCCTACGTCACAACTCATTCCACGAACACATGCCTCTACTAATTACACACAAGACATATTTGAATTCAATCGACGGTTCTCAACAAGGGCTCATAAGCCCCAAGGTATTGTAGCCCGGAAGCAGGCCGTCTGAAATACCTGGAAGCTCCCTCTCGTTCTACGGCCGCTGGAGGGTGTATATTAAGACCTCGCATTCCGGCCAGCAGCCAGAGCTGCAGAAAATGCCTCCACGAACTCGACGCAGTCCTCGAACGTGTTGTAGAGGGGCGCCGGTGCGACGCGGATCACGTCTGGCTTCCTCTCGTCGACAATGACTCCGCGGGACTCGAGCTGTTTCATGACAACCTCCAAGAGGCCGCCCGACAGCATGATGCTGAGCTGCGCGCCCCGCTCCCCGGGACCCGACGGGGTGATGATGCGAAACAGTTCCTTGTCTTCAACAGCCATCTCGTTCAGCAGCTCCTCGAGGAAGCCAGTCAGCTTAAGTGACTTCTTCCTCAACGGAACAATACCGCCAGCAAGCTCAAAGACTTCCAGGGAGGCGCTCAGGCTTGTTATGTCGAGGATGCTGGGGTTGCTGAGTTGGAAACCGGCGGCGCCCTTCACCGGATGGAACTTGTTTGCCATGGCGAACCTCGTCTTCTTGTCATTCCCCCACCACCCGGCGAGGCGATTCGTGTAGCCCTCTTCAGCCTTCTCGTCCGTGATGGTTTTAGTGACCGGGCTGTTGCGGGAGTGGACAAACATGCCGCCTATACAGCCCGGACCCCCGTTGAGGTACTTGTAAGTGCACCAGGCCGCCGCGTCCACGTCCCAGTCGTGCAGGGAGAGCGGTACATTACCGACCGCATGCGCGAGGTCCCATATGACGAAGATCTCGTGCTTGTGCGCGAATGCCGTGATGGTGGGGATGTCCAGCAGCTGGCCGGTGTAGTACTGGATACCCGGGAGCAGGATCAACGCCGTCGTCTCAGCATGGGTGGATATCACCGACATGATATCGTAAGTGGTGAGGACATTGTCCTCAGAGAAGGGCGATTTTATGGTAACCATCGAGGTCTCGGGAGAGAGACCGTGATGGCGGAGTTGCGTCTCGACGGCAAACTGCAAGTCCCGTTAGCCCCTGTACGACGCCGAGAGGCCGTCAGCGAAAGGATATCGGGAAATGTTACATGGTCGCTGGGGAAAGCCTTGCTCTCCAGGATGATCTTGTGCCTGCCATTGATGTCCGGATGGTAAAAGGCTGACATCATGAAGTGGAGGTTGGCCGTCAAGGTCTGCATGACAGCAACTTCGGACTCATCCGCCCCAACAATCGGAGCCATCAGCTGGGCAGCCCTCGCATCGGCATCCAGCCATGTTGGCAGGGGTGAATCGTCAAGGGGCTTGAAATGCCCCTGAACCCCTTGAGTCTGCCACGTGCTTAAATACTGGCCGATCCGGGTAACAGTTCTTTTGGGTTGTAACCCGAGCGAATTGCCGCATAAGTAGATGCTGTCGTCATCCTGTGCATCGCCAGACGGGGTAGCGGCTTGCAATTGCGTCAGCCAGATTCACAACATGGACAGATGGCATCTGTCGGGAGACCAAACATTTCTCACTGAGCTGTGTGCTTGCTATCTGTGTCTTTGTCGGTATGTTGAACTCGGCCCTCGTGAAGCCCAGAGGGTCATCGTGATCCAGTTCCCTTGCCCGATCCCGGCTCTTGTCGAGGCTCATCTCTGTAACTGAAGATGAGTGGAATGCTTTTCTAAAACAAACCACAGTTAGGATAGTAGCACCGCTCCGGCCGGAAGTATATGCCAAGTCTTAACGAGGGGAGTCAGGTCTCAGCAGCTAAGGTACCCATCCCGGCCAGACAGGACGTACGTCTGTTTTCTCCAGCAATGCCGCCTCTATCCGTGTAACTGCTTTAAGAAGGTGGGGTTGCCCCGCCTGCTTGATCGGCAAAGGCGAATGCATCCAGTGGGGTCCAAGTGGAGATGCCTTCCTGGGACAGAGAACTTAGGTACCTAGGTACTGTACATACATACAACTTGAAGGCTTCGCGATGTTTGAACGAGCAGCTGGAGCCGTGCAGCTCCTGCCGCTTCTATATCGCGAATACGCAATTCTGCCTTTCTGTGGCACCTGATATCAAGTACTTCGACGTGCAACGCTGTGTTGTCTCCCATAGTTTCCCATAGCGCAGCGACATTAACACTTGCAACTTTGACTAAACCGCCTAACCTCCTTCACAGCCAGCTGCCTCATTGGAGAGACTCGGAAGGGGTTTACCTGGCAAGTGCTTTACCTCAATCCTCAGCTATGGCTCGGGATGCGATGCCCGGACCTTGAACTTGCAACATCACCAACACAGATTCCAATTCGTTACCGGGCATGTACGAATAGTCTCGATTGCCTTTCGATCGTTGGGACAGCAGCCACTGGTTGGGAGAAGAAGCAGTTATGTCTTGGTTCACAGGGCAGTGGATGGTGTCATAGACGAACGACATATAGCTTGCTAAGGTATGACGGCGGAGTAAGCAAGAAAAGTTGATGCACCCGATGTCGTTTGTAAGTTCCATGGTTGGGATGAAGTACTCCATACTTACGGCTGTGCCTAACATCCATCCCAACTTCATATAAATATAGGCATGGTGGACGACAATCCAAATATCGCAGGCATATCTTCCATATTTCCCACTCACCTTAACATTTTGACTCGCATCAGTACAAATTGTCAGAGACAGGCACAATGTCTGGACCAGATTGCGATTATTGTGATGAGGGGTTTATCACAACCACAGGCCAAATCTGCCCTAATTGCGGCAAGAAAGGGTCAAGCACAATGGGCGGCAAGAAAGAAGAGTCGGGCACGATGTCTGGATCAGATTGTGATTATTGTGATGAGGGGTTTATCACAACCACAGGCCAACTGTGCCCTAATTGCAGCAAGAAAGAAGGGTCAGGCTTGAAGAACCGCTTGGAATTCCTACTTTCGGTATGTATTTCTACAGTAACCAAGGCAATATCAATCGTAACTCAGAATAGAGGGTTAACCATTAGGCGAAGGACGCGACAAACAAGATAGACAGGAAATGAGGGTTTAAGCTGGTGCAAGAAAGGATGCAGAACAGGTATCGCCTATGACAGGAGTGTGTAACACTTATCTTGCGCTATGGGAGGTTGGTTTTGTGGTGATTGGTGTGGAGGTGCGAATCGCACCTGTCAAGCTGTCCGGTGAAGTGGTGCGATTGGTGTGGAGTGGAGGTGCGAATTGGCCCAGAGGTGCGAATTGCACCTGGTCAAGCTGGGCGATTCGCACCTGCAGCTACGCTGTAAACTTTTTTATATAGAGGTAGGTATTTTCATACAGTCACTTCAACCAGGGCTCCCCTCATTCCCCAAACAGTGATTCCTCAGGACCGTCTTCTTCAGAAACAGTACCTGGCCAGGATCCTTGGAATCGGTCCATTCCGACCATTGGAATCATTCAAGTTGGGCCCAACCTGGATCCTAGAATCGGTTCATTCCGACCTTCAACTCGGGCGCGGCCCGGATCTTATGAATCAGTCAATCCGTGCCCGGGTTGAATACTTGGAATTGGTCAATTCGGACCTAACTTAGATCCTTAAAACTAAAATTGAACGATTCTGACAGCAGGAATTGAAACGATTCTGAGGACTCGGGCCAGGCCGAAATTGAACGATTCTAAGCAGATGTGGAGACCTTGTAGAATCAGGATCAGGCCTTGCTGCATGACCAGTGCCATCGGCTGTTGTATTGTATGTACAGTACATACCAACTGTACATGTACGTATGAGTGTGAATCCAACCAGAAACCTGCAAGGTTGACCACCATTCATTTTAGCGGAAGTCTTGGAGATCGCTCCCCTTCGAATCAAATGCAGCTGGATCGTTGGTCTTTTTTGTTGGGATTCATACCTCACTTCCTTGTACCTTCGCTCGCTAGCAGCCCAGGCAGGTTAGTGGCAGTGGTTCGAATTTTGTCGGTCTCCTGATGGGTACACCGTGCTCCGTATGCATGCGGTCTAGACCACCAGGTCGGTGTCTGTACTTGCTTCAAAGGTCGAAGGGGCTCAAAACGTCAGGCTACCGTTAGAATGGACCCCGGACTCCGAAACCATGGTTAATTAGGTACCTTATTTTCTCGTGAAATGCCTCCTAGTCACTGGGACAGGAGTTGTCTCGTGACGTACTATTAGCGGTGGCAGTGACAGATGAAATTCAGCTGTGAACATGTTCGGCTCACCGAGTTCCTGGTTGGCTGGGACCCCATCCGGATACTCGTCCGGTTGGCAATGTTCTGGCCAGAACATGAGGAACATTCAGCGGTCAAGAATACAGACGGAATATACGTACTGCTTCATGACACCAAGACGGGAAATAGGCAGAAAGTTTGGAACTGGGCATCGAACTCGGACGGTCCCGTGGCCAACGAATGGGTTTCCATTACCCCCAGATTATACCAAGGTGATGCAGGCCTGGGGTAATGGAAATTAGCGCTTCTACCCCTAAGCGCGGATCAAGTGGATCAAGTGGGTCCCAGCCAAGACTTGACACCAATGGCCAATGCCAAGCTGCACTTCTTACGTACAGAGACAACCGGACATGCCTATTCCAAGGTCACGGGTCTTCTCTGTCTGACCTCCATGGCCCACAGCCTGGCTTTCCATCCCGTTGAGGGCTAACGGTCGAGGCCCCGGGCCCGAGATGAGGACAACGCCATTAGGCATAGACCACATGATATGTCAGGCATTTGAATGCCTGCCTGACTGCCGAGACCAGACTCCAAACGCAAAGAAGCGGTAAGCAACGCAATGCTTGCCCTTGGCGGCGTGTTCTGGGGGCGTTTTCGCCAGAGAATCACGAGTTGTTCATGATAACCAATCTATCCGGCGAGGGCGAACACGTTTCCGGTTGCCGGCTGGCGGAAAGGGGCGGCACGGCGGCGAGTTCCTCATCGGGTCACGGTGCCACCCAGGGGGCAAAAGGCACAGGTGGCACCCGGCCCCAGCGGTACAGTGCCCGACCTGTAGGCCTGTACGGTCACCATCATCGCTCGGTATACCTCTACGGATGCCGTTCTCCATATTTCTGTCCAACTGTGGAGGACGGTGGATCGACGTTTTTTTAACCGTACTGCGGACACCGATAAAAGCTAGTGCAGAGATACCTCCGCATTCCTATCCCTTTCTCGTTTCTGTGCCTGACTGAATGTTTCCGCAAAGCGAAACAAGTTCTTGGTGAGTGTCAAGCTTGATGGGACCCAATTGCATCCCGGCGTGGCCAAGAAAAGTGGGCTGACATGTTGCAGGGAAATCCGGGATTCCTCAGTCTCCAAGAGAAAACCTTAAAGTCACGAGAGCCTCGAATAACCGTTCCGTACCTGAGCTCCGTACCTGCGTTCCGTTTCTGGTCGGGTGGGTCCCAAAATCCAAGCCAGAGACTTAACCAGCTACCATAAATGGCTAGACTGATCGTTTTGATTTGCTAAGAATAAACATATTTGCATCATGACGGCTCAAATTTCGTCTTCATCGCAGAGATCCCGGACCGTCGTGATCCAGAATAGGGAGTCAATGGCAAATTCAATGCTATCCGAGGAATCCTAGGCCGACAGTGGCTCAGCGTGGCTTCAGGGCGGCCTCAGCGTGGCCACATATAAAGAGCTGACGTATCCCGCTCAATTGCACCTGCACTAGCAGTAAATTCAGAGTCATCATCCAAAGAATTGGCCTTTGCAACGCGAGTCAGTGACTCAAGAACACCGAACACCGCATGTTGCTATTTTGAGCAAGCATTCCCCCAATCTTTCTCCCGACCGTGCCGACCTCTGAACCTTCAAACCATCACCAGACGAAGGTAACCGATCTCACTCCTCCTATCTATCTCCTATCCACCTCATACCCTCAGCCTCCTGAGGTGGGCCCTCGTATGGGCGATGGCAGCCACATGGCTGCCGCATAATTCCCACTGTTGTCTTACTCTCTCGTGTAAGGCGACAGTGGGCGTCATGCATCTGCCCCATTTTAGATCTGCTGTAGGTGCTAATACACACCTTACCGGCCAACAGGTTTTCGCCCCAGACGCATACAGTCAATCCCCTACGCCCATCTATTTTCTAGCTTAGATCAGATCAAGACACCATAATCCCTAGCCCACCTACACTGCTCACCAAACCAACTCATCACCGAAGCAAATCTTCCCACGGTTTGCCTGCAGACTACAAGGTACGCTCACATTCATTCATTAACGACACGTACGAAAGAGGCACTTTATCTACCTTTTCGTTTTGTGCCTGGTTTATCTGCTATTTTATGTCGGCCTGCCCTTTCCCTTTGAATCCCGATATCCGTTTTCGGTGCTCTCTTTGTGCCGCAACCTCTTATCAAGGGGGGCACGATAATCAGCCCCGGAACAGCACCACGAGCGATTGACTCAAACCAAGCGGCGAGCAAGTCGGTGCTGCTTTCCCGGCTTCTATCCTCACATGTCTCAACCCAAGATAACGCAAATTGGCGTCTGTATCGTGCCTCATTCCCCTTCTCCCTTTTCATTTGCTCGCCCCTAGCCGCACCTACAGCCAGGCCTCCTACATTCCCAGCTCATCCGAGCCGGGAATGCAGCCCACTCTAGTTCTAGCTCCAACAGCTTGGGTTTCAAAGATACGAGAGAGATATCTGGGCCTTATCAGAGCCCGCCAGCTTGGTTATATGGTATCTGGCATACTAGCCACTGGTGGCGTCCAGCCCCTCCCCTTCTATATCCCCCCGTGCTCTGCACCATGCTCTGCAGTGTCTTGCCCACGTCAGAGGCCCCCTTTATTACAGTCTCGTCTCTTTTGTCAGGACAGAGTTTATATAGATTCTCTCACATGAGAGAGACCCTCTGCACAACATGGCATGCTTGACTATAGAGACAGCTGACCTGACAATAACTAGTTTTCCAGACTATACAGACCCTTTTGAGTTCACAGTCGACACTATGACTGAGTCACAACTACCACCCAACCCACCCACCCTAGCCAAGGGGCTACTTGGGCAGTTGAAAGACGACCCTACCAGGCATCCGTCACCTCAGCCGACACACTTCAGTGTCCCAATTGTCAATGGCAATGGCCATAGGGTTCTGCGATCAGCCACCGTCGGCTATGTTGCCCCAGAATTCAAGGGCAAGGTAGAGCAGATGAAGCAAGGTGAGCTGGTTCTTCAGGCGGTCAATTAATACCAATATATGCTAACGAATACATCAGTCAAGGAGGAGATCAATTCTCAGGGATACATCCCTGAGGGCCTCGTCGAAGCCCAAATTACCTGGTTTTACAACGAGCTGGGCATCGATGATGTCTACTTCCAGCTGGAGACTCCCCGCGTTATTGCGGACCACATCATGTCCCTCTACGCCGCCAAGATCGCGGCAGCCTCCCGGAAGGACAAGCGGGAGGAGATCAGGCTGGATATGGAGTCGTCGGATCACGCCATCTACATCGACACAAGCGAGCCTGGCCGGAGTGCAATTGGCGGGCCGAGGTACGAGACCAGACTGGAAGCCAAGTACCTGGACGGTGTCGAGACGGACAAGCGATTCCGTGTCGAGACTTTCCGGTCCCCTGGTGTTGTTGGCGGCCATCCCGATTCGAAAGCGACATTGCGCTGCTACTTCGTCTACCAGTGCGAGTTCGTCGAGCCGAAGGCAGACCCCCTGGAGACGCGGCTCGAGGTCATCAGTGACCGCATGTTCCTGGCCAAGGCGACGAAGAACACAAAACTGATCTACCAGGATATCATTGCACTTGCCGTCAGCAGGTCTGGCCCAGTCATCGAGGTATATGATATCGAGGGATCCCGAGAGAAGCGCTTGGTCGTCGCATTCCGCTCGAGAACGGCGAGGGGCATTTTCAGTGCCCTCAGCGACCTCTACCACTATTACGGGGTGACGAGTTCTCGAAAGTACGTCGAGCAGTTCTCCAACGGCATCACGGTCATGAGCATCTACCTGCGGCCGGCCGCCATGATCGAGTCCAAGTACCCGCCTATCGAGGAGTCGATCCACCAGATCACAAAGGAGATCTCCTTATTGTACTGCATCCCGCAGAACAAGCTTCACAACCTGTTCGCCTCGGGCGAACTCAGCCTGCAGGAGGCCATCTACGGACACTGCGTCTGGGTCTTTGTCCAGCACTTCCTGAACCGCCTTGGTTCCGAGTACGCTTCGCTGGTATCGGTCCTTGACCCGAAGAACAACGTACACGCCGAGATCCTGTCCAAGCTCAAGCGCCGGCTCCGGACGCAAACGTTTACTCCGGACTACATCCTGGAGATCATCACCTCTTATCCCGGCCTAGTCCGCGCCCTCTACGCCTCTTTTGCGAGCGTTCACTTGAGCGTTGGACCGGGCTTTGAGGCCCACTCCTTATTGCCAAACCCTGCTGTCGAAGTGCTCTCAGACGAGAAGCTTAAGGAATACATCTCCAAGGATGTCTCCAACGAGCACGAGGAGATGGTCATGACCGCCTTCCGCGTCTTTAACAATGCCATCCTGAAGACCAACTACTTCACCCCGACCAAGGTAGCCCTCAGCTTCCGGCTAGATCCTTCTTTCCTTCCCAAGATTGAGTACTCCAACCCACTCTACGGCATGTTCCTTGTTATCACCTCGGAGTCTCGCGGGTTCCACCTCCGTTTCAAGGACATTTCCCGCGGCGGCATCCGCATCGTTAAGTCTCGCAGCAAGGAAGCATACTCGATCAATGCCCGCAACCTCTTTGACGAGAATTACGGCCTTGCCAGCACTCAGCAGCGGAAGAACAAGGATATCCCCGAGGGCGGATCCAAGGGAGTCATCCTCCTCGACCCCAAGCAGCAAGACAGGGCTAGCGAGGCCTTTGAGAAGTACATCGACAGCATCTTGGATCTGTTGCTGCCGGCAGAGACGCCAGGGATCAAGAACCCGATCGTCGACCTCTACGGCAAGGAGGAGATTCTCTTCATGGGGCCCGATGAGAACACCGCCGATCTCGTCGACTGGGCCACGGCGCATGCGCGGTCTCGAGGTGCTCCTTGGTGGAAGTCGTTCTTCACCGGCAAGTCCCCGAAGCTTGGCGGCATTCCTCATGACCACTATGGCATGACCACGCTGTCGGTGCGCGAGTACGTCACGGGCATCTATCGTAAGCTAAACCTGGATCCTTCCAAGGTCAGGAAGATGCAAACCGGTGGGCCCGATGGTGATCTCGGCAGCAACGAAATCCTGCTCAGTAACGAGAAGTACACGTCCGTTGTCGACGGATCCGGCGTCCTTGTTGATCCCAACGGCATCGATAAGCAGGAGCTTCGCCGCCTCGCCGAGAAGCGGGTCATGATCTCCCAGTTTGATCTATCCAAGCTCTCCAAGGACGGATACCGGGTCCTCTGTGAGGATTCGAACATCACCCTTCCCACTGGTGAGGTCATCAACAGCGGCACGGGCTTCCGTAACACCTATCACCTTCGCGACGCGGGTCTCACTGATATGTTTGTTCCATGCGGCGGCCGACCAGAGTCCATCGACCTCATGTCTGCCAGTCGACTGATCAAGGATGGCAAAACCACGGTGCCCTACATCGTGGAAGGAGCCAACCTCTTCATCACCCAAGAGGCGAAGCTGCGGCTCGAAGCGGCGGGCTGCACCCTGTTCAAGGACGCCAGCACCAACAAGGGTGGTGTGACCAGCTCCTCCCTCGAAGTTCTCGCCTCGCTCAGCTTTGACGACGAGGGTTTCGTCAAACACATGTGCCATGACGCTCGCGGCAACGTTCCCGAGTTCTACCAGGCATACGTCAAGGCGGTCCAGAACAAGATCCGCGAGAACGCTCGGCTCGAGTTCGAGGCCATCTGGCGCGAACATGAGCAGACCGGCGTCGCACGTTCGCTCTTGTCTGATAAGCTCTCGGTAGCGATCACGACTCTAGACGAGGAGCTGCAGCACTCGGAACTGTGGGAGAATGAGCGCATCCGGAAGTCCGTTCTTGCCGATGCCTTGCCCAGGCTTCTACTCGAGAAGATTGGTCTAGAGACGATCATCGAGCGTGTTCCCAACGCATACCTCCGTGCCATCTTTGGTAGCTATCTGGCGAGTCGTTTCGTGTACGAATACGGTAGTTCCCCGAGCCAGTTCGCATTCTACGATTTGTAAGTACAAGCAAACACCTTGGCGATGACAATGACTAACAGAAATGCACAGCATGTCGAGAAGGATGCGCAAGGTCGAGTGAACGGCGTATTCGAGATGAGTTTTCTTTGAAGAGTCTGCGGGTAAAAAAAGGTTCGGAAAATGGAGCAATTAATACGTACGATATTTTGGGAGACGGGGAAAAAAAAGCATCCTGAGAACTGCGGAACAAGATAATGGTCTTTTCTTTCCCTTACTGCCTGCGTGGCTGTTTATTTCGGTCCTCGAGTCTAGATCGATGCGACATGGAGACGCAACAAGAGAGAAGAGACCCTGTTCCCTTGGGCCGTCGTGACTGACCTTCCACAAGGGGATATAAAGTCTAGGTAACGGTTTTGTTTGCTTCGAGAGCATTTTCACTTAGACGCCCCTTGACCCCGATATTGCGGGAACCGAGGGCGACTATGCCCAGCTCAACAGTGTCCATTTGCCCACCTTGCATTGAGGTAACTCCAGGTTAGTTCAGATGATTTGTGCATGCAACTGGTTCCAAGTTTACATTACAGCGTGCGTGCGTGCGTGCCTCTTCTCGATTTCCTGCCTTGCTTGGCTCTCATCGCCAGTCTTGAGTGGGCCGCGTCTCCCTGCCTGTTTAATCTCTGTGCACAGTTCCCGCCGAGAAACCACAGCGGCAATCACCAGCCTAGGCCGTCGCCGCCATGGTGAAGTCGACGCACGACTCGTAAGTCTGCTTTGCGGTTTTGGCATACCACCACCATTGGAGAACCTACGCAAGCCGCCTGTCAGCCGTCCCGGGGTCCCGCCCTATTTCTCAAGCAACAAGGGAATGGAGAAGAGGAGGACGACTCACGCAGGCTCCGGGCACTCCGCACTCGGCGCTGACGTCGGGCAGGGTGACGTTGAAGTCGGTATTATTGAGCGGCAGCTCCCTGGCGTAGTACAGCGTCTCGTTGGCGTAGCCCTCGGGCCAGACGACCAGGGGCTCTCCGAGGACGGCGTCGTCGGCGGCGCGGACGACGCTGACGTTGGCGCTGCCGTCGTGCGGGATGGTCAGCCTGACGCGGAAGTTGACCTCCTGCCCGGCCCGCCAGGCCTGCGAGCCCTCCCGGTTGTCGTCGAACTGCAGGCCCCGGCACAGCCACAAGTTGCAGGCGCCCGGCCCCGAGTAGCCCGGGTCCGCCGCCGCCAGCTCCGGGAGGCCCTCCACGTGCGACGTGTTGTCGCGGGTGATGTCCTCCGTCACCGCCGCGCCGCACGCCGCCAGGGACGCCGGGCCCGGGTGGCGCGTCGGCGGGGACTCGACGTAGCCGTGCGCGGAGACGGGGGCGAGGAGGGGGAGCGTGTGGAGTGCTAGGCGGGGGCGCATCGTTGGGGCTTGGCTTTGCTGCCTCGCTGGCTGGCTAGATGCCGGCCGGGGTTAAGATCGAAGCCGGTAACAGACCTTGTATCGCTTGGTAAGACGGTGCGATACCGGAATAGGGGGGATTGCGTTGGCGATTTATAACCCCCGTCTGTCCGCCCGTAACAGCCCGAGCAAACGGGATACGGGTACGAAGCAGGCGCGGTTGATGACCAGCAGTGTTCTGGCTCGTCAACAGGTCGCGGTAGAGCGCCCTATGACTTGGCTCTCTTTTCCTGGCTTATTCGCGATCATTTCTCCCACGGCGTCTCGAAATCTTGGCCCATCCGCTTCACTTCCATCTCTGGTCATCTTTTACCCTCTCCCCACCCCTGTTGGCCGTCTGGGCGCGGCTCCTTATATATGCAAGTCTCCGACGGTGCGTCTTCTCCTTAACCAATGACCGGGTTGGCTGTTTAGCACCAATCCGCTTCTAAGCTCTCTTTGTGCCAATTAATCCGGCATGCTGTTCTTATCCGCCCAGCGACGATCTCGCGTTTAACCTGCGGGCCAATATAAAAGTAGGCAAACATGCGCTTGGGAAATGCTCCGGTGCCACCTCCGCAAACAATTTGCCGGGACCGGCGAAGCAAAAGACCCCTAATTGGGGAGACGCAAGTGAGGTGATCTGGTAGCTTTGTTCCCAAGTCATGCGGGTGTCTAGAACCCAGCTGGATGTCCCATTGTCGGCAGAAAGGGTAAACTGTCTGGGCATCTATTTATACTGTTTAAACATGCTGCATTTGCGGTAGTCTATTGCGGGGGTGGGGCCGAGTCCCTGAACCCCTTTCGCCGGCTGATAGCTTCGGCTTCGGCAGCTTTTTTAGGAGGTGGGGTAGGTAGAATGTCGCATTGGAATACGCAGTATTCAGTCGATGGCGATCTAGGCGCCATGGTTTGGTGTACAGCGAAGATAGCTATGGGGTAGCCTAAAGGCTATTCAATAGCTCTTTATGAGCTGTCTATCGTATTGTGGCTCAAGTATCTAGGATTCAGCTTGGGCTCACAAGTTCATCACCTAGGGATAACCCCCTGGGTGATCCCGGTTAGCACTTCCATCAAAAGTGGAATGGCACAGCAGGGGAAGCAGGGGAAATCCATATCCGGTGAGTACCCAAGCGACAACACGAACGATTATTTCAGCTTATATGTAAATAGAAGTTGAGACGGAAATGAGAAGAATTAGTTCACTAGACCCGAGTTTCAATTCTGGTGCTTAACTAGAAACCTGAAGCGAGAACCTGGCCACCTCTTGATTAAGTTCTAGACCCTTAACGCGTCTGTCGCGATTCCCAAGTGGATGCTGTGGTTCAATGTAACTACCGTTGAGTGGACCGCGGGCCGAGGTACGAGTGGCACTAAACCCACTCGATAATAGTACAAAACACTGCGGGGAAGCCAAATTATATCCTATCTCGCAACTCCCCCCTTGGAGGTTTTTCGGACATAGCGTAAGAGAATATAACCAGTTTGTGGATTCTAGGAGAATCCCTCAAAACTTCACAGTTCCATCATCGCACCAAGAAACCGGCGGCAAATTGTAACCAACCGGCCTGCCTCTAGCCTCGCGACTGCCCGAGACTAGACCGACCTCGGTTCGGGAACGACCAACCCCAAGTCCACGCCCAGCCTCTCTCCCTACCCGGCCAAGCCAACCGAACCACACCCACAATGTCAGCCGATCCCGCGCCCTCGACGGGCGCCATCGCCGATCTCCCCTCAGGCGAGCCCATCCCCTCCTCCGCGGCGCCGCCCTCGTCCTCTGCTCCGAAACCGGCGCCGATCCCGCTCGGCGCCCTCCTAGCCGCCTCCGCGTCCAACATGGACGCCTCCCTCGCCCGCCTCAACCGGTGCCTCTCCACGCCCTCGGGCATCGACACCGTCCTCCTCTTCGTCGGCTTCGCCGCCCGCCTCGGCTCCTCCGCCCTCGGCGGCCTAGCCGACCTCCCCGCCCTCCACCGCCGCCGCGCCCGCGCCTGGCTCGCCCTCCTGGCCCCGCGCGCCACCGTCCTCCTGACCAGCGCCGACCCCGCCGCCTCCCCGTCCGCAGCGGCGATCCTCTCCCTCGCCGCCCGCCTCCGCGCCCTCTCCAACCTCCTCTCCGAGACGCGCACCATGCTCCGCCTGTGGGGCCTCCTGGGCATGTACTTCTGGGGCCGCGGCCTCGTGGCGGGCACGATACGGTCTCTCCGCGGCGGCGCCTCGGAAAAGGACAAGGAGCAGACCTCGGCTGCCTCGACGGCCGTGTCGTACCTGCAGCTGGCGCTCTGCGCGACCTTCCAGGCGCTCGAGAACGGCGCCTACCTGTCGTCCAAAGGCGTGCTGGGCTGGACGCCGGCGCAGCAGGCGCGCGCGTCGCGCTGGAGCGCGCGCCTGTGGGGCGCGTACGTAGGCGTCGAGCTGGGCCGCCTGGCGGCCGAGAGGGTGGGCGCGGTGCCGGTCAAGGACGCCGGAGAGGGCGCCTGGGGCAGGGCGGTGGTCAGGAACCTGGCGTGGGCGCCCCTGACGCTGCATTGGGGGTCCGAGAAGGGCGTCGTGAGCGATTGGATGGTCGGGTTCCTGGCGTGCGTGCCTGGTACTATTCAGATGCGGCAGCTGTGGAAGGAGAGTGCCTGAGGGGGGTATGTTTTGAATGGCATCTTGATGTGTGTCATTGGTGGTGGCGGTCTTGTCATCTCAACCCCCTATCTGGTTACCTTGATCGTGAGAAGAAAGTGTCGGGGAAATCAAGCAAAACTGGTCCTGTACTAAACTATGTTTGGTTGGAAATGGTAATGGTATTTCGAGGGCAGAGTCACCGAGTGCCAGGAATATGTAGATATTATGTATAGACAGACAGCTAGTTTAAATATGGTATCTTTATTTTTATTTGAGGTTCGTCTCACCCCTATGCGAACGCGTTGCATTGTCTATTAATATCACGACTTCATAAGGAAGTCTGTAAAGAAGTATGTGCCTCTGTAGGTCGCCCCCTTATTCCTCCACGAGAGGTCCCCTTTGCTGCTGCTCAGCCAGTTGCACAACCTCTCTGATTCCCTAAATTTCCTCCAGTATTACGGCGCCAGGCTCGTCCGCATGACGGGGTTCGCAACTGCGCCTCACAATAAGATCAACCAATGCCCGTGGTCTAAGAGATGAGTAAGGAAGCTACATGAGCAACAATGCCGAGTTTCGTCCTCCTCAACGCCAACATCCTCTGTCCTATTATCAGTCCGCTATCGGAGGAGAGCGGCCAAAACACTCGCTACGAGGAGTGTCTCTAGCCAAGGCACGGCAAGTCGCCTCGAATCGGAGGCTACTGCTGCAGCAACATCGAACGGGCTGCCGCCACCTTGTCCTGCATCGGGTGCTGACGGCGCGCTCGTCCGTTGCGCTCCAGTCGCGTCCGTGGGGTTGATACCCAATGGCCCAGTCTGCACTGGTGATGCTGGAATATTTGTCGTCTCAAACTCAGGCGGTGGAGGAAGGGGCGACTCGGTTTCCCCCGCTTCGGTTGTTGTTGCAGACGTGGCGACGGTCGTCTCTTTCGACGGGGTCATCGTCAGTATCTGTCGCGACGAAGTAGTGACCACGGCCGGTGTCGAAGCGATTGCTGAGGGACAAAGAAGGCCGACCAAGTTTCCCGTTAACGCCTGCCCTAATACTGTGTCCGGGGTACTGCTGACGCCATCGCACGCGGCGGCGATGTTTTCCTCGACCCTTTGAATATTCCGCACACAAGTGTCCGAGCATGTCCTCCCCTGGGTGAAATCGCTTGTTGAGCATCCAGAAATGGGAGAGTTGTAGGCGAGTATGCACCCGATGGGAACTGAGGATGAGGTGATGATTTGGAAGGTGGACAACGACATCGCAGTGGCCGTCGAGGCCATGGCTAGAATGTCCGCCAAGCGCGGCCGTCGCCGCCTCTCGCGCCTCGCCATTGATAATTCCTAGGAAGGGTCGAATATCCAAGTGTTGTTGAAGCTGTCAACAGTCGCTCCTCTCGCGGGTCTGTGTTGGTGATGGGTGATGTATCCTGATCGTCGTGTTCTTTCGAGAATCTCTAGGTTCAAGAGTCGAATAGCCGTCTTGGTGCTATGGTCTCTGGGAAGGGTGATATTGTAAAGGATACCTCTTTGGATTGAGGCTGCAAAAGAAGGACCTCTGACGAGGGCGAGACGTGAAGCGTCTCAGATTCTTGTCGATCGGCCTGTACACGGATACGAAAGGACCACGGCAGTGTCAATCCGGGGTGTCAATGCGACTATCAGCTGATGTCATGCGGAATCCGTTGCTTCCTATCGTTGTCTTCTGTTGCGTTGCCTGTCCGTAGATCCCAATCATGCCCTTTAGGGGAAACCGGTATTGCATAAATGAGATCACGGTGAACTGGGAAAAGCGGTCCTTCCAGACAATCTCTGCATTGGGAACCAAAAGGACTCAAATTCCGTCGTCGCCTGGACGCTTTTATATGCTGTCTCGAACCAGAAGAAAAACAGGCTCTACCTGGTGCCACCACCGCAATGGTTGCAAAGGAAACGGGATGGAAAGCAGCAGATGGCGAGGATACCGACGATACCGGGAAAGGTAAAGACAGACCCAATCAATGGGAGAAAGATCAAACGGATGCCGAGCAAGAAGAAGCGGAAATGGAACACGGCACGAAGCACAGCTTCTGCGTTTGCGCTCGTCGAGAAGCGACAACGGAAAAGGTCGAGAGCGTTGTTGATCCGGCTGATCGAGAGAGAACAGACCACTCACATGAAGCGTGACCTTGATACAGATTAAAGTCACCGGGGGGGTTCCCTGGTGATGCCCCAACCCCTGGGAGAGCCCTTCGCCTCTCACGACACGACCTGGAAGCCCCAGGCCATCCAGGCGTCAGAACCTACCAAGTGATCTGTGATCCGGCGTTTGTTTTGACACCTGGGCGGGCTCTTCCCAGAGATGAGCCTTCCTTGGTTGAGGGAACCCCTAGATCGCTGTAGGTCAAGAAGTGGCCAATCAGCAATGGTGAACAAACATCTGTGTTTTGAATCGGGGAAGATGCACCCCCCTAGGAAGATTTCAGGCCTCTGATTGGTTGCCGGAGAGGGCCCGAGCTCGAAAGTCCTGTGCAACAGCCAACAGTGAGAGTGGCGAGGAAGAAGGACAATTTCACCGTGGAGGACGGAAGTGGGAGGAAGATGAATTTCACCTACGGAGGTAGGCAGTAGTAGGCACATTGCCGCAAACTTGTAAAATTAATCTGAAATACGGCATTGTTCAAGTAATGTATATGTGATACTCGCGGCGATGCAAGGCTCCGTGTATACTTAGGGAGGGACATCCCGGGCCAACAGTTAAGCCTGTCGGATTGCGTCAGAACGTTTCTCATTAAGCGCAGGGCCATATATACCCATCAGAATCTGTTCAGAAAATTAATTAGATACTGGTCGCAAGTTTTATACATACATTTGGAGAAAGGAATGAAAATGAGAAGGACAAGCTGGAAAATGAAAGCGCAGAGGTGAATTAGTTCAGTTGGCAGTGGTGATGGCTTCTTGACAGTGGCTTTGATCGAAAGGTTGACAACTATGCCAACATTGAAATGATGATTTTAGATCTCTACAAACACATTCTAACATATACATGAAGCCCAAAACAGCTCCAGATCCATATACCGACAGCCCAACTACAAGTAGCCAGCAAAATCCATAGTCCTGTACAAACCCACCAGTCTTTGAACTCCGAGCCTATCTGAATCCTGCCGTATTACCCCTATGTTCTCCGAACCTTAAAATCTTTCGCCAAATCCATATTCTCGGTCGGACCAGACCTGTTTTTGCCCATAACAATAACTCGAGAGAGAACATGTAGAAATAAGAAAAGGGGAGGAGAGCGAGAGACGAGGGGAGTGTAGGGGAAGGGAGAAAGACGGAGGCCCAGTCCATCATCAGGACCTCTTCTGCCCCATCTCCTCCCCCCCGTAATCTTCCCACTCGTCCCAGTCGCCGCTCGCCCCGATCTTGCCGCCCACCCATATCCCGGCCGCCGTGGCAGCGCTCGCGGCGAGGAACCAGCCCTCAAACCAGCGGTCCACAAACGCCGGCTCGAGCGCGCTCTCGAGCGCGTCGCCGACCGACCTCCCCACCTCGCGCGGGAGGCTGTTGCGCAGCAGCAGCGCCGCGCTGATGGTGTACGTGGCCGCCACCTGCCCGACCGCCAGCGCCAGGTTCGCCCGCGCCTGCCGGAGCAGGCCCGGCGCCCACTTGGCGAACAGGTGGGCCGTCTGGATGGCCGAGTTGGCCGACGCCGCGAGGATCACCCCGGACAGCAGGAAGCTGATCTGCCGCGCCCACGCCGTCTGGTCGAGCGTCGGGTCCCAGTGCCTGGCCAGAAGGCCGAGGAAGCGGTTGATCGGGTCCGAGGAGCTGAATGACGCCGTCGGGTAGTAGATCCGGCGGAACGTGGTGAGAGACGTGGCGAGGATGCGGTAGATGCAGTACACGCCGAAGACGTAGTTCGGCAGCGAGAGGAGAAGGCCGAGCACCGTGCCGTCGCGAGAGTGGGCCGCCTGCTTGCTGCGGAGGAGGGACAGCGACGATGAGAGGCTGGCTTCCATGGTCTCGAGGCCCGAGATTTCGACCTGCAGCGCCCGGATTTCGCCGGCATCCCCGCCGCCGCCGCCACCAATACTCTTCAGCGAGCCAAACATCCTGCCCACAAGGCCGGTCGACCCCGGTGCAGCAGCCGCTCCGCCCTCCGCCGACGCGGCGAGCTTCCTCTCCAGCACCCGCAACCGATGTCGCTTGCTATGCAACATCTCGCCCGTCGCATCCAAGCCGGCCTGCTTCCTCGCGATGTCCGCATCCGTGACGGGCCGCCGCCTGTAAGACCTCCCATCCACAAACGTATGCCAGGGGCTAGACACGCTCGCGAACCCCGAGAGCAGCGCCATGAGCGAGATGCCGATGACGCCGACCCTCTCGAGGCACGCCCTGGTCAGCCCCCCACCCCCCAGCACGTCCCCGACCGACTCGGCCCTCGCCTCCGCCCTCCCAATAGTCATCCCCGTGCTGTCGAACTCGCCCTCGCCCTCGCCCCCGCCGAACCGCCTCCCGCGCAGGTAGTCCGCCTCGTCCGCCACGGCCGGCACCGCCCTGCCGAGCGACCAGAACACGCACAGCCAGCCCGCAAACGCCAGACCCTGCAGCGCCCACGCAACTCTCGGCGCCCTCCGGAGCGACGACGACCACCAGCCCGCCGCCCCGGCCACGACGCTCCGGATCTCCAGGAGCGGCACCACGCCCACCAGCAGCACCAGCAGCGCCGGCACGACAGCCACCCTCAGCGCCGCCGCCCGCGCCTCCTTGCCGCCCGCGCCGCCGAGCCCCGCCACCTCGGCCAGTATCAGCTCCGCCAGCACGGCCGCGAGCCCCAGCGTCGCCGCGAACGCCGCCGCCCGGGTGCCGCGCCGCGCCGTCCGCGCAGAGTGCTCGGCGTGAGCGAGCCGCAGCGCCGCGGGCGCCGAGGACGGGAGGAAGAAGCGGTGGTTGCCTCCGCCGGAGTCGTGCTCGTCGTGGTCGGGTTCGTCGTGGGGGCCCGACAGGAGCGGGAACAGGCGGTGCGAGGCGACGGCGGCGACGACGGCGAAGGTGGCGATGAACGGTGACAGGGAGACGAGGGTGCCGAGGACCGTCGGCGCGCCCGGCGGGCCGGCGCAGAGGCTGCTGGCGTCGCAGCTGTGGTCGTTCATCTGGACGGCGAGGTGTGCCTAGAGGAGGAGGAGTGGGGTGGTGGGGGGTTCGATGGGTGGTCGTTGGGTGCGTGGCCTGCGGCTCTAGGAGCGGAATCAGACTGCATTCTATGCGCAGTGTCGCCGCTGGAGCTGGCTATTTTTTCCTGTTCAAAGCGATTGTGTTGTCGCATGGCCCGATGACAGTTTGCTGTTTCGTTTGGAGTGAGTTGGACAGTTGAGGCTGTTAGTGTAGATAGACGAGGTGACGTTTCACGGTTTCACCCGGTACGGCCGCACTGTGTAGAGAGACTTGGAGTGGGGCTTTCCACTTTCACCAGTAAGGATAATGCGACTCTTGAGCGAAGAACATGCTGCCGTGGATTGAGATAGAATACGCCCTCTGAATAAATGTTAGCTTGTAACTTCCAAGTTTACCTAGGCACCGTAGGTTCGCAGCTAGAAACTCATGTGCGCATTTGCAGTTGCAATTGCTTGTTGCTAGACCCCGTAGATCTTAGAGAGCTGCACTCAATATTCTCAGGTTCTGTACTGTGCGAGTGGCCAGATGTCATATGTACCTAGACAGTTCTGTGGAGCCAAAAGTCTCAGGGAACATGTCTGGCCCGGTCAAGCTCAGGGGAGCTATGACAAAGGGGGATTCTTCAGTTGAAGAATGGTAAGTCCCTTGTGCCGGCACCAGTGCTTAACTTGACGCCAGTGCAAGAGTCAGAAGTAAGGGAAATGCAATTCTTGAGTGGAAAACTTATAGCTGCTGCATAGGCTGTGTCCGATCGAATTCGCCGGACTTGCTGATATACAGGTGAGCTGATACAGGTGAGCTGATACAGGTGAGCTGATACAGGTGAGCTGATACAGGTGAGCTGATACAGGTGAGCTGATACAGGTGAGCTACCTATCTGGGTATGTGATGCCTCCTCCGCGCTGTTACAGACACATGACAACGTGCCGACTAGATCCTCCCTACTAAGAGCTTCATGGAAACTGGACCCAGCCCCCATCATTTCTAAACCTCGACAAACAAACGCCTTGCAAAGAAATGCAGTCCAAAACTGGACATTCAGCATTGGCTATTCTTCCCATGCCCGCTATGAGAATACCTCCGAGTCTCGCCAGATACAGGACCCAATCCGGGCATTCCTGCTTGTCCAGGGCGAAAGCTGGACTGATGAAGACGGGACGCCGAGCTGAGTTGAAAGTTGACGAGAAAGATGACCTTCCTAGATCATCATGACTTGCTATCACCACCAGCCTCCCCTTGAGACGACTCCTCCTCTTCTTCATCCTCTTCGTCTATGTCTGCAGAACCCGATTCCAGCAGGGCCTTCGCCTCGCCGGCTTCCATCCGACGAAGCCTCTCCTTTTGAGATACCAGAGCTTGCTGCCCGCTCATGACCTCAAACTCCCCCTCAGCGTCGTCATCACTCTCCTCGTCGCCACTATCTGTAGAGGCGAGCACAGGCCGCGGTGAGGTCGTGGCGCTCTTGGATGTAGACCCAGGCGCCAAAGCCGTGGGAGTGGAAGGCCCGGCAACAGACGATGAAGCCGCGCGTGGTCCCACGGTGTGCTGTCCCACCATGTACGGCTTGATTGTTGGGTCAAAGGCCGCTGGAAGACCAATGGCAGCCGCGACTTTGTGTGCCTCCTCATCTGGGGAAATCTGATTTTCCAGTTCGTATACACTGCTCGCCTCGCTGTCGGCCTCATGCTTCCCCTGAGATGCCGCAATCATGGCGGCGTAACTCTGCCTTGCGGGATTGTGTATTCGCTTGTCCTTCTTCTTCTTGCGTTGTTCGTCAGGACGGACCACCACCACAGGCACGGGGCTGTACTGAAGACAGTACTTGGAAAACGAGTTTCGACTGTTGACTAGACCCTGAATACCACCCAACGAGCGGCCTCGAGTTCCAACGATGAGCATGGAGGGTTGGTGTATTTGAATCTGGCACAAGAGAGGGGGGATCGTCAGTTACCGCCTCTGGGACGAGTGCCACCTCTGGACGCCGCGAGACAACTTACCAGTTGCTGGAAGGTCGCATGTAGCTTGCCAACCGAATACTCCAAAACGATACTGATTGCGCGGTTCTGCGTGTTCTTCTCCTCAATAGCCTTCAACTGCCTCTTTGCGTCTTCTTGGTAGCTCTTCTCACTAGACCGAGCCGAATGCTCGACAACTCGGACGCACACAACTTCATCGCCGTCATCCACCAGATTCTCTAGCAGCCACACCAACGCATAGTCGGAGTAGTCATGGTCGTCGACGCCGGCCATGAAGGTACGCGACCTTCGATTCGACTGGTAGCCTTGATGCCTGACATTGAGAGTGAAAGATAAGGGGTTATTCTTGGTTGCGTCCCCGACAGGCAAGTTGTCAAATCCTACGTGTCGCTTAAACCTGATGTCCGAAGTAGGGGGCTCTGTTAGCGCGATCATGACGTCAAGCTCAGGATTAGGAAACACTCGGCGAGGGGCGCGTAGAAGACAGGAGAGCAATGGTAAATAGCGCGGGAATGGGGATGCAGGACGCAGGTATCAGTAATGATTAGGGGGTGCTAATGAGGTTGGAGCGGGGACAGGAACCCATTGCAAAGTCGAAGGGAAGAATGGAATGAGAGCCGACGGAGCTAAAAAGCGCCGAGCCACAGTAGACCGGGCTTGTCTCTCTCGCCCGGGTAAAGATGGGGGGAAGGAACCCTTCGAAAAGAATGGAGAGAGGGGCGGGGTTGGGGAGCACTTGGCGGAAGTACCAAGAAGCTTGTCCTTGAAGCTTGTCAGGGCCAGGTGAGGCCACGAGACGAGGGGCCGGGAAGGGGTTTTCTCTCGAAATGAAGCGTGGGCTGTGACCCCTAGGCAGCGAGGTATACGAGAATGGTTGTTGTTAAGGAACTCCGCAACCGCCCCTCGATCACCTCCCGCAGCCCATGTTTGCCGCACTCGCAGCTAATTGAAACCAAGCTCAAGGTGACAGGTTCTGCGCGGCACGCCGTCGCTATCGCATGCTTACCGAGGTCTTCCTGCAGAAGAGGGGCAGCGGCTAGGGCCGGCCATGGCCAGCCTAGCGATGCACAAAAACCCCGGATAGGGCCCCATGGAGAGAGACACACACTGACACAGACCTCGAGGCAATAGCCAGGGCTGCATTGCAGCTGGACAGCTTTTGCATCTCGATCTCGATCCTTCGACTTTTTGGACAGCCCACACTTGTGTACTGGGACTCCAGGCTTTCCTTTTGCCCAAAAAAAAAACCAAAACATGTAAGAGGTCCACGATTCTTGAGCTTACCTTACTGGCGAAGGGGACGACGCCCGAAGACGCGTGGCATCCGTCTTTCGTTGACGGCCTTGAGGAAGCGACGGGTTCTTTGGCGGGCGGAACGTCACCGATGCGACCGACGATTTCCTGGAAATGACATTGGAGCGCTCGTCTCCATTGTTGGATGACGGATATGCTTCGTTTTGTCCCTGCTCGCCGGTGCTCGAGGTCGAAAGGCTTGTAGCTGTCGAGGTACTGCCGCGCGGGGAAAGGAGTTCGGGCTTCTTGTCGCTTCGTTGTGGCTGGTCGGCGGGCGCGGTCTCGGCTGCGCGCGTGCCGCGTTCGGCCTCGAGGGGGAAATAATTGCCAGGAGCAGGAGCATGAGGCTTCGATTGCGACGGCGCTGCCTGGGTCATTGGCGAGACATCGTCGTCACTTCGGCTGGCGATTGTTGGCTGGGGATGGGATGAACTTGTCGGCGGCAGAGAGGCTTGCTGGGACATAATGATGAGAAGAGGTGCTGTGCGCCAAGGTCGGGGTTCTTCTGTGCCAGTGCTCCTAGACCTCGGGGAGAGAGGCCGGCAGAGGCAAGCTCGTAATGTATTGCATGGACGTTGGGCGCGGTGGCGAGATGCTCGTGACGGAGCAGCTCTCAAATGACGGGACCTTGTGGTGAGCGCGGCTGAGCTTAGCTTGGCGGTCCAAAGGTCGTTAGTAGAGGCGTCAAGGTCACGCTGGCGATGACGTCTAGTTCGATAACGTGGGTAGGGATAATAGAAGAAATCCTGTCGCAACAATCGCAACACAGTAAGCGGATGGTCGTTTTCCGTCTATTTGGGGCTTTTTATGAAAAAAAGGTGGTAGTGTGAGTGGTGGTCGACAAGGTTGGCAAGCTGAGTGAGCTTTGGATATTGTCCACTTTAAGGCTTCACGTGAAAAAAAGCTAATATAAAAATAGGTAGGTAGGCGTGGTAGGCAACTTCTGAGGAAGGGAGAAGCAAGTAAGAGCTAAGGTAATGACGTCCAGAACCTGGTCCAAAATCGTCAACACCTTTGAAAAGGGTAGGGGCAGGCGACTGGTGCTGGAGGGGCTCACATCGTGACAGGCAGGTACAGAGCTTGGCTGGGCATGTCCAGAGTAGATGTAGTCGCTGGACGAGGGGGGGGAAAGGAATGCCAAGGCTGGCAACTAACTGAACGGCAATGATTCCCACCTTTCGGTATTGATTAGGTTGGTCAAGAAGTACCGTTGGCAAAGCTTGGAGTTAACCCAAGGCGCAGCTCTTTGCTTTTTGGTCCGTCACTTTTCACATGGTACTGAGTGTACTTCTTGGTGGGCAGGGAAGGGGGTGGAAGCAGCTGACGATAAAACAGGCCAGGCTGGCCAGCTCGAGCGACAAGCTTTCCACAACACGCTCTATGGGACACATTTCCGTTCTCTTGGCAACTTGGCAGCAGCAGTGATGCAGAGATTGTGCAAATCAGTGCTTGCCGGAAGCCTGGAGCAGTTATCCGTCATCTACGGAATACCTACCTACCAATTAGCTATATGCTAGGTATCATCCATTCCAGGTTGTCGCCACAAAACTCTCAAGTCAGTTCTGTTGGCCTTACTCTTTTCTTTCCTTTTTATTTACCTGTTAATTAGTTAATAGTCGCTCCCCCCCTTTTGCTTCTGGGCTCTTGACTCTTGGCAACGGGCCATCCGACAGACCACATCCCGCACCGGCCAGCTCTTAGGGGCTCAATTCAAAACTCCCTCCGCCAAGCTCTCTCCACACCCGATGTGGACTCTCCAGCAAACATTCCGAGGCCACGACAGCGCAGCATCTCCTCGTTCTTCGCCCTCGGCCCCCTCGAACTGCCAAGGGAGGGGCTACGGTGAGTGAGACGCGCAAACACATGCCAAGAGGAGCTACATCTGCTAGTAACCCAAGCAAAAGTCGAAGGAGGAGATACCTCTACCTGCCGTCCCTGCGAACTGCAAGTCAAGGCATCTCCCAAAGGCCCAATCGTAGCTGCAGACTGGCAAAATGCAGCCTCACCGATTTCCACACATGCAGATGGGCGGTCCATGGCGAAATAGCAAGATTAGATAGAGCTGCGGGATCTGATGGAGGCCTCACTGATCGGAGAGAGCAAGCAGGCTTGGTACTTTTTACGTCTTCGTAACTTGGATCTCCTTCACTTTGGGAAACGAGCTGGTAAGCACTAGAAGGCGCCCAGCCGACAGCTGCACCTGCGTCTGGACCTGCACAAGAAAATGGCCCCCATGGTTTGATTGTTAAGATGCCCATTATGTTGTTTACGTATCCGTATTCTGTGACACATACGGTGAGGGTTCCCCCCGCCGTTATTCTTCACCGCAACAGAGACGGGGATTCGCGCAATCAGAATGGCACGATTAGTCAGGAGTAGCGATGACTCAGAAAAACTGCAAGGAGCTATAACCTGTCCCGTGATCATTCCCGCCCTGGAGCTCCATCGCCAATTCTCGGGTTTTGCATCTCATCCTCTCTCCACGAAAGGGGGGGTTGGGGGTTGGCTCCGTCTAGACTCTTCGTTCACCGCTGTCCCATCGGTATATCATTTTGCCAACCAGCCAGCCAGTCACCCCGCAGAATCCTCGAAAATTCCGTGGACGCCTATGCAATGCAGCTGACAAGGGACTTGCCAGGGTACACAATTACTAACAAGATAAGGGAAGGCGTCCTCTTGACGCGAGGATCAGGCACACTGTTGCCCTGTTTCGATCACGTGTATGACCGTGCAAGGTTGCGGAGATACCAGTCCACCAACTTGCGCCCAATCTTGGCTTCCGAGATGTGGATCAAGTCCTGTAGGGTTCCGTCAGTGCCAACGTCACACAGCATCTCTTGGACGCTTCTTTCGGTTACTGGGACGAGACGGCGGGGGGGGGGGGGGGTACTTACACCTTGCAGCGCATAATCCAAGTCGCTGACGTTGACCAGCTCTCCATCCAGAAGGCCGTGGTCGTTCCAGCGCAATTGCTTGGTCCGCTGCTTGCTCACCATGAGCCACGACCGGAGCTCCTCGGGCTGCACCTCCAGGAAGCCTGCCAATTTCTTGAGGTCCATGGTGGTGTACAGGCGCAGGTACGATTTAACGGTCGGGCTCCACATGTTTGTCTTGACCTCGTCCATGAAGATGGAAAGGTGGTGCTCGATGGGGTCCACATTTGCCTGCGGGTTCTCAAAGTCCGGAGGGACAGGCGAGATGAACTTGGGGCACGCAGATCGGAAGAGCTCCTCGAATATGGGCAGCGACTCGGGGCCGCCCCGCTGCAGCTTGAGAAGCTGGTCGCCAAACTTCTCCCTCAGCGCCGTGTGGATGGTGTCATCCAGGCGGGTCGGGTGGAACGCCACGCAGATGGCGATGAGCGCATACATCTGGTCGTTCTTCTTGGTGATCGAGTCGTATTGCGCGTTCTTCTGGAAATTCTTCGTCCTCGAGACGTAGACCAGGATGTGGCTGAACATGCGGATTGCGTCGGCATAGCGGCGCATCATCATGTAGGAGAAGCCCACATAGTAGTATGTCGTAAAGTGGGCAGCCATGACTCTGGCAAACATGGCCTTCTTGTTCAACTCGATATCGTCGAGCGTCTTGAGCGCCAGAGCGAAGTCTCCCAAGAGACAGTGGACCCGAAGGAGGCCGATGATGGAGAAATACCCAAGCATCCGGTACAGGCCCTTCGTCCCGTAATCGCCCGCAACTGCCATGGGGTCCTCGTTCCTCTTCATCGCTGCCAGCTGCTCGGTTATCTGTGATCGCTGGATAAGCGAGTAGAGCACGTTGAGCACGCTGTAGCAGCCCCATGTGTTCGGGTTCTCGCGCAGTATTTGCATCTCCTCATCGTTGTTGGCCTGTCTCGCGATCCGCGCTCGGTATGACGAGAATGAGTTGAATTGGTAGATGAACTCGTCAATGACGTCCCACGCCCAGTAATACTAAGGGAGAATGAGTTAGAGAGTTCGAAAGAGGAGAGAGACTAGAACGGGTCTGGCGTCCGATCGTCATGTGGACTCACCGAGGGAGGGTCGAGGTCAACGGGTCCTTCCGAATTGAGGATGAAATGGAACAAGCTACAATAGGAATCGTAGCTCTGGAACTTGACTTCGAGAGGTGCGGAGAAATCCAGAGGCTGGGCAGCCTGTGCGAGTCGTGCCTGGATATCGTCGGTCTGTTGGGCGAGGGGCATTGAGTTGACAGATTCCAACTCGCCGAGGCCATCCTCGTACTGGACTTGCTCCTTGTAGTCGGCCACCAGAGCCTCCTCCTCGACATCGCTATCATCGTTCATCGCCCGCGCGGGCGGCGCGCCGTTCTGAAACGTGTTCATCTTACTGTCTCAACCACGATCACTGCCCGGGAGGGTTGTCAGGAGCAATGAATGCGATGTGGCGGGGCTCGGAAATTTCTTCGGGGGACTTGCGGAGGGGTTTGAGGTTATCGACAGAATTTGGCGAAAAATTGATGATTAGGGTTTGATACTTCGTTATAAGGAAATACTGCTTAGCTAAATAATTGGTTAGTAATCTTCCAAGTGTCTTGGGAGCGCCCAGGCTTGGATCCCAAGGAACCCCAAGACAACAGCCGTTATCTCAATCTCTATTGGAGGCCCTGGATTCGCAGTGGTGGCAGAATTGCGTACTGATCAAGAAGAATATCGCCGAGGCTTTACTTAGGGTTTAACTTGGCCTGCGGAACTCGCCACTCGTTGTCCCAAACTCTACCGCCACGTGCGCTGGTTGAACAGCAAATGCAGCAATCGAGGTGTTAGTCATTCGTCATGGACAAAGAGGCAACTTCTGGCCTTGGAGCCAGTATTTCAAGCAGCTTTCCGTAAAATAATGAAAAATCCAAGAGATTCTGGCGGATCCCAGATTTTCAATATTCATTGCCTGATTTAATTCTTGAAGTTGGGACATGAAAATCTGCCACGATGCCTGTTGTCAGTCCCGAGAAGCTCGCCAAGTTGCAACAGCACGCGGACGATGTCCGAAACGTAAGTTCGACCTCGAAGAGAGTCCCTTATGCCAGCTAACGATGTTACTAGATCTGCATCCTCGCTCATGTTGTATGTTTGCCACACGTATTTTTTTACTCTAATTTCGGACAGGAGCGACTAACCCGCTTCTTGTTAAGGATCATGGAAAGACTTCCCTGACGGATGCTCTACTTGCGACAAATGGTATCATCTCTCCGAAGCTGGCCGGGAAGATCCGGTATCTGGACTCCCGGCCGGATGAGCAACTTAGGGGCATCACTATGGAGTCCTCGGCCATTTCTCTCTTCTTCTCTATGCTGCGGCGACCCAGCCCTGAGGCTGCCCCTGAAGTAAAGGAGTACCTCATCAACCTTATAGACTCACCGGGACATATTGACTTCAGCAGCGAAGTCTCGACCGCTTCTCGGCTATGTGATGGAGCCGTCGTCGTGGTTGACGCCGTCGAGGGAGTTTGCAGTCAGACTGTCACTGTCCTCCGACAAACCTGGATTGAGAAGCTCAAGCCGCTCTTGGTTATCAACAAGATGGACCGTCTGATCACCGAGCTAAAGATGACGCCCGGAGAGGCTTACATCCATCTTAGCAGACTTCTGGAGCAGGTCAACGCTGTGCTCGGGAGTTTCTTCCAGGGCGAGCGCATGGAGGAGGACCTCAACTGGCGCGAGAGGATGGAGGAGAGGGTTGCAGCCTCTGCCCCGAAGGGGGCCAAACTTGCTGATCAACAGAGCGAGTCCGGCGACCTACAGTTCGAAGAAAGGGACGATGAAGAGCTGTACTTTGCACCCGAGAAGAACAACGTCATCTTTGGCAGCGCTATTGATGGCTGGGCTTTTACCGTCAGACAATTTGCCGGCTTGTACGAAAAGAAGTTGGGGATCAAGCGAAGTGTCCTGGAGAAAGTGCTGTGGGGGAATTTCTACTTCGACCCGAAGACCAAGAAGGTCCTGGGTCCACAACATCTCAAGGGAAGGGCTTTAAAGCCCATCTTCGTCCAGCTTGTCCTTGAGCAAATATGGGCGGCCTACCAAGCGACGATGGGCGGAGACAACGGAAGGGGAGATCCAACGCTCCTCGAGAAGATCACCAAATCGCTCAACATTACCCTAGCCCCACACATTCTACGATCCCGCGACCCGAGATTACTCCTCACTACAGTCTTCGCCTCGTGGCTCCCTCTTTCCACCGCGCTACTGGTCTCAGTAATCGAGTCTCTTCCGTCTCCGAGGGCAGCACAGGCAGAACGAATGCCGGAACTCCTCGAGAACATTCCAGCGGCAGAACACATCGACCCCAGGGTGAAGGATGCTATGGTGTCATTTAAGCAAGACAAGGATGCTCCCGTGGTTGTATACGTCAGCAAGATGGTCTCCATGCCCAAGAGCGAGCTCCCAGAACACAGGAGGCGCGGCGCCCTCAGTCCAGAGGAGGCTCGAGAACTTGGGCGCAAGAAGCGCGCCGAAGCAGCCCGTGCTCAGGCTGCCTTGGAAGATGGTACCGGGGAGAATAGTCTGACACAAGCCCTCGAAGGCGCCACCTTGGAGAATGAAGGACCAGGAGACGAGGAGAAGGTCAACCCCGAAGTTTTGATAGGGTTCGCCCGCATATATTCTGGGACGCTGGCTGTCGGTGACTCGGTCTATGCCCTACCGCCGAAATTCTCTCCTGCTCACCCCCACGCCTCCCCCGAACCACGGAAAGTCACCATCACGGCTCTCTACATGCTGATGGGACGCAATCTTGAGTCCCTTGACTCGGTTCCCGCCGGTGTCGTCTTCGGTGTCAGAGGCCTTGAGGGGAGCGGGCTTCTGAAGTCTGGAACGCTCTGCAGTCAACTCGAGGGCGCCGCAAACCTTGCTGGCATCGCAAATCTGGGCGGGCGCCCAATTGTGCGAGTAGCGTTGGAGCCCGAGAACCCGTCGGACCTTGACAAGATGATCAAGGGTCTTCACCTCCTGGTACACAGCGATCCCTGTGCAGAGTATGAGCAGTTCTCCAGCGGTGAGCACGTGCTGCTCACAGCGGGAGAGCTGCATCTCGAACGATGCCTCACGGACCTCAAAGAGCGTTTTGCACGCTGTGAGATCCAGGCTGGCGAGCCTATCGTGCCTTACCGGGAAACAATTGTCCGGGATGAAGAGATGCGGCCTCCTGCAAATAAGGAGTTGGGCCGCGGAGTGGTGATTGGAGAGACCAATTCCAAGCAAGTCACCGTAACCATCCGCGTCAGGCCGTTACCCGCAGACGTCACAGATTTCCTGCTTAAACATTCCGGCTCGATCAAGATGCTGTCCTCTGATAAGAACACAGCGGGCGAAGAGACGAATGGACAGAACGGGCTCAAGGACGAGACGCTGGTAGCCGACACTGAGATACCCGAGACCCAGCTCCTGTCATCCGAAGAGCTTAAGAAACAACTTCGGTCCCAGCTAGAGACGGGGAAGGGTCGAGAAGTCTGGAAGGACGTTGTCGACCAGATTACTTCGTTTGGGCCGAGACGGACAGGCCCGAACTTGCTCATCGACGCCACCAAGGAGCAATGTTTTGCAAAGGCCTTTGCGAACGAGAAGACCCGTGACGCCGCCCCGTCCGCGGGCGAGGCCCTTCAGGCCGGCCATTTCTGCGACAAGATCACGTACGGCTTCCAGCTGGCAACGAGCCAGGGCCCCCTCTGCTACGAGCCCGTGCAGGGACTCGCCGTCTTCGTGGATGAGGTCGCCATCTCCGCCGCCGAGGACGAGACGGCCTCCGCCCGAGACAGGGTTGGCCGCCTCACCGGCGAAGTGATCAAGGTGGTGCAGCAATCGATACACAAGGGCTTCCTGGACTGGTCGCCCCGGCTGATGCTCGCCATGTACTCGTGCGAGATCCAAGCAAGCAGTAAGATCCAGCCTAATCCCCTTCCCCCCGTTCCCCCCTTCTCAACCACACCAGACAACCGAAGACAGCTAACACCGCCGCCCCGCAACAACAGCCGAAGTCCTCGGCCGGGTCTACGACGTCCTGACGCGACGGCGCGGGCGCGTGCTCTCGGAGGCGATGAAGGAGGGCACGCCCTTCTTCACGATCCAGTCGCTGCTGCCGGCGGCCGAGTCGTTCGGGTTCGCCGACGAGATGCGCAAGCGCACGAGCGGCGCGGCGCAGCCGCAGCTCATCTTCGCCGGCTTCGAGGTCCTCGCCGAGGACCCCTTCTGGGTGCCCTTCACCGAGGACGACCTCGAGGACCTCGGCGAGTTCGGCGACCGCGAGAACGTCGCAAAGAGGTACATGGACGGCGTGCGCAGGCGCAAGGGCCTGCTCGTCGAGGGGCGCAAGGTCGCGAGGGATGCGGAGAAGCAGAAGACGCTCAAGAGGTGAGGGAGGTTTGGGAGTTTTGGTTTTTTTTTTTTTTTTGGGGGGGGGGGGGGTTTGTGTCAGAAGAAGGGGAGAGGGGGAGCCTCAATTAGGCAGAGTCTTGAGGCAGAGTCTTGTCTATCCATGTCACGAATCAATGATGCAAGGAAAGAGTCTTTAACGTTAGCATTTTATTGAACCTTTGCCTGACCTGCCTAACTGCCCGCAATAAATCACATTGAGCACTTGAGAAGAAAGTATGAAAGGGCCCCGGCCCTCCTAGCTGTGTGGTAGCCCGCAAGATGTCATCTCCAGATAAAGGACTAATTACCTTCCCGTCCTAGGGAGACCAGTTATCAGTCCCATAAACAGTCCGGGATCCTTTCCGTATCTCGCGGGCGCACTCACCAATCGACCTGTTTCCAGTCCATCCCATGCGGATCGAAAAGAGAAAAAAAATTGGGGGGCAGATCGCCACCCCCGAAGAGTCGAGAATTTGACTCCGCCCGATTTCCCGTCAGTCTCTGCATTTCAAGTTCGCCCCTCCCAAAGCGTGATCGGGATCCAGGCAAAAACCTCTAGAATCCGAAAACAAGAAGCCACTTCTGTTTATTGCCGCAAAGCGTGCTGTGGCCAAGGGGAGAGATGTGGTAGCCGGCCATGTGAGCCCTGCAGTCGTAAGAGGATTGCCGTATAAACGCCCCAACGAGAAGTGGTCAATATGTCACAAGGCGGAGAAAAAAAGAGTCGGGAAGGTTGAGAGGCAAGGGTGAGGGCAGGGATTTCGCGATTCGTGTCTAAAGAGGGGTTCCGATGGCATGGGGGCCGGGAGAAGGAAAGGTCGGTAATGTACATTAGGAGGGGATGGAGCCGCGAACACTGCCGCCGCCGCTGCCGCCGCCGCCGCCACGGCGATTCTTGTTGGGGACGATGGTCCATCCGTCCTCGTCAACGGTGACGGCGCCAGACTCGGAAGACTCGGCCTGAGATTGGTGAGCAGCCGCCGGTCCGCTTCCATTGACACGGGACTGGCGTCCCGTGTCGCTGCGGTCATTACGCGGGCCTCGCGGAGGACCACCGCCACCGCGGCGCGGTCCACTTGGGATATGCCCGCCACGGGAACCACCTCGATGCTCGCCTGCAGAGGCTTGTCTCCAGTTTCCACTCTCCACGGCTCGCGATTTGAAGCCGACAGCAGCGTCCCCGCGAGGCTCCCCACGGGGCTCCCGAGGCCGAGCGGCGGCCTTCTGCTCGCCGTCCTGGGAGCCGCCAGCAGACTGCGTGGGTTCCTCCTGGCCAGCTTCCTCCTTGTCTTGGGCTGCCTCGGGCTTTCCATTGGCTACGCTGCCTTCCTCTTTGGCAGCCTCCTCTCTGGCGGCTTCCTCGCCCTGAGCCTTTTCAGCGGCCTGTTCAGCGGCCTCCTTGTCAGCGGCCTCCTTCTCGGCAGCCTCCTTGGCAGCAGCCTCCTTGGCAAGGCGTCGTTCCTCCTTTGCCTTTTCGTCGGCTTCCTTCTTCTGCTTGATTGCAGCTACCCGCTTCTCTTCAATCTCTCGCTCACGGGCGGCTGTGTCGATGGGGCGTGCAGCACCGAAGGGGCTAGCCTTTGAATGTGTTGCTGACAGGGCAGGCGAGGTGATGTCGGGGGCATCAGAGACGGTGCGCTTTGTCAGGTTGAGCTTGGGCCGACCCACAGGCAGAGCATGGGTGGCGGCAGGAGATGAAGGAGCTTCACTACCTTCCCGTGACTGGCCAGGGGACTTGACGGGCAGGTCTGGGCGCATACTAGTTCGCCATTGATTGTCCTTCTCGGCAGCAGTGGGAGCACGCTCGGCACGCTCAGGGCGGTCGGAAAACTCTCGGCGCGGGGGACGGGACCCTTCCTGCCGGCCTTCTCCCGGTCCCCATGCTGGGGAAGCTCTCCTGTTGGCGTATGAGTCGGCGCGGGTCTCCATGTTTCTAGCACGAGAGCCCTCCCGGGAACCTGAGCCACCTGAGCCTCTGGGGCGTTCAGCCTGGGCTAGGGGGGATAGGGGGCCTCGTCGCTCCCAGTTGTTGTAGTCTCGCACTTTGCCATCATCGGCCATGGGCTCACGTGGAGCACGGCGCTCAAATGAATCAGAGCCACTGCCACGGCGGTCATTGCCACGAGGGAGATCCGCCAACGGCCCTTTCCTGGTCCAGTCATTAAAGTCGCGAGGATCAGCATCACCTCGATCTGCTCCCATTCCCATTCGCTCCTTCGCTATGTGACCTTTAGCATTGTACATTCAAGAAGTGGGATGAGGGAACAAGTGACATACGTGGGTCGGCAACCTTGATTCGGATGGAGCGCCCCTCAAATGACTGTCCATCAAAAGTAAGGGCTTTCTTCAGGCCCTCCAGATCACCAAATTCGGCATAGGCAAAACCCTTGGGCCGGCCCTGCTCTCGGTCTTCGATGATGCGGACACTGACCGGGTTGCAGTCGGCGAAGAAGTCGGTGACACTTTCGACAGTGGCATCGTACGACAGATTGCCTAAATGGGCAGTGTAGGGTGGCTTGTCGGGGAGCTTTTGAGGGAGGTTGTCACGGAGAGAAGCATATCCTAGAAGAGATGTCAATTGGCTGATTGTTGGGTGATGTGTTTGGTCTGGAAAACCGTACCTCCGGTGCTATAGCTAGAGTACCCAGGTCGGCGGTCGGAAGCAGGGAGAGGCTGAGTGCCTTTTTGGTTCAGTTGTTAGCAAATATCCCCGTGAGCAGCCTCAAAAAGTTGCATACCAGAGGCTAAAGCAATCAAAAAATCAGCATGCAAAACAAAAAGCCAGTGTGTCGCCATTTGCAAGAATAACTCACCATATGTATCCTCGACTTCATCGGCCCAAGAGCCACCGTAACCTGCAAATTTGGTCAGATGCGTGTCCAGGTAGAGAGACCAGGCTGATGTAAAACCTCGGCGAGGGATGGGGGAGACCGACTTGTATCCTGGATAAACTCGCCCAGAGAAAACTTCTGGACTTCCTTCTTCTTGGGAGCTGCACATTGTCAGTATCAGTTTGATATAGACAGGCAGCAGTGGGACATGATCCCCAAAGCTGAGATTTCGGGTCCCGGCACTACTCACCCATGTTGATGCGTTCTTTTCGGCCACGCGCAACGATGTATGACCGAGGCGCGTAGTCGTTCAGGCAGATGGCCGGGCAATGCAAGTCTCCGGCGAAGATCGATGGGCTTGCTGATTGCAAGAGACCGGATCTACCAATCTATGACAGAGATTGGTGTGGAGGTTGACTGGTTGCGAACACAAATTTGTTCGGCGATTTATTTCTGAAGACTAGGTGGTGAAGTTTAGCCTGCGGCGAAAAATTCAGGACGGGACCAGGACTGAGGTTTGGCATTTTTTTTCCACATTCCTTCCATTGGCAAGGAGGCGCACAGGGCAGACCCATTCTCACGCTAGTCATATTTGGACTAGCACCACTCAGGGGAGCCGCATTGCCGAGCCGTCACTTACGCAGTCTGCAGTTATTCAATCCTGGAATCTCAGCTCGGTGGTTATTGTCACAGGTGCAGGTGCAGACACAATTACTGGCCTCCTTTTTGACATTGTAACCCACTCTCTTTGCAGCCTAAGCCAACAATCATGAAACGCATTGTTCTAGATAATGGAAGCCAGTCCTCTGGCGAAGACACTGGTCGACAGCCTGGAACTCTTCCTTCAAGCGCTTCAGGCACTTCAGACATATCACACAGCACTAGAGAGCGCCAGCAACAAAGACATGTCTTGCCTCCAGAGCTAATCGAGATTCTCGCCCCTTCTCTTAAATTTGGAGTTGCAACTGGTGTGTTGTCTGATTTAGATGAGTTCTGCTTTTCTGTCGCTAATCAACACAGGAACCCTGGGTTTGTTCACGGGCGCTGTTGCTGGTATTGTTCGGACATCGACCCCGGTTCTATTTTCCGTGGCATCTGGCGCACAATGGTTTTCCCTCGGGTCTAGCTATTACGGTTAGTTGTTGGGTCTACCCTGCTGAGATTACTGGCTCTAACGTTGGAAACGACGAGTTCAGCATCCAGGATGGTCATCGAAAAGGCCTGGGGAGGCCGTGACCAGCTTACAAATGCAGACAAGACTAAGTCAAGCGCCATTGCCGGGGGTTTTGCCGGGATGATAGGGGGCCTCATACGTGAGTAAGGTCGAATTCTCCGGGTTTCTCATCCTCTGACCTGGGTATAGGTGGACCTAAGAATGTTGCTCCGGGGATCTTGGCATTCACGTTGCTCGGTGCTGGGGGCCAGGCAGTCGCCAATTCCATCGCACCGAATACCTGGGAAACCACCAAGACCAGGTTTCTTTCATCCAAGTGGAGCCCCGTTACACCCCTTTCTGACCAAGAGTATGAGGAGTTTTTGGAGGAGAAGCTGCTCAAGGTTGAAGCTGAGATAGCCCTATTGGATGACAACATCAGAGCACTACAATCCCAAGGTGCCCTCGGCTCGCCAGAAGGCAGTCGAAAGCAATAGCAGCAATCTAGTGAGTCGATGTTTGTCTCACCAATGAGACCATTCTGCTGGGAGGCTTGCTGGTCAAAACACCATTGACCATGTTCTTATATGTGCAGTACCATCACGGCGTATGCATTTGCTCTGGAGTTCAAGTGGCCCAATAGCCCATTAGCTGAAGCTCTTACTCAGTCTCAGCACGTTGTTTTTATTTATTTAGGTATTTATTTGCATCTCGGCCGTTTCCCCTGGATGCTAAGCAAGTCCCTTAATATCCCTCTGTCTCTGTCGATGCCTGGGTGACACTCGACGGCGGAATATAGCCTTCCGTGGCGATGCTGTCCGGCACTTCCTCTGGTCTGTAGTAATCTTCCCCCTTGAATTGGGAGCCTCCTACTCCTGGCGGTTTGCGACCGACATTGGTCCTGGACGCATCAACGCCCTGTTCCAATGCGTCTTTCCCACGGCGTTCCTTAGTCCCTTGCCCCTGGAGGCTCGCTTGCCCCGGCACAACATCGTTGTCATTGTCTCCACCTCGGTCTCGTTGGGCTCGAGCAATCTTATCTTCAGGTCCTCCTGGACCCTCAAAGTGGCCACCTAGTGTTGTCCTAATCGAGTTTTTAGTTCTGGCACCGACAACTGACTCGACTGCTTGGAAAACGCCTGCTTACCTTCCTCTATCATCCAGGTCACCACCTTCCTGGGGCGGAATGCGTCGGTTGTAGCCGGCATTGGTGCTCAGGTCGGGATTGTAGTTGACTTGGGAGCCAGGGAACTTCTTTTCGGTCCTGGTGTCCACTCCAGCTTCGTCAATGTCCCGCCCGCGGGCATTGCCTGTTTTGGCCTGATATGTGTTGAGCTCTCGCTCGGCCTGCTCGGCCAATGAGTTGAGGTCGTTCTTGGAGGAGGCCATGATTGTGATGTTCCTGAAATTGAACTATTTGGTCACCTATAATAGACTTTGTCGAAGAGACCCGGAAGGGCCCTTTATACAGTATCCGGAGAACATACGGTCGACGTCATCTTTGCGAACACATTGAATGAACGAGCGTGATGATTTCATCAACCCCAGTTTTTGTCACTGCATAAGGTGGGACTCCCACTGAACGTGGCAATGAATTATATCATAGACTTGGAATCTAAATTCCGAACTTAAGGGGTTCAGGTCAGTTATGTATGTATAGGTACCTTATCTTCACCTACAGTGTAGGCGATGTGGAGTGCACTTTGAAGGAGCATGAGGATGCATTGAGCTAGGTATGTTTAGGGTCCAAGACTTTCTAAGGTACTCTCCCTTGCGACGTTGGTGCGAGCCTTTGGGCCTGGCACTTCGTCTGCCGTCTCTCGTGACACTTGAAGCACTACCTAGGTAAAGCAACACTACTACGCGAATGGTTGGAGAGTCCCCTGTCTACCGATCGACATCGACTTCGGCTTGGGAGCGGGCTTGACTTCTGAGCCAGGACTTTGGTTTTATTTAAAGAATAAAGCCATGACAAAACCATGGGCTCAGCAACATCCAAATCACCAGAATCACAAGTGACCCCTGGCCACAGGAGCACTAGAGTTGCTGTTAGGCAGGTCATAGATGGTAAACCAAGGCCTAGTTGAACGAGATCGAAACCATTTCTTTTAGTCAAAGAAGGAGACTAGGATTTTTGGGCGGGCATTTTTATGAAGGGGTATGTGTAGGCCATGCTAATGGGCTGGGAATACTGCATGTAATCGACCTGTCCGTTGAACCACCCCTGCCTACGTAGCAATACAAGCGTAGGGCTGAACCGCACTCGAGATGACTAATCATTTCGTCGAGTGCCAAGCCAAGCCTGCCGATTACCCAAGCCAGCGGATCGGTACGGATATATACAGCGTATACTTTTATGCAGGGGAATGTTGGAAAGGTTGCCTCTTAGAAGAGCATTTCCAGGGAAAGAAAAAGGAAAGGTAGATGAGAAGATTCTACAGAATTTAGCTCAGATCTGATAAATATTTGGGCTGTTGAGGTTATTGAGTTGTGGAAGTTGTGCAAAGTTGTGAACGAATTCCAAGGCATACCCCCCTGCAGTGCCGTGGTTGCGCGCTAGCAACCGAAAGAACGACTGATGCGTCCGTACCATCAACAGAAGTCCGGTTCCTGGACTAGTGATATTCGATATTCGAAGCAAATCGGAAAGCTAGAACAGCCGTAGATACAGCTGCAACGATGAATTCAGAAAACCGAATTGCGTTTGGATATGTAGATGACTCGTACGGTGTCGACTTCCATCCTTCCTTCTAGACGGATCCGAAGTTTAAATTCCAGGGGTCTGTGCTCCTAACCGGCTGCCCTCGGAAGTAACCGAACGCCATCTCCGTTTATCATCTCAACCCTTTTGCACTCACCATCTATCTCAGACAAGGAGTGAAGCTGTGTACTGGGTTCTACTTCCCTCACTACCTTTCCAGTGACGAAAACATGTCCTAGACCCCGGCCATCTTGATCTTGGGAATATCTCTGGACATTTTCTAGTTACGGCGCATTCGACAATGGCAATCGCGAGACGGGCGACGGACGAATAACAGCAGAAGGGCAATCGGTTCTGTCTGTCTGGCTCCTGTACTGTATGGTATGCGCAACGGCCTAGATTGCTTGAGTCCCCCAGAGCACTGATACCCGCAGGGTAGACAAGGCATTGGGACTCTTCCCGAAGCCCTGGACGACATGGCTCTTCTCAATCCGACCTTCATCTTCGGCATCTTCGTCCTTCTCTACCTCTCGTCCTTCGTCGCCTTCGCCGTCATCCGCATCCTCACCGGAGTCTCGATCCAGCGCATTGGCTACTTCTCCCTCAGGCGGCTAGCTTACACCCCACGCGATGGGTTCAAGATCGAGATTCGGGGTCTTGGGCTCAATGTCCACCGCCCGACTTTCGCGCAGCCCACCTGGCTCAGTATCGTCGTTAGCGAACTCGCTGTCACCGTCGACATGGCGGAACTTGGAAGGATACAAGGGAGCGGCGATGGTGCGGGTGACAGTGCCGACGGCGAGGAGTGCGATGATCCTGGCAACTCGGAGACGAAGCCCAAGGCTGCACCCGATGCAACCAAGATACCGTCTATTCGGCGTGACAACTCTGCCGCTCCACGGAGCGAGACCTGGAATCACCTCATGAGGGTTAAGGACCGTATCAAGCGCCTGCACCGAAAAGTCAACTGGCTACGGATGGTGGACGTCGTGGCGACCAATTCTACTGTCAAAGTTGTGGGTGTTGGCAATGTCCAGTTCGGGAGCTTTACGATTGCCGTTGATACGAGGCGAAAGATGGTCGATCGAGTGCGATTCTTCCTGCAAGGCCGCGCGGGCAAGAAGCAGCGCGAGGAACAGCAGGCAGAATGGATAATGTCCCTGAGGAGTGTACTCTTCACGGCGGTCGGCAAGGAGTCACTGGAAGTGTTGGATACCGCGTCGTTGAACGTGCATGGCTTTCTCTACAAGGCTCTCGATGGCCTCCGCGACGCCGCCATCTCCCTCAAGCTTGGGCGCGTCCATATCCCTTACGACGACATCCTCCAGAGCCTGAATCGATACGAGGCCCTCAGAACCACGACGGACAAGCCCTCCTTGGGAGGCGATGATTCCGAAGTCACTGTCGAGAAGGTCATTCGAGAACTTGATGCGCCAGGGAGCTCAGATAACGACTTTGTGCAGACGGTATCCGATTCGAAAGAGTTCGTGAGTTCAATCCTAAGGGGGATCAGGGAGGTCCAGCTCGCCATCACTTTTATCGGCTTTGCGAAGAAGATAGACGCCATACAAACGTCCGGCCCGCCGGTCATGCTCAACGCGTCCATGAAGGAGGTCGTCGTCGATCTCCACCGCCTTGACCCGAAATCCCCGGCGCATAGAATGTACTTCCCGTCAAAAGACATTGCACACGAGGCGCTGGCTGCGGCTCTATCCATCTCGATTGGCGTTGACGAAGGACACGGCAAACCTGAGCGGCTAGTGTACATCCCGATGGCGACCACAACGGTCAAGACGACGTTGCCATCGAAAACGGTCGAGCTCGCGGATGACATATCGCCCGAGGAGAGGAATGCGAACATACTATTTGCCAACTCGGTAGTCACGTCCCCGTCCGTCGATCTTGATCCCCGGCACCTCCCCTTGCTCCTGGCAATGCTGCGCGCGAAGCCCGCAGCACCCAAAGCACAGCACCGGCAGCATCACATGCTCATCTCGCGCTTGCTTCCCAAAGCGAGCATCAAGTTTTCGATGCATGAGCCTGTCCTGAGGATATCGCTACCCCCCGTGCAGAAGAGCCAGGATCCGGACGACTTTGATCTCATCATATCCTCGATATCGTCCGTATCCCTGGATCTCGAATCGTCCCACTCGGATGTCGAGGAATTACACTACTCACTAGCCTCCACAATGAGGCTCCAGGCCCATCAACTCTACTACCAGACTTCGGTTGGCAATCGGTACGACCTCCTCGAGACGGAGTCGTTTGAGTTGAAATTGAACCTGAGCGCCTCGCCGGATGTGCACGTTGTTGCGACCGGCAACCTTCAGACGTTCTCCATCAAGATGGTGAGGCCAGAGGTCATCGACGGGCTGCGACAGATAGTACGGCAGCTTCGCCTCGACGTCGAGTCAGACAAACGAGCCACGTCAAAATCTGCGAAACATTCCAATTTCTTGAGGGGGATGCCCGCCTGGCTCTTGCACTTCCAGATCCAAGCCTCGGACTTCAGCCTAGAGGTTGCCGGTGTCGATGAAGAGATCTCGAGGGACACGCGCGGCGTTGCCATCCAATTGGAGTCCTGGTCGGCAGAATATCGAGCGCAGAAGCTCGATGGCCTTCAGAGGCGGCTGTCTCGCCGAAGAACCAACAGCTGGACCTCGATAAATCCCGACATCGAGCTCCTTAGGACCGTGCCCATGTCGCCCAGGAAGAAGTACAGTGGTGCGGGAGATGGACGCCGGGTTGCGTTTCATGTCCGCGGGCTCGAAGCGTTCGTTGTCGAGTCCGCCGAGAAGTGGGAGCTTGAGCCGTTCGTAAACATCCCTAGGTTCGAGGTTGCCTTCTCGACCCTGAGTGACGCCCAAGGGCCGGTTTTCCACATCCACTCCCACGTGAGGACACTTCTTCTGCAGTATTCGCTGTACCGCCACTATGCTATCGGCGTTGCAATGGTGGTCTTGCAGAAGGCCTTCATGCGAACGAGCCGGGACACAGCTGCTGCACGGGCAACGAGGTCGATGCCTTTGCAGAAACCCCTGGTCGAATACCTTGGGGTCCCTACGGAGGCGGTGCCTGACTTCCCGCTGGGTGGTCAAGATTCAACGCAGTCTAGGTCCCCCCAAGAGTTGATCGCAGTCGACTTCAAGGCCGCCCTCGTGCAGATAAAGGCCGACATGCCCGCAGATCCGCCTTTGATGATACAAATATATGGCATCGAAGCGGGGCGGCATCGTTGGTCGTCCCCCTTCGTCCAGTCCAAGCTCATACGACTCTACGCCGAGGCTCCAAGAATGCGTAAGGTATGGGCTCGGATGATCAGCATCAAGAATGGCCGGATGGACTACCGGGAATCCCGAAGGAAGACGTCGACCGGAAGCTTGTATGAGGAGAGGATGTTTGACGTCGTGGCCGATGCCATACGTGTAGCCGTGCCTCACGAGATGATTGTCTACAAGATCACGGACAACTTCATCAACGTGTTCAAGTCGGTCATGCAGCTACACCATAGGTTCAAAACCGGCACCAACGAATACATCCTCGACAAGGCCCCCGAGCCGCCCAAAAAGGTGCCCAAGGTTTCGCTGCGGACCAGGACGCTCTTGTTTGAGTTGGAGGATGGAGCCTTTGAGTGGAAACTAGGCATGATATATCGAGCCGGTCGAGTTGAACAGATGCAGCGCCAGGCTCGCGAGGAGGCTTTCCGGGTCAAGGTAAAGAAGATCCACGAGGAGGAGGCGAGGAAAGAATCCAGCAGGTTCCGCGCTCGTTCGGCCATGCACAGGGGGCGCACACGCACGTCGACCGGCATGCATCAGAGGAGCAGCAGCGCAGATGGCCGCACCCGTGCCAGCATTGACGAACACCCTCGTGGGCGAGCCCCAAGGTACGATCCCGAGGGCGGGTGCACGGGGATGAGCGGGAAGGCACATGTCTCCATCGCTGAGGCCAGACACAACATCAACGTGCACAATGCCCAGAGCTGGAAGAAGCGGATCGACCGTCACTTCTTGATGGCGAAGAACGGCATGAAGGACCTGCGCGGCCTCTTTTGGGGCCGGGACGAGATCCCGGATGACCTGGACGACAGTGAGAACATACTTGAGATCCCGCAACGACCGGCTTTGATGTCGGCTCTCATCATGGAGCTCCACGTCATGATCGACAAGCCCTCATTCCCGATGAAGGAGCTCCCGGACTTCCTCCACAAAGTTGGGAAAGGGATGCCTCGCGACATGCAATACTCGCTCCTCGTTCCTATGAACGTTCAGATCGACATGGGCGAGGCCCGGGTCTCGCTCAGAGACTACCCTCTTCCGCTCATGCACGTGCCCAGCATTAAAGCCGGACAGTCGTCGAGACTGCCTGCCCTCTCCATGCGAACGGACTTTGTCATTGCGGAGGAATTCAGGGGCGTGGAGTCGACCAGGCGCATCAAGGTCAATATCATCCCGCCGCGGAGCCCTTGCCCGGGGGCTCCAAACGAGGGCAGCTTTGCTATCGACGTGCGGAGGACGATAGGCCCGGTGAAGTCGTACTCGGACATGACCATCGACATCAACACCGCTCACCCAACCCGCATCACCTGGGGACCTTCGTACCAGCCAGCCATCCAAGATATGATGATGGTCATCGAGTCGTTTACGAAGCCGCAGCTGGACCCCTCGGACAATGTTGGATTCTGGGACAAGATCCGCCTTAATTTCCACTCGCGGGTTCGGGTTGCCTGGCGTGATGGCGGCGACGTGCATCTGGCCCTGAAGGGCACCCGCGACCCCTATCAAGTCACGGGCAACGGCGCCGGCTTTTTGATGTGCTGGCGCCACGATGTCAGATGGAACGTCCACACAGACGACGATCCGAAGCGATTCATGAGCGTCGACAGCGGCGAGTACGTGCTTGCCGTTCCCGACTACAGCCATCAAGTCCGTGAGGCGAGACGCGCTGCGGGCGAGGACGACAGCGTGGCCAGCGATGACAGCTACAAGTCTGGCGCGTCGTTCAAGAAGGTCGCCATGAAGTTGTCCGGGAAGGTGCAATGGCTCGCTGGCCTCGTCTTCGAGAAAGCAATCGAGAATGGCCGCAGGAACTTCAAGTTCAAGCCCCATTATGATGTCGTCCTCAAGTCGCCTCTCTTCGCCAAATCGCACGACGGCCTCCCGTACGATGCTTTCCGAGGATTCCGGAGCCAGCATATCCATCTGTCGATCGCGGTCCTGGCACCCGTCGACCGGGAGTGGTCGGCTCACAATCTCGAACCGTCAAGGAGCTATAATGCCGTCCATCTCACCCCGCGGCTCTTCACCCACTTCTTCGCATGGTGGTCTCTCTTTAGCGGGCCAATGTCGCTTCCAATCCGCCAGGGCTCCCTGTGGCCGGGTCGCGAGAAAAACAGCAAGAAATTCGGGAGACATCTCGCGACGATAAAATACAATCTGCTACTGGCTCCCCTCTTCCTGAGTCATATTTACAAGCACAAAGAGTTCGACGATTACTCGGAAAACGCCGTCTCGGCCACTGGGATAAAGGTCCGGTTTGATAATTTCATGCTCGACCTGCACCAGAGGCGGGAGGAGTTCAACACCAGAGACCGGGGCGACCGGGGCCCTAGGACTCACAGCCGGACTTCGGGGATGAAGATACACGCAGGCCAGCTCGATCTGGTCTCCGCCGACATCCGTGCTGTCTCTGCTAGTATCCGGGGTACGACGACAGAGGCCATGAGGAAGCACTCGGTATCAACGTTTGTCACGCAGCAAGGCGAAGACGGCACTGATCTCTCCCGCTTTACGATCCCGGACAACGACTTCAGCTGGATCGACATGGACGACTTTGTCGAGCTTGACTGGATACTGCCGACCGAGCCCAACCCGGACACGAAGATCCTCCCGCTTGCCTGTGCCCCCCGCATCACGTACTTCCGCCAGACAGACATCGGCGGCATGATTGCCGGTGACCCCCACAGGACCAGCCCCTTTGGCGACGAGCCTACCCACTTCTGCATCATGACCCAGGACGACGACCCCCGGCGCGTCCAGGCGCAGCTCATCCGCCAGCGCCTGGAGCAGCTCAGCCAGCAGATCGAGACGCACACTCGCAATATCGGGGAGGTTGAGCTGCGGCTGATCAGAGCCGTGAATGACGACCAGGGGCTCCGGGACGAGTTCGATAGTCTCAACCGCCACATTGCCGTCCTGACAGAGAGGAAGATTTTCCTGGAGGGCATGCTTAGGCAGATGTCCCCAAATTCATCCGGTGATGACTTGAACACCCGGCACGGCGGCGGTGGCTGCAGGAAGGCGTCTGAGACCTCGATCGAGCTGAAGGACGGGACCATGGCCATACCTACCGCGACAGAGTTCGCCAGCGACTTCAAGAACCGATTCGTCGTCCACAACTTGCAGCTCAAGTGGAACAACACCCTGCGGAACATCATCCTCCGCTACATACACCAAGTCAGCCAGCGGCGGGGCTTTATCTACTATCTCTCACGGCCGGCCATCAAGTTCATCCTGGACATGGTCGAGGAGCAGACGAAGCTGAAGACGGCGGCGACGGGTAACAACAATGCCTCACCCGCATCGGGTGCCGCTCCTGGTGCCTCTCCCGACCCAAACTGCAAGGATGGTCATGCCGATAAAGACATCGAGGACAGGATCCGCAAGATCCTCCAAGACGGCAAGAAATTTGTCAACGCCGAGGAGAGCGGCCCTGGTTCGGCGGCGAACATATCCATGGAAGACTTGTCCAGCGGAATAGCCGAAGGCTTCACCCCCCAGAACAGCTACCACGTGCGCCTCATCGCACCGCAGATCCAACTGCAGAGCGACAGGAACAAGAAGCACGTTGTCCTTATCACGGCCAAGGGCATGGAGCTCAAGGCTGTGGAGGTCATGGACAAGGACAGGATCTCGGATATTGTCAGCGGCCTGGTCCAGCGCCGCATCCTCGTCAACATGGACAGCACCCAGTTCTTCGTTACTCACCAGAAGTGGTTCTCGACCCAACTCGTCTCCATGTACTCGGGAAGCACCTACGGCACGCCCAGTGGATCCTCATGGCCGCCGTGGGTTCCCATGGAGGTCATGTTCGACTTCCAGACGGATCCGTTTGGGTTCAAGCGAGTCGTGCAAAAGACATCGGCAATGCTGCGCTATGACAAGTTCAACACCCTCCGGCTCAAGTACAGCGACGAGGTAAACACCGACGACTGTGCGACCGATACCGCGCACGAGAATGCCGAGAGCAGGATGGACAACCTCTGGGTCGAGTTCCCGCAAGCCCGGGCGCTGTGCAACTCGTCCCAGTATTACGCCATGTTCATCATCGTGGTCGACCTGCTCATGTACAACGAGCCGCTGGAGAAGACGCGGAGCGAGAGACTCGAGAAGATCATACTTGCCTCCGATTTCAGCGACCTCAGGGGGGCGCCTGAGATGGTGATCAAGTTGCAGGAGCGCGTCAGGCAGCTCGAGGACATCAAGACGCACTTCCAGGTCCACTCCAAGTACCTCGACAAGAAGGGCTGGCAAGACCGACTCACCCTGGAACGGGACCTGGCCATCTGCGAGGACGAGCTGTTCTTCATGATGAAGGCTATCACGACTTCGCAGAGAAAGTACGACAACACGACGAGCAACGCGCTTCTCAAGTGGAACATCTCCGCACGAGAGATTGTCTGGCACCTCATCCGCAACAACAACGAACCTCTCGTGGAGCTGCAGCTGAAGGACGTCGAGTATGATCGAACAGACAATCTGGACGGGTCGCACATCAACCTGATCCAGGTCGGGAGAATCCTAGGCCTCAACTTGCTCCCGGACGCCATCTACCCAACCATGATTGCCCCCTATCTGGAGTCGGAGAAAGGAGTCGCGGGGCTCGGCACCCAGCCGATGATCCGGGTTTACTGGAACATGCTCGAGGCTATTGCGGGCATCCCCGTCATGGACCACGTCGAGGTCAATCTGTTCCCCATGAAGATACAGCTCGAACGGGAGGTAGGAAAGAAGATCTTCGAGTATATCTTCCCGGGCTCTGGCGGGGACAAGGCGTCCACAAACGGCAAAAACACGTCGTCGCTCGTGCTCAAGGGCTCGCTGCCCGACACCGAAGAAGATCCGACCGAAACCGACTCGCTGAGCAGCTCGACGGACCGTCCTGAGACGAGGGACAACGAGAAGGACTCGAACCCCTTCACCACTAGGCCGGGGTCGCTCGAGCTTCGACTGCAGCCGACCTTGACGTCGGATTCCAAGCCGAGCCAGACCGTGCAGAAATCCTTCAGCATCCACGCCGGCGAGAGCACGGCCTTCCGCCTGTTCCGCAGCGGCACGGGGTCCATGATACCGACCAAGAAGGCATCCTTTGGCTCTCTCAGGGGCGCCGCCAGCATCCCGCACCCCGGCGTCGTCCGGTCCGCCACGGGGCTCTCCTCTAAGTTCGACACGGGCTCGACGGCGAGCGACTCGAAGAAGTCGAGCCGGTTCGGGCTGCGCAACAAGTCGAATCCAAAAGAGGAGAACCAGGAGCAGTCGGACGACCTGACTAAGATGATAGCGCGGGCCAACAACTACATGACCTTCGCCTACATCAAGATGCCGTCGGTTGTGCTCTGCCTCAGCTACAAGGGCAAGGGGGACCGCAACATCGAGGACGTGCACGACTTTGTGTTCCGGCTCCCGACGATCGAGTACCGGAACAAGACGTGGTCGAACCTGGACCTCGCGCTCGCGCTCAAGAGCAGGGTGATCAAGGCGCTCATCTCGCACACGGGCGCCATCATCGGCAACAAGTTCTCGCGGCACCGGCCCACGACGGCGCAGCAGTCGAGGCTGCGCGAAATCGCCACCAGCTCGGTGCTGCTCATGACGCCGCAGCAGCTGTCCGAGTCGCGCGACAACAGCGGCGACGACTCGTCGTCCCTCTACGGCACCTCGCCCGTCGACTTCTCGCGCTCCCCGCCCCGCTCCCTGCGCGGGAGCTCGCACTCGTCCATCCCCGCCCCGCAACACCAGCCGCAGCGTCCCGGCAGCAGGAGCTCCAGCGTCGCCTCGTCGTTGCGCTCGCACCGCAGCACCAGCTACAACAGCAACAATAGCAACAACAACCACGTCGTCTCGCAGCAGTCCGTCGGCGGGCCCATCCCGAGCTTCCTCATGATGACGCCGCCGCTCCCCGCCGGGGAGGAAACGTTCGTCGTGGACAAGGGCGCTCGCAGCAGGAGCGGCGGCGGCGGCGGCGGCGGTCTCGGGACGGGCCTCAGCATGGGCGGTGGTGCCGACCGCCTCAGGCCCAGCTCCAGCGGTAGTGGGTCGGGAAAGCTGTTTGGCAGGAGTAGCAGCCGCAACGGCGGCGGCGGCGGTGGCGGTGGCAGTGGTGGCAGCAATATACCGCGGCCGAGCAGCAGCGGGAGCTCACTCCTCGGCGGGGGAGGGGCCAATGGCGGAGACCGGAGGCGGTCCGCCGGGGGTCAGGGCGGCGGCGGCGGTGGTGGTGGGGGGCGGTTCCTGCGCGACAAGCTCAACGCGTTTGCGGACCGGCTGAAGGAGCGGCAGGAGGGGTCGTCTTCGTCGTCGACGCCCACCGGCGGCGGCCGCGGGGAGAGAGATGGGGGGGACGGGGACGGGGACGGGGATGGGGATACCAGGAGGGCGCTGGGTCGTAGCCAGAGGACTAAGACGACCTGAAGTGGAAGGTTGGCTCCACATACTACTTACAATACCCCATAAATGACTTGTTTCCTTGTGTGTTATTGGATTAGACTGTACAGTGTCGGCAGGGGGGTGGAGGATATAGGGGCTGGCGAACTCGGGGAAGGGGGCCAGGGGCTGGGTTGAGGGCGGCGTGTGGCACCACGGCATTATACAGGATATTCGGGGGGGCGGCATGCATACCTGCGTACCTCGGGCCGGCAAGGCTTGGTGATATATATCTACTACAATTTTTCTACCTTCTTTTTCTTATTGCGCCGTCACACTCTCGTCAGTAAGGCCGTGAAGAGGTGCCCATGGGTTTATTCTTAGAGGGGCGAGGGAAAAGGAGGGAGGGCTTAGCGTTGCTTCAATTGATTTTCGCTCTATACGTATGGTCCAGCCGCTGTTTGGTGAAGCCCATATGTGGAAGTGCATATCTCTACATGCATGGGCAAAAGTGTTACTGGGTGGTGAAGGAAGGGTTGGTCCATTTGTTATATAATTGCAGGTGTAATATGCGAAAAGAACCAGCGACGGTGAGAAACAACGGCGAAAGTGCTGGCAGGCCTGTACGTATTGGGAAAAGGCGTACTCCATGCTAGGACATGGCGAACTGGCACAGGGCGAGTAAATGGTGGAGGTACGGTAAATGGTAGAGATACGAGTATGCGTATCCTACCAACAAGGCTGGTACTTTAGTGTGCCCGGCACGAGGAGTAAAACCATTTAGCCAACCGACGTTTGTTCTTTCATTCTCTCTAGCTAGTGCGGAACCAAGATCATATCTTCCTCTGCCCCAACCCCTCGAACATCTTCATCGAGGGGGAATAAAAACAAAGCCCAAGTTTTCCCAAAAAAAAAAACGCCTCAGTACCGCCGCCCAGGCGCGCGGGCCAATGGGTGGATGAATGGATGCAGCGCCGTGTCCAAAACACATACCGGCGGATCCATGGTTCCCAAATCGATGTTCCCAGAATAATGCTCCTGCTATGATGATCCCATCCGTCCCCCCTTGAAATGCTAACGCCGAAAGCCATCAACCTGTGTGTGCCTGGAAGGCGGGTGTGTCGTGTAAAAAGGAAAAGTGACAAGGGGCAAAATGAGGGGAATGTGAGGGTGAAGCTGCATTGCCAGGAGTAGGTGTCCGAGGTCTTGGGCCTTCGCGGATCGACGATGATTCCCCTGGTGGGGGCCTATGAGCCATGCAGTCGTATGCAGTCGTAACGAAAGAGAGAAAAGAAAGAAAAAGAACAGAGATCAGTGAAGACATCGATTTGCCCCGACCCCCGTAGCCGCTATGCATGAGACGACCAAAATAAAGAACAACCGAGATGAGTAAAATATCCCCAAGAGATAAGGAAGGTATGTAGGTAGGTAGAATCGTCGAGAAGTCCCGAGCCCCGACTCCCGAGCCGCATGACACCTTGGAATTCCATTTCAGCCCCTGGTCAGGAGAGAGCAGAGGAAATAGCGGTATTCCAAACGTCATGATCGAGCACGTCAGGTAACACGAGCAGGAAACTACCCCTCCTTGTACAGCGAAGCTCAGTCATGTGGATTTAGCACCATGCCGGGTTGGATGCAAGGTAGAAGACGTCAACCGGGGCACTATGGACGTGCTCCCAAGGGAAATTCCGCTGCGTCGGGTTCAATCCGAATTATAAATTGGGGGTGGACAGTGGATTTCCACCCTCAGAAATACGTCGAAGAATGCAATGCCGTAAGGTTCGTTGACTTGGGTAGTTGAACATCATGGCCACTCCTGACGGGCTGTCGGGGTGGCATAGCCAATTCCGACCAAGGGTTGATTTGACGAAATCGCGTTCCCCAAATCGCAAAGAGGCGAGTCCAATGTCGCCGTCACCGTCGCCGGGCAAACCGCCCAATGACTCACGCAGTCCCATGCGTGACGGCAACCCACCTCGCGGGCACGCCGTCGGCCCCGACCACGTACGGCCTGGGGCTGACCCTCCGCGGCGGCAGCGCCCAGCGGGCCCTCCCCGGCCGCTGGTCGTCCAGCTTGCCCCTCTTGCGCATCGCCATCTCCATGACCGCGATGCGGATGAAGTCCGAGTTCTCGCGCATCTCGCGCTGCCGCGGGCCGGGTACCGCCACCAACGGGTCGGGGTCGGAGTCGGCTGCGGCGGGACCCCGCCCCCGCTGGTGATGCGCCGCTGGTGATGCGCCGGCTCTCGAGGCGCGCGGTGGCGATCCCGGGGATGGGCGCGGGAAGCGGCCCAGGTGCTCCCCGGATGAGACGCGCGCGCGTTGCACCTTGTAGGTCTGCATCTGGATTGACGCCGTGTAGGGCCGCGCGGTCGTCGTGGGCATCGGGGCTGCTGCCGCCCTGGGCTGCTCTATCCGTGCCCTGGTGGTGGGGTTGAGATAGCGGCGCAGGGCGGCGGTCGGCTCCTCCTCGAGGGGAGGCGGTCTGCGCTCGTCTGTATAGGGGACCTGGGGGTCGATGGTCAGGATTGACCGGGTCAGGAAGTCCTCGGGGGGAATCGAGGGGAAATTCAGGGCGGAAAAGGAGCGGGCGGCTTGGCGCAGAGCTCGTAGCGAGGCAGTGAGATTCGACTTGAAGGCCGATTTCAAGGGGCGGAAAGGCAGCCGCATCTCGGGTTTGACATCAGTTTCTAGTGAGCTGTCGAACACTCGAAAATCCAGTTGCTCTATATCGATACGGCGAGAAGATAACGGGTGATCGTCCAGCTCGCCGTGTGGGGCTGACACAGGTTCCAGGGGTCGACGGGTGGGTTGCGACTTTCTTGACCTGGATGAAGAGAAGGGCGTCTCAACGGACGAGAATGTCTCTGTTGTAAACGACCCGCCCAGGGATGGCATCGAGTCCAACGACACGGTCCGAGTAAGAAGATCAGAACCTTCGCACATGGAAACATCCACCTCCAGATCTTCCGGTGCACTCAGGAGGAGGTCCATTGGGTTCCTGCTCAGTGTCAAGCTCAGCTCTTTCTCAGATTCTTGTGTGCGCCCTATGATTGAGTCGACGGTCATTCTCTCATCTCCCAGTATCCGCCGGTGCCGTACCGGCCGCGAGCCCTTCGGGGGCGGGATGGTGGTGAGGGCCAGGAGAGCGGCGACTGAGGGCGGAATGGCGTCGGGAGAGTGTACATCGCTCGGGCGGTGCGAGCCGGGTTGGTGCCGTCGATCTCCATGGTGACGATGCGGTTTCGGCGGATGCGTATGCTCGCGCCGCTTCTGCTTGACGGGAATTTGTACCGGATTGGTCGGAGTTATTGGCTGGGTGAGAGTCGTTGTGGTCCTGGGGGGACTGAGGGTCGGAGATGGCCGGGAATCCGAGGTTTTGGTGTTGCACGCCATGGCGGCTGTAGTGACGTTGCTACTGCTGCTCGAGTTGCTCTTTGCCCGGCAAACATACTTTCTCTTGACACCTGGAGGATGTGAGGATGTCGGGGGATGTGAGGTCTGTCGTGTCGGGAGAAAGAGACGTGGGGTCATCACCACGCTCAACAAACGCCAAATGGGTCCCCTTGTATTAATAACGGCCTTCGCTTCTTGCGGTAGAACGACTAGAAAAATCTAGGGTAGGGCGACATGTCCGGGGGGGGGCCCCTGGGACGATGATGGTTGGCGGTTGGGCGCTGCCGGCAGGGTCCAGTTTGTACGTAACAGGATCAAAGGACGGCCTCGAATTGGAGGAAGTCGGCCTCCTCCAGAGTGAATTGCTGCGAGGTCCCGGGAATCCAATTACCGCCAGATTGCTCCAGATGTGTGCCACCGGAATAATAGAAAGAATATTACAGAATGTTAAAAAGCGAAAGGGATCTCGAAGCGGCACTTCCTATCCTGTTGGGGGTGAAGGGCTCTTATCTTGGAGTTGTGCAGGTATGTATCTATCTCTAATCCCTGGCATCTCAGTGGTCGTGGCCGAGGTCAGCACAAAGTCAATGTGTGACTTCATCGGGCACGGGCAATCCCTGCGTCACCACCAATCTTGCATTTACCTATGCCCAAAAGAGTAAGTCGTCGTCACACCAAATCTGTGGTGCTGCTGGCCAAGTCGAAGTCAATCTCAGTTTCAGTGCATCTCATACTTTCCGATCGGAATCCGAATCAGTTCTAACAGACAGATACGGGCAAAAGATACGTGTTTGTGCCATGTAGGCGAATATAGAATCCTGCCCGGTTCTTCAGCTGCCCCGATTGAGAGTCATGAACAGGAGGAAGTGTGCGCGTGCCAGGAATAAGCCACTGATAAGCCGGTTACACAAGCCACAACTTCCCAATCTATGATCCTGCAGGTACAGTAGCCTGCTTTTTACCAACTTACTTGTCCCACAAGGGCAGGCGTCGTTGATAAGAACACTAGCTGGTGGTAAACTGGGAAGATCGACTAGCCTCACCTCAAATCTGAGTTTTCCGTATTGCCCAGTTGTCCCCCTCCCCACCTCCATCTTCCGGCCCCGCCGCCCGCAATCGGAGCACGGCGGGAAATCCCGTCCCCTATCCGAGAGGAGCGGCAGAACAAGCGCTCGTTTGAAACGGAAAGGCGGTTGTCCCGGTCAGGTAGCGATGGGGCGCTTGAGAGGGCGCAATCAAGTGGAAACCCAGGATCTGAAATAGGTCGCTGAGGCTCAACTACTTAATGGCATCTGATATCGCACAGTTCGCCGTGGCAGGGTCAAGACTCCATAAGCCAGTGCCAGCCAAACCTAAGCTCTGCTTGGAAGCCAAGCATCGCCAATTCGGCATCGAGGTGGCTCCTTCATCAGCGGTATATATTTTCGCTGGTGAAACTTTGCTGAGAGATTGCTGGGTGGTGACGGCTGCTCGAGGGTAATTCATTGTGCGTTCACAACAATTGTGGCAGATCGAACGTTCACCTTGCCGTTATCTGACCGTGATCAGAAGAATGCCATTCAAGCCTTGGACTTGGAATTCTGCTGCCATCAATCAGACCACACGAACGTACCATTACAAGCAAGCCTTCAAACAGAAGCTGAGCTTCAAACATCGACTGGAAGACGTACCATGATCGTCTGACACTGATATAACGTGACCTCTGACTGAGAGTCTGAGCCTCCCCAACCCCACGTCCCAGGGTCCAACCCGAGCAACGAAGCGAGCGCAACCATGGTTATTTGTCACCCAAAAGCCAGTCAGTCAGTCAGTCAGTCAGTCAGCAGTCAGCAGTCGTTCATACCGCACACCACCAATCGCCGGCTCGCCCTTCCACCGGTTCATGCCATGTGGCGGCCAGGGAGAGTCATCGTTCCACGTTCCGGCCAAGCTTGGTTCATGCGCAGATCGGGAAAGTTCCCTGCAACAGAGGCTAAAGTTGACCTTGTCCCAGCAGGTCAGCTCAGAATATTGGTGATGGTTTAGTCAGATGCGGCTGAGAAATCAGTAAATCTGCCTCAACTCCAGTTACGAACAGAGGGTTTTGGTTTGTGTCAGCCGGTTTTTGCTTGCTGCTCACTCGCGGCTCGGATCAGATCACAGTCAAATGTAGAAGTGTGAGAATGAGGGTATCATATTGTAACGACAGTATGGTAACTCCAGCTAGGCCATGCCATATCTTGATCTTCCCCCATGTGGTCGGTTTGCACACCGTTGTACATTACTCGCCGTCTACTTCTCAACACCCATATCGAATGGGCCACGACTTTCTCTGTAGGAACAGCAGAGAACTAGATATACAGAAGGATCTCTTACATACAACAATGCCACGCTCAAAACAGGTAACAAAACAGATGTAACAGGTGCCGCCCCACCGGATATTTTTCGGATGTTTTGGGAAATCCGGTCTCCAATGTGTTGTTGTTCGTGTTCCCCCCCCCCCCAGCCCAAGAAGCAATCAACCCCAGAGCGCCAGGGGAGTCTGCCATGCCACCGAAGAACGCCGTAAAAAGAAGGTCCCCGAAAAATCATGAGATCATAGACCGCTCGTGGAGGACGGAGTAGATAAAGAAGAAAGAAGACCACGATTTTATCGATGTGAACGAGAGACGAGAAAAGAGGTGAAGGTTTTGTTATAAATCTCGGATTCGTTGCCGATCAGGGGTTGTAGAGTTGAAGGTTCTAGGGCGTCTGCCTTTTTAGAATGGCCGACCACCCTCGTCCCTCCAGCCGCGGCTCGTAGGTGTCGTGCCCTTTGGCGTCACGACGCCGAAACGCTTCTCGCCATACTTGGATATGCGCTCGTCGTTGTAATCGCGGCTCTCACCCCCCGCGAAGTCAATGTCCGGATAGATGCTTTCGCTGTAGTACCGCTCCGGGTTCTCCCTCCTCGGCTGGCGTTCGTCGCCGGCTCTGGTGGAGAAGAAGTCGAACGTCGTGTCCCTGAAATTGTTGACGTTCACGTCATCGCCCTTGTAGGTATTGTTGTTCTTGGTTAAGGACCTCGCCGACTTGGGGTTCTTGTTGTTATAGTTATTGTTATAGTTGCCGTTTCCTGATGGCGGCGGTGGCGTCACGCCCGTGTATGTGCCGGCGCCGGAGACTGAGATCTCCTTGACGATGCCGTCAATCTCGCGCTGGATGTCGCTGACGCGCATGATGCCGTTGGAGGTCATCGTCTCCTCCTCGCTACTGCGTGGCGACTGGCTTCGCAGCTGCGCGGCGTCCGAGTTGGACCTGCGTATGCGGATGTCGTACTTCTTGGCGCCTCCCCGCCCACGGCCTGACCGCCCTCCCCTGCGGCCGCCCCGGTTGCCGCCCCGACCGAACTTGCTGATGGTGCCCTTGGAAGGGGTCGGCGGGGTCATTGTGCTGTCGGAGAGCCAGCCGACAGGCTTCTCCCCGGTCTCAATGTCAGGGCCCCCCTTGCTAGGTGCTACCGAGAAGCGCCCGAACCAGCCGCCCCGCTCACGCGACCGGAAGATGGGTCGCAGCGCGGGCGCAGAGGCCGTGACCAGCGCCAGGTTGGTCTCAATGGCCGACGTTACGAAGCCGATGTTGAACGTCGGATCCTTCGACGTGGTCAGGCCGAAGAGGCCCTGCACGAAGATGACGAGGCGGACAACAGATGCTATCGTGACGCTGTGCAGGCAAGTCAGGTTAGTTAATGGATTTCCCAGAGATATGGAAATAAACATGGAGGGATGGCGACTTACAGGAATCCGAGCAAGAAGACGAACAAAAGGGCGATCTTTGCTCGCCGGGGGATCTTAAGGTCGATGAAGATGTACAACGGCAGGCCGAGGATAAGTAGATCGGTCAAGATGTTGAAGGCGGAAGTGAAGGTAAACAGGATCCTCTGGTCAACGCAAGTACCCCTGGCAGTCGGGTCCCAGTTCCGCCGTATCGGTGTGCACTGGAAGACAATGGCGAAGAATGTGCCGATCATCTGGCTGATGTTGATGATGTTCAGAACGATGATGAACCGTCTCACCCCTTTCTTCTGCCCAAATAGACGCAGAAGGAAGATGAGTACGGATGATTTGACCAAGGCCAGGATCGGGTTGTACAGAATCTGCACAGCGTAGGCCCATATCAAGGCCTCGGTTGGATCGCGGTCGGTTGGTACCTTGTCAATATGAATACCGATGAAGTTGGTTTTGATGACTGGCAAGGATGGTTAGCTCCTGCAGCAGTGGGAGGTTTTCCTTGCGGGAGGAACACTTACAAAAGTAGCTAATCACAGTCTCTGCGAGTGAAAGGAACATGGCTATACTGATGAGCGAATCATCCCATCCGAACTGCTTGGTCGCAAATCGCCCGGCCACTCGAATGAGGACAACGACCAGCGCTATGGCCGGGAAGAAAAAGATGATGAAGAGAGCGAAGATCTGGAGCGATGTGGGCGATGGGTCGGGCATCGATCCCATCATGCCGCTACTCGCGTTGCCGGTGAGGGCGAATATCGCTGGGAGCACTTCCATTGTTCTAACATGCGCGGTAGCGATGTCGAAACAAGGTCCATCAGAATCCTTCACATATTCCTCGAGAGAAACGAAGGTAAGGTGCAATCCGGGGAAGCAACGAAGAAAATCGAGAACGTAAAAGAGAGAAAGATCTTGGAAAGGGGAAGGGGGGACGGGAGATAAGTATTAAGATATAGCGTATTCGAGAATGTGAGTCGACTGACAAAATAGGCAGATTTCTATTCCAGCTGGCGGCCAACGCCGTGCCGTGTCCATCGTCAAGCGCAATGTGGCGAGAGGCGGAAGACAGAAGGCAGAGAGGAAAGAAGCTTGACATGTCGATCTCGAGTCGACGTCTCGCATCGGGTCTTGGGGTTCAAACCCGCATGCAGAGGGCCGGCCGGATAAATCTGCCTCGTGTGTCATGATCCGGTTTTGCAGGAAATCTTGAGAAGTGGACAGGCGGGGCGGGCAACGGCAGCAGAAGCTGCTGCAGACGCTGCAGCGGTACTTGGCATTGCGTAGCCTGTCCTGTCCCGCTCCAGTTGCATTGTTTCGACAGACCTCGCATGTACGTGACTTTCCTGCTGGCAACGGCTGAGTGCACAGGCAGACTCCTATTGCCACCCAGCTCGTCGGAGGTTTGGTACCGCGTGGCAAATCGGCACAGCTCACCTCAGCACACGATACCTAAGAGGGTACTGCCACACCGCCATGCCCAGGCGTCGGCAGCGAAGTCTGAACTACATTCAAGGTCGTCCACAGAGCCTCGCCTGAAAACCCACGAGACGGGCCGGATAAATCACAAGCTCACACATGTCGCGAGGCTCTCCTGGGGAACCACGATAGCAAATGTTTCCAACGGTCCCTTGCAGCAGGGCTAGGGCTTTTGTGGGAAAGCGGAAGCTGAGAAAATCGACGAAAGGAAGGAGTAGATCTGGTCAATTGGCCATGGTCGTGGTCGTACCACAATGTCAACGGGTTCGGGAGGCATCCAAGGGCAGCAAGGGCAAGGGCAGGAAGGTCAGGACACTTGTCGGCAGATGGAGGATCAAACAGAACGATTGGCAGACGATTCTCGCCAGGGTATGTCATGCGAATCCAAGCAGAGCACAGAAGATACCTATCCGTGCCGGTGGTGGCAAAGCTAGGGTGCGGCTGCAAGCCAGAAAATGACTGTGGGGAAGAGAAAAAATGTAGAGAGAGGCAGAGAGAAGGAACGAAGAGAGGCGGCGTGGATCCTCAAACCTGTAACACGATGCGGCTCGTTGAGGGCGGTCAACGCAGCCAATGAGGGTTGAGACGACGTTTGAAGAAGCTCGAAATGGCAGTATGGTCAATGCGTTGGGGGGCGGCGAAGCCTTCTGATTGGCTGCCAGCCTCCCTTAAGCACCATGCTATATCGCAAAGGGTCCTTTTTGCCTATAAGGCTGTCGATAACCTCAAACATGACCACCTCTTATCAGAACTACCTTGGATGACCCACGGACCCTTAAGCATTACGATCCCAGTGGGAAAAATATAGGACGAAAGGTCCCTTGACAGATCAGTTGCCACCCACAGACCATGATAGGCATCCAAGGCATGGGAAGCATGGCACATCAGCTTCTGGATGACGATGGAAGGCCTGTGATGCCCGTCAGTGATCAGTGCGTCAGTGCGTCAGAATATCAAATACATCAGACGACGCACGCATAGACGCATGTATCTCTCCACCCACCCCCTTCTCAGAAGATGCTTCCAATTTCTAGCCAACTCTCGCCAGCAAACTTGTTCCCTTCCAGAACCTTTCACGTGTGCATCACGATACCTTCACCCCCCTTCAGCCTCGCATTGCCTCGCTTCCTCAATGGGAAGTACTCGCATCCACCATCTGTGCCCTTGATACAGGGCCTCACTTGCCCACAACCACCCATTGGGATCCCCAGCATCGTGCACCGCGATTGTCAGTCTGCATCGGACGAACGTGGACCCTTGTGTCAACAACCCATTTAACCATCTCAATCCACCCAACTCCCACGTTGGTACGGCTCTTTTCGCCCTCGAAGCAGAGACGAACCCCTCGAAGCAGAGACGAACCCGATGCCCTTTCCCAGACCGATGCGACGCCTCAGTCGATCTCCAAGCGTGGGGAAGGCACCGAATTTTCGGTTGCGTCTAGAGCATTTCCAAGTTCGCTCTCGCTCTCTCCCTTCTCTCTCCAACGCCTGCCGGACGCCAAGGTCGATTGGCGATCTGCTTCGGCTGGCATCTACCTGATTCTGGGATCTATTCAGACGAACACCGCCCGCTTCCGGAAATCCAGCCATCCGATGGTGACGAGCATCTCAGGGGTTTCTCCCCACCTCCCTTGAGCAGGTGGCGATTCCCTCGACTAGCAATCAATGCCTGGTCAGCCCTCGAACTTTCTGTGACGTACGTCTCTTCTGCCGTGGTGTGAATTCTGCCTATCCTCACTTCCTCGTCTCATCCGCTCCAAAACCTGGGGCCGGCAAATTGTGATGGTCGATGCTTCTCTTCGTGAAGCCGGGAAGGCAGACATGCTGCCGTGTCTCAACCAGGAACGAGGCACTGAGGAGTCGTTCGCTAGCCGGGAATTGTATTGTTGGCCTCGTCTCGTCCATGCCTTCGTCATCACCCCCTTCTTCCCTGACCTGGTCCTCAGCTACGCGTCACCCAGTCTGTCACTTCCATGCCTCCCGTGTCCGCTGGCTGATTCCTCGCTAGGGATGATCGATGCTGTGGTCTTGGCTCTAAAGATGTCAGTCACCTTCCTATTCTGCCCAAGACTTGGGGCCAATGCCGGCCGCTGAAGTTGCTCCCTTGTTTTCCAAACCTCAATCATAGTCTGTAGATAGTCAGCGGCCGGTCAATACTACTACTACGTTGCGCAACATCAAGGTAGGTTTTGGACCAAGGTGCCAACAAGGACAAAAGTAAAGTCCAGTCAGCTCTGGCAAAAGAAAATGAATACTAAAAATATAGTAGTCGGTCGTATGTTCCAAGCAGCATCTTTCTCTATTTTACCCCATAGCATGGGAAGCCATCTGGTCTCTCTCTTCGCCTTCGTGAATCTCGCACCTCTGCTTACATGGACAGCCCACGGGGAGTATGGGTATCACGAACAGGCGGGCAGCGCCAGTCCCATGACATGGCCCTTCTTCGCCCTAGGTCACTCACTCCTCAGCAGCCTCAGCCTCATCCCTGCTCTTCTTCCTCGCCTCCGCCTCCTTGGCCCACAGCTGCGCCCTGGCTGAGACGCGCTCCCTGCTCTTGGCATCCCCGTTCTGCTCCTCCCACTGCGCCCACCGCTTGAACCACCTCTTCGCCTTATCGGCCTTGAGGCCCTTGACCTTTGCGCCGCGCTCAAACACGTCGCGCACAACGGCCGGGTCCGCGGCCGCGCCGCCCGCCTTGGCGGCGGCGTGCGCCGACGCCTCGAGGTCGACCAGCTGGTTCCAGAGGTCGAACCTCTTGGGATACCCGGCCAGCAGACCCTCGAACAGCGTGCGCCCCTGCTCGGCGTCGCCGTTGGGCGAGTGGAACTCGAGCGCCGCGAACTTGACCATCAGCGGCAGGTAGTGCCGGTTGTCGAGCGCCTGCGTCGCCCGCTTCAGGAGCGCGCGCGCCCGCTCCGGCGCCCCCGCCGTCTTGTGCAGGAAGTCGGCGTAGTTCTCCCACACCCCGGGGCTCTTGGAGCCGAACTTCTTGGCGATGGTCTCGAAGAGTGCTTCGGCTTTCTATTGGGGGGTTGGTTAGAAAGTAAATCAAGGAAAAATAGAAATAGACCATGAAAGGAGAGGGTATCAACAAACATTATGCTTTCCGGCCCGGATGTAGATGCTGGCAAGCCTCTCGCGCACGACCTGCTCGTCGTTGTACGTGCAGGCGCGCTTGAACACCTGATCGACCGTCTCCTCGGTTCCGTAGGCGACCTCGAGGTTGAGGTAGGCGATCCAGACGTTCAGCTTGGCGGCCTCCTCGCGGATATTGATCATCTTGAGCGCCCGCTCCGCCACCTCTCTGGCCTTGGCGAGTTCGCTGACCTGCATCTGGAAGGCCATGTAGGCAATCCAGAGCTGCCAGTTGTCCGGCTGGCCGAGGAGGAGCCTCTCGTAATCGCTGGCCGTCTGCGGGCCGTGGGCATCCAGTTGCGCCGTCTTGTCTTCTTGAATCTGAGACGTCCGACGCTTTCTCCTCTTCGTCGAAACTCCCTCGTCGACAGCAGCAGCGCCACCAGCCTCGCCATCCTCCGCATCCAAGGCGGCGGCAGACCAATCAAACCCGCCGGCACTAAGTCCGGACAGGCCCTTTGGGGGCGCATCGGCCATGTCGACATCACTATCGGCGTCGCTGTCGTCGGATGCGAACTCGTCGTTGTCGGTACCTGTGATCACGATGGCGCCTCCGGTTCCACCCATAACTTCATCTTCGCTGCTGTCTTCGTCCGATTCCAGAGCTGCCCCGGCGTCCTCGTTATCGACACCCATGTCGCTATCGTCGTCATCATCCTCGAAGTACGAGGGCTTCAGACCCAGGTTGATCTTCTTGTTCTTGACATCCACCTTCAGGACGCGCGCTTTTACCACGTCGCCAGCGTTGTAGAGCTTTCTCGCATCCGGGACCGCGTTCTCGGCCATCTCGCTCCTGTGGCAGAGACCGGCAACATTGGCGGACCCGTCGATGTCGATGAACGCGCCGTACTCCTCGACCTTTCGGACCTTGCCGGCAACGACCTGTCCTTCCTTGAGGTCTGCGATGGTGAGGAGGGGCTTGAAATCCTTCTCGACCACCGAAGCCTTCAGACTGAGCCCTATGCGGCCGTCGGTCATCGAGGTTATCCGGCCCTTGACGACTTGGTCGACTTGGAACTCGTTCTTCCATTCTTTCAAGAATCTGTCTGAGAGGTCCCTGATCATGACGAAGCCGGTAATATCGCCACCGAGATTGACGAACACGCCTTTGTCGGAGACGTTCTTCACGAATCCTCGGACGATGTCTCCAACCTCGAGCTTGGAGGCCTTCGTGATCTCGCGATCCTTTACTGGAAGCGACGAGTTCAGCACCCGCGACGGTCGCGTCGAGAGCCGCATGCGCTTGTTGGGCTTGTCTACCTCGACAACCGATACCCGCACCATCTCGTTCTTTGTGTACTTCAACGGATTCGCCTCGTCGTAATCGTCTGCGAGATCGACCAGGTGGATCGGCCCAGCCAAGGAGTCGCTCAGCTTGACCATCAGCTGCCGGTCATTGATCTTGGTGACTCTACCAGTCAAGACAGTGTTCTGCTCGAGGTTTTCCCAGCTGAGGCTGTTGGCAGAGCCGGGAGACCGGGCCGAGAGGTCGAGGCGCCTGTTTTCCGCATCGACCGCGACCACTCGGACGCGGAGCGCCGAACCGATCGGGAAGCTGCCCTGGAGGTCCTGCAGCTGGGAGAGGTCGTCGGAAGCCTCGACGGAACTGATCCGCCCACGGACGTTCGGCGAGAGGTTCACCCACAGACAGTTGTTTCCGACATTATTCACAAAGCCCAGGTGGTAGGACCCGACTTCGAGCTTGTCAAATGACAAGGGCTGAGGAAGCTCGCCATCTTTCAAATCGCTTGGTCTGGCCGACAGCTCGAGGACGGAATGGGTTGATGACCGATGGCTGATTGGTAGGAAGCGGTGGTTACGAGCATCGTGAACGCCGAGAACTCGGACTCGCACAATTTGTTTGGTGTGGAACTGCTGCAATGGCGCCTTTGGTTCGGTCATCTCGTTCCATGCGTCGAATATCTGGGACACGTCGATCCGTCCCTGGATATTGTCTGCGAGCTTGACATTCAACTGGGTCTCCTTGACAGCCACAACCCTGGCCTTGGTGATTTTCCCAACTGTAATGTCTTCTATCGACACGATGGACTCGTCCAAAGGATTGGCCACCAGCGCCGCGCTCTCCTTCGGCTTGGTTGCCTTCTTAGCCTCCTCGTCTTCTGGCGAGGGGATAGAGACGACGAGTCGGCCATGCTCCCCGTCGACTGAGGAGATCTTGACTTTGACAGACTGGAACCTGTAAAGACCGAAGTCCTCTTTTCCTTGGGAGAGGCGCGGCATCAAGGACCGCGGCAACAGGGCGCTTAAACCTCCAGCGAACTGCACAAAGGCAGCAGTCGGGGTGATATTGCGGACAAACCCGCTGGCCTCGTTGCCGACCTTGGCGTCTTCGATGCTGCACAGGAGTTTCCCCTCTCGGGCGGCGCTGACCAGGCTTGGCTTCTGAGATAGCGTAATGGAGCGCCTGCCCTCATTCTTGTATATGACGACCAGCTCATTCAGTGTCTGCCCAACGTGGATTTTCTTCCACGCTGATCGGTTCTTGTTCATGGATTTATCTGTCAGGTGACCGACGGCTAGCATGGCCATCAGGGAGTTGTCGGATAGCTCGACGAAGACGTCGTCTTCGGTCTTCTGCGTAACCTTTGCCGAGACAATGTCTCCTAGCTTGAGATTCTTGAGTGCCATTTGCTTCTCAAGCCCGAATGCGTTGGGATCCTTGCAGGAAACGATCAAGCGTCTTTGATCAGGGTCAAAATTCAGGACATGAACACTGACAACTTGCCCAACACGGAAATGGTCCTTAGGATCGTGGATGTATGCCTCACTCATCTCCGAGACGGGCAAGAAGCCCCGAAGGCGCCCATAGAATTGGACAATCGCTCCCTTCTCCAGCACTCTAATGATGGTGCCCGGAGCTTGTAGGCCGACAGACAGCTCATCGAAGGACTTGATCGCGATTGCTTCCGAGTTGACAAGGGTCTTCTTCAGCGTAAGACGTAGTTGATGTTTGCTGGGATCTGTCGATAGGACTCGGGCCTTCACCTTCATTCCTTCTCGGAACTTCTTCTCTGGGTGTTGCAGGTGGACATCTGCGAGATGCATTTCAGGCACAAGCCCGGATATGCCTTCGGCGATCTTGACAGTAACGCCGCCCAACCCTTCTTTGTTGACGACAATCCGCTCAATAACACCGGAGACGACCTCTCCGACTGGGACGTCTTCGATCCGCAGGAAGGGCTGTTCGAGGACCGATTTCTCCAGGGAGATCATAAACGTGCCATCGAAGGCGTTGTACCCAACAACTCTTCCGGGGTGTGTCGAGCCGAGCTTGTAGGGGCCGCTGTTCTCGAATAACGCATCAATCTTCCCATCCTTCACCCGGGAGATGTGGACGAAGGCCGGAACTCCTTCAACGCCGACGTCCACGAAGAGTCCGATGTCAGGCTCAACCTTGCGAACGGTGCAAGTTTCAACAAGGGACGAGCTTGGCAGGACTGCAGAAGGCAGCACGGCCTTTCCATCCTTCTCCGTGGTCTTTGATGTCATTGAAAGGACATGGGGAAGAATCGAGATGCCTAACTTGGGGTTCTTCGCCGTTGGGAAGGTGCATATGACTCGGGCCTTTAGTCTCGAGGTCACTTTGTACTTCGCCTCGAGCTCGGTGCCATCGGGCCCAGCACCAGAGTGGACGATGTCGGCCGTGACGTCCAGGTGGCCTATGACCTTGCCCACAATTCCACGCTGGCTAACTTCTGAGACCAAGACGTCGACGACTGTGCCCGGAAGGAACGCGTCGATCGTAGAAGCCTCGGCAGGCCATTTCTTGGTGCTGCTGAGCTCCTTCTTGAGCGTGGTGAGCTGAGCAATCTTGCCGTTCGAAGCTCTACCGGTGACAAGACAAAGCACAACAGCACCAGGTTGCATCCTTTCTTCAGGTATGCTGCCGTCCAGCTGTTTCCTCGGCAGAAATCCTCGGATGCTCGAGTCCGCAATACCCAAATCCATGACGAACCCGTGGTCTTCAACGCTCGCAACTGAGGCCATGACGGTGCAATTGGGGACGACATTCTGATCTGACAGCCCGGAGTTGGCGTGCTCTGGTTGCAATGAGAGCTCAATGCGGCGTCTGGCCTTGCCTGATATTGCTGGCAAGGCGTCGTCGAGCGTAGACACAACGTAGGCTCGAAGATATTGACCCAGCTCGAAGAGAGAATTTGGATCTAGGCCACTGTCATCCTTCTCGCCATCACTGTCGGCGCCGTCCTCGTTCTCCTGGGAAGCCTGGGCCTGGATGCGGGCAGTGAGAGTCTCGGATACGGCAGCCAAGGAAACGTGGCCGACGATGTTGTTGGGTAGCGCTAATGCGATGTCGAGATCATTGATGGCGCAAACCTGGCCAAGGACAAGGGAACCCTTCACCAAACGCTGTGATTCTTTATTAGCATTAGGACTCCCGTGGGGGTCAGGAGAGCGGATAATACCTTGTAATTCAAGCTCTCGATCTTTACGGCATCTTCATCCCGAACTGGGAGATCGGGCCCTTTCTCTGTAGATTTCCGGCTCTTTCTCCTGGCTATCTTTTCTCCCTGCTTGGCCGACACCGCAGCCTCTTGCTCGAAAAGAACGTCTTTCTTGGCCTGGATTTGGATTTGCTTGTGCTCGAGAGGGGACAGAACGCTCCCGCCTCCTCTGGGGAACAGTGGCTCCTCTTCCTTCAACCGAGAAATCACAGGCGCATCTTCGGCTTTCGAGGTGGGAGCCTTCTCTTCCGTGGAGGTGGGCTTCCTCTCCTGCTTCGCCGGCTTCTCAGACTTGGTGCGCTTCGACGGTCGGGGTTCGGAGCTGGTCTTGCTCGATTTGGGGGCAGAAGGGCCCCCGGGGCCGCCTTTGCGCTTCAGTGAGCTCATGATGGCGTCGGACAGCTCGAGGAGACGCAATTGCAAAATTCGAGGGTTTCCCTTCCTTGAGCTTCGAGGTACTGAATTGTCTCCCACTTCTTCAAGGATGCACCTACCCACCGAAGAAAATTTCGGGTGGAGCAACGCGATAACGATAAGATAAAAAGGAACCTGGAACCCCCAAAAGTTTATCCGCTTCCGTCAAAGTCGGCGGCCCGCCCGGGCCAAGGGTGCGGGTCCGGCGCCGGGCCTTGGTTGGATCCACCTACAACCGGTTTGGCACGCACGTTTTATTCATGTCCTCCGTTACGTTGCCTAGGTACCTAGATGCCTATGAATATACAATTTTAACCGCTGCCAATGATAACCCCTTTGACGTAGCTGGGTGGCACAAGGAAATCAGTAGCATAAAGCAGTAGGTGGGTTTCCCCCTGTCTCTTGCATTTCAATCACCGCAGTCCACGTCGCTGTTATGTGTCAAAGGTGACCGACCCTATGGTTATCATATTCCCAAAACAAACGTAACCAAGAAACCAGTACAAACGTGCAGGACCAAGCCACCGACGGTTCTATCCAAGCCAAATAATATAAGGGTGTTATGCTCGCAAGGCAGCTGAAAACTGGAGCGATAATAAACAGAGCAGCAGTAAAGGTGAGGAAACCGAATCCGAATAAAGAAGAGACTAGCTGTCAAGCAAATATCGAAAATGCTGAGCGCTCAGAAAAGCCACTGACTGCAGCGGCAGTCTCTCATTGAAAACCTTGGTGCTAGTGTAAGTGGCGGAAGCTGGTTCATGACGTCTTTGGTGCTGTCAGGCGGGTACCTGTATGAATTCATGCAGCCCTATATCTCCAATTTCTAGGCGTAGCACTAGGAAATCAAGTATTGGGTAAACCTAGGCAATGCCTCTTCAAGTCCACACTATAAGTAAGTTCACCTATCAAACTCTAAGTGTATTCAAACCCGCCTTTTTTGAGGTTGGGTGAGAGGTCGAGTGCAAACCGTTGGCAATAGTGACCTATAGGTGCCCACTATCGGAGGCCTTATCGGAGAGGCGGGATATTGGAGTTCAGAGACGCCACGCGTGCCTGCATCCCGTAAGGCAACGAAACAAAGCACCCCAGCTTGTGCTGATTGATGATGCGTCCTAGACTTATTTAGTGTCTGCCCGACTGTTAACTGTCGACACCACAAATCGCTTTCTTCAACATGGGTCCTAGAAAGCGTGCAAAGCCCAATCCAGCAGAGGCCAGCTCAGCCAGTCTCCCAACCACCATGCCATCCCAGCCGAGCACTGCGTCACAGGCCAGTTCGGCGTCAACAGCAAATGCCACAACCAGCCCTGGGACACCGTTACCATCCCAGCAAGATGAGCCTGCTCATTCCGGAGGCTCGGCTCAGAAGCCATCTCAGCAGGTAAGATCTGGCTGGGGGTCTGCCCTTCATTTTGCGACCACCGCTCACCAGCTCTCTAGGTCCATAAGACGCGAAGCTGGTACGGGTCCTGGCCGCGAGCTCCCAAATCCACAGCCTCTACTCAAGTTGCACGGGAAACTATACTGGGAGGGACAACAAAACCCAAAGCGACTGCAGACTTCAGCCGCTTCGACACGAAGAGAGCTACAGACTCTGCGAGCCTCGACAGTACGACTTCGTTACCGAACATACCCGAGAATGGAAAGGACACGGAGGGTGGGGATCAGGAAGATTCGGGGAGCGCACAGGATAATGCATCAACAGTCCAGGCCAACGGCGAACCTCCGCAGCCTGACGTTCCCGTTCCTGATAGCGGCGGAGGCGCCATGGAGACAGACAGAGAGCAGCAACCACCTCCTCCGACGGAGCCACAGCGGCCATCGACCTCCTCTGGGTGGCTAGGGTGGATTTGGTCGCCATCAACACCGGGACAGCCACAGCCTATAGCTCCGGAACCCACCCCTGCGGAACTGGAAAATGAGGCGGATAAGGAGGAGGCAGCTGAAGGGGTAGTTTCGGCGCCACCTGCAGAGCCGGTCACAGAGCCGGTCCCAGAGCCGGTTGCCCAGGCCTCTCTTCAGGACCAGCAACAGTCGGCACGCGAAAGTTCCTGGTTCGGGTTCTGGCCATCGAGAGGTACAGATCAGGCTGCTGCACCGAACACGCCTGCTTCTGCAGCAGGGTCGAATCAACCAGCCGAGCCCGTCAGTGGCCCCGAAGACGTGGTGATGGAGGATGCGCCCCCTGTCCAACTACCCGATCCTCCACCCCCAAAGGCTGGCTCGACGTGGGCATTTTGGTCGAGAGACTCCGGCCCGAGTTCTGTGAGGACGCCAGCGACGCAGCAAGAGGAAGGGCAACTGGCAGTGATGGGCGAGACCTCCGAAACGCATCCAAGGCGGTCGGGCTCGATCGCGATGAAGGGCGCTCCTCCGAAGGAGCCACCGTTGAAGGCAGCGGACAAGGACGACCAGTCGAAACCAGCGACCCCGTTGGTCAAGGAGAGTTCGTCCAAAAAGAGTAAGAGGGTCCGCCCACAGTCGATGGATATTGATGAGCGCTCGCCTTCACGGCCGAGCACACCGAAATCCGACTCGACATCTAAGGCCGGACCTGCCAAGACTCCCACGTCTGTCAAGACTGCGGTGCCGAACCTATTACTCCCTTCATTCGGTAGTACGTATCGGATGAAGAAGAATCCTTCCATCCTCAAACAGCTCGCACAGCTTGCACAGCTACTCTTGCGGTCCCAACAGGCACCCGCGAACCATGTCTTCATCTCGAACGAACCGCCCAGGGTCAAGAAGGCCCTGGCCATAGGCATTCACGGGTTGTTTCCAGCCAACTATCTGCGGCCCATGATCGGACAGCCGACGGGGACCTCGATCAAGTTTGCCAACCACTGCGCCGAGGCTATCAGGAGGTGGGCCGACAGCCACGGCTGCGAAACGTGCGAGATCGAGAAGGTGGCTCTCGAGGGCGAGGGGAGGATCGCCGAACGGGTGGAGAACCTGTGGAAGCTCCTGCTCAACTGGATCGAGCATATACGCAGTGCAGACCTGATCATCCTGGCGTGCCACTCCCAGGGTGTTCCGGTCACGATCATGCTGCTCGCCAAGCTCATCGAGCTTGGCATTGTGACGAATGCGAGAATCGGCGTGTGTGCCATGGGTAAGCAGTGGTCTAATTGTGAATACTGGTTGAGCTGCCTAGCTAACGTTGCTGTAGCTGGCGTGTCCCTCGGCCCGTTTCCAGACTACCGGTCCGGTATGGGAATTCTCATGGGCTCGGCGGGCGAGCTGTGGGAGTTCTCCAAGCCTGAGAGCGAGATATCGAAGAGGTTGGAGGAGTCTGTGAAGGCGGTGCTAAATTACGGCGCGCGGATCACTTACATTGCGAGTATGGACGACCAATTGATTCCCATGGAGGTACGTTCGAGCTTTAGTATTCCCCCCCCAGACTGCTCGTGGCACATGCTAACCGTCTTTGCTACATAGTCTGCGCTTTATTCGCCAGCCAACCACCCCTATATCTACCGATCAGTTTTCATCGACTGTCGGATCCACGCCCCCGATTTGTAGGCATAATCTCATCCCAGTTTTTCCTTCTCTACGCCGAGATATACCTGCTGACCGTGACTCTCTTAGCATCGCAAATCTTGTTGGCTTTGCCCTGAAGTTGCGGAACCTCGGCGTGACCGATCACGGACTCATCAGGGAACTCTCAGTCCCGCTTGCTGGCAGCCTTTACTCTGGCGAGGGCCACTCACGGTTATATGACGACGAGCAGGTCTACGAGTAAGCCCAGCGTTTCCATTTCCCTCCTTGCGAACCCCCTCCCCTTTTTCTTTTCCCTTCGCACCCCCTCAAACCACTCCCCACGCTAACAAACAAAGCCTCGCCGTAACCCACGCCCTAGAAACGACAGACGTCACCGGAGCCCGATGCGAGATACAACAGCGACCAACGCAGCAGCAACAACAGCAAAGCGGAAGCAACAGCAGCAACAGCAGCAGCAGTAGCAACAACCCGTATCACCTGCCGTGGATCATGCGCGGCCTCCTGGAGGAGGAGTTCGTCCGCTCAGAGCTCGGCGCCGAGACGGCGGACCTGCTGGCGCAGTTCGACGACTGGAAGCCCGTCACCAAGGCGCTTAAGGATGTCAAGTACCGGCTTGAGGCTGTTAGGTCGAAGCTGTGAGGGTTTTGTTTTCTTTCTTCTTTGCAAGCGGTGGTGTTTTGTTTTTATCCTTGTCTTCTTGTTCGGGACAGGGGAGAGGGGGGGAGGATGGCGCCTAATCTAGACTGGTAGATGTGTTTAGAGATCGATACCCGGGTGTGGATGGCTCACCCTATTTTCTGGACGTCCGATATCTGACTATGACATGGCACGCGAGGCTTCACTTGCGAGGTTCGCCTGTGTGCAGATACGCAGGCCAGGGATATTTTCCATGGTATGGGGTTCTTGGTGTAACTGTCTTTTCTTCTACTGTACAACAGAGAGAGTCTATATTTACAAATGTGAACGGACATTGTATTTTGATACAACCCTTCTATATCCCATTCCGTGATAAACCTCCCCTCCCCCTCAATCTTCCCGAAATGTTGACTTACAATAACAAAGTTCCAAAACGGGGGCTGATTACTGGGTCTGCCTCCCCCTCACCGCCGCCCCAGCTGCCAGCGGTAGATCATATCCTGGATCTCGTCCCACCCGAGCTGCCGGGCGCTCGCGCCTCCGCCGTGGACCTGGGCCTCCTGGAGGACGACGGTCGGGGCGCCGCTCCCGCGGCCCGGGTTCCCGGCGAGGCCGCCGAGGACCTCGGAGGCGACGCGGCGGAGGTCGGCGACGGAGAGGTCGGCGATGCGGCGGGTCATCTCGAGGACGGGGATCTTGCGGCCGTGGACCTGGACCTGGCGGCCGAGGTCCTCGAGCTCGACCATGCGGCTCTCGAGGTTCATCAGCAGGCTGCTGCGCAGCTGGTTCTTGGCCCGGGCGACCTCGACGGGGCCGAGGGCCGAGAAGCCCGTGTCGAGCGTCAGGGCGCGCAGCTCGCGGCACATGACGTCGAGCATCTTGGCGGTGCGGCCCGGGTAGCACGAGGCGGCGATGCCGAAGAGGCCCGAGTCGGCGTAGCTGTGGTTGAAGGCGACGCACGACTCGACCCAGCCGTGCTGGTTGAGCACGTTGGTGTACAGCCGCGAGTACATGCCCTTGCCCGGCCCGCCGGCCGAGAAGGAGCCGCCCCCGCCGAGGAGCGTCTGCAGCGTCGCGAGGGCGTAGATGTCGTCCGACGAGATGGGGAGGCCCTCGAAGGCGAGGTGGATGTGGGTGAAGGTGGGGAGGTTGGGGTTGAGCGGCGGCGGCTGCGGGGGCAGCGAGAGGAACCCGCCCGTGTAGTGGGCTGGCCTGTGGAGGTCATCGGTAGTGACCGGGGTCGGGGCCGAGGGGAGAACGGAAGCCTTGTTGGCGGCCGAGGTGGAGAGGTTCTTGAAGAAGGGTATCTTGGATAACAGCTTGGACGGCTGCTGGGGGGTAGGAGGCGAAGATGTCGTCGAAGCATCCGACAGCGATGCTTCCGATGTTCCGCTGCTTTCCGATGCAGGTGACTCGATGGACGTCTCGGATCCCGTCCTGGACAGGGCCGGACGTTCCGAGGCCTTCATGTCGCCAAAGTATTGCTCCGTCAGCTTCACAGCTTCGGTGTGGGGCACGCCGGCAAATGCGACAACTATCCTCTCCGGCCTATAGAAAGTGTCTCTGTAGGCCTGGATGACGTCCCTGTTGATGACACCCAGCCTCTCCTTCGGGCAGAGCAGCGGATTGCCCAGCGTGTTGTCTTTGAAGGCAGCCATATGGACGAGCTCTGGCAGTATCAGCTCTGGCTTGGACCAGATCTCCTTCACCTCGTACTCGGCCGTTTCGAGTTGCTGCTGTATCTCCTCGTCGGTGAGACTCGGGTTCCGGATGGTTTCCGCAAGTAATCCGATCGTCGTCGGGATAGCCGAGTTGAAGGTCGCAGCCTGGTACATCATCGACTCTCTTGATGATGCACACTGGATGTTCCCCCCCAGCTGCTCGACTGCTTCCAGCATATCGTCGGCAGAGCGGTTCTCTGTCGACTTGAAGGCTAACCGGTCCATTATATGGCTCGTGCCACGGAGGTACTCGTTCTCGTACCGAGACCCGGCGTCAATGTAGACACCGACGCCAGAGAAGGCGTCTGGGAGGTCCTCGGAAGCCACTCGAACTCCATTGGGCAAAGTGGTAATCTTGTCGAGTTCCGTCGGTTCCTGCGCAGAATGTCAGATATCAGTCCGTCACTTGGATCGCGTCATCAAACTTGCCCTTGATTTGGGGGTGACGATGGTGGCGAGGGCGCGAACGCCCGACGGCCGCTGAGCGCTTCTACATGTTGAACATGACGGACGTATTTGGGATGCGAGCCTCGCAGCCCGCATTGTTCGTAGCATGGTTGAGATCTGCTTGAAGCCTTCTCAGTCCGATCATGCTTGGTAGAATCGTGATCGGCTTGTGGAACCCATCGGCGGCGATAAAAATGGTTATCTTATCGGCTGAACGCCTCTTTAATTGAATATGATTCCGATTGATAAATTTCGTACCCGTATAATTACATGTAGTCTGCCATAACCAACCATCGCTGTCGCCTGTGAAACCACCTGCCAGAAAACCCCCAGCCCGATCCCACCTGCAGCGCACAGCAAGGCGCCTACGCAATTGTTAGATATGCGGCTCAAGTGGGAAGTATGTTTAAATCCTGCCGACTTCCGTCGCTGTCAGCTTATGGATCGGCATGAGGCTTGGCTCAGCGCCCAAGCCTTGGGACCACAGCGTGGGTGGCCTTCGGCCAGTGAAACTACCATACTTGAAAGCACCAGGGACTAGGCACCAGGCATAGGCACCAAGTGTACTGAAATACGAAAGCAACGGAGGCCCAAAGGCGTGGCAAATCCCGCCAATCCTCTGGGCGATGCAGTTATGTCGATCACCCGTAAGCCTCGTGTTTTCCCCACAGAAGAACGCTACACGCCCTACCTCCGCGGTAGCCACAAAGTTACCGGCCTCCTGGTGTCCGGCAGTGCAAGAGCCATGTAGTTAATGGTTTATTTTTAGATATTCTTCTTGGGACTGAGCGCAGCTGAACTAACAGGAGACAAATGCTGGCGTCCTTAGTGGACACACGTAGACACACTTTGTCACCTGACTTGACCTTATAGTAGTCCAACCTGGAGGATGACCCTGTATTACCCGTTTTTGAGGTCTGAGGACTTGCCTGGCTCACCCTGGTTGGTGTGCTTATTGGTCCTTGCTGAGGTTGGATTCATTGTCTGATGTCATCCTGGGCTTGGGCGAAGGCGGACACGAGCTTCCCCTTTGCGAAGGCGGTAGTCGGTGGAAGATGATGACGACGGCTGCCGAGAGACCCGACTCGAGAGCGCTTCCGTTCAGGTATAAAGAGCATCCTCTGGTCCCAACTTGTGGCAGTATGTCTCTCCTCATCAGCAAGCAAACAAACATCATCGAGCTCAAGTTCATCCAGTTCCAGTACCAGATCAGAACCTCGCCCTGAAGCACAGCATCCTCTTAAGACGCCATCCAAGATGAAGTTCCTCGCCGTTGTCGCCACCCTCGCCGCCACTGCCCTGGCCGCCCCATCTGAGCGCCAGCAGCGCGACTCATGCACGCCGGGCTGGTACCGCTGCGATGCCAACGGCAAGGCGATAGACGTGTGCGACGCCGAGGGCAATTGGCTGGTGGCCGGGCCATGCCCGGACGGAACCGTATGCGACTACCTCCCCCAGAACGGGTTCAGCCTGCCGTTCTGCGTCAACCCGCCCGCCGAGAAGCGCGACCCAACGCCCCCGGCTTGCAAGCCGGCGACCTATACCTGCGCCAACAACGCGACTAGTGGGGCGGATGGTATACAGGTCTGCGATACCCAGAGCACTTGGCAGGTGAGTGAGGCCGATTCGTGGCCAGGCGGCCCCGCCCATTTGCAGTACAGTCGTCACTAACCAGAGTCCTTTCTTGCCCAGTATGTCGGCGACTGCCCCAAAGACTCGCACTGCGAGTACTTCCCTAGCGGCATCCCCTTCTGTGTCGCCAACTAGATGGGAACGGGCGTCGAGGCGGAGAGCTATACTCTGGGAGTTCGCTAATTTGATTTCGGGATCCGGCAAGAATCTCCTGCCGGCGGGCACTTGTATGGCATTGCCGTTCGTTGCTGTAGTTCGATGATAGAAAGAATCCAGTTCACTTGAACCAAGAGAGCACACCTCAAAATTACCGCCAAGAAAAAGAGTCATTCCAGAAGGTGGCGAAAAGCAACCTGATACCTGCCCTGAGTCGTTGCCCCTTATTTATGTAATCAGAGACAGGCCTAAGGCCGCAAGCGTACAGTCCGTCGCTAGTTCTTAAGAAGCTGAAGGCCTGGAAAATGGGACGAAAGGATGCAAGAGTCAAGAGAAAACCTTGAAGTGATTGGAGGATTACTTGGCCTTGTAGGTACTGTACATAGGTTTGCATTGGATGGTCGGATGAAAATCATGAAATACTGGTGTCGAGATAAGCTTTGAGATCCGCAAAGGTGAGTCTCGAGTTTGATAGGGCAGTTTAAACATATGATTGCCAGCTGGCAAAGACGTCCCGGCCCGTCACGGAAAAAACCTTCGTTGGGCGACAAAATTACCCCTATGCTACCTAGATCATTGTGATGGTGCAGCAGCGACTGGGAGAGGAAAATAACCAAGTCAAGTGTCTCATTCCACAAGAGTACAGATACGTAAGTTAGCAGTATCTGAGACTCTGCCTCAAGCAATCCCCGGTCCTCCCTCCTACCATTTCCGTCCTGGATTTCTCTTGTTTGTCGGCAAAACCTGCTGTGCCGCAATCAGTGCACGACTAAAATTAGCGCACTTGTGACCTACGTAGTTCGTAATTAGTGTAAATATATGCACCCGGCTGAGCCAAGGGTCAGGGTCAAGGCACCAAGGGCTTCTGAAACAAGATTCGCCTGCGGCCCTGGACAAGCAAGTTCCTTCCCCCCTGGTTGGGCTCGCTCCCGTGTATCCCTTGCGTTGCGATACTTGCCTTGACGATTTGTTTGCCAGAAATTCACCTCGCCATTGAATTAGCAAGACCGATGCCAGGTGAAGCGCCAAAAGGAAGCCCAAGAAGACGTGCTGCAAGAGCGAGCCAGGGGAACCTGGAAGGCAATACAAAGTTAGACCCCCGCATACATATCCGCACATGGTACAGTACATGCCTACCTCCCTGAGAACTGACAGGCCGCCGATCGTTTGATCCCGTCTTCTCGTCTCGGCTGCCTGTGTATTATATTATTATTTCGCTCTTCCCTCCGCTACGCAAACGCCAAAACCCTAGAGGCGGCTCCGTTACGCTGCTGCGGACTTTCAATGTTCACCCAATCCGCCGCAGTGCCCACCTCGCCGGGCTTCATTGGAAGCACAACAACCGTCACCACTTCCCCAGCGTCACCGACCTCGAGGACCAGCCGGCTACGGGGCCTCAGTTACCTAAGGAACTACACTCAAACTCATCTCTTGTCGCGAGAGCAGTCACCTCAACATCAGCAGCAGAATCAGAATCAGCATCAACATCACTCAGCAGCCAGCCCGTCCGCCATCTCAAACCACAACCCCAACCCGTTTGATTCCTCGTCCCACTCGTCTTTTACAAACCCCATCGACCTCGCGCGATCAGCTTCTGATTCGCCTCTCGCAAGCACGGCTACCACCAACCCCCCGCCCGCACGATCGAGTCGCTTCTCGCTGCTGACCCCGGGCTCCCATCCTCTTGCCTCGCCGCTAGAGCCGTCTAGATCGGCACCGTCGCCGACCGTGGCAGCTGGGGAAGAGTCGACTGTGTCTACCGACCGAACTACAGAACAGGCATCCTCGGCCGCCTCCTCAGCAGGCCCGGCGGCTACCACCATGACGAGGACACGATCGGCAACGGCGTGCGACGTCGTCAGAAGCAACAGCTCGGCGAACATCGACGTCCTGCCGTCGATCCGCTTCAGCACGTTCTACGACCCCCGAGCGCCACGCCCATCCCTGACGTTTACTCCCGTTTCTCGTACCCTCCCAACAGGGAGCGAGGTCATCCGCGTGGGACGATACTCGGAACGTGACAGCCAGCCAAACATACCGCCAAACATACCGTCCGCCGCTCCCGTCGGCTTCAAAAGTAAGGTTGTCAGTCGGCGCCACTGCGAGTTCTGGTACGAGGACGGCAAGTGGTTCATCAAGGACGTCAAGAGCAGCTCGGGGACGTTCCTGAACCACATCAGGCTCAGCCCGCCGGGCACCGAGTCCAAGCCCTTCCCCATCAACGATGGCGATATCGTGCAGCTGGGCATCGACTTCAAGGGGGGCGAGGAGATGATTTTCCGCTGCGTCAAGATGCGGCTGGAGTTGAACCGTGGATGGCAGAGCAAGCTGAACACCTTCAAGTGAGTCTCCCAGGACATCCCACGATCGATCGTGTTGCAGGTGCCATGTCGGTGTGGCCGTGTTGAACACTCTAGACTAACAGGCATCTAGTATGACGACGCATAAGCGGTTACGGAACATGACGGCGAGTTCTGGAAATGGAGCTGCGGAACAGTCCTACTCGCAGGATTGTTCGATATGCCTCAACAGTATTGCTGTATGTTTTAGGTTCTCCCCTCCTCGGATATTGCCATTCGCTGACCTCCAATTCGAACAGCCCTGCCAATGTCTCTTCGTCGCACCGTGCTCCCACACCTGGCACTACAAATGCATCAGATCGCTCCTCTCCTCCCCGTCCTATCCAATCTTCATATGCCCAAACTGCCGCGCAGCCGCCGACCTAGAAGCCGAAGTGGAAGACCCCGAAGAATGGGAACAACTGGACTCGGACGACGCGGGGAACGACCAAGCCGGCGGGGCCGAGCTCGCGGTCGTCGACAGCGGGACGAGTTCGGGGACGAGCGTCCCCGCCGCGACCGCCCCTCGAAAGTCTCGAGAGCCGTCGATGGGCGTGCTGATCCTACGGCAGTCCGCAGCATTAGCGGCGGCGTCAGCCCCGCCGGCACAGGCGCAGCCTCCGCCGCCGGACCCGATGGACGTGACCATGCAGCTCGACTCGCCGCCGCAAGAAGAAGAAGAAGAGGAAGAGGAGGAGGAGGAGATGCCCGACCACCACCCCGCCGACAGGCCCGACACACCGCCGTCAGACGCCGCCGACAACCTCGCCCCGTACGGCACCCCGGTGTCCCACCACGCCACGTCGGACCCCGTCCCGATACCCTCGTCGGCAGCAGCCGCGGCGGCGGCGAGGACTCCGTCGCCAACGACGACGGGGACGGCGAACGGCCGCGCCAACGCCAACGCCACGGCGCTGAGCGGGCCCGAGGGCCCCATCACGCCGCGCAACGACGCCGGCCCCTGGGTCTTTGACGGCAGCGGGGTCAGGATGCGTGGCGGCGAGGCGGCCGCGGTCGGGCATGGGCATGGGCACGGGCGTGCTCAGGCGCTTGCGCAGGCGCAGGTCATTAGTCTTGATGCTGCGGCTAATGGGGATGGTATGGACCTTAATGGTGCATAGGTGGGAAGGGGGGTTGGAGGATTTAATTTATTTGGGTTTTCTTTTTCTTTTTTGGCATGGCATGGCATGGCATTGCATGGCGTGGTTTGTGGTTCGTGGTGTGGGCGGAGATGACGAGGAGGAAAGATAGGAGAAGTTTGGATGGAGGCTGGTTATCTGTCACGGCGGACCTGGCTAACTGTGTTTCTCTCTGACATCGTTGTTTGCTGTGGCGGTTGTCGTTGCACATTAACCGGCGTGATGGGAAGGTTCATTCTTGGATGGAAGGCCAGGGGGTTGGTCGGATTCCCTTTCTTTTAACAATAATACGCAACATACCTACCTACCTTGCTGCCCACATGCTCGGCACGCAAGGTGCACTACTCGTCAACCGTGGGCATTTTTGGCCGGTCTTCCGTCAGGGGTTTCGGGTTCATAATCGTCAAGCCACGGTTATAAGCTCCGTCGCGGTCGAGTTGGCCCATTCTCTTACAATGCCGGAGACGTCGCCCTACGGCTGGATAGATGTACCCAAAGATTCAAGCCGAACGAATCTATCAAGCGATCGAAGCAAGGCCGCTCGCCAATATACAGCATTATATCATTCTTCTTCCCCCCACCGGAACAAACCAAACAACACCCCCCCCCCCCGGGCGCTCCTTAAGCTCACCTCTTAACAGCCGCCTTCCCGATCCTCTCAATCTCGCGCCCCTCGACTGTGTCCCGGCCGGCGGCCTCGAGCAGGCGCGCGAGGGCGTCGGCATCCCTGGCCTTGGCGGCCTCCTCGGCGGCGCGCACGCGCATCCCGCACTTCTCGTACATGGCCACCGCCTGGCCCGGCTCGAGGCCCGCGCACTTGGGTATGAACACGGACGCCAGCCGCGGGTTGCCTGCTTGCAGGACGAGGTTGTAGAACGGCTGTGGAAGGGCGGGTGTGGTTAGTATCCTCGTGGTTTCCTTTGCTACTGCTGCTGCTGCTGCTGTCTGGGTGGGTGGAGTTGGGGGAGTTGGGGATGGGGACTCACCTCCCAGCCGATGGGGCTCTTTCTCTGCTTGGAGATGTCCTCGATCTCGTTCCAGTCGCGCTTAGCCACGAGGGCTTGAAGCCTATATCGCCAGAGATGTCAGCAAACTGTTTCCCCTCTTCTTTCCCCTTCCCCTTTTGGGGGCACACACCTAATCCACCAGGCCACCTTCTCCGGCACCTTGAACTCGCTCTGTATCTTCTTGGCCCGGCCGTGGTACCCCAAGCGCACGAGCTTGAAGACGGTCTCGTTGACGCTCAGCCCCGCAAACGAGTCGGTCAGGTCGCGGTCGAGGGCCTCCTGGGCGCGCAGCAGGGCGGCCGCCTCGCGGAGGGCGGCCAGATCGGGGGCGGTCTCGCGCGCGCCGTCCGACAGCAGCCGGGCCGCGAGCGCGAGCTTGTCGGCCGCGGTGCGCCCGTCCGGCTGCCGGAGCGCCTCGCGCACAAAGACGTCGGCCCCGTCGACGCGCCGGTCGTCCTGGTAGAAGAGGTCCTTGAGCAGGACCGTGTCCTCGCCGTCGCCGTCGCTGCCGCCGTGGCGGGCCGAGGCCTCCACTAGCGCAGTGGCTGTCGGGCGGGTGTTGATGACGCGGAAGAAGGCCGCCAATGGGAGCTTGTGCTTAAGGTGGTGCAGCACAAAGTGCATCAGATCCGTGTCGCCGCTCTCGACGGCCTTGTCTAGTGCGAGCTCGTCCTCCTCCATGCTGAGCAGCAGCGGCACCTGGCGGCCCGCGCGGGGCTCATGGTTTAGCAGCTCCGTGGCCAGGCGGCCGCGACCCTCGTCGTAGGCGGCCCGCGCGATGGCCTCGAACGAGATGCCCGGCTTGCCCGACAGCTTCTCGACCACCATCCGGCAGATGGTGTCGTCGTCCTCGGAGCCGATGCGCACCTTGACGCACGCCCAGTGGACGTAGATCTTGTCGGTCGGGAGGCGGAGATAGCCCGCGACGCGGAGGGCCAGGAGGTACTCGTGGCGGTTGAGGAGGCGGGAGAGGAGGCCCGCTGGCGACAGACGCTGGTACTGCTCGTAGGAGAGCGGGAGGCCAACCTCGAAGAAGCGAACGGCGTTGAGGACGCGCAGTGTCTCGCACATCTCGACGAACTCGTCGCTGTTGTATATGTCCAGGACGGACTTGCCGAATGAGGCGGCCTTAAGCAGCTGCTTCTGCCAGTGGATGCTGAACTCGTGCCCCGCAGCATTGACCTAGACCCCCATCACTTAGCGATCCGATCCATTATCTCGGTAAATATTAGGATGCCCACTTACACAGGTGTCAACGGCCTCGACCAAGCTTGGCCGGATCAGCTGGATTTCGTCGTCGGCCTTGGGAGACTGCATCTCCAGCTGCTGGACCGCATCGAGTAGGATGGATGCTGGCGAGTCAGTACCGAAGCCGAACACCTCTTCGGTGACATCAGGGACTTTTTGTATGAAATCGCAAACGCTGTTGCTGATGACCCTCACTCCATCGGTATCTGTCAGGGCTAATTAATGCTTGTCCCGGCCTGCCATAACGACAGCATGCTCACCAGGAATTATATGGATTCTGCCATCGTAGAAGAACTCGGCCGCCGCGGCCCCCGGTCCAATGACGTGAACCTCGTCCTCCCAGGCAATTACGACGGCATCATTGCCGCACCACTCCAGGTACTTTGGCGGGATCTTCGATTTGGAGTCGTGCTCGCTCAGGCGTGTCTGGAAGTCGCTGGTGATGACATGGGCATTGCCAGTGTCGGTGTACAGAGCGGCAAACCTCCCGTTGGGCGAGACGCTGATCCGAGTGAAGGGACCGATATCAAGAAAGCGGTCCTCACATTCGGTAGCGTCCACAACGTAAACGGTCTGGCCGATGCTGAGGAGGACCTCGACTGAACGCGAGAGAGTGTAGTTGGGAGGGATAAGCGACCAGGAATGGACGTCCCCCTCTGGTGGTGAGGCAAGTAACTTGGGGCGTGGCTCCTCATACGAAGAAACAGATATCAAGGTGTTATTTGACAAGAGGGCAACAAGGCCAGTGTCGTAGAATCTGCATGTGTCAGTCTCGGACCAGGTCCAAGTCCAAGGAGAATAAGCAGAGATGCTCGTACCTGCAGGACTTTACACCGAATTCCTCGGCGCCATTGCCCAGGGAGAACTGGGTGAAGTCATCTTGGAGGCCATAGTAACATCTCACGGTGCCGTCGACGGTGATTACGAGCAACTTCTCGTCCTCAGACCAGCCCAGCCCTTTAATAGGACCTTGGTCCCACTTGATGCTCCTCAGTAGCTTGCCAGCACAGCTATGAATGTCGATGCTTGGCTTTGATGGCCTGTTGGCCCGGAAAGCAACTATCTTGCTTTCGTCTCGGTATAGAGCTGCGCGGCCCCGTTAGAAGAAGTCTCGTGCCACACAGGAGTCAGGGTATGGAGCATCATGGGATGTCTTAATGAGAAAAGCACCCCAACATCTATGCCACACCCTGCCTCGCCGAGGGAAAGTGGAAATGACACGGAACGAAGGTCTAAAGCAGAAAAGAGAGCTTACCTATAGCACCGCCATATGGAGCTCCGGCAACGATATAGTCGTCCAGGTCTAGGTCCTGGTCGAAAATGGCCGTGTAGAGCTGGGTCTTGCGGTAGAACCGCTCGCCAACCTGCTCCCATCCTGCCGTGGGATGAGGTGTCTCCATGGTTTGTTTATAACTGTCATCTCATTTTCATTGTCTTGCTGAAGGTCGTCACAGGCACAGGCACGTTCCAGGTGCTATTTGAGCGCTGTACGGATACTGTGAATGGATTAAGGTGTGTCACCCTGCATATGGGCGGGCATGATGAGCTAAAGCAGGATAATTGGGCGGGAGCTTTGGCCAGGCACCCCCCCTCCACAGCAGCTCCCCAACCCCTCCAACCTTCTTCCCTCAACCTTCCTTCTAAACCTCCGAAACAGGGTATTGTTGACCCAACGTTCCCCCCATCGGCTAGGCAAAGCGGATTTGCGCCGAGCAGCAACATGCCCGGCTGGCGTGAGGAGTATCTCGCGGCCATTCGAGAGGCCGAGAGGAACAACCCGGTCAACCGGGACCTCATAGAAGTCTGTACGGAAACCCCATCCCAACCCAACCCAACCGAATCCTCGACAACCCCACCCTAACCAAAACCTTCCAGGCTCCCAACTCGCCGACCGCATCGCCGTCCTCGAGGCCGAAAGGGCGGCAGCAGCACAGACACCAGCCGACCCCACCCCAGCCAGGGCCGCAGCCGGACCGGCAACAACCACCGGCGAGCCACCCCAATCCGCCGACCCATCGTCCCCGATCGACGGCCGGCTGCGCGTCGAGCTAGCCGAGGCGCACCGGTCGCGGGGCCAGATGCAGGCGCGCCTGCGGGCGGCGGACGACGAGCTGGTGCGCCTGCGGGCGCGGACGGGCGAGGACGCGCGGGCGCTGCGGGAGCTCGGGGCGGAGCGGCGGGCGCTCGTGGTGCGGTTGCGGGACCGCGACGACGAGCTGCGGCAGAAGAACAAGCTCGTGGCCGACGTGCAGGACGAGCTGGCCGTGCTGAACCTGCAGCTGACGGTGGCGGAGCGGGAGCGCGCAAAGGCAAAGGACGAGACGCGCCAGCTCGTCGACCGCTGGATGCGCAAGATGGGCCAGGAGGCTGAGGACATGAACCGCGCCAACGAGCCTGCTATGGCGAGGAATCGATGAGGCACGCGGGCGGCGTGACTGGCTGATATCGGGGGAAGCACCAGGGGAGCGAGCGCTGGACGCATTTCTACCGAGCACATACGAGCGAGGTCCGGAGGAGGGTCATTATGCGATATAACTCGCTCGACGAGAGAGAGGGGCGTTTGCTATGGCATCAAATTTTTATGCTCTATAGAGGTATGTGAAACTAGAACACCTCCATCTTTCCATGACCCCCCTCAAAAGCGCGACGAACCGACCATTCCCAGCCCGCTTCCCTTGCATGGCCAAAACAGATGCTGTATGCAACAAGAGCCTGCGAGGGTCCTGACCCCCAATGCCTGATCCTAACTCCTACACAAAACATGGTTATCTGCCGCCTGTCATTTCTCATCCGGCTCGATGCTAATCCAACAGTCATACAGCATACATAGAAAGACTCATCATTTCCTCGTCGAGATGCAGAACCTCCCCGCAGCACCTGTCCAGCTGACATACCCCGAAGGGTATGTGAGATTCTCGACCTGGAGAATGCTCGTGGCCACGTCATTCGAGGCGCTCTTGTGGTCGTGTACGAAACTCTTGAGGGAAACAACCTTGCAGCCCGTCTTTAGGTCCAGGAACATGCTTACTAGGTTATCGTTGAGCTGGGACGTGAAGGCCTGGTTGTTAACCAACACGACATCGGCCCGTTTGAGGGCTTCGTGTATGCGGTCGTTTGTTCGGAAATCGCCCCGCTCGAGATGGACCTTGCCCGGCGCAATGCCCCAGAGCTGACACCGGGCAGAAAACTCTCTGTGCTGTGCCTCGGCAAGGTCGCATGCGTTCTGCATCATCTCGCAGCCCCAGCTCTCGCAGCCGATCTCCAGCGCCGCTTGCAGGACCACGTTGCCGACACCCGAGCCGAGATCGACAAAGACCTGGCCAGACGTCATCTTTATCTTTTCAACGAGTATGTCGGAGACGAAAGGGGCGAGGAGCTCGCCATAGACGTTGTCGGAACCGTTCTCGTACTTGGCCAGAAGCTCAACCTTGGGTGCAACGGTCCGATCGTACACCTGTCCGAGGATGAAGGCGACTAGGTCATTTGGGAGGTCGTGGAGGCCGTCGAGGGTCTTGGCAATGGTGCCGTCCTCCTGCAGCGCCAAGAGCCGTTTGTTGTATTCGCCCACGGCGGCCTTGAACGCCTTCCCGTCCCAAACGTTCTTGCTCGATGCTCTTTCAAGCTGTCGGTACAGCCCGGTGGACGGATCGGTAAACGGTCGAGCATCCAGGTCGCTTAGATATGTATAAGCGACGAAATTGACTGCCTTCATGATATCCTTGACGGCGTCGATCTTGTCCTTTCCCCATACAAGCTCGTATCTATTCCGTAGGATGGCGAGTTAGCAATGCGCTGCAGAGTTCCATGGTGTAGACGGGAGTGGCAGGTCTCTGCACATACCTCTCCTGCTGCCGCGACCCGGGATACCTCAGTTCCAGGGCGACATCGTCCGCCGCAACCCCGAGCGTCGGCTCGCACCTGAGCTCCAGGGACGCCACGTCGGCGGCGTGTATCATCTCCACCCCACCCTCCCCACCCTCCCCACCGCCGCCTCCGCCTGCGCCCCCGGTCCACAGCCCGGGATGCCTCATCCGCCGATCGAGGTCCACCGGCCGACCCGCGCCGGCCCTCCTCCGCCGCTTGCGCCGCGCGCCCAGCGCGTCCTCCCAAGCGCCCACTCCCCCGTCGGCCCCGTAGCCGCCGACGCCGTCCTCCTCGTCGTCATCGTCGTCGTCGTCGCTGAACTTGACGCCCTCGCTCGCCGTCGACCGGCTGCTGGGCGCCCTCCGCTTGCGCCGCGCGCTGCCGCTCCTGTCCTCGTCGGCCGACGACGACGCGGGGTACGGCGACGCGCTTGCGCCGGCGCGGGGTCGCGGGGTCGCGCGCAGGCCGCTGCCGCTGCCGCTCCCGCTTCTGCCGCTCGGGGTCTGGTGGTAGGGGAGGGATCGCGGTTTCGGCTTCGGCTTCGGTTGGACGACGACTCGCTCGACGCGGATGACGGGCGCGGGGGCCTTGACCTTTCGGGGTTGGTTGAGGATGCCCATGGCTTTTTGATGCTTATATCCTTATTTTATTTATTTTTCGTCTTCTTCTTTCCTTTTCGCCTTTTCTTTCCGCCTGCTCCCCGTTCGACGACTTCTTGGTTGTGGCACGGAACGAGGCGTGGTGACTATGAGCCCATGAGAAGCGATGTGACAAAGCAATAAAGAATGCGCGCGGGCTGAAGCAATGCTGTATAAAATGAGCCCTGGGTATATAGCGATAGCAGCAAATGAGTGCGAGTGGTATCACTGCGAGGGCAAATAACTAGGGACGATAGGCATGCAGCAGGGAATGAATGCAAGGCTGATAGTCAAGGTGAGGCGGACAAAGAAAGTTGGGACGATCAGGGGATGAAGATAATGGAGGCCCCATAAATATAATTAGTAAGCTGTGGTACACCTTTTTAACGCTTATCTCCTTTTGGAAATGGCAGCCGTTTTGAGGTGCCTCAGGCCAACAACCCTAACCCTAACCCTAACCCTAACCCTTACTCCATGAACCATTCGTAGCTACCTAGCCGGTCTTTTTCGGCCCAATCTCGTCTTTCTTCGTCTTCTGGAAGCTTCAATCTGGTAATTGGGTGCTTGTAAAGTGAAACTGAGACGTAATCAGACACCAGTATGTCCTGGACGTCGTCAGCTTGGGAAGCTGTTCCTGGGTTTGTGTAGGGGTGATCTGCATCCAGGCCGACAAATTCCACGGCTTCCTTCCGCGACATATGAGCGATTCGGCGGGCCATGGTCAACATGGTAGACGTTCGGAAATACACTCCGGGCGTCGCCCCTATCCCCTTCAGTCCGTGTTCCAGGTGCTTGCGCCACCAGCCCGGAGCTTCGATTTTCTGACCACAGAAGCGCCGTCGCAAAGGCAAAGTATAGATACCGCTTTGCAGGCCGGAACTCGTTGTGGAAAGTCATGATCTTTCCATCGATATGGTCTAAACACGACTGATACGGGTGGAGCACGACAATTTGGATGTCGTCGCTGTTTTCGACAGGTTTGAAGGCAATGCTGTAATCCAGGTACCATTCGTAGTGGGCGCACACCGACAGGGCGCATTTGGGGCTCATCAAGTGCCCGTCCTCGTCCATTGCCGGTCCGAATAGGTGCCGCGCCTGGGCCTCCCCGATATGGTAGGGGACGAGGCGCGCTTCAACCACGGGATTGTAAGGCTGCTGCTCCCAGGACCCGTCGATACAGCACCAGCTCTCCTGGTACTGCCCATGCGGCTTCTCGCAGGGCCTGGTGCCGTATGCGTTTAAGACCTCCTCCCTGAAGTCCTCTTGGTTTTCAGCATTGACCTGGCGGTCCCGGAACAGGGAGAGCCTTGCTCGCTGTGGGTTCTTGCATCGACGGATCAAGAGGTCGATATACGCCCAATCGCTACTCCATTGACGTCCAAAGCGACCCATCTTGTTGATCCACATGCCGATGATCTGGTTCGTCTGCTCCCGAAGGATAATAAGGCTGCTCTGCATCTGCGCGACCAATCTTCTTAGTCGTTTGGACTCCTTCCAGTGCTTGTTCAGGCGCACTGGGGATTGTTCAACGAGGACCTTAAGGTGCTGATTTGTTGAGATGACATCGGCGTCGACGGCGGTAATGTAAGCCTCTATCTTTTTGCACATCTCTTCGTTTAGGAGCGCAGCCCATGTCTCCTCGTTATGATTATATTTCCTGGCCCAGGCGGCCTTCTTGATCCTCCTGTCGGTTGCGGCGGAAACCAGCAAGAAGTTGTCCTTTTTCTCCATCGCCGCCTCAACGTACCGAGCGATCTCCTTCTCGTAAACGCCATCCTTGAGCGTTTTGCGGATGTGGGCCTTGAAGCTGGGCGTAGAACTCGTGCTCTCAGCCAAGACGATTGCAACCCGAGCCTCTGGTGTTTCCTTGGAGAACCTCATTACGGCAATGTTCGATGCTGTTAAGTTTTCTGGGAATGGGAGAAGCGAGGGATGGGCAAGATGTTTGCGGTGGAAAGGAATTATTTATACGTGCTTCGTTGAGTCACAAACAAACTTTGTTCACAGATTAATTAAGTTTGGCAGGGAGAAAACCGTAACTTACACCGAAACACGCAGCTGAGCCTTTCAGGATGAGCTGCCAAAATTGTTTCCGAGGCCCAAGTCGGGACGACAAGTTTCTGTTAATCCCTTTTGCCAGTAAAGCTAGTTTTGAATAGGCTCCTGTCTCCCCAACACCAAGCCTGTCATCAGACCAAGTACTTTCCAAAGAATTCGACGAGCTTCGCCCCAGACACATCAACGTTGTCATACAGATCCGCGTGGGTCAGGCCGTCGACGACAAACAGTTCCTTCGGCTCCTTGGCCTTCGCAACCCCGTCCTCGCTGTACCACTTCGTCGCCGCCTTGCTCCCCGTGATCATCAGCAGCGGCCTCGGGCTGATCATGTCGTTATGCGCGAACGCATCGAAGTTGGCCATCATGTCCCAGCTCCTCGGCAAGCACGTATTGGTCGCCCGCGGGTGGCACGCCCTCGGCGTGCGGTAGTACGAAGCCAGGTCCCGGAACGACTCGGGCAGGCCCGCCGCGTCCTCGTACTTCTCGGGCAGCAGGTGCACGACGTCGACCTTGTCTCCCGTCACGTCCGACTCCCGGTCCCTCGCCGCCGCCTCCAGCTGCGCCCTCAACGTCTCGGGGCCGGCCGTGTCCTTGTCGAGCCCGCGCCGCGCCATCGTCCCCACGCACACGGCGGCCGCGGTCGCGACGGCGCGCACCCGCAGGTCCGCCTGCGCCGCGTGCGCCGCGTACCCGCCCGACGCGCAGATGCCCAGCACGCCGATCATCCCGGCCGCGTCGACGCCCGCGGCGGCGGCGGCGCCGGTCGCGAGGTGCGTGACGGCGCTCTTGATGTCCTCGACGCGCTGCGCCGGGTCCTCGAGGTCGCGCGGCGAGCCGCCCGACTCGCCCTGGTAGGCGGCGTCGTAGGTGAGGCAGGCGAAGCCCGCCGAGGCGAGGACGCGGGCGTAGTTGGCCGGCGACTGCTCCTTGATGGAGGTCCAGGGGTGGCAGATGATGACGGCGGCGCCGGAGCGGTCGGGGGCGTTGGGGGCGGGTTTGTAGATTAGGCCGGCGATTTTGATGCCGCGGGAGAGGAAGGTGGTCTTCTCCGGGGGTGGTGCCATTGTGGTGAGATCTGGCTGGGTAATCTTTATTTAATTTTTATGTTGATCGTTTTGATCGGCGAGAGTTAATTACCTACCATCTCCTCGTTCTCGTCTCCCCCTCCTTATATACCAGGGATATTTTCTAACTGAGGCGGTTCCGACTAATCGTCGGGACCCCGAAGATCATCGGGGCCGACAATTTTCGGGATCCGGAGGGGCCGTCCGGATGGAGGGTGACATCATCCGTGCCATACGTCGACGACTTCTTTTGGTGATTCGGAGATAGATGGAGATAACTGGCCCTTAAAATCGAAATCTGATTCGACTGATAACTGAGTTGATCTCGTCATCTTTGTCAAAGCTAGTCATTGTTGTCCATTGTTGTGCCTGATTATCTATGTGTAGAAACAGCTGGCTACCACTGAATCAAGTTGCAGGAACGGTCTAAATGCTGCAATGACTCTTGACATGCCAATAATTTGTTTGCCCCCGTATTTATTTGATTATATAATACCCTTTGGACGGGGTCCAAGCAATACTCAGTACCTACTGCGGTAATTCATCATGGCATTACATCGGGGGTTGCGGGCTTTTCACACTCTAGTGCCGACTGCCGTGTATTGAGAAGCCGTTTCTCTGGCTGATTGATAACGCTGCTTGGACATGCTGCATTCATAGATCGAGCTTGGACCTGGCGCATTAGCTACACACATATTAGAGACAAGATCCGTGCTATTATCTCGTTTCTTCCAATTCTATGCCTGTCCGCGTGTAAAGAGAGATAGAGTGAAGGCCGTCCCACATAACACCGGGCAGTCAACCCCCTGCCGTGAACCCTAACAAGTCACGCCGTAAACAAAACGAATTCTCCAGTCGGGACACAACACCCGGAAATTCCATCTCTACATCCAACACCACTTCAATCAATCCCATCCAACACCACTTCAATCATTCCCATCCAACACCATCTCAATCAATCCCATCAATCAATCCTAGCCAACAATGCCCAAGAAGAAGCAATCTCTGTTATCTTCTGCCCCGGGCAAGGTGGACGACTGCTTTAAGTTGCGCAGCAGTCCACCTTGCCCGAGGAAGTGGATAACAGATGTGGCTTCTTGGGCATTGTTGGATGGGATTGATTGAAGTGTTGGATGGGATTGAATGAGATGGTGTTGGATGGGATTGATTGAGGTGGTATTGGATGGGATTGATTGATGTGGTGTTGAATGTTTTATCAACCGTGAGTGTGGGCAACGTATCCTCATTTGGGATATATATTGAAGCGTGTCAGTCGGTGGACTAAAGAGCTCCGAGTCCTGTGACATGAGTGATACAAAAGAAGCTGCAAAACGGGAGGTAGATTTGCTAGTGATCGAATAGAGGAAACAAGGAATTAGAGAGTGGGAGAAGAAGGTATAGGAAAGAAAGGATAGCGAAATACTTTGTATAATCATACGCACCAAACAAAACTGCAGGGTTCCCTGGTTTCTTCTCGCTTCCTGCCCTTTTCCTACATACGTAAAGCTCTTACCTATTATCTACAATTGCAATTCTGAAAGATCTAATGCCTAACAGTATTGGGCTACCTAAGACCTTTAAACTTGTTACCATGTAATAGAGCGCCGGCCTTTTCGACTCGAGCAGGCTCGAGGGAGAAAATGCTTTCATGGCCAAGAGCCTGTTTAGAAACCTAGACTCGCCACATTTTTTAGTTGTGAGCGTTCTGATTCTTTGAGCTCAGTGTTACGTCCAGATATCTCGGATAGCCTGAAAACAATCTGAAACATAAATGATTTTTTCTCCTCCTTTCTGTTTTCCTCCTAGCTTCCTGGTGAGCAAGATCCCGAGGTAAGGGGAAGGTGTGTTGTGCTATTACAGTTGTAGCGCGTGTACACTTGTGTGGAGGACTGTGGGGGGAAAGAGGCGGGACGAACGGAGAACCTAGTTACTGACCAAATTGCCCTTGACTTTAATGGACATTGCTGAAAGTTGCACTCCCCTGTATCAAGACATGATGGAGCTGGCGGAACCAAGCCGGTGTTAGTTTCTCTGAACCCGCCTAGAATAGGGGAGAAAACGGGATACAAATCAGTAAATAAATAGGACAAGTAGGCAAATAGATAGACAACATATATTCTTGGCCGACGCTCGGGCTGCATGGTATTGTAGCCGGATGGTCGTGAAATGAAGAAGAAAATCAGCCCCCTTTTCATTCCTGGTTTCGTTAACAGAGAGCTGTGTCACTAGTATCAGACCTAAGTCGCCGCCGCCTCCACGACCCGTGTGAACCTCGTCGACGGCGCGGCATTCGGCTCAAAGTCCGGGAGTTTTAGGTGGGGGAACACCTTCTGGACCTTGCGAGCCAGGTACTGCGACCATGTGCCCCCGACGTCTCGGAACGTGGTTCCGGCCCAGCGGTCTCGGGCGACCGCCTGATCCTGCTCAGACAAGGGGGCCAGGTGTTCCAGGGGCAGGCGCTGCATCTCCGCGTTCCAGGCAAAGTCGAAGAAGAGGGGGAATGAATAGCGCGGTGGCGAATCCGGGGCGGGCCGGACGACGCGGTGTGGCCGGGACCGGAAGCGGCCGCTAGTGAGTTGGTCGAACATGTCGCCAACTTGTAGGGGGGAGAGTTAGTACGCGGAGGGCCAAAAAGGGGTTGGTTGGTGAATAAATTACTGTTTATAATGAAGGCGTTCTCAATGACAGGGACATCAACCCAGGCATTCGATGGTGAGAGAACCTTGACCGAGTCATCAGCTAGGGAAAGATTTGAGGGCATCCTGGAGTCCTGCTCACCTGGAGGCCCGGCGAGTCGACCTTCAGAATGGTGAGATAGCCAAAATCTGCAAATATGTTCAGCTTATGCCTCAATCGCATGCCCCTCATGATGAGCTTACCGGTGTGTTTGCCAATACCGAAGCTCTCCTTGCCATCTCCTCCTTCCCCACTCTCGGCAACCTCCTTCTTGACCGGGACATACTTGAAGCACCTAAACAGAACGACAGGCTCCGGTTCCAGAAGCCGTCGACGCAGCTCTCCTTCCTCCAAGCCGAGGCCCAGCGAGAACAGGTCCGTCAACGTCTTCCCCAGCTCACTCACCTGGCGCACGTACTCGAGCACGGCGGGGCGCATGCCGGGAAGCGACTCGTCCGGGAACTGGTTCCGGCCGTGCAGCGGCGCGCCGGCGAGCGGGTGGTCGTCGGCGTGCTCGGGTCCCACGTAGAGGCCCTCCTTCCAGTCGGTGCGGCCGTGCGTGTGCTCGCCGCCCAGCGGCATGTACCCCCGCCAGGCGACGCCTCCGGAGCGGACGTCCAGGGCCATCTTGACCTCGGGCGTCAGGTCGAAGAAGGCTTTGGCGGAGTCTACGAGGGAGGATTGCGTCTCTGGTGAGACGGTGGTTCCGGTGACGACGAAGAAGCCCCAGGTTGATGCTGCGGTGTACATATCTTGGGCGACATGTCGAGCCTCGGAGATCGACGAGGAAGACGCAAAGTATGCCGAGAGATCGATGGTGGGGAGTTCGTTGGCCATGACTAAGGTGTCTTAACGGTGGGTACTAATTTGTGTTGGATGATGAGCTGCTGAAGGTTAATGAGTTGAGAGTATTGCCTAGGTTGCGAACTAAAATAAAATAGGCTGGGTGATGGGGTGGGGATGTTCAGTCATAGGGCGCACTAATATATGTAGGAGGCCTTACAATGTGCAATTCAGACCAGACGCCATTGATCAGGCACATTTCACGTTACTCAGTCCTACGTCGCACAGCCTGGACCTGGTTATACTGCATCTCTGATGGCTCGTATTAACTTCTGACGAAATGTTAAACTCTTAACTAGAAACCAGGAAACACCAAAATAAGGTGGTGCCATTGCTTCCCTGTCTGAGATTCTGATAGGAGGAATGAGTCGATTGATTCTCGGATTCAGCTAACGACGAGAAGAAGGAGTGCGAGTTAGCTTCAAGAAATCAAGAAAGGACAGCTTGGTTGAAAAGGGGTAAGGATAGACCCAAGTGTACAGAGTAGGGGATTACACAAGGCCTTTTATTTTCTATTTTATTTTCCTTTTCATTTCTCTTTTCATCTCAGATTTCCACCGACGAATCTCAATGTCTGATTGGAAAGTACCGCTCGCTGCACGCGGCAACTGTGGTCGTCTCCCTCTTCCTACGAGTAATGATCGAAGAGCAATAAACAGTGTCTCCCAATCAGCACCTTTTTGGAGCCTGCGAATCAGGTGCTCCATTGGATGCGCGACATGCACAACAGGCAGAAACCTCTGTGTATAAATTTCTGAAGGAAGGCTCTGGGTCGCTCAGCTCGGCAACTCGTCAACCACACCTCTGACCCACATTTCAGATGAACTGGCGCCTTGGAGGCCGGTTAGACAGAAGATGAACGAACCCTTCGTCGACAGATACCAAGAATGGTTCCCCATGGTGGTGCCGGGGGAAGATTTTGACGAACGAATATGCTCTACGCGCTGTTAGTATTGTAAAAACGTGCCCCAAAACCACAGGTGATACTGACTTTTCGCTCAGCAACCACTGTCCCTGAAAAGGGGTAAAATGCGTCTGATAAGGCCTTATTGTTCACGTCTTCCTCCTATTTTGCCTTCTTTTGGCTAGTTCTCTCCTTTGCGGATCGAGTAATTCACTTCATCCCAGTGGTCAGAGGGGAAATCCTCGAGTCTAGTTGAAGAGGTACTTAAATGGGTAAAAATAAAGAAGTCAGTTGTCTCACTTCACCTCTATCGCAATCATAGCAAACAATATATTGAGACTCGCCCTTTCTGCTTCAACTACTCAATGTCGACACAACGAGGGCTTGTCTATCAGCAGTCATATCTTCCCCAAGGCTCTGTTTGGAGCTGGTCATCTTAGTGTAGCCCTTCCATATCTTTCACTAAGCGGCTCCCGGGTTTCAGTGCGACCCCCTGAGGCAGGTTAGTATGTTCTCACCTGCTCTCATCTTGGAGACACTCAGGCTGATTATCAGATGGCCTACTCCCTTCCAAAGGTAAAGTATGTCGTTCAGAGTGGAAGTCCCAGTTTGCGTTGCCTGAAGGCTATTGAACCGGCAATCCGAGTACATTCATCAGGCAGGGTAAGGGCATATAGGTGGTGAGATGGCCAGATATCGCTGACGCGCGTGTCAGGGCTGCAAAACAAGTTTCCGATCTGGCACCGCCAAGAGACTGAGGTCTAGATCGACCATTGCAACCAACCATCAGCAGATATGTGTTCCCACTGGCCCGAACATTCGGTACGTGTCCCACTTTGGCAGCCACTATAATTCCGGTTGGACAGTGGAGATAGTTGTCGATGCAGCTGGCAGAAGCTGATCACGACGTCATTCCTGGTCATAGCTCCCTGGCTTAAGGCTTATTAAGGATGTACGTATCTACATACAAAAACAATACCACAACAGCCAAGGAACAGCTCAGCGATATGATTGCCAAGATACCTAGATACAATACCTTGTTCAACTCTTGCCGGTATATTGCTCACAGCCCCGAAGATAATGGGGAATTTTCGATATTGTCTGTTTGCGCATTGATTGTACTGTCGATTTGGAGCTGATTGCAGAATATCTGTACGGAGTACACATTGTGTACACTGTAGTGGAGATAGCTGGTACCTAAGGTAATTATAGGTCGCTACTAAAAGGGGATGATCCTTGCCATGACATCATAGATCAATTACGCCTATGGGTCTAGAATTCGAAAGGTTGGTACGGATTCAGCCAAACAATATCTCAGCTGCTTGCGGAACTGCCTCAACATTCGAGCAACTGAAGAACCAGAGAAATAGATGAACACACCAAAGCATTCAGTAGCGGCACCAGGTCGCCGATTGAAGATGCAACCGACCCGTCGATGGAATGCCAAAAGCGCCAAGGCGGCTGTCCTGCATTCCGCGTAGTGGCCAGACCTCCAGGAACTCCCAGGAACCCCAGGAACTCCCATGGATCGAAGGGGGAATCGCTCCTGCCCCGGTCGATCATGATCGCATTGTATTCCTGCTTCGTAGCACCCATCTAAGTACCTCGGCACCTAGATGATCGTCATTGGGTGCCCGCGCTTGGCCGGGTCTCGGATTCCATCGTACTACCTAGGTACCTACCTACTCAAGCCATGGCATGGCACCTAAGTCGTGCCTGCCTTCTCCCTATGACGCACTCTATCTACCAAATCACAGCTCCACCAACGTCACTCTCACGCTTCTTTTCCTATAAACCCTCGCTGTCATCAGTTCGAACATCCGATCTCCGTCACAAAAGTTTCCATCCCTCCATAATACCTCAAATTCCTCCCTTTCCCCTTTCCCCTTTCCTGTACTACCTGATACCACAGCTTTGTGTCTTGCTTTCCCGCACCTTTGCCCCTATCTACCAACCCCAAAAGCAGCACATATACAAGTGATTGCCAGAACCGCAGACATGGCGACAGCAGTCCCCAACGTCAACAAACCGATGGACCTCAAGGAGAAGGATGCCGATGTCAACAGGAAGTTGCAAATATACGGAATCATCAGCGCATTTCAGAATGGCAAGATCCCTTCGGTACGCTTAGATCGCCCGTGAGGTTTTCCCGACGCTGTCCATTAACGATACCTGATATTAGAATGACCAAATCGATGTCGCCTTGAACAGCTTCCTCGAGTCCCGGGCGCTCTCCAACCCGTCTACCAGACTGTCCAACGAAGGCAAAGCTCTCATTGGTGATGTCAGAGAGGTCGTCAAGCAGTCAAAACACTTGCTACTGTCCAAGAACCAGGGAAATCTCCTCCAGGATTTCATCTGGCAGACGACGCAATTCGACGCCAGTACCGTCCATGTGCCTGGAGCCCCAGTCGACAAGGAAACCGCTCGCCGTCATGGCGATCAGACCCTAGAGGGTCTGAGGACCTTGGGAACTCTGATCATCACGAATGGCCAGTTCCGAAAGCTTCGTATGTCCATTCTCCACGGCCATTTGCTAAGAAATCTTGGGACTAACACGTTGAATAGTCAATGATGCTACCGTTCTTCTCCGCGACATGGCAGGCGATGCCGCTTCCAACTTGGCCTCGCAGGCCAGACCCTCGGAAGAACAGCTTTCCCAGATCGACCGCCCCGCCGTGGACAACACCTGGCATGACGCCCCCGACTTCTCCAAGGAAAACTTCAAGAAGCAAGCCCAGGGCGTCTTCAAGAAGCCACAAGGTGCCGATGGCACCACTGCCGCCCAACCCTCAGCCCAGCAACCCGGCACCACCTCCGGCCTCGATGTGCAAAGGGATCCAGCTAATGTAGCTGCTGTTGGCGCCCAGGCCGCCACAGAAGCTTCGCAGAACAAAGCTGAGGAATACCGAGCCCGTTTGAAGGATTACTTCTCCAAGAAGATGCCCCAAGGGCGTCGCGATCAGACCGTTTGGCGTCTCAAGGTAAGCCCAAGCTCCTCCCTCCTGTTGACGGACTAGTGGCTAACGCAACGCAGAAAATGGTGGTTGAATGCCAACAGCACCCCGACTATCAGCGCGCCATCTCTGCACTGCTTGACCTGGCTGATCAGTACGGCGACCATGCCAACAGAGTGGCAAAGGACGGCTCCGGTTCCCTCAGGGAAACCAGATCTGGGCTAGCCGAGGCTGAGGCCGATCTCAGGGTGCGTCTGCATGTCCCAAGCTTCAAAAGCCCCTCCATATTCGCTAACAAAATCGTAGACGCTCATCGAGCGCTTTGCCAATGGGACTTCGACCAGCGACTTGTGGGATTCGATCAACACCATCTACGAAGATGCCGACAGAGACCCAGAGTTGAAGGACTGGTTCAGGGCCATGAACCGCTACATCCGACGATGCCTGCAGGAGCAAGGTTACATCATGGATGACCATTCGAATGAGGAGTGGCACCGCCTCCATGATCACGGCAATTATCTCCTGCGCGAGAAATACCGGGCTCATACCAACCGAATCGTCGACGAGATTAAGTTCCTGGGCGACCAGTTCGAACAAGATCCCCAGAACAAGGCCTACGGCGAATCGATGAACAAGCTCTTCACTCACCTGGGCAACGATGAGAACGGCAAGCCCACATTCAAGCGTCACCTAGTGAAGGACTTGACCGACGTTATTATCCCCGCCATCCTGAAGAATACGCGGTACATCCCGCTGCCTCGTATCGAGTACTCGGATCACAAGATCGATGCCGTCATCGACAACCTCGTCCTTGAGAGCGACAACTTCATGCCCAACGTGTTCGAGATTTCCAGCGAGAACTATGTGCGATGGGGCCGCAAGCACATCGCCAACAAGAACAAGCACTCGGCCGAAGTCACGATTGCCGGCATCCAGATGGACCTGCGCAATGTCAGCTACTACATCAAGCGCAAGGAAGGGTTCCCCACTCTCACCGACACGGGCGTGGCCAATATTCTTCTCGGGGGCGAGGGTTTCACCTCCAGGCTGAGACTGACGTCGGCCAACGCGGCAGATAGCCAAAACTTCTTCAAGATCGACAAGGTCGACGTCGACCTGAAGAACTTGAAGATGAAGCTGACCAAGTCGAATCACAAGCTGCTCTTCAACCTGTTCAACCCAATCATGCTCAGGGTCTTCCGACCAGCGCTGAAGAAGGCGGCCGAGAAGGCTATCCGTGAGCAGTTCGACCAGTTTGACCGCAAGCTATTCCAGATCAAGAAAGAAGCAGACCGCGTCGCTGAGGAGGCTCGCGCCAACCCAGAGGAGGCTCCCAATATCTATAACCGATACGTATCCGCGATCCAGAAGCAGTTCCTCCACGGCAAGGAGAAGGTTCAACCTTCGGCCGACAAGAAGGTCAACCTCGCCGTCGCCAAGGACGAGAGCATCTTCCCCAACATCAAACTGCCGGGCGAGACCAGTGCCAAGGCCACCGAGTACAAGGAGCTCGCGCGCAAGGGCGATCGGTGGGAGAGCCCAGTGTTCTCTATCGGCAACGCCGCCCGAAGCAACGATATCCCGTCGACGCCCGAGATTGTTCGCAAGCCCCACGCGGCCGCCAATGGCTCTGCTACTGCTGCTGCTCCGAACGGCCCCGCGGCTCTCAATGGCCGCGTCGGCTTCGCGGGCGAGCCGATTGTCAAACCCTACCCCAATTACGGCACCGCGAGCTTGACGAGCGACCCGCGTGCCAACGCCGTCCCCACTTACGGCGTCGCCGATTTGGCGGGCGAGTCGAGGGTCAACCCCACCACCGTCAACCCTTCTGGGGCTCCTGTCATTGGCGCCGACGTTCTTGGGACGAGAATAGTGTGATGGAACTGTACTCGACAGACGAGGGAGAAGATGAGTGAATGAAGCCGGAAGAAAAAAAGAAGAAAAAAAAAGAAAAGGTCAGTATTATACCCATACCCAGGTGGATAGGCGGGCGGATGGAGGAGGAATTGCGATACCTATGAAGACGAAAACGAGCAATGTTGGAAGTGAGACTGGAACTGTTCTACTTGAAAGGTGTCTACCTAATGGTAACTCTGTATCATTCCTTTAATAATAGTACTAGCTGTTTGTTCTTATTACTTTACTCTCCTCTTGACCCCTTTCTCTCCCACCAGGATGTAAATGTTTAGGCAACACCCCCTGAGTGAGTGATCATGACCAGCTGAATCAGCAACCCTTGCCCCACCTAGAACTTTCGTCCAATCATCTCAGCGCCTGCCTGGATGGGTATGACATCAGGTAGGTTTTAGCCATCTCAGTGAAGACCATGTCGGGTTTTGATGAAGACGACAATGCATTGCCATGAAAAGACACACAAAGTATACCATTCAGACACACAAAGATGAGCCAAGCCAAACGGCCAAGGTCACCAGACGAGGATGCAAAGGAAGAAGATGAGCAACAATATGGCTCCGGTCCTCTCACCCTCGAGGAACTTAATGAGAAGTGGGTTCCGTCCCTGGCTGGACCGTAAACACGCTCTCACCTTTAGCTTCCTAGATACCCCAACCGTCCACGGAACCACTCAGAGACCCTCCTGTTCTCCGAGCTCTACCAGACTCTCTTCAACCCGCTAAGTGAGAACAAGAAGCAGCCGACGGGCGGCAGGCCCTTGCCACGCTCCAAGGCCGGGCCTCATGGCCCCTCCAAGGTCTCCCCGCACGAGCAGCGGCGGCACATCATAGAGCGGTTCATGGCGCGATGGCGCTCCGAGGTGGGGGACGACTTCTACCCTGCTCTGCGCCTAATCCTGCCCGACAAGGACCGCGACAGGGGCGTGTACGGCTTGAAGGAGCACACCATCGGCAAGCTCCTAGTCAAGCTAATGAAGATCGACCGCAACTCCGAGGACGGCTACAGCCTCCTGCACTGGAAGCTGCCGGGCCAGACGACGGCGAGCCGCATGGCGGGCGACTTTGCGGGGCGCTGCTTCGAGGTCCTGAGCAAGCGCCAGCTGAGGACCGAGCCGGGGGACATGCGCATCGGCGAGGTCAACGTGCTGCTCGACCGGCTGTCGGGGGCCAGCGGCGAGACGGAGCAGCTGCCCATCTTTGAGAAGTTCTACCGGCGCATGAACGCCGAGGAGATGATGTGGCTGATCCGCATCGTGCTCAAGCAGATGAAGGTCGGCGCCACGGAGCGCACGTTCCTGCACCTGTGGCACCCGGACGCCGAGGCGCTGTTCAGCGTCTCGTCGAGCCTGAGGAGGGTCTGCTGGGAGCTGCGCGACCCGGCCGTGCGGCTGGAGCAGGAGGAGACGGGCATCACGCTGATGCAGTGCTTCCAGCCGCAGCTGGCGCAGTTCCAGATGCCGGCCTCGTTCCAGAAGATGGTCGAGTATCTCGGCGTCACAGAAGAAGACCCCGAGTTCTGGATCGAGGAGAAGCTCGACGGGGAGCGCATACAGATGCACATGGTCGAGGACGACCAGGTCCCCGGCGGCATGCGCTTCAGCTTCTGGTCCAGGAAGGCCAAGGATTACACCTATCTCTACGGCAGCGGCTTGGAGGACGACAACTCTGCTCTTACCCGGCACCTCAAGAACGCGTTTGCAGACGGCGTCAGGAACCTGATCCTCGACGGCGAGATGATCACCTGGGACCCGGACCTCGACAAGATCGTGGCCTTTGGCACGCTCAAGACGGCGGCGCTCTCGGAGCAGAAGAACCCGTTCAGCCAGAAGGGGGCGCGGCCCCTGTACCGCGTCTTCGACATCCTTTACCTCAACGACCAGCCGCTCACGCGCTACACGCTGAGGGACCGCCACCGGGCGCTTGAGAGGGCCGTCCCCGGCGAGCCGCGCAGGATGGAGATCCACGGGTACGAGAGCGCGACCTCGGCCGACGCCATCGAGCCGCTCCTCCGCAAGGTCGTGGCGGAGGCGTCCGAGGGCCTCGTGCTCAAGAACCCGCGGTCCATGTACCGGCTCAACAGCCGCAACGACGACTGGATCAAGGTCAAGCCCGAGTACATGTCCGAGTTTGGCGAGTCGCTCGACGTCGTCGTCATCGGGGGCTACTACGGGTCCGGGCGGCGGGGCGGCACGCTATCGAGCTTCCTGTGCGGCCTGCGCGTGAGCGAGAACTACGTGCGGGCGGGTGCCGACCCGGAGAAGTGCCTCAGCATCTGCAAGGTGGGCGGCGGTTTCCGAGCCGAGGACTACGCCGAGATGCGGCACCACACCGAGGGCAGGTGGGCCGACTGGGACGCGGCCAACCCGCCGTCGCGGTTCATCGAGCTCGGCGGCGGCGAGCGGCTGCAGCACGAGCGGCCCGACGTGTGGATCCGGCCGCGCGACTCGGTCGTCGTCTCGGTCAAGGCCGCGTCCATCGGCCAGTCGGACCAGTTCGCGCTCGGCTGGACGCTGCGCTTCCCGCGGTTCCGCCGCCTGCGCCTCGACCGGTCGTGGGACACGGCGCTCGACGTGGACGGCTTCGACCAGGTCAAGAACCGCGTCGACAGGGAGGTCCAGGAGCGCAAGGAGATGGTCATCGAGAACCGCCGCCGCCGCCCGACCAAGCGGGCGAGGCGCAAGCTCGTCATCGCCGGCGCGGGCTCTTCCTCCTCCGTGGTGCAGCCTCGGACCGAGGCCTTTGACGGCCTCGAGTTCTGCGTCCTGTCCGAGGCGGTGAAGCCGATCAAGAAGACGAAGGCGCAGCTCGAGGCGCTGATCAAGGAGAACGGAGGCCGCATCAGCCAGCGGCCGGACAAGCCGGGCTTGGTCCTCGTGGCGGACAAGAAGGTGGTCAAGGTGGCGAGCCTGATCAAGGGCGGCGACGTGGACATTGTCAGGCCGAAGTGGATCCTCGACTGCCTCGCGCAGGCGGGCAAGAGTAGAGGGGGAGGCGGCGGGTCAGGCCCCTTGCCGTTCGAGGAGGGCCACCTGTTCTTCGCGACGGACGCCATGAGGGAGGTGGCGAGGGGCAATGCGGATAGGTACGGGGACAGCTACGCGAGGGGCGTCGACGTGGAGGAGCTGTCCGAGATCCTAGCGGGGATGCCCAAGCCGGAGGAGCTGCGGGAGGGCGGCGAAGGCGACTTCGACGCGGGGCGCTTCGTCGACGAGCTCGAGGAGCACGGGCACCCGCTCGAGCGGATCAAGGGCACCATCTGGCGGCGGTGCAGGGTCTACTTCGCGCTCGGCGAGGGCGTGTCGGACCTCCGGACCCTGAGGCTGGAGCACTACGTCCGGTTCGGCGGCGGGGTCGTGGCGGGGGGCATCGAGGACGAGGCGGTCACGCAGGTCGTGGTCGTGGCGGCGGACGGGGCGGCGCGCCGGGAGCTGGCGGCGGAGGTGCGGTACCGCGTCAGCTCGAGGAGGACGGTGCCGCGGATCGTGACGGAGAGGTGGGTTGAGGAGTGCTGGAAGGCGGACACGCTTGTCGATGAGGAGGCGTACGTACCTGTCTAGGGAGGGGAGATAGCTGGGAGGTCAATATATTTGCTTGCTGCCTTGTTCCGAGGAGGAGATACTTATAGACCCTTCGTGGGTAACAAATAGCCGGGCACTCTTTACTTTGCAACAGCAGGCCCTGGCCCTGTCTCTCTCTGTGTCTCTTAGATCAACGTAGACTCCATTTAACGCCTGCCACCTACCCCGAAACCACTGCCTAGGAACCACAACCCCTTGATATGCATGCACCCCACAATCTCACCGTGCCATCCAACCAACCAGCAGCCCGTCCGAAATGCCCCAGGAGCAACAACTCCCTCTCATCAACCTCCCCCCCTCACTTCCCAATGGTCAAGAACAACCGATCCCCAACATCCCCCAGCCCGGGCTTCAGCATCCCACGGTCCGTCAGCTCCTGGTCCACGCCCGCGAGCCAGAGCTCGACCCCCGCGGGCCACTCTGCGGCGGCGCGCTCGACGCCCTCCCTGGCGCCGACGACGGACAGCACGAGGACGCGGGCGGCGCCCCACTCGCGCAGGGTCTGGATCGCGGCGGCGCTGGTGCCGCCCGTGGCAATGACGGGGTCGAGGATCACGGCCAGGCTGGTCGGCTGGGGGGCGTCCGGGGAGGTCGTCGGGTGGTTGGGCAGGTTGTTGTAGTACTCTACTGGTTGGAGGGTCGTGGGCTCGCGGAAGAGGCCAAGGTGGTGCACTGGGACGGGGGCGGGGAGGAGGGTTTGGATTGCTGGTTGGGGGGAGGGGGTTAGAGGGTGGTGTTTGTTTAAGGGAGGGGGAGGGGCTGGTGTAAGAGGAGGGAGGGAGGGAGGTCACCTTCTACCATGCCTAGGCCGGACCGGAGGATGGGTACGAGAGAGATGGTCTCCGGCCCCACCTCGGTCGTGGTATATTCGAAGCCGAGGGGTGTCTGGTCCTGTATTGTTGGAAGAGTTGCGGTCAGCACAGCACGGAACGCTGGGTCAAGAGGTGGCCACTGCTGGGGCATGGCAGGCAAGCTTACCTGGGGACCTGGCGAGGCTGTGATGGTCTGGGCAAGGGCTTCGCAGCCTAGTATCATGGAGATCTCGTGCACCAGTGTCTTCACATCTCTTGGGCTAGTGTTCTTGGACCGAAGCTGGCTGAGCTTCGCCAACAAGCATGGGTGGCTTGAGACATGGACGTTGGGCGGTAGGGACGGGGCCGACATGATGGTGTAATAGGTGGAGGAACTGAGTTAGAGAGTTAGACGAGGGCAAGGGGGATCTAGAAATATATGGGAGGGTTTGTGCTCTTTGTGCTAGAGAGCAGGTTCTAGATATATCAATCTCAAGGGCTGCTTGAAGGGCGGTCAACGAGTGTCTGACCTGTTTGGGGGAGTGATGATGGCGGGGTATAGCAGGCTTGAGCGTCGATAAGCCACTCAACTCACAGCAGCTCAGCCCAAGCTTTACCAAACTCCGCTCTCATCTGGGAACAAAGCCATTCCTCCTACTCACCCCCTTGCCTTCCCTTCTTATCACGACTCAATCGTGAAAACCGGAAACTTTGTCAAGCTCTAGGTATCTACAGATACCCAGTATCAGATTACTACCTAGATTGTGAGGGTCCCTGATACTACTACCTACTGATAACTAGAAGGACGGGAGCTTATCCGCAGTAGCTTGCTCCACCCGATCCCGATGCCGTTATTTCCGGTACACTTCCGACTTCCAACGATATCATTAAGGTCTGACAGCAGGCTGCCATGCGCGCTTTAAGGCGGAAGCGCCAGTTGAGGGCCTCTCCGTATCAAACACCAAAACCAGGGCCACACAATGTCGCAGCAGCCCAGGGAGCAGGAGGGAATACCTCCCCCCGGTGCCGACAGCAGCGGCAATCCGGATGACGATGACGACAGCCCGTCCCCTTTCTCTTCCCCCGTCTCTCAGCATCGCCCTGCCGACCACGAGATACCCCGAAGCCGGTCGCGGGACTCCCGCATCAGGAGAAACGAGCGCCGTGCGTCCAGGCCATCGGTAGAATACGACATTCCCGACGCATTCCGCAACGACGACCTGTACATGCAACCGCCAGTCCAGAACCTGGACGGGGACGGTCTGTGGCATGTCAACTCGCTCGAGGATGCCGTCGACCGACGACGGAGTCTCGGCAGCCGAAGGAGCCACGGGGCTGTCAGCGAACCGTTCTCAGACGGATACCCGGGGGCCCGCTTGTCCCGGGCGCCTTCTGCTCGAGAGTGCCGCAACGCGCGCCGGCAGTCGACTGCCGACCCGGTCGAGTACGATGTCCCCGACGAGTATGCCAACCTGGACGAGATGATGGATGTGTCGCCGGTGCAGAATCCCGACGAGGATGTTATATACCGACACAGGAGCCTGGAACAAGTGAGGAATCGCGGACAGGAGTACATGCGCGAGCAGCGGCGGAGGTCGGCATCCATCAAGCTGGGCCCGAGGATGGATCGGCCAGCGCCGAGAAGGATGCTCACAGATAATGAGCAGAGTGCGAGGCCCCTCATCTCCAGGCTCGCAACCAAGGTCTACACCATCTCGTACCTCATCTTCTTTGCAATCCTTGGGACGCTGGCACGATTGGGTTTGCAAGCATTGACCTACTACCCCGGGGCGCCAGTCATATTCTCGTCCATCTGGCCCAACTTTGGCGGCAGTCTGTTCTTGGGCTTCCTTGCCGAGGATCGCATGCTGTTCAGAGATGAATGGGGCACGCCCACGTACGAGAACCTGATCAAAAAGTCGAGACGGAATGGCCGAGATGAAGAGACCGGCTCGGGGTCAGAACCAGTGTCGATAGACTTGGAAGCGGCAAAGAGGGCCTACGCAGCGACCAAGAAGACGATACCGCTCTACATTGGCCTGGCGACGGGGTTCTGCGGCTCGTTTACATCATTCTCGTCCTTCATCCGGGACGCCTTCCTCGCTCTGTCCAACGACCTGCCCACCCCGGCCGCCGGGCCCATCGTCTCAAGGAACGGGGGCTACTCCTTCATGGCGCTCCTGGCCGTCATCCTGCTCACGGTCTCGGTCAGCCTCGCCGGCCTCTTCGCCGGCGCCCACCTCGCCATCGCTCTCGAGCCCGTCACCCCGTCCCTGCCGCACCGCCTCACGCGCAAGGTCCTCGACCGCCTCGTCGTCGTCCTCGGCCCGGGCTGCTGGGTCGGCGCCGTCCTGCTCTCGGCCCTCCCGCCGCACGACTCGTGGCGCGGCCGCGCCACCGTGGCCCTCGCCCTCGCGCCCCTCGGCTGCCTCGTCCGCTTCTACGCATCCCTGTACCTCAACGGCCGCGTCGCGTCCTTCCCCCTCGGCACCTTCTCCGTCAACACCCTCGGCACGGCAGTCATGGCCATGGCGTGGGACCTCGCGCACGCGTCCGGATCCGTCGGCGGAGGAGTGGTCGCCTGCCAGGTGCTGCAGGGCGTCGAGGACGGCTTCTGCGGCTGCCTGACGACTGTGTCCACGTGGGTGGCCGAGCTGGCGGCCCTGAGGAGGCGGCATGCGTACGTGTACGGCTCTGTGAGCGTGCTAGCGTCGCTCGCGCTGACGGTAGCTATTATGGGGGGGTTGAGGTGGAGTGACGGGTTTGGGGCACTGCTTTGTACTCATTAGATACCCCGTTCGTGGGCGCTTGCGTCCCTTAGTACTGCTTAGGAAGTCCTTGTATCTAGGAAGCCAGGTTGCCTAGTTGATATATTCAACTTCACATGCCGAGTTTAGTTAGTAAATCTGTCTTCACCTTCTCTTGTTTGTGCATGTATCACCTCAGTCTCCTCCGCCTTACCACTGCCGTACTAACAAGGAGGCGTGCCGCATTAGCTGTTTGTCAGGGCAACACGAAAGCGCGCTGGTATTGGGAAAGTGGTTGAAGTTGGCCGGGTTCTCAAGACGGTCCAGCCTGTCAAATAGAGCGAGAACAAGCAAATTCCGTCTAACGACTAACATACAACACGGCCAAAGACAGCAAGTCCCGCGAAGCCAAGGAATGGTAGACAACGACTGGGGGATACACATAAAAAAATCACCGCGGCCTCTTTTTACAGTCTCGAGTCCCTAGCAGCGCACTTCTGGACGAAATCGACCACCCGCTTCATATACTCGGCCGTCTCCGGAAGCCCGACGGCACAGTAGAACCCGTGAGGCAGACCCTTGTACGTGTGCACGTCAGCCGTCACGCCGGCGGCCCGCAGCGCGTGCGCGTAAGCGATGCCCTCGTCGCGGAGCGGGTCCATGCCCGCGACAAGCACAACTTTGGATCAGACGTTCCGTTAGCGCAACCCTCGTTTTTTTTTTCAGGTTTCCGTCCGACTTACCGGCTGGCGGCAGGTTCCTCAGGTTGGTCGACAGCAGCGGCGAGTGCAGCACGTCCGGGCGGACGTCGGCGCCGACGTAGCAGTCCCAGAAGAACTCCATGCGCAGGGCGTCAACCAGCGGGACGTCGAAGTTCTGCGTGTAGCTCAGAAGCTCGTGCTCGTCCTTGTTGGGGACCCGGTCGAAGAACTTGGGGTGGCACATCACGGGGATGCTCAGGACCTGCCCGACGATGCCGGTGACGCCCTCGTCGCGCGCCATGATCGCGACTGTGGCTGCCTTTGGTTTTGAGTTCGAATGTTTAGCATTGGCTTCCTTTTGGGGAGGGCAGCCCCCGGGGCCGTTGGCTTTTTCTCTGCTTACCAGGTTCCCGCCGGCACTGCAACCGGCCACGATGATCTTCTCGGTGTTGATGCCGAGAAGGCTGGCATTGAGCTTGCACTGCGGGACTAGTTAGACCTGTTTGTCGAATGCGAAACCGATGCTAGTAAAGATGGGCTCACCCATTTCAGGGCGTCGAAGGAGTCGTTCAGGGCATACGGGAACGGAAACTCAGGGGCCCTTCAACACACGTCAGTAACTCAGTCAAGAAGCCACTTAACTGGGACAAGACGGGATTTCCCCTCCCGGTTCCTCACATCCGATAATCGACGCTCACCACCACGACATTCGGCAGCGCCCCGAGGTACCGGTTCTCGGCCTCCTCGGACTCGTGGGCCCCCACGGTCCAGCCGCCGCCGTGCATCCTCAGCACGAGGGCCGAGTTCTTCCGGGGCGTGGTGCTCTTCCAGATCTTGACCTCAACCTCGGCGCCGTCGCGGACGCGCACCTTCTCGTACGTTATGGCGACGTCCCTGCCGGGCTCGGGGCAGCCTTCGGGGAGGGCGGGCGGGGCCGTGCGGAAGAGCTCCTTGAGCTCCGCCATGGACATGTCGCTGTTCCAGACGGCCAGCATGCCCTCCTCCATGGGCGAGAATATCGAGGCCGCCTGCGGGTGCGGCTCCGAGAGGTGACCGTACTTGGGGCCCGGCTTGAAGGCCGCGTCCCCCCGCTGGACGTAGTCCGTCTTAGCTTTGAGGAAGCCCATCTTTACCCGGAGTTGATTAAGTCTGTGAGGTGACTAGGTGGTTGGCCAAATCTACAAAAAGACCGCAGACCGTGGATACGGGAATCACTACTATAAATTCACATTCTTGCAGCTGTTGTAGCCGGAGATACCGGCAAAGCCCTTCGTTCCAGGACCACGGATACCCGATGGGAGGGACCCAGGAAGCTGGCATCCAGAGTTGAAGCGGAGCGGTTTTGGCTCTGTTCTGCTCGCGATCCTGGTCATTTCCCCACAGTCTAGGCGATTTGGGGTTAGAGGGCGAGGGGTTAATTGGCTGGGCGCCACACTAAAGGATCAACATAACCGGGCGATCTCGTTGTCTCCCAAGTTTGTTGAAGATTATCTCCAGACCACAGGGCAGGAACAACACGATAAACCATCCTTGATCAATCAAGGCGATCAAATTGGCAAGTTCAAAGTGAAGTCGTGAAGGCAGCGTCTATGAACGTCTGAAGAAGCAAAAGAATGAGGACCCCACGTGAGCTCTTTACCCCTTTTCAGCATATGAGATCAGGGGCCGTGCTCATCCCAAGTTGGACAACTGACTTCATGGCTGAAGCAGCTCTTCGGCAATGTGGTTTTAGAGATCACGGCCAAGAAATGATTCGAGATAACTGATTCATGAGATAACTGATTCATGCCAACTCATGGGAACACACAACACACACTGTACTTAGTCATATGACCCCCAGATAAACGCAATTACTGTTAGCAGTGGTAGGTCTGCTTAGCGTATACATTTGCATGCACAGTCACTGACAGGTTCGCCGGGGCCCATTTTCATCCTCTGTCCAACTTCTATTCAACATATAGATTTTGCAGTATCAAGTATCCGTACATAACAGAGTGCTTTTTGGCAGGTTGATGGGAGAAATCTAACTGATTAGGATCGAAAATTATGAAGACCCCCGACCGGCCGACCCCCACCAGCGTCTTCAACAATATATCAAACCCCCCCCCCCCCTTGTCGAGGGGGCTAATTACCCGGTTCACGCAGCCCGGAATCCGAGCGCCATCACAAGGCCTCGGACGCACCCGTCCAATCCACCTGCAATCAACCAGCAAGCCAACCAACAGCCTGAGAGATGCAAGTGCAGCACACCACCATCCACAGTAGATCTACATGCGGACAGATATGACGCGAGAGTAGTTCTCAGAATGGCTAGTAGCCACACCGCTTCTCTGCGCTAACATGAGGGCGGAGTCTTGATAATCTTACCTCGCAGAAAATCGAGCCCGGGCGTAGCCCAGGAGAGTTAAGTGTCCATGCGATGGCTCCACCAGCCCATGTGCATTCGAGGGGCTTAGGAACTGAGTAGTTCGTTCTAGACAACGCGTTACTACGCAGTATGTACACTAGGCAATCAGGATCAGGGTCAGGGGTGCCTTTCTGTTTACCTCGCCTGCACACCTCTCTCGCTCTGTCTGTCTCTCTCTCTCACATACTCGGTCGTGTCCTCGTCGTTCGTTCGTTTCTCTCCACCCCAGTGCGTGCCCTGTCTCAGAGCCACGAGAATCTGAGATATCCTTCGTTATACCAGCAGCACTAGTTGTCTTGCTCCTCGACCCTTTACATTCGCTTGAACACAACCTACAACTGTCTTTTCCCGCGTGATTTCTACCTGGACTGGCGCCTATGACGAATTCCCAGTAGCTGGTCCCTGGGAGGGCTTGTGCCGGGCATTGCACACCACTGGGAAGAGTGCTAGAAAGCAAGACTTGCCCTTGAGAGAGTGAAGTATGTTCCCGTGGGGCGGAGGCAACCCCGGTGGAGGCTTTGGTGGTCCAGGTGCTGCTGGTCCAGGTGCTGCTGGTCCAGGTGCTGCTGGTCCAGGTGCTGCTGGTCCAGGTGCTGCTGGTCCAGGTGCTGCTGGCCCAGGTGTTGGTGGTGGAGGCAACGTATTTCCAGGCGGCGGTGGCCCCGCTGGTGGATTTCCCGCTGGTGGATTTCCCGCTGGTGGATTCCCCGGCGGGAGTGGTGGCGCCGGCGCCGGCGGTGCCGGTGGAGGTCCCGCCTGGCCCAGCCAAGGGGGGCTGCCACCCACGACCTCTACGGTTGCCAGACCTACATCAACATCCAAACTCGCCCCTCCCCCTCCGGCGGTGACGACGACGAAGACGACGACCACTCCCCCTGCTCCCCCTCGGACTACGCAACCTCCAGGCGGAGGGGATCGTGGGCAGCAACAGTCAGGTCAGGGAGACAAACCGAGCCAGGATCCAACTTCTTCGAGCGTGACTAACGCTCCCGGCTCTCCAGACAAGCCAACACCCACTTCGGTAATAGGCAATGTGGAGAATCCCGCTACCAGGGCCGGCGACGGCCTGTCATCATCGATGATCGGAGGATCCGACTCATCACTCTCAACCCCGCTGCCTATAGCGGCACAATCGAGGCCGGCGACGGAATACCCGCCAAACCCAACAGCTACCAAGTCTGCGCCGACCGATGGGCCGACTTCAGTTGTGGGCAGCTCGAGGGGCAATGATAGTAAGGGCGGATCCGGGGCCCAGAAAGCCGGAATCGCCGCTGGCGTTATAGGTAGCACTCCCTCCGAACCAGTTCCCCAAACCGCATATCTGCTAACACGGCCCGCAGTCGGCGTCCTTCTACTCTTCGCACTCATCTTCTTCCTATACAAATATCGACGATCCCGAGCGTTGAAACCCGTCATAGCGCCCCTGGGGCGCTTCTACGACCGCGCGGGCGGCCAGCCCAGCCCCATGGACCGGTCGCTCCTCGCCGCGTCGCCCATGTCCGAGACACACCCTGCAGCGCCCGCATTCGCCGTCCTCGCCGCCCCCGGACGCCGGACCACGGAGCCGCCATCGCGCGCCCAACCACCGCCCCCGCCCCCGCCGCGCAGCGCCTTCCTGGCCGCCCCCGCCAACAGAGGGCCCCCGGCCAACAGAGCCGCCCACGGCCACGGCTACAACTGGCGGGGCGGACCGCCGCCGCCGAACAACAAGCGCTCCAGCGCCAGCAGCGTCGGGGCGAGCAGCGTGGCCAGCAGCGCTGGCGTGCTGTCGCCGGCGTCCATGTCGTGGCCCATGCCGCCGCAGACGCCGGCGATGTCGTCCTCGGAGAGCCGGTCGGGCACCACCACCGCCGGCATGGCGGCGGCAGCGGGGACGACCGAGACGACGCCGACCGCCGGCGGGAGCAGCGTGTCGCCGACGCAGAGGTGGATCACGTTCCACGAGCCCGCCACCACGGTCGTGCGGGTCGACCCCAGGAGGCCGCCCCGGTTGAGGAGGTAGGTAAGGAGGGCTGGGGTCGCGTGTCTGTTGAGAGGGAAGGGGGCGCTCGGGTTGGGGAAAATCGGGGGGTTAATGTTTACTGTTTACTTGATGATGCGCTTGGTTGGCGGCGCAGATCGCCGCCGCTTCTTGACGATCGCGTTGGACGCGATGCCTGGTTTTTGTCCGGGCTACCTTTCCAGATGCTCCAGCAGAAGTCTGCAGCACTTCCATATGTTAACGAATATAAATGTACGTATGTATGTACAGTACAACAATGTATGCTTGTACGAAGACGGACCTGCTAGGTGCTGCCGGGTTAGTAGCGCTGATTCGCTTCCGGGGCAACAACGGTGATCATGTCTAAGACCCAAGCGGGTTGCCTGTTCCGACATTGCTTCGTAGGATGTCCGTATAACCCTTCTTCGTTAGTAGTTTCTAGTAAGAGACGGCCTGCAGTTGCCCTCTACAGCGCAGACTTCCAGCCGCCTTCAGCTTCAAATATCTTGCCAACCTCCCTGCAGACCCGCAGCAGGTGCCTATCCCGGTACCTCGGCGCAATGAGGGAGAGGCCGATCGGCAGGCCACTCGCCCCCTTAAACCCCGGCACGTTGACGACAGGCACGTGCAGCGCGGTCCACATGCCGTTGAACACGGCTCTTCCCGTGTTCTCGATCCCGACGGGCGCCTCGTCGGTGACGCTCGGCGCGATGACGGCCGTGTAGCGCGACGCGATGCCGTCGAAGACCGGCCTCAGCGCCGCCATGCCGTCGAGCGCCCTGAGCTGGTCGGCCCGGGAGTACCCGCGCGCGTTCTCGACGTGCCCGACCAGCAACCCGGCCAGCTCGTCCTTGTGCGTGCGATACTCGGGCAGGAAGCTCGCCCTCGCCTCGCTCGCCGTGACACACGCGTGCCAGGCCTGTAGCTGGTTGAAACCCTCGGGCAGCTCCACATCCTCGACCTCGGCCCCGTGCTCCCTCAGCAGCATCGCCGCCCTCTCCATCGCCGCCCGCGTCCCCGGCCCAGCCTCCGACCAGACCGCAGTCCTAACCAGCGCAAACCTCGCCCCCCTCACACCCCCACCCAGCACCGGCCCCGGCCCCTCCCCATCATCATCATCCCGCAAACCAAACACCTCCACCAGCACCTCCAGATCCGCAACGCACCGCGCGTAGAAGCCAAGCGTGTCCAGCGAGGGCGAGTAGGGCCTCACCCCGCCCCCGCCCCCGACGCCGACGGCGCCGAACGTCGGCTTGGCGGCCCACGCCCCGCAGAAGGATGCGGGCCGCACCACGCTGCCGCCCGTCTGCGTGCCCAGCGCGACGGCCGCCTGCGAGTCGGCCACCACCGCGGCGGACCCGGACGACGAGCCCCCCGGGGTGCGGGGCTCGTCGTAGTCGTCGTCGGCGGCGTGCGGGTTGCGGGTTGCGGGACCGGTTGCGGTTGCGGCGAATTCGGTGGTGGTGGTTTTTCCTGTGCTTTGGTTAATAACGTTTTGTGTTAAAATTAAAATCAAAATCAAAATTAAAATTAAAATAAAATAAAAAAGGTATTGCCGCTGTTAGGAAATAGAGCCTCGAGTCTTTCAGGGTTGCGATCGGGTTGGTTCGGAGTTTAGCCCCGGGAGGACGGAAGAGTGGAGTCAGGATCGTTGGAACATACCGAGGATGAGAGCTCCGGCTTGCCGGAGGATCATGACACAGCCGGCATCTAGTGCGGGTTCATGGCCGGTGTATATCGGCGAGTTATACTGAGTCGGCATGTCTAGGACTCGTCATCAGCGCACCCTGTCCATTCTCCGGTGCTTCGGTACTTGATGAGCTCACCCTTGGTGCTGATGATGTCCTTGACGCCGACGGCTACCCCATGGAGCGGCCCTCGCTTTTCTGGGGGGACTCTGTCTAGCTGCTTCGCCTGTTCCAGGACCAGCTCCGGATCCAGGAAGGCCCAGGCCTTGACAGCCGGGTCCCGCTGCTCGATCCGGGAAAGCAGTGAGAGAGCATATTGCTCGACTGTGAGATGCCCCGACTTGATCTGCTCGATCACTTGGGTAGCAGTGAGCCTGTACGGTTCCATACCCGTTTATTTTGCTCGCACGGTAATGAAATAAGGGTATTCTGGTCGTTGGTTTCTACCAAATCAGACGGACTGGTTGGAGTAATAATGCTCGGGCAGCTTCTGGGCTCCGCCGGGGCGGAGAACTTAACCTTCCACCTGTGTTACGCGATACTAACGTGGACCGACTGATCATTGCCAAAGTGGTCCTCCGTATTACGTACTTTGACCGCCTAGCGCAATCTCATCTCATATATACCATCCGGACTGTCTAGATCGTCTCTTCGGAAGCTCGGACGATATTGTGTTTCCTGGGACCTTTATCGCCAGACCGCGCTCAATTCTGAATCTATGGACCTCAGTGCTCAGTTAGCTCATCCACCACCCCGTTCTTTTGGCCATCTCTTGCTACGCGACCGGCGGCCGGAAAGTAGTGTAAAATATCCACGACCACCTGCTGGGGAGGTAAGGATTGGGAACCAGGCAATGTTCCCCGTCTGAAATGACAAGAGCCATAGCAGATGCCGACAGGGCAGGCAAGACGACAAGCTGACCAAATCCCTCCAAATATATCCTAGGCATTCCAATGGCTAGCCGATCCGTACATAATGTTCCAAAGTCTTGTGTGAGAGCTGAAAAACTGCACCTCGGATGTCCTTGCCTGCTCAGAGGTGAAGTCGGGGACTCCAGAGTCAAGAAAGGGGTCAGTATACATGAACCTGTGGAAGTCAGACTGCCGACAAGGGGTACAGGGGCGAGGATGTCACCCGTAGGAGGTATAGTCTTATCGAAACTTGGTTAACAAGGCATTGATTTAGGTAGCATATAAAACACCACTCAATTGTTGTTTTGCTGTGTGATTCTTGTGCGTTGGCTGAACTTCCCAGTGCCGGAAGCCATTCTGAAGGTTACAGGCAATGCACAAAAAGCTGAGCGCCGGGAAGCTTCATAGTGTGAATCAACTGGTCGGAGATTAAGGATTATCCGCCCGTTTGGCGTAGTGGTAGCGCGTGTCACTTGTACCAAACCATCAGTGCAATGACAAGGTCGATCGTTCGATCCGGTCAATGGGCATTCCTTTTTTTTTGGCGTCGTTTTGCTTACATTCTGCATGTAAATATCGACGATGGTCGATCTCTTCTTCGCCTTTGTTGGTTTTTTCCAGAACAGGAACTCCCATATTGACTACCTCTTTCCTAATCACTTGCAAGTTTGTCTTTTCTTTGGTTCTTTTTTTGTGGTTTATTATGACTTAATAAGTTATCGTGACAAAAAGTTCATATAAGGAGTGTACGAAGTGTACGGTTGACAAGACCGAAGCCCGTCGCTGATTTTCCAGTAGATGGTCCGTCCAATCCCAAAATTACAAACCAAAAACATTAAGAATTACTGCGCCGTACATAGTCGAATCCCTCACCAGTCCTGTCCCCACCGGTTGCACTTCTTGTCAACATTGATCTTCTTGTTCTCAGAGAGGCAGTCGGTGTACTGAGTCTTGCACTTATTGGAGGCAGTGCTGTAGTTATCCTTCCACCCGCCAAAGGTCCGCCTGACGTTCGCCGGCGAGCTGGAGGCGTAGTCAAAGTACGTCTTGTCGCCGTCCCGCTTCCACCAGCCGCCCCAGGCGCTACCACCGCCGCCGAAGAAGCCCGGGGGCGAGCTCGGGCCGCCCTTGTTGCCGGCGCTCCAGCCGTTGGGGCCCCAGCCGCCGCGCACGTCCCAGTAGCTGGAGCCGCTGGACCCGCCGTTGGCGGCCTTGCAGCCCTCGGCGTAGACGGTCACGCAGTCGTCGTACTGGGCCTTGCAGGCGTCGGCGCAGGCGTCGGGGACGCGCGTCCGCGGGTACCCCGAGCACCGGGAGCTGTCGCTGTCCGTGTACAGCTTGAACGGCTTCTGGGTGAAGTCGTTCTTCAGGTCATTGCACGTCACCACGGGGAGCTCGACGCCGCCCACGGGGTTGCCGGGCCCGTAGCCGTCCTTGTTGCTCGTCGGCTGCTTGCAGATGTTGGTGACGGTCGGGATCGGGCACTGCGTCGACGTCGTGGTGGTGGGCTTGGTCGTGGTCTTGGCCGTCGTGGTGGGCTTGCAGGGGACGGTCACCGTCTTGGTGGTCGGCGGCTTGCCGCCCTTGGGTGGCAACCTGGAGAAGCAGTCCTTCTTGTTGAAGATGGTGCGCTTCTTCGAGGTGGAGCAGTAGTCGTTGATGCCCGCGCACCAGCCGGCGAAGTCGAAGCAGTCCATGGCTGCGGGCCACCCGGCGTTCTTGAAGCAGGCGGTGATCTGGAGCTTGCAGCTCGAGTGGCTAGACCTGCAGTTCGAGGCATTGTCCCAGTCGGGCAGCTCGTTGGAGCACCACTTTCCGCATCCGTATTCACACTTGGAGGGGACAGTGGTTGTAGACACGCAGACAGAGCTGGTGGGAGTGGTGGTTGGCGGGGGAGTTGTTGTGGGAGGCGGTGTCGTGGTCGGCTCAGATGGCGGGACATAGCCGCAAGGCTCCAGAGACTCGAGCTCCTTGGCGACATAGAGGCTCAGGCGAGCTCGACCGCCGCATGTCTCGGAAGAATCCCCGTTGCAGGGCATCGAACAATCAGACTCAGGGGCGGAATAGGTATCGTACCCGATGACCATACCGCACCAGCATTCGCCTGATCGGATGAATTAGCTGTCACGGTTCGCCTGCCAAAGTGTGGTGTGGTTGAATACATACCGCCATACTCGGTACCGGCGAAGGGGTAACCGCCATCCCGGCAAGCCTTCAAGCAGCTCTCGGTGGTGAGCGAGTCGCCATTGACTTGATCCTGGGGCCAAGAGAGAGCGCGGCCCTGGGTCGAGTCATCGCTCCAGCAGCCAAGAGGAACGTAGTCCTCGACAGTGACCTCGTCAATGGGCAAGAAGGTTGGATCCTGGTAGACGGAGAGCTGGTTGTTTCCACCGCAAGTCTGGGATTTGTCGCCGGTGCAGGGGAAGCTGCATTCGGACTCGTCCAGCTGAGCACCGGCGACCGTGTTTCCGCAGAAGCACACGCCGTAATACTCGAGTCCGGCATATCGGTAGCCGTTACCCTTGCACTCAGCCATACACTTCTCGACGGTCATAGTCTGGCTGTCCTCATCGCTGCGGAAGCTCAGAGCGGCCGGGTTGCCATCCTGGAAACAGCCGGAGTAGACAAAGGGCTTGAAGGGAGAGACACATGGAGGCAGGTCGATGTTGGTGGCGTGAGCATGGTTAACGAGAGCAACCGCCGCCAAGGTGGCAGCGAACGACCTGATAGCGGCCATGATGGTCCGAGGTTGACCAGAGTGAAGTAGCGAATGTGAGAGGGAAGATAAATATCTTGCCCTTGGAAAAACGATCGACTGGGGATGGGCTCAAGAAGAAGGTCTGGAAAGGAGGACCATCCAGAGGGTATATATATGCCGAGGCATCCTACGGCAGATAGACTTGCCCGTCTCTCAAGGTCCAGGGATACAGCGCCACGATCCAGGGCTTTAAGTCGAGCTTTGCTTCTCCATACTTCACAATGCCACCCCATGTTGGGGCTGACTTGCAAGATTCGGCCTAGTCTCTACGGTTTGTTGGTACCCAGCACTCGCTTCGGTTCTCGCTCCTCTTTCCCTGATCGGCTGAGGTCCGCATGCAGACGCCATGACCCCAGAGAAGCAACGGTTCGCGAGAGCTAACCAACAGTCAAGAGCCCTGTGCAACCATGGCGTGGTCCATTGGCCAGTTAGGGCTGGGCGGAACGCGCGGGTTCCGCTATGTAATTTTGCATGGCCACCTAATAGCGCAACCAGGATAGTTGCCCAGCTGGAACGGGGAAGGGGAAGGGGAAGGGGAAGGGGAAAAGGAACGGTCGGCACGCATCGCTAGAAAGTCATATTTTGTGGCGTTGCGCTTTGTCGAGTCTTCGCCTTGTCTACGGAGCACGCGTACACAAAACAGGCATCGCCTGTGATCCACAACAATCCAGGCCCAAGGGGTCCCAACGTCCAAAATTCCTTGCCCGCAGAAGCCGAAAAAGGGGCAGGCCTGGTGTTGTTGCCCCCGAATAGGTCTAGTCTGCACGCAGTGATGGGACCCAGGGGGGTGTCGGCAATGCGCCGCTAAGCCAGGTTCAGAGCGTACCTGCATTAGGAACCCCATCAACCTTGCTGTTCAGCTCGTGGCCGGGGAATGGGCTCGATGGGGTACCGTCGCCCCTTGCCCTGTCACAAAGAAAGTAATTCCAACGATGACGTCCCAGAGCTTAGAATCTTTGGGACTACCCGGCATGCAAACAATTTATTTGCTTGAGGAGATCCAACGGGGTGGCTTTTACGGATCCGTTGTCCCAAGGCAGCTGTACACTAATTAGTTGTGCAATATCGGAATTTCTCTCGATGCGCCCGTGGTATACAAAACAATACCTCGCTTTTGGAAATATTCCCGATTGGCCGCGCAGTTGCCTAGGTACTTTTTGGGGTAGTTATTTTAGGAGCTCTGTACCCGTTCATTGGTATCCTGGTGCAGCACACTCGAAAATGACTTGGTGCCCAAAACCCGGTGTCTCGGGGTTCAACTGGCTTCCGCTCAGCCAAGATACCCTGCAGGGTTCCAGGCAACGTGAGGACTTGAAATCACCAAAGAGGTCCGAAGCTGTCACTCTCTCGAGTCGTACGAGAGCCGCACTGACAGGTGGATCAATACGTAACAGAAATCTTACTCTATGCTACTATTTGCTCTCTTCAATCCTACCCTGGACCGTCCATTATCAATATCACGATGGCTCTAACATCAGGTATGTAACATCAGGTACTACGTAATTGCTTCCGGTAACGCCCATTTCGAATACTTTGCAGACGGATCTTCCAATTGCTGCCAACTGTGCCTGGCATTACTTCATGTGGGAATGTATGAGAAGATGGGCAGTTTGGCTCTCCATTCCCCGCCCCTATCCAGCCAACAAGCAACCGCATGAGCTGAGCGCTAGGCCATGGACAAAGCGCTTCCCCGGACCGCCTAGTCTTGCTTTTTTTTTTGTTCCGTGCTTCGAAGTATAAGGTACTGCAGTATGTTGAAAATGGCAAAATCATTCCATTAGAACCTGCCGAATAGGGGGTGGCCGAGCTTAAGAAGTCAATATTGTTCATGTAAGCTGAGACTTTGGCTTCCTTCTTTGCTTCTTTGTCTTCACTCTTTGCTTTTGCAAATCCATAATTGGGATACTTTGATGTGGGTTTCTGTTGCCATTAACTATTCTTGGCCCGACTAGGAATCTGTGGCTTGCATCTGTCAATATTGCCGTCTGTGCATACGAGCTTCCTTCCCCTTCTCTTCCTTGTCTCCATTCCGTTCCTTCCGGGCTGTTGTTGGCAATGAATGGGATAAAAGAAAAGCAAACATGTTTCACCTTTCAGGAGACAGGTGCCGGCTAGGAGACTTAGCCTTTAGCTCACCGTTTGCCCCGCGGTCCCACAAGGATGTTAGACAAGACTGGTAAGTCTCACACGGTCCGCAGTCAACAGGTTGGAAGCCGGGCGGTAGTGTAGACTAATTGTTCCTCGGGAGGGGGACACTTCTCTTTTTGCAGAAACTCCGATCCACGTATACTGCACGGATTACTATTTATAATAACCGGGGCCTAGATCATATCCTTGGTTCTAGTGAAGGCGTCGCTTTGGTCGATGGGAATCGAGCCCCTATTGGCGATGTTGATTGAGATCACAGCAGATCAACAGGTACAAATGCCACGGTGATGCGCAAAATGAGCGGATCTCCTGGTGGACTGGGACGGGCTTGGTTCGGAAGACTGCACAGAGAGCTCGAAAGTCTTAAGCAACTTGACGTGTCCTCATTGATCCATTTTAGAAGCGCATCTCTTATACCAGTCATTGCCCGTGGTGAAGAGAAAGATTTTGATGCTATTCTACAATGATCCCCCTTCCACAAACGATATTACGATGGGAAAAAGAACCCTAACTCCAAATGCAGCGAACGGCTAGTTCCGGTTGTCGAGACATCTAGCTGCCACCAGCATCCCCGCCACGTCTGAACTTAGGCACGTACTTGCCAGGCGCGCCGGATGGCTTCAGCGGCTCCGCAGGGGGCGCAGGAGAGGCATCCCTGCCGTTTTCTCCCCTGCCCGAACCAGCAGCCCGGTCCATAGGGACACCCCGGCCCGAAAACGATCGAAGAGGAGGTCCGTTCCGCTCCGGAGCGGCCTCCTCACCAGAAGCGCCCTTCGCCATTTGGCGCTCTCGCCAGGTAGGCTTGTTGCCACCGGCCAGGTTGAGGCGAGGCGGGCCGGACGGCCGATCGTTCGAGTCGGTCCGTTCCATGGGCGAAGCAGTCCGAACGGGAGGTGCTGCAGGTGCTGCGTCAGCCGGGCCTGCACCGGAGGCATTCCGGTCCCGCCAGCTTGGCCTGCCGCCGGCAAGCTGCAGACGGGGCGGACCAGACGCTTCGGTACGCTCGAGTGGAATCTCGGCTCTCGACGGAGGAGCGGCAGCGGCAGCAGCCTTCTCGGCCTTGCGTCTTGCCATGGCCTCTTCCTCGCGCTGCTGTTGCCGGGCGATAATCTCCCTGTTTTTCTCGCGCTCCTTCTCCTTCTCCTCCCGAAGCTTGGCCATCTCCTCTTTCCTGGCCTCTTCCCGCAGCCTCTGCTCTTCCTTCTCTCTCTCGGCGCGTTCCTCAGCCTCCCTGAGCGCGCGCTCCTGCTCTTCCCGCTCTCTCTTCTCTCGCAACTTCTTCTCCCGGAACTCCTTCCGGCGGGCAGCGACCTGCTTCTCCAACTCTCTCTCGGCGTCTCGGCGGCGCTTCTCAAATTCGTCACGTCGCCGCTCATGGAGATTGGAGCGGAAGGAGTCGTAGAACGGTGTCAGACGGCTCAGGCGGTGCTTGAGCTCGACGCTCTCCTTGTGCTTCTGCTTAGACTCCTTGAGAGTCTGCTCCGTGATCAGCTGATAGGCAGTAAGATCAAGCTTGCGCTGCTGGGCATAATCTTCGGGTAACTTCTTGGCCTCTTCTTTTCGGAAGGCCCGTTCGAGATGGTCGATTCGCTTGCCAGTGATGCGGAGTTTCTCGGCAATGCTGTTCTTCTCCCTCTCGAGCTGCTGCAATTTGATCAGGCGGATCTGGTTGCTGTCCAGGTTGCTGAGGTCCTGGCCGGAGAGATCGATGGCGTTGGGGCTGAGCTTCAATTCCTTGATCATGGTCTCGATCTCGGCCTTTCGGATCTGCTCCCGCTCGTTGGCAAGGCGCTTCTGTTCGCGAATCCTCTGTTCTTCAAGCACCCGGTTGGCCTCGGCCTGCTGGAGGGCCTGTTCCTGGAGGATCTTGCGCTTAGCGTTTTCCTTCTCCCTCTGTGCCTGCAGTTCCGATGCCTTCTCCTTGCGCTTCTGGATGACTTCCTTGCGTGCAAGGATGTCGTGGTGCTCCTTTTCTGACCCGGCCTTGGCACGGACGAGGGCAGCGTCACGGGCCTTGATTCGAATCTCGTTGAAGGATGGGTCGATGTAGTAGCACGTAGTGTAGAGCGACTTTGCCAGACGAGTAAGCTGCGAGCGCACGATCTCGGACGGAGTGCTCTGCAAGCGCTGGACTGATCCAGCCTCGCTCTCGGCAGAACCCGCGGCGGATCCGGTGTGAACGGCCTTGGCCGAAGAGAAGACGTCGGCATCGAAACTCAGCACGCCTGTGGCGTGGTCCATACGAATGGAAAGATCGCCCTTCTTGTTGCCGTTCATGATGAACTTCTCGATCGTGCCACGGGTGACCTGGAAAGGTTCGGGGAACTTCGCAAGGCTCTCGACGAATTCCAAGTCAACAGTCTCATATACTTGGGAGAGCTGCTGGAACAGGCGTGTCAGGATAACCTGTTGCAAAGGCAGGATGTACTTTTGCATCTCCTCATCTGCACCGATCTGGGACAAGATGGGCGAAATCTTCTGACAAATCGAGAGAGGGTGGAAGTCAACCTCGAGGATGTTGTAGAGGTCGCGAATCTCAGGATGGGCCCGTCGGAGAAGAGATTTGGAGAGAGCATCTCGGAAAAGGGTAGCACGAGTCGGCGCCTGCGACATGCCCAACAGGTGGGTGAGGCGGGAGTTCTTATTCTTCCGAGCCTCATCAAAGTCGATCATGGCACCCCGGGATCGGCTAGTGCTGATGACCGGGATGGAGAGAGTCGACAGAAGGACAAAAGAGGCGGCCTTTTGAAGGTCTGCCTCGGTGATTGGGGGGTTGTCAGACTTCTTGCTCTGTCCGGCCGCCACCAGGGCAGCGGACTGTCGAAGCAGGTTGTAATACCTGGCCCAAGCAGCGGCGTGGAAGAGGTAGTTCTCGCCGACAAGGAAGATGCGGGTGAGCTTCTCATAGTAGTTGGCCATCATGATGTTCTTTGCAGGGCGCTTGCTGAGGTTCAGCAGGGTGTGGATATCCTCCACACTGCGGAAGGCTTCCTGCCAGAGCTCCAACTCGACGGCAACATTGAGCTGCTGGAAACGGGTTTCCAGGTGGCGCTGCAAGGTATCCGGGTCATTGAGGTTAATGGCGTGCATCTGAGCCGAATACTTGGCCGCGGTCTGCACATGGTTGCGGAGAAGCTCGCAGAGCCTGCGGAACTCGGTCTTGCGAGTGTACTTGAGGCAGAAGTCAAAGGCCTGCATAGCAGTGCTCTGGTAGAGAATCTCGAGCCGAGCATTGTTTCGTAGGATATCCAGGACGGTGCGGTACGCCTCCCAGAGGAACTTCAACCAGGGAGTGACGATGGCCCGGTCGGTGCGATCCCGAGACTGCTCGCCAGACACAGTGGCGAGAAGGATGGATTCCGGGGTCTCGCTTGCTTCGAGGTCATCGACGCTGGTGGTCGCGGTCGCTTCGATACTTGACTGTACTTCGTCCGCCTTCTGCTGGGCAGTTGTGACCTTCCCAGCAGCCAACTCGATGAATTTTTTCAAGACCAGCTAGCGCTCGGTTAGCCTACGTCAACAACGCGGTTCAAAATGACGAAACCGTACCTCAATAGTCGCAACATTGGTATTCTGCGCGATGTTCTTGTACTGGTACAGAGCGTCCTTGGCCAGCTTTCCCTTCTTCTGCTCAACTGACAGCTCAACCAAGAGGAGCATGACAGGCTCCAACGACGCGATCGGGACATTGCGGGATCGTTTGGATGTGATGTGCTCATGCAGCAAGGTCAAGGCCGCCGGCGCCTGATTGACGCCGATCAGCTCGTTGGCGCGCTTCAGCACATTTTCCGGCTTTTGATGCGGCGGAGGAGGCTACACGATGGTCAGTTGAGGAAGTTAGAAAGAGTTGATTGATGGGTTGAATGATGGCGACAGAGGAAGGGATCAAAACGAGGCAGGGCCGGACGGGCAGCCAGCCAAATCGCGCTTCATCAAAAATAATTAACGTACCATGATGGGCAACCTCCTCTGCGGGTTATGTGACTTAACGGAGGAGTTGCTGGAAGATGCGCAAGGCCAGTCGAAATGATGCTGGTGACCTGGCTGATGCTCCTTGGTTGAAGTTGCCCTCGCCGATGCAGTTGTCAAAGCCCTGAACCAAGAGCACAGGATTTTTCGAGAATTCTGTGGGCTCCACTTTCTCCGGAAGCACTAACCCGCATCGGTGGCGCTAAATCACGTTACTTTAACCTGATCCATGACGGACGTTCTCACTCTGTGCAAGATAAACAGGCCAAGGTTGATCAGCATGCAGTTTCATAGGCCACAGGAAAATTGCAGGCAAGTATGGAGAGATGAAATTCAAAGACGCCTCTTCTTTGTTGGCCATTTCATATAGAGTCTCGAACAGATGCTTGACCAACGCTGTCTCGTAACGAGGTGTGGGATTTTAATGCCAGACCTGGCTGGGTCAGACAGATAACTTGGGCTCCTTGTCTAGGTGGGTAGTTGTTAGGATCATGGCCACGGCCATCCTAAAGTCCCCAAGTCGAGGCCGACAAGAGTAAGCTTAGTAGCAATACAGTAACCTAGGTACCTACCTGCTCATAATAAAATCACGTACATACAATCAATTATCAAATCGTGCCTTCCATGCCTTCTCGTGAGTTCCCACCTAACTCCCGGCAGGTTGTACGAGGCTAGCTTGTCCAATTTCAGCCGGGGCATTTGCCCAATGGCATCGCGCCCGACAATCCAATTTGCGCTTTTCGCACAGGCCACCTTCCTCCACACTCCAAACCTGAAGGAACCCCTTCTTCCTTCCCGAAAAACGCCCCCCATCAATTCCCGTCGTTCCATCCATCACAGGTCGGACCATTCCAGTTCTTCGGTACCCTTCCCAATCGATTGCGCCTCGTCGGTTTGAATCTTCGGCTGGCCGCTAAGACTCTTTGGTAAGTGGTGAACATGACCGCTGCGGCCGACCATCCCATCTGAAGCGATCGCGAGTGGAGCACGTAAAAGGGGGGAGATTGGAGCTCACTGAGCAGGGCGTGACGGAAGACGGGCTAACAACAAAAAAACAAACAGCTTCGGAACGAGCCACGATCCAACTTAATACCAGCGGTGCGAGCGCCAGCGACCCGTCACCCTTGGCCACGAGAGCCCGCCTCCACAGTCGCCCAACCTTTGGCATCCCCGAAACCTCGCTTAGACTGCATCCTACCCGCAGTGACTCTCGCGCGCCCTCCCATCAGCCATGCCTCAATACACATCCCGCGATGTCGGTGATCCGTCGCAAATCAAGAAGAACAAGCAGAGCATGGCGGACCTGAAGTTGCGTCGGTTGACCGAGCTCAACAGCAGGTTGCGTGAGGACCTCGACAGGGAACGGATTCCCGTGAGCCAGGCTTCGAAGAGGTGAGGACATCTGCCGGTGGCTTGCTTGGAGGCTTGAAGAAAAGAATATCTATGCTGACCGCTCTCCATCGATAGCATAATCACATACTGCAACAGCACGAGGGACTACATGGTCCCGTCGGTCTGGGGTGCGGTGCCCAAGGGCGAAGACCCGTACGCCCCTCAACAAAGCAGTGGTTGCTGTCTGGTCATGTAGAGAACATGGCTGCAGAGGTTGAATATTCAAAAATGCCTTTGGGAGTTTGGTCCCTTCCCGGATCACGACGGGCGGGGTTTTTGATTTGAGGCGTTCGCCTCGCGGAACGTGGATAGCGTCGTGGGATGTGTTTTCGGAACGCCGGCCCCTTGGCACTGGACGGTTCGGAAAGCATCGTCTACTCCCCACCGGGTCCTCCCCACGGCCGTAGCGAGATCCATCGGTAATGAGGAGGGGGGATGCTCTGGATGAACAGATGAACAGCGGCTATGATAACGGACGGTATCCTCATACCCGATAGTCAGGTTTCACAGACAAACCCTGACGGCTTGTCAGCATGTAATGCTCCTTCTATTTTTCCCTTTTCGCATTTGCGGTCATGTATTTTTCCCCCTCTTGTTTCTTTTCTCAGCCCGCTTTCCCTCACAAACCGTCTTGTCGGTCCAGCCCTGTGAATACCTAGGTCGTACAATCACGTAGTACGTTTTCTCATTCAAAGCATTTCACGGATGACGATTGAAGGCAACGGTTCCACAGACCGTCATGCTTGCCCTGTGAATCTCTCGCAGCTTCCCTGCAGCATGTCCCCCTCCGTGATATGAGCACGAAGTTGAGGGTCTTGGAATTGGACGTGGAAGCCATTGAGGCGGGAGTATCCGTGAGGCTTGCTAGGGCAGCAACCAGTAGAAAAGCACTTCTGACTTGGAAGTAAGACACCGAAAAAAAACTCTCTAGTTGACCAATCAATCGAGACAGAGATTATGTGCTGAACTAGCGTTTAAGGTTGCAGTGGCTCTGTAGATTGACACCAGGCGCTGCGATGACGCACCTCATGCCGAGTCACAACTGGACACGCAGACAACCTTCCTTCGACACAATAGAAGACCCCTATGGTGACAATGGAGGGCAATTCTCAGCCTGTCGACGACACCTCCCCATTCCCCCTACCTCGGGTCACCATCAAGTTCTGCACCCAGTGTAAGTGGATGCTCCGAGCTGCCTACGTAAGTCATCCTTTTCCACGAGCTCTCCCCCCCTCCCCCTAACCAAACCCATTCTAACGCCGCCGCCCGCCAGTTCGCCCAAGAGCTCCTATCCACCTTCTCGACCTCCCTCGGCGAAGTCGCCCTGCAGCCCGCGACGGGCGGCGTCTTCGTCGTCGAGATAACCCACCTCGCCCCGGCCACCACCCAGCAGAGCAGCCGAGTCCTCTGGGACCGCAAGACCGACGGCGGCTTCCCCGAGACCAAGGAGCTCAAGCGCCGCGTGCGCGACGCAATCGACCCGACCCGGGACCTCGGCCACGTCGACCGCGACTACCACCACCGGGCCCCTCCGCCCCCGCCTTCCTCCTCCTCCACGACCACCAGCAATAACCCAGCAGCAGCAGCAGCAGCAGCAGCAGCAGGGGCAGGAGCCATGTCCCCGGACCAGACCACCACCGCCACCACCACATCCCCCCCAGCTCCGGCAACAGACCCGGCGTTCGCGGCGAGAACGACCGGCGTCAAGCCTTTGATGCCGCCGCCGCCGGCGCGGCTGCAGGCGGCGGCGGAGGCGCGGCTGGACGAGGCGGCGCGGCGGAGGGCTGCGCGGGAGGCTGGGGCCGAGGAGGAGGGGGCGGCGCGGCGGGGGGGTGAGAAGGAGAAGGGCGATGGGGGAGGGGGGAGGGCGGGGTGTGAGGACTGTCAGTGAGGGTCGTCGGGAGGAGGTTGATGGCTGGGTGTTTGTTTATATGGCAGAAAATCAAAGTCGGCCTCTGCACATTCCATCTCCTCTCTTATACCTTCGTAAGGGGGGGTTGGTTTACGGTCACAGGCTTCGCACATCGTGGTGGAAGGAAAGAAACCCTTCGACGTGCACTTGGGCTATTCGAGACTGGACCAAGAGACACATGCCATGTCTGTCACCCATGATAGAGCGCGAGTCGATCGCATAGCATACGCATTGTTGTATTTCATCTCCGAAAAATATCCGGACTTTACTGTTGCAAGGTCTCCCAAAATCCCAGGTTCCCCCGTCTTCAGTTGGTCTTCCTCTCTTCCCCCACGCCCCTTCGTCCTCATCGAACTTTCGTACAGTTGTGTCCATCTCAGTCGTGAGAACGCAAATGACGTCTGTCCCTCCCAAAGCCCTGGCCACATGACACCGAGCCGAAACAGAAAAAGTAAAAAAAACAAGGCAACCCGCCCAAGATGGCAGTTCACGGCAACTCCCCCCCCCAGCTCACGCAAGAGAAGGCGACGACGTGCAAAATCAGACCATGGCAAGAAAGAAGACAATGGAAGAAGGAAAGTGACTAAAAAAAGGAAATGGTCTCGTCCACCAGTCGTACACTCTCCCGTCTCGTGTCTCCCCTGAGACCCCTGGGTCAGCCCGAATTATCACCCAAACGAAATTCCTCGCCTCCCTGAGCATTATCGGAAAAGTATGTAGAGTTCCCATGATTCCTTTGTCCATGACCAGTTCCTACAGAAATTGTACAGCATCATTGAGACCATGGCATGATTGCACGAAACGGGGAATCTGATACCCTAGCCCTCTCGAATATCGATCCTAGAGCCTCGTGTCCGCCGCCGCCCCCATTCCGACCAATCCGGGCCAAAATAACCCTTTCTAAGCCCCCTAGTGACATCAAAGTCTAACCCCAAGAAAGTCGAGAAGTCGTCTTGTCGTGTCATCATGATCAATGATGAGATCGGATCGGACATGTGTAGATTAGTTGGTAGGGGTCTGCTTATCCATGACTATCCTTCCTCGCGGTTGCAGACCTAGGGTAGATCATGCAACATGGGCGTCATCGGGCAACCAGCAGGGTGGAACCGTTTTTCTATACCTTCGTAATTGCGACGCGCAATGCAGTGAGGAGACTTGATCTGTGCGGTCCAAGATGTCTTTTTATTTTTTTTATTTTTTCGGTTTCAACTTTTTGCTCTGACAGACAGGCATGTTCTTGGTCAACCATGCGGCGGGAAACAGGGAACTCTGGTATGGGGGAGCAAGGAGGGGGGGGGGGGGCCGGCGGAGACGATTGACGAGTATTTTGGGTGACCTTGCGATCGAAAGAAAAACCATAGAGGCAGCAGAGCTGTCGAGGGGATCGATGTATTCGTTGGGTGTGGTTACGCAAGAGCGACCTATCGGCGTCCGAACCTAGAGAGAGGAGAGTTCGTATAAATTCTAATTTACGTCTTGGACTTCCTCTTGGGAGATGCGGCGGGTCTGCTGCTGCCTCCCAGGCCGTGAACGTACTTTTGTTTCTTCTCAGCGGGTTTGAGGATCTGGAGCGGGACAGATGTCAGCATATCAAGGCTTTTTGCGAACTGGGCGCTCCCGGTAAGAGGGAAGGGGTTGGCGAACCTGGAACGAACAGAGCAGGCTCTCATCGACGCTCATCATTGCACCTGCATTGTCGAACTCTCCACAGTAGTTCGGCGCACTGAACAGTGTGACCAGCTGGCGCTTGGAGAAGAACTCGTAACCATCCTCAACCACCTGGTGGGCACGGCAGATGAGATCCATGTCGTGTTTCTGGAGGAAACGCGAGACCACATCAGGACCGAAGGTGAAGGACACGCCGCGATCGTTTTCGCTCCAGCCAGTGATATCCTTATCGGGATCGGACCAGAGGAGATCGCAAAGCAGGCCGCAGTCAGGGATCTACACGAGGTGGTCAGTCAAGGTTGGAGGGGCATCGCTGTCAGTTGGGGACAGATCCCGGAAGCAGGCTGGCGAAGAGAGGTATATAATCGAGGGGGGAAAGACGCTACATACGTCGGTTGGCCGCATAACCCGACGGATCTGCTCCATCGAGTTGAGATCCGGGCTCAAGCCGCCGTGCATGGTGAAGATCTTCTCGTCGATGATGGCAGCAATAGGCAGGCAGTTGAAGCAATCGGTAAACGTCTTCCACAGCTTGATATTGTAGCGCCGCTTGCACTCATCGTAAAATCCGTAGATGCGGTTGATGGAGGCGCATTCGTGGTTACCCCGCAGGATGAAGAAGTTCTCGGGATACTTGATCTTGTAGGCGAGAAGCAGGCAAATGGTCTCGAGGGACTGCTTGCCACGGTCGACGTAATCGCCAAGGAAGAGGTAGTTCGCCTCGGGAGGGAATCCGCCATATTCGAAGAGTCGCAAGAGATCGTAGTACTGGCCGTGAATATCACCACAGATCTGCCAAGTCGCAACGGGTCAGCCAGGGGACATGCCACCAAAAAATATGGAATAGCAATAGCGCATCATGGGAGTAAGGTTGAGAGGATGCGGTGATATCTTACCTTAATAGGAGCTTCCAGCTCAAGCAAAATTGGCTGAGAGATGAAGATCTCACGGGCTTTGGTACAGAGGTAACGGATCTCGGCCTCGAGAAGTTGGACCTGCTTGCCAGGACGGCTGCCTCGAACCTCCAGAAGGCGGTCGATTATAGAGTCGAGATCGACTTCATGCTGGTCCGCCATCTCAAAATCCTCGCCAACTGGGCAGATGGCGCAAGATTACGAATGCCGATGTTCGGGACACTGGAGGGCTCAGAGGGGCTGAGAGGGTGGGCCTCAGGAGGACGGGAGGTGATAAGGGAGCCCAAGGTATGATTCACTTCCAGGGAGCTGGAAAAAAAGTGTGTGAGGTTAGAGTGAAGCTAGACTGGACAAGGCTGGGTGTTCCATGATGATGATGCCAGAATGGGTGGCGCGGTGGGGGGGATGGGTAGAAAGGGCAGGAGGGGCAGAGCTGGGTGAAAGGAAAGCGAGGGATGACAGGCACATACAGAAGTGATCTCAGCTATTAATGCCTCGCAAGGGAGAACAGACCGCGTTGTCGACGTGAATATCCTTTGAGAAGAATATGCAAAGTATTTCTCGCTGGGTCTGATGGAGGGGGAGGGGAGACGGCTTTGTTATCGCCGCGTGTCGCAGTGTTGATAGCCTCAGCTATCGCGAGGAAGCGCGAGGGGGAAAATTGGGTCTGGTCTCTCGCAGCTGCTATTGCATTCGTGGGCCTGGATAGAAGCGCACTGCTTTAGTTGTGCTTTGATCGCCTCGTAAAGAGTTCGTCGTCTTGATGCTCTGGCTTGGCCAGTTGTTCGCCTTTTTTTCCCCTGGTAGTCAGGTGGAAAGGGTTTCGTGTTGGGAAAGAGACACGGAGACGGGTGCCGCCTTTGGTGCGGTTGGGGAAAATTGCTGAGTGACCCGAAAAAAGGGCTTCGCGGGGTTCGTCTTAATTTTGACCGGATGGTCTGGACTGCAGGCTCGAGGCAGAATAAATGCCTGGAGAAGGTCTCGAAGTCGCCGTTGGAAAAACTCGGATATCTTCTCGAGAGAAGGGGTTCGCCTTTGTGGTGAGAATGGAGACGGGAAAAAATTCGAGACTTTTTTAGAGGGAGAGAGGATGGGACGTGCTGGGCGGGAGTTTGGCTCCAGCTGGCCATTCAGGCAGTGCAACAAGGCATGCGGCCTAGCCCAGATCCCGGCATCTTTCGAGGCACTAGCAGCTGGGAATCCTGCATTTCGCATTTCGCATTTCGTAACCAGTACACTGCGTATATCCTGTTCAGTTTCCTATTTATTAACAAGCTCTGCTCCGCCAGTTTCTGCTTTACTTCCTTGGTCGCCAGGTGATCAATCTCCTGCCTTCTGACGTCTCTTCTATTCCCCAGGCTGGTCTGCATTACTAAGATACTTGGTTCCAGACAACGAGGTCCCCCGCCATTCCGGGCTCCGAGCATACCGGTTGCTTCGACTCAAAATGGTCCCATACGCAATACAGCGCCGGCAATCACAAAATAATGTCTCGGCCAGACTGACAATGAGCCAGGCCTTGACAAGCCCACCACCCACCCAACTAACTACTTTCCCCGGCCAACCCTCCACAGATGCTTAACCTCCACACTGGCTCCGACTCGATCGAAATGCAGTGCTACCCTTCAAGCATTGGGGCATTTTGAGGCCCGCCGAGTTGCTCTAATTAAATGCAGATAGAGCTTCAAAGGTGTTGCTTAATCTATGTACTGCATGTGTGCCCATTCGTATTGATCATCTCTTCCCCTGGCTGCGTACAAATGGACGTAGATCGGAGAAGATCCAGAAGATCCCAATGGCTAAAGCTGCCCGGGCTAGAAGACCGACGAACCCCTCGGGAAAAGCCTCCTCACCATTTCCAAATACGTCCCCTTTGTCGGTGTGTCGGTGCCTCGGTGGCTGCCTCGCTGCCTCGCTTCGACCACACTTCTGGGAAAGGGGTGGGAAGCCTTAAGCTTGGTCCACTCGCCCTGGTCCCGTGCCGCCCGGCCTGTCTAGTCTAGGGGAGGACGGCCTTCCAATCATGGTTGCGCCCTCCCATTCGCTGATCACCGCCACGCGCTTCTATCCATGGTCCGCCGTGGAATACCTACTGGCTCGCTGACCGACATAAAACGTTTCAGCAATTCTAAATAGAATACCTGGGTGAACAACCAGGCGGCCAGGCGGCCGCTTTCTATCGGCCCCTGTCCGGCGCCAGGGGAAAAGAGAGAGAAGGCACGAAACTGCGATGTCGTCCTCTTTGTCGCCTGATGCCTTCCGGTACTCCTGTCTTCTGATCGAAAGCTCGCGGCCGGGGGGTTCCGGGAAGCCAGCTTGGTTCTTTCTGACCGACCAATCTCGACCATCCGCAAATTCCTTGGACAACCGCATCTACGTGGAGGCATGGTAGGTACATTACAAAAAGGCCGCGCAGATCCTCCGTCACCGTAGATTGTGCTTGATTGGCCCGCGGGTCCCCATCCGGCGCCTCTCTACCCCCCTTTGACGTTTGACGTGAGCGACTCCGGGTCTGGCTCCAAATCCACACCCAACTTGGCCCCGCTGCCCCTCCCCGTGGGCTTCTGGGCCTACCTAAGCGACGACGACCCCTCCTCCGTAGGTATGCTGTCATCCGTATCCACCGCCGGTCGATAATGGCCGTCGATAAATATCGCCAAGGCAAAAAATTAAAGATTAAAAAAATGTTACATCACATGATCGGCAGATCTCCCACCAGGTGGCGCCGTCACGGCGGAGCCGCAGGCGCGCACACACGGCTAGATGCTAGATCCCCGCGTGGAATCCCGAGAGTGGTGTCAAGCCGAAACTCCAGAACCATCCCCCGAGTCCACGCACCCAGTGACCGTTCACCTGAGACGGGTGTTTATCAATGACATCAACATCTATCTGCTTGTGACGTTCGACCCCGATGCTATCGAGGGGGCACTTGAAGCTTGTCCCAAATGCCCCTCTATAACCAATGCCCGAAGCCGGGAATTGGGTGGCGTGAGCGCGTCAATCTACGAGATCGGCTCTCGTGATGGCATCTAACCTACTCCTCGGCGAGAGAGGCTTGGCAACTTGGCGGTATGGCAGAAAAGGGCCCTCGTTTCCCCCCTTAGATCTGCCCTCCAAGCAAATACATACCTAGTATATAGTAGCCAGCCGCCTGCAAACTGCCGGTGATTTCATCGTGGAACCTGCATGGCATGAATCGCGGATAGTTAGCTATCTTCTATTTTTACCTTGCCGGAGCTAGGGAACCCTTTCGACCGGGAAGGGGGGAGCGTGTGGCAAATGTTGGACAGGATACCTTGCCGGGGCTAGAGGACCCATTCGAGCGGGAAGGGGGGGAGCGTGTGGCAAATGCTCGACATAATACTTTGCCGATACGATATTTAAAGTCGCGGATGGCTTTTCTTGTTCTGGGCAAAACCTCACACCAGGCGAAACAAGTTGCGTGGTCTAGTCGGCATGCCAAAAATAGAATGTTCGATTTATCAGTGTACACGAATATCTGGTATAGCGAATCCCACTCCCCAAATAGCAAGCAGTTCCCCGGATTCGCATCCGACACTGTAGGTCCATCCGTCCCATCCGTCCATCCGTCCATCCATCCTCTCATCCCTTCCGATACAATCCTATCCCCCATCGACTTCCCTTCCCTTCCCTTCCCTTCTTTCCATCCCATCTTTCCGTGCCAGCGCTCCCCATGGAGATGAAGCCCTAAGAATCGCCGGCGTAAGATAGGGGGAAAGAGGCTGGAAGATAAAAGGAAGGTTGATTAAGGGTGGGGGTTGGATAATAAAGTGACGAGAGCAAAAGAAGAGGCGAGACCCAGGACATCTCCCCCGACATCTCTATGTATATCTCACACATAAAGAGGTGTATCGTATCGTATCTGAACGCCCATTCTCGAAAACGCCCGCCAGTGTGCGATAACGGGTGTGTAAAGCATAGTAGAGAAAAACGCACGCAGAACACCCCATCTGTTGTCCCCACTTTCCCAAGCCGAAAGGAAAAAGAAATGAAAAGAAGGAAGAAAAAAGTGGAAGGAAAGGGAGGAGAGAAGAAGAAGGAAGGAAAAAAGGCCAGCAAAGGGAAAATCAAACCCCGATCCCATACGTCCGTACAACCCAATCACAAAACTAAGAGTACCTATCTCCTCCTAGTGGAAGACCTCAAGCTCTTCCTGAGCTTGGCCGGGGCCGCTCTCTTCTTTGACGGCGACGGTGTCGGCGGTGCCGGTGCGTCCTCTGTCTTGGCGCCGGGGTTGACAGGCGAGGCGGTGATGGTATTATTATTATTATCCTCGTCCACGTCAAACTCCAGGTCCCGCAGCGCCTCGTCGTCGAGGTCGGTGAGCTCCTCGCTCAGGTTCCGGACCGCCTCCCTGCCGGCCCACTGCTCGTCAGTGGCCGTGGTGCCCACCAGGTCGAACCCCTTGAGGTACCACGGGAGACCGCCGTCGCTCAGCGCGTCGGCGACCCCGTGCCCGAGGCTGCCGTTTGACTGCGGCGGCGTCAGCGGGCCGGCCGCCTGGTGCGGCTGTTGCTGCTGCTGCGCCGCCACAGCCGCCGCCGTCGACGCGTAGCCGTTGAGCGAGGGGGACGAGCTGTTGTTCTTCGTCCGGCCCGCCCTCTTGTCTGTTGGCTTGTCCCCGGCAACGGAAACGCTCGTCGAGGCGGGCACCTCGCTGTTCCCGGCTTCCTCCGCCTCCGACATGGCGACGTCGACGCTGCCCTCGGCCTGGCCGGGGGCGCCATCGACATCCATCTTATCACCCAGCTCGGCATTGGCGTCGGGGGTGACCCCAGAAACGGCCACGCCTTCAGCACCGGGGTCCCCCGCCGTCCTAGCGCCAGCATCGTCCTGATCGGCGACGACGATCTGACCCTCCTCGGAGGCGTCGGCCATGGTGACGTCGTGGCCGTCCTCGTTGGCAACGGTGATTGTGCGCTGGCTCGTCTCGAGACTGGCTTCAAGCATGCCCTCCAACTCTTTCACCAGCGTGCCCAGAGGCTTGTTGCTGATGTCGGCCTCGGCCTTCAATGCTGCCTCTAGCTGCGGCTGGACGAATTTCAGGATTCGCTTGCCCAGTCGCTTCCGATCCCTCGTCACCAGGTTGGCATTCTGTCTAGGGGTTGCAGCTACATCGTTGGGTTGGCTTCCAGCCTCATCCGCCGCAGGCTTCACCGGCGCGTTGATGCCCACGTGGATGACCTCGCAGAGATCGTGGGCAAATGCTAGAGTGGTGGTATAGTAGCGGCATTCGAGCTTGGATTGCAATCTAGAGAGGCCTTCCTTAAAGACGTCCTTGTCAAGCCTGCATACCTCTGTTAGCAACCACCTAGAGGCGAGCAGGATAATACCACTTACGTGAAGGCCTTTTCAATGACCGGGATGAGCATCTTGTAAACCGGGAAGTAGCACGAGTCCACAAAGTCTAGCTCCATGTCGGCAGCTTCGAGCTTGCTGGCTTCGCGCTGGACGATATGTTCGGACAGCGACTTGAGCCGCTCCATGTCCTCGACCAGACCCCTGGCGAACTCGATCCTCCTCGTAAGCCGGGCTTTCCCAGAGGGACCCATTGCCGCAAAGTTGCGCCTTGTGAGCTCCATGGAAGAGAATGTGTCCATTTGTAGTTGAAGCCTCTTGAGGAGCGCTGCGCCGCGGCGGGCCTCGCGCTTCAGGGTCCAGTATCGGCATGCCTCGCCGACAAAATCCTTGCGTTTGGCAATGAGGAACCGTTGGAGCGAGCCCTCGACAATGTCGTAGACGGCTTGGGGTATGACCGGGGCTCCCGATGGCAGCTTCCAGACAGGCTTGCCGGGCTGTCCCTTTTTCTTGTCTGCCAGGACAGCAGACACCTTGACACCCGTCATCTGCGATTCGTCAGGAGGGTGCTCGGTGATGGCATGACGGTGGGCCGCGGCGAGCTGGGCGGCCGAGGCCTGGTTGTCCACCCAAATCCGTCCCTTCATGGTGCGCTTGTAGAAGCGTTTTGCCTGCTTTGTCGCCAGCGCCACCGAGTTCTCCTTGGCATAATCTTGAGGACAATGCTTGTCGCAGAAGGCCTTGAGAAGCGTGGAGCCATCGAGGACGGCAAGTGCTCCTTGACTGTTCTTCATCTTAAGATAGAGACGGCCTCGCCTTGCGCAGGTGACATGGAACGCCTGGTAACAGTTCTTGTTGCTGCACTGTATGCAGGCACCCATGCGCTGGTCGCATATGTAGCACGTCAACTTCCACCGATTCTTGGGAACCTTCTCCACTTCCATCACCGGCTCCATGAAGGTGTGGTTCCCGAGCGACACCTCGGGAATCCACATGGCACACAGCAGATGAGCCCATTTCGAAGAATTTGTCTGCTTGAACGCCCCATCCGTATTCGGACAGAATATGCATGTCTGTGAAATAACAATAACGTCAGTGGCCCGGACCAACTCGGGGGAAGATGAAACAGAAGGCTGGCAATGAGCCACACTCACCGGCACGCCACGCCCAATAAGCTGGCACTTGCGACACAACCACTGTCCTTCCGGGATGAAGGGCACGCCATAGCACTCCTGATGAACCGCAAGGTCGCAGCCGTCGCAGAAGACTATCGCGTTTGTGTTCTCACAGTCGCCGTCATCGCAGATGGCGCATTTGCTATCCTGTTCCTCACCTGCCTGCGGCTCGCCGTTAACGGCTGCAGCAGAGCTTGACCGGGGTCGATGCGTCTGGGGCGGTTTCGGGTTCGGTTTCGGTATCCTCTTCTCCAAGGCGTGCCACTCCTTCTCAATCTTGGTGATCGTGATCTCGAATATCTCGCGTGTTATAGGAGCAAGGTCCCCCGCCCTGCGTTGTGCATTCAACTTCTCCAACCACATATCATCTTGCTCGTCCATGTCATACTCGACACGTCCAACTCCACCAGCGGACGACTGGGTTGGATTTCCGTCAGCCTTCGACAGCGCGCCCGGGTCCAAATCCTCGTCCACGTTCACATCAGTGGCCTTGAGGAGATTGCGTTCAGGTCTGATGAAGTTGTCACTCTCTTGATAGCCCACGTTCATCATCGACTTGTCCACGTATCTCGCCTGGCCAAAAGTCTTGCTCTCAAACAAGAGGATCCGATCCGTCTTTCGATAAGACGGTAGCTTTAAATCAAGCCTCTCCTTAGGAGTCTGATTGTGGATTGGGAGGACCTTCGGTGTTTTTGGCGTCAGCCCTAGAGAAGATATTTGGGAGCCATAGAAGGCCACCGGGTCCCTTGGAGGTCTTCCAACCCGCCTTCTAGGCGTCAAGATAAAAGGGGTTTCGAGGGCCGGCTTTTGTTTTGCAATTGGGGTCTCTGAAGCATCCGGCACAACTGTGGCTCCCTCCTTAGACGGAGTGCTCGCACCGTTGTTGGGTGTATCCGAATTTTGAACGGTAGGGGTAGGCGGGGTCGTCTTTGCGGTTCCGTCAACGTCGTCGGCGTGGAACACCATGAAAGTTCCCTCGATGTCGAGGTTCGGGTGGAACTCCTCCCAGCCTCGCTCTTCTCGGGGCTTGTAGCCCTCGCTCTGTACCACTGCTGCGGCGACAGCTGCGGCGGAGGTGTGCGGGACATCGTCGGATGGGTCCCGGTTCACAGCTGTGCGGATCCTCGCGCTTCGCTCTCTCTGGGGGTTGGATGGGGTAGTCAAGCTTGGAGCTGCTGCCCGCGTCCGGGGCGCCGTGGCTGGTCCGGCCGTACTAGCTGGCGTCTCCACTCCTCCATTTGGGGCAGCATATCTGCCGCCCCCACCAGAGCCGCCTGCGATATATCTTCTTCGCTTAGGAGGGGGTTCGGAGGCTCCTGCCAAAGAGGCTGCTGTCTGTCTAGGGGCGCGAAGTGATGTTGCGTCGCGAAGGTGGGCACGAGGGCGGCCTCTGGTTGGTCGCCGTGGCGTAGATGGGGCTTTATCCATCACGCGTCGCTGATATGACGGTACTTGTCGAAATCTTGAAGGAGGGGCGACCGTGGATAGAGTTATCACCGCGTCAACGCAGGGAGGCGAGGGGTCTCACGGTGCGGCTCAGGGAGCAGGGAGGGCATTGAATATGATGATTTTTTTGGTCAAATATTGGAGAAACAGAATGTAGTGGCCAGCTGGGTTGATAGTTGGAAGTCGGAGACGTAAACTGCCGGAGGGAAGGACGACGTGAGATCTGGCGATGGGGGTGGAAAACAGACACGCGGTTGAGGGAGGTTGACTTTCCCCAGCTGTGCTAACCTGATTTGGACTAGCGGTAATGTGGGGCTTATCACGCTAGTGCAAAGCCAGGTGCAAAGCCGGCTGATTAATGTCGCCTCAATCCTATTTCTAGGTAGCAGCCGTTAAGTCTCCTTGGCTTTTGAATGGCGACCAATGACGAAATTGGAGACCCGGAAACTGCTACAACGAAAGACAGTGGCAGTCCACAAGCAGAGGCAATTTAGGTGAGCCTTGGATTTGTTTAGGGCTGCTCTTTGTTTTTGCAGTGAGGCAGGAATAGGCAATTGACCAAGTGAGTACCTAATTAAGGACAGGTAATTGAAGTCCGGCCAAGTATGGAGATAGAGCCAGTGAATACGGATGCCTATTCCTACCTAACTTAAGGAAGTAGACCTCGATGCTCAATTATTACATGAATGCATCGCCGAACGCACAATAATGCCCATACATCTGTCTGTCCCAACCTAGATAATCCTTGACACATGCTTCAGATCAAGCAAACCTACAATAGCAGCTAGTCACACTTTCAAGTGCAATGTTTTGCAAGTCTGTCTCACCACGCTATTACTTCATGCCACCGAGGAAACTATCAGTCGTCAGGCCAATCAGATACCGATCGCACAGCCACCGGGAGGACCCCGACAATGGACCCCTATGGGAAGCCACCAAGGGACTAATAATAAGCTTAATACGTAAAGGTTGGAGACTATCCCGGCTGCCCCCGGATGACTGTCAACGTCACATTGGTCCGGACCTAGTTAGTGGTCGATAGAATTGCCGGCTGCTCTTCCTGGTCTGCCACATGGCACCTTTATCCCCGATTCCCACCGCCGCCCCTAGTCTCTCCCCATTGCCCCATTGGCCCCGGCTGGATCGTATCCTCAATTGCCCATGAGAAATCTGCTTTCGTTGGCAAGGCGCAATCAATATATACCTGCCTACTACGTAGAATAACTCCTCCTCCAGAGAGCGATTGTGGCCGCATCAAGATGCCTCATTTCTCTACACGGCTTCGGTCCTGAACCTCGAGCGACTAGGTAGGTACCGACCTAGCTATATAGGACCGGAGGTCTAATTAACCAAAGGATATATTGTTCTACCCCTTTTTTGATAACACCCACTGTTAATCACCGACGCCCACCTGCACTAGTTTACAGAGATTCCCACGATGACCTCGGGACCTTTGCAAGCAGCTCGTATAGAACCAAATATTACGTAGTCAAATGACTCGGTAAGTACCTAGGTTTAAGTTGCAATGGCGAAAGTTTTATTTTTCCACCGTACCGTACATGAACCTTGACCTCCTCCACTTGAAAAGGCAAACGCTATTGTGCCAAACTAAGCGTTCCCGACTCGTCTCCAACGAACCCGTATTGTGTACCTAACCACCACCCCCTCGAATCTACCATCGGAGTTCCATATAACGTACCGGGCCTGGCCCTTCGGCCGTATCGCCTCTCCCGCCTTTCTCTTGACAGGGAAGCCACCACTGTGCTGTGTCTGGATGCTGAAGATGAAGCATACCATGAGCGGTGCTTCCCGATCTCTATCGCCGAGACTACCGAAGAACTGCCAACTGGCTCCGGGATTGCCGCCCAACGAACTGGAGCTAGGGTTTCGAGACGGGGGACTTTGTCACTGTAGGCATTCGTGCTTTCCAAACCAGTAGTGTTGATGGGCCTTGTCATGGCCTAGCCACCCTTACCTCTCCCGACAGCGCCCAGCCAAAGCGTATCGTTACCGTAGACTCGCGAGGCACGAGTAGGGAGTTTCATGTCCGAGACACATTTGCGGAAAGCCTTCTAGGATGAGACAGACACAGACAAGACCAGAATACATTACGCAATAATACGACGAAGGCATCAGTCACACACATCCATGGAACAAAAAAGACCCAATAGGTGAGAGGGGTGGAAATTCAAGGCAAAGCGCGCCCGGTATCATGTATTCAAGGCCTCCAGCAACCAGACCCATCCAGGCACCGAGGGCTCTACTCTGCAGAGCCTCGGTGCGATGCAAAGATACTATGCATTTTCATGCCAAAATGCCGACAAAAACCAGAAACAACAGATCCGCCCCATGCCGATACACCGAAACGCCCATCCAAACCGTCCATACCAGTGGAATATGAAAATACCAAGCCGGGCAATCAGTCCATCTTGCCGTTCCCCCTCCTTTCATCTGGGTCTCGCGGTCCATGTTTATACAGAATCAAATAGCGCACATCCATACCCCTTGAAAAGAGACTTTTGGATCATCACATCCGCCGGCATCCCACCCAGGTAGAAAGCTAACAACTCTTCCGACCGGACCGAGAGCAACAAACATACAAGTCTGCAGGCGGGTCCAAAAATAAAAAAAGAATGAGAGAAAAAGACAAGGCAAGTGAAGGGAAACGGATCATACGAGCCACACCCCGGAACCTCACATATATATAAGCTATGAGAATATATATATAACGCCAATACGCTATGCTCCGTGGAAACGTGGAAATGCTGAGAGGAACGAAGAGTAACACACCAGGGGGCATGAAAAACTGGGGTATTCAAAAAACGGTAGAACAAACTTCGCCAACAGGTAGAAGTCTATAGCTCTATGTTGCGGGGTATCTCTTGGTGGTTTAGCCGAGCGTGCGGCCGCTGTGGATGGCCTGAACGCTAGCAGCACGGGGGGTAGTCGAGTTCGAGTGCAGAGGTGACGTGGTGCTAAAGTCCGACTCGTGATAGTTTGGAGGGCGAGGTTGCTCCCATCCTTCTTCGCTAAGGACGCTGAGGTAGCTAGGTCCGACCGTGTCACGGAGCGCCTCGATCTTGCGGCGGTAGAGCTCACCTCCGACGTCCCAATTCTGCGTGTCTTTCCACCCAGTCTGTGTCTCTTGAGGCGAATACGCCGGAGATAACTGAGGTGCGGCACCGGTGCTAACCCGCGAGACCTTGGGTGAGTCCTGCTTATCCGGCAAGGGTTCTTCAGCCAAGGAAGTCGCGGTGTCAACCTCCGGCTGAGCTGAAATGCGATAATTGTCCTCCTGGCTGTCAATCGACGGTGGAGGTCCAGCTACCAGGCGATCTACTGGGCGAGCATGTGGAACGGGCGTGTCGCTCGTCGCAAGATCGACGATCCTGCGTTTCGGCGCCCGTCGACGTCGTGTGGAGCTTGTATTGACCTCGCTGGAGGCCGTCTTGGGCATAGGTCTCTCCTTCCGGAGGACTGCCGGCTCTTTCGGCGCGTCGTAGATGATAGCGGGCTTGCTCACATCCACCGCGGGCACCTCGGGAACAAGAGGTTTGACCACAGGAACGGCAGCGGGTTCCGCAGCTCGTTCCACGAGGTACCTCTTCTCTGAATAGGTTGGGCCGGAGGCATCGATTGTGATGTCCTCAGTATAGCCTGGGGTTTTGCGGAACAGGTTGAAGATGGTGATGCGGTAGTCACGATGGGTCCGAGTGAAGGGGTTCCCTTCAACCCATATCTCCCGTATCTCCGGAATTCCGGTAAGGCGGGCCAGCTCCATGGGATCCGTGAGACGGTTATCTCTTAAATCCAACCTCTCCAAAGGGTATAACCTCTCGATGCCCGGGATCGACTGCAGCCGGTTGGCTCGCAAGTTGAGGGCCGTGATGGCGGGCAGGGGATTGCGCGTCAGGGAGTGGAGGGAATCGATCATGCAATGAGAAAGGTTGAGAGCCCGCAGAGCGGTAAGGGTAGCCAAGCTGTCAGGTATCTCAGTGAAGAGATTACTCGAGAGGTCCAAGGAATGGAGTGTGTTGGCGAGAGGAGCCAAGCTGTTTGCGGGAATGGACGTGAGCGAGTTGTCCGTGAGGCTGAGATGTTTCAGGAACCGCCATTTAGAGGCTGGGAGGATCCCCATGGCAATGAGGTTTGAGGAACTACCTCGGAGGTTATGCCATGAGTCGGACAGGCTAGAATGCGAACTCCCCGATCCGGAGCGTTTAACCTTGATGGAACCACGGACATTAGTGCTATTCCTGGAACTTGACGGGCGGCGTGGTGAGTGGCTCCTGGGCCGCGTCTCCTTCGTCGGCGAAGCGGGATCGTCGCTGTTAGTTCTCGCAAGTCCATCAGAGCCACCGGCCGCCTCGCTACTGAGCGAACCGACTGCCAAGTCATTGGCGGAATTGTGGGCGCTTGGAGATCCGGGGGCTGAGGTTGACTTCTGCAATTCAGCATGGCCAATAGTCGGGCTCCTCTTAGGACTCGACGAGCTTGCCCATTGTGTCGTCGGCGACGTCTGCGACTTGGAAGTTCGCCTTCGTCTTTTGTCCATATCGTCCAGGACAATATCAATCAGGATGTCGGCAGGATCGTCTATGCTCGCACGCCTCAGGGTCAGCGACCGGAGCTGGTCTGCCATCCGGTCCCACCCGAAGAACTGACGAAAGTCAATATCGCTCACTTCGAGCGCTTGGACGTTCTTGAAGACATGGAGGGGGACGGCGGAATCGAAGGGAAACTCCTCGTATCCGCGGATCAGCCTGGCACGCCAGTCTGGGGAGAGCCTGAGACATGGGATCTTGGTGAAGGCAGAGTAAAGGTATTTTAGGTCAGCCTGGAGCGCAGCCTTCTGTCGCTCCGTACGGGCTGCCGAGATGCTCGAGCCGAGCCCAAAGCTAGCCCACAAGGCTGACATTCCGGACATGACACTTCGAATACTGGAGACGGAGCGTATGGAGCCAACGTCGGAACCGCGGCTCTTTGATCGTTGCGACTGGCTGAGGAAGGAGACATAATTCGCCGAGGTCGTGCTATCGTGGAGGTTCTCGAGGCGAACTTTCATCGGCCCGACAGGAATACCTAGTTCCTCAAACCGGGAGAGGAGGTAGAAGAGATGGTGAGGAGTCAAGGCCAACTTTGCCGACTTCACGCTGTGAGATGTAAAGCTGAGGGAACCCAGGGAGAGGGCTGCTGCCAGCGTGCTGGACGAAGAGGACGAGGTGGACGGTCGCTCAGGAAGGGTGGGTGACGACGTCGACAGGGGCACCGAGACCGACGAGACGCTTTGGGATGCTCCATGCCTAACCGCGTTCTGCCTCTTGAATTGCAACGCGTTGGCGAGAGCCTTTTCGTGCGTCCGCACAAAGCTCGCCAGTTGCTAGAAAACACTCGCTGTCAGCGTGGGGCCACGGGGGGCGCAGGCCGGGCAATCGCCTGTATCGTACCTTTATGAACAACTCCCCGTCTTCCGAGTCCATGTTTACTGTCGGGAATGCATGGGTATTCGGGATCGAGAGGAACGGGTGGGGGAAACTCAAGCCAAGGAGGCGAGTTCAAGGGGAAGAAGGGAAGGGCTCGGCCAGGTTCCCGAGTTTAATCTGCAGCCTGATGTCTGAGCCTCACCTCTTCGACCAAGATGACGAATCTGTGGTGGCAAATGTTGACAGAAGCCTGCACAGGAACATTCGTTAGCGATCGCAGTCAGCACTAACTTCTCCGAGTGAAATGTCGGAGGAAGGCGATTAAAACAGGCTGCGAGAGTACAATGAAGACAATAGAATCGGGGGTGAATATTCGAGAACAATAGAGCAGGCAAGCCGACTTTATATGTTAGATCTAGGGTATGAATCGAGACGGTGCGAGGGTTGGCAGGTGATTGACCTTCGCTTCGTATGGATAGTGTCGGATCGGGGACAAGCGGCCTCGAGTCGCTTTAGAGGCAGTTTTGAGGCTCATGGGGATGTCGGGTCGACTCGAGGGGCCGATGGCTCAGGCTTTCTTTCCCATGGCCTCGAAGTTTCAAGGTCGGCAGCCAGTTTCAAAACAACGATGTCACAGAGCAGTGCAACGGCTGGGAATGGCTCTCTGCAGAAGCAGCAAAGACAGGCGAAGCCGGGGGAGTGGCGCGGACGGTGTAGCCGGGGGAGGGGCGCGGACGGTGTAGCCGGGGAATGGGCAACATCACACGCAGAAATGTAGGCACTCAGGCGGGTGGATAACAGGCCAACGCAAATCTGGCGAACAAGGTGGGCGCTGGGGAATGCTGCGCCGGGGGTCGGTGAATTGAGGCCGGGCACGAATCCAACTAGAAGGGCGCTTGGAGAAACAGCCGACGGCCGTGGAAAACATAAACAGCAGCAAGTGCAACAGCAACAACAATAATAGTAACGAAACCGGAAACGGAGACCCGGGTCGACCAAGACGGTAGCATCTGCGGCGGCAAAAAAAACCCCGAAGGAGGATTCGACTTACCGATTGTCAAACAATTGCAGGTCCGAGAATGGATGAAGGCCCCGGAATCCAAAAAGGCCCACGGAGCGGGCGGCGTGCTAGAAAAAGCACTTGAACCCTGAACCAAGGAGAGAGAGGGGACAAGGCAACAGGGGAGGTCGGAAAATGAGAGTGACTGCCCGAACGAAGCTTCCCGTCTTCTTCGTTGCTGACACTCTCACGTCTCTCAGCAGTGACGGCACCACGGGAGGGAAGGAGAGGAAAAAGGGTCTCTTTTTTGAAGATCAGGGTGCGGGAGCGTGCTAGTTTAAAATAACAGCAACAGGACAAGGATGGAAGGTAGGGTGGGCGCTTTTACTCTTGGGGATGTGGTGCGTGCGTGCAGCGGCGTGGGTCGTCGTTGCTCCTTCATGCCATGGGGTCCAGATTGGCGGCGCTAGTCATATCGCATGGCCCCGTTATCAGCGTCCGCCGATGAATTATGGGCCCGCTATTGGGTACATAGGCCGAATGCCAATCTCCAATCTCGCCTTTGGATGGACGCTAAAACGAAGCACAGGGCAGGCAAATGCGGGAGGGAGTCTCGCACTGTGAAGGGTCTCAGCCAGGGGTGTGGGATGATCAATGATCATGGATCGTGCGGCAAAGCTGGCGGGAAAAAAAGCAGGGCGACGGTGCTCAAAAAATGGGCCAAGATTCGAGTTATGGGCCATCGTGACTCCCGAGTCCCAGTCAGCATCCTCTTATTACCTCCCACCAGCATTGCGAGTCAGTCAATGGTGTGGACTCGGCACCGCACCGTTATAGCCTCTAGATTCCCGAACCCCAAAAGCCTGCATTTACTTTGCAATGCAAAGCGGGGATACTCTAGAATCTTCGTCGCAGGCAGAGTGGTGGATGGATGAGATATGTCCGTGAAGGTGTGCACCGGCAGAGTCAACCAGCCTGGTTGCTGCCGGCTTCAGGAGGACTGTCATCAGGCCAATAATTGCCTGCGAACGATAAGTGCATGGGTGCTTGGCATGCCTGCAGTTGCACGCCTGCATGTCTTAGAAGCTCAAGTGGCGAATGGCTGCCCGTGGGAGTTGCGTGGGCGAGGCCGGAGCAGGCGCTGGGACTGTACTGTATGTACAATACAATTCCCGACACGACATTGCAGATCCTGTTTATCATGCCTTGCTCTCATCGCTGTCCTCAAGTAGATGCTAAGTAGCTGGTTACAACGTAAATCTCCCAGTCCTCGACCACTCCGTCAAAGCCTGGTATCTTCCAACTTCAGCTCCCGAGTTCCTATTCTCGCAGCGGTGAGTGTTATTCCCTGAGAGAGAATTGGATTACCCCAGTGGTCGGATGCTGGCCAATCCAACTGGAGTTGTCTTACATCCCCATCAACGAGGCGCACCTGAGGTGGACGGGAACGGCAAGAGTGCTGCTCGAATCAAGCACCATCCTTACTCACTGTGCGCCCACTGTGCGGCGCGAGTTATCTGAACATCGCCGTTCCCCAGTCGTGAACGGAAGCTGAAAAAGGGGAGAGTAGAATTGGACATACCTACCCATTGCTACGATGGAACCCCAAGTATTATCATGTTTCAACCGTACGTACCTACTTATGTTGAAGGCTGTTGATGAGCCGTTATTATCTAAGGCCATTTCAATTCCTGTCAGTGCTGTTATCAGTTGTGTTTGTTTACTTTGCTCCTCCAAGCCCCACGATATTATACCAGGGATGTGGCGTTGCTGCTAGTGGCTATTCTGCCAAATTACAGGTGTCGCATAGCCTGTATGGGTAACGCGGTCAGCTCGGTAGCGTATCAAAATGCACGTTCAACAAGATCAACTACAAAGATAACCGCACCAACCCGATTCGTGCTCCCAGCTGCGACTTATTCTAGAATAGAGCTTGCTCCTTGAACCTTTTCCATTGCAAGCGGGAGGCTTGCTGAGGTGGAGAGCGCTTTTTCCTTAAAGTGTGACTTGCTATCGCTGATCGTCAATCAGATTGAGCAGCACCCGAGACAACTGACGGCCACCATCTGGCAAGCTGGCGGAGCATTACGGACTACTAGCGTTCTGCAGCGAAAGCCGGGCACAGCCCCACTAGGCAAAGAGCCCGCCGTCATTACCGAAGAACCTCCGGAATCGTAGAATTATCCGCCGGTCCCATCCAAAGGCCAGCGTATGTGCATGCGTACAGGCGCTCCTATTGACAGCCGGGCAACTTGAAGTCGGTCATGATTCACTCTCGAAACTTGCAACTGCAAAACCGGGCTCTCTAGGTATCTTGACCCCACTATCTCACAGGGTCCCACATGCAAAAGTGGCTAAGGCCCGTCCTCGGCGTCCGTGCGCCAATTCGTCAATCTTAGCGCGGGGGGAACTGAAAGAAAAATAGCACAGGCGACAGAGCCGTCAAAAAAGGCCGTTTCGAAACCACGCTAGGGGACGAAACATGGCAATCGACCTGCACGATAGCTACCTAGCTAACCTCAACCTCTATCAGAGGCGTAACTTGCACATAGCGCACACCACAACGTACTGTAATGTCTGTCGACCGATGATCACCCAGATCGCCTCCTCGTCACTACTGCGTATTCTAACCCTCTCCCTGGTCTTCCCGCTGGCCCGCCCCTCCTTATTATGCCAATCCTCCTTGATCCCGAAGCCGCAGTCGATTATTTATTTACCGTATGGAGATGTGAGCATTTAGCAGCCGCCGCAGGAGCCAACAAGGAGCTATTGCAGTTTCTAGAGAGCAGAATGCCGGACCCGGGTAGGCCTCACATCAATTCATGCTCTGATTGCCAAGTGAATTCAGTGTCGTTCCCCCACATCCATGACGGAGGGGCAACACAATTATGTCATAAGCCCACGCCCCAGAAACCGCAACGCCCAGTGATTGGGAGTGGCATCGCCTGCAGCTGCTTCGAGCTTAGCCTCTAGCGTTGCATGCAGTTCGATGCACCACTGCAATGTACGTACTGGACCCCCCCGTACCAAACCTACTACACTGTCCTTGCTTGCCCTTGGCGGAGGAGTGTTCGGAATATTCACCCCAAAAAAGGGCAGCGCTTGGCGACCAGTCTCCAACCTGCCGATGCGGCAGCTACGAGAGAGGATCTAACTCCCGCGACCGGATCGGCCGACCGTGTCCCCGAATCGTCCCATCACCAGCCCGTCGACTGGTTATGGGTATAACACGAGTCAAGCGGGACAGGAAGGGATTGGCACGATATGATGCGCATTTTGCCCAAGTCCTTTATTTCTGGAGACTTGCCAAACGCCGGACGCCTGCATTCTGCTGAATCTGCTGAGCGGCACTTGATGTCCTCGAAGACTCGCTCGTTCATGTCAGAGCTTCGGATGCCTACAGGTGTTTGCAATTCCATGTGGTGACACAGGCGACACGGCACGGATATACTCTCAAAAACATATCGACATGCCGTGGCTTGATCACTTAATCTTTTGGTGGAAGGTGGCCTCACCGCCTCCAGCCTACGACCACCTACCTAGGTACTCAACAAGGTACGGTCGTGCTTTCTGATGTCTCGCTCGAGATATCGGATATCTGGATTCTCCAATCACTGTTATCCCGGCCTCGAACCTTGCTGGCTAGTCAATTCCCTTCAAAAGGCTTACTAACCTTCGTCATCAACCATCATCAGTCCTGTCAAACTCCGTCGGGATAGTACGAGATAGCTCGCTCAGCCTCATCGCCAGGATAACCTCCTCCAAAATCTGCACTGATCGGGCAGGCAGTTTGCGATTTGCGATGGCGTAATGGCACACTTATTCTGTTCGGGAGTTCAACCTGAGGCTGCTGTTAAGACGCCTTGGAATTTCTCGGCCAGCCATCATTAAGGCAAGATTGTCAATGGCCACACTAGGGCATCCATGTTCATATTCGATCGCCATGTTAGTGCAGAAACGCTGAAGATCTCTCGGGCCAAGCCCGACCTTCTAAGCCCACTCCGGAAGGCCAAGTTTCCCAATTTGTTCAGAACTTGCGTGTTATTCACGGATTTGGTGAAAGACAGACCTCGCCTTCGAGTTCCTCCGCATCATAAGGGCAAGATAGTCCATCAGGTGCCAAGGAAGTGTCCTGCGCGAAGGAGCTAACCTGGCAGTCAATTGCAGATCTCAGGGTGCCATGACCGCAAGCGGCACTCGATAAAAACTGGTCGCTCATCCTGCTCGTCCTGCTCGTCCTCCGGCATACCACATACGGCTGAGGGGCCATGCAGCTGCACCGACTCGTCGAAAAAGAAAAAAAAGATGGACCCCTGGATGGAGCTCTCTCTCTCTCAATATGCAGGCGCACATGGAAGTAATCCGAGAAAGAGCTTGCCTATGTCATAGGTACCCCACAAATGTCAAGTTGTCCAATGCGCACATCCCGGGTGTTCAACTCAAAGTTGGACGAAGTTGCCTCGTCCCGTCCGGCTGATATCACAAATCCCGGCAAGTAGCGCCAACGGCGGCTGTTCCAGAATACCTATCGCAAGGAGACTAAAATAAACCGCAAGAGAAGGCCCACATGTTAACACTTAAACTTAGACCAATGTCTTGGTGGCTGCACTGGCTGCAGGGAATCTCGTAAAGATGTTTGCCCAGTGTCAGACATGTCCTGAAAAGCGATACGCCAATTCCTCCTGCTCACCGCTCATTTCGTTTCTTCCTTTTCTCTGCATACGGACAGGAAGAAATAATAGATCACAGACAAGAGTGTGTGCGTGTGCAGCAAATAGGTTTCATTCCTCGCCTCGGCTTGCATTGCAGCACCTACTACATGCTACTGTGTGCAGTAGCTAACGCTGTGTCTTCGCCGTGCATGGTCTGTACGGACCCCAGTCAAAAAGGCCATTTCTGGATTCCATGGAGATCGAGGCCGGGCTCGCAGGTCGGCCCCGCCCCCGCTCCCATCCCTGACAAGCGAATCCCTTCGTGCATGTCGGCTAATTAGGTGAGGATTCGAGGAATCGAGGGGTCCTTTCTCCTCGATCTCGTGGGGATGCATTCCGGAGCTTTTGATGGCAACAACCTATTAGTTCCCCAAAGAGGTTCATGGCCAACACGGCAACCCTTACACACCGTGTATACCTACGACGATAGTTGAATACGTTCTCTGCCTTAGGTATCTCCCAGCAAAAAAAAAAAAAACCCAAAAAAAATGGCTGCCCATCCCGTCCTGCAGCCAATATCATGCGCGGCAACCGTGCATACAAATGTCAGAGGCACAAACTCCTCCGTCCTGCCGATGCCGGACCTTCCATGTTTTCTCGTCCCATAATCAAACGGTTCTGCGCAGCTGTCAAACGATTGTCTATTGCTGGGCTGGGCTGGTCAGGGTGAGGAGTAGTTGGCCCAACCGAGCCTCAGAAAAAAATACAAATCAGCCAAACCGGGGGCACACCAACAAGGAGAATCCCACCATCATCCCAAGCTTGTGGTGGTGAAACACCCGTAGCTTCACGTCCCTCTTCTTTAGCCTCTGTCTAGGTTGGCAATGCGATTCCCCGACGTCGTGGCTCCCAAAAGCCATGGGCACTGTGCCCGTACTTCGCCGCCATTGACATTCCAGCAGGCATTATTTCCAGGCGCTTGATATCACGAGACGACCTGGATCTGCGCCGGGCTGACCACCTGCCCAGCGACAAGGAATGTTCTTCATTCCCCTTCCCCCGCAGTCCACAGAGCCCTGGTTTTCTCCGCCTTGAACCTGCTGTAAGCGCGCTACGGGAGTCATGGTCAAGTGGCATATGACTCGCTCGTGTGAATCAAATGTCCAATCAGCCCCTGTTCCCCCGCATTCCGACTCTCTCTGCAGCTGAACTGCTCTTTTCTTAGTTGCAGAATACCTCAAACCTGGAATGCTACCGCAGGGAAGGAAGTCCCTCTTAGACGGATACCGGCAACGACGGCGCTGCCCAGATGATCGGGGTCTGTTGTTTTCGAGAAGTCCAAGAACTCATTGTCTCGAGAGGTAATCGATTGCACCATCCCCCCGGCCGCTAGTTTGGTTCCGCGCCGAGGGTTTCACGTCGGCCAGTAGTGGTGATGAACTGAGTCGGACTCGCCTGTCGTTCAGGGATCGACAGCTAATGCAATGCTATTCTTCGCACTGCTGCCACGCTGTATCTAGGGTACACCGTGCAGATTCTCGGGCTTCACCTCTCCTCGGCTGCGATTACCTGCCGCGAGCCTATTAGTGTGAAGTTTGAACTTCAAGCTTCGAGCTTCCCTAGTGTCGGACAGTGGCAGCTTGTCGCACTCCCGATAGGCGCGCCCGGGGGTGCCTGCGTGATGATACTCCCGATTTTTTATTCTACCTATATCCCTTAGAGCCTCTCCCAGACCAATACTCGGTGCGGCGACGCCCACGTGGAGCCACGCAATGCCCACGTGTAGCCCTGCAGCCGTTGTGATGGGGGGACTGGCTTCAGACAGTGAAATGGTCCTGACGTGAGCGGGAGGCCCTGGCGAGACTTGATCGCGGAGAATCATGATCTGGCAGGTATTGAGGAGTAATTTTCTGATAGTCTGTCTATATTGTTCAAGTCCTGGGCCCGATGTTTGCCAATATACAACTGAAAATACAGACCTGCCCCCGATGCAGAATTAGGTTGTTGGCTCTCATTGGAGCCATGTATGTACTTCTGATAAACCTCTCTAAATGCTTGATACTGCCGACTCCATCTCCAATGAGCTATGTTACTATGTTATTATACAAGGTTCTAACATAATTCTATACAAACCCTCCGGGACCCTCAAGGGAAAGAGCCGGGCGGGGGGGGGGGGGGGGGGGGGGGTGGGCGGCGGGGGGGGGGGCCCCGGCCGGTGGAAATGAACGGAAACACCACCCCGAGGGCCCACCCCCCCCCCCCCCCCCCCCCCCCCCCCCCCCCCCCGCCCCCCCCCCCCCCCCGCCCGGGGACCATCCATCACCGCGGCGTCTGGACATGAACGATCCTATCCAGCGCCTTCCCCTCATCGAGCGCCCACCCGCCACCCCCGACGTCAAACTTGTACTGTACGGGCCCGACCCTGATCTTGGCGAACCCCTCGCGGCTGAGCCCCCTCTTAACCCCGGCCCACGACGCCGCCGCCGCCCGCCCGGCGTGCCGGAACGGCGCCGTCATCAGGTGGTCCATCTCGTACTTGCGCGCCCGCTCCGCCGCCTCCTGCTCCGAACGCATCGCGCGCAGCCGCTCCGCCGCCGACGACTGCGAGGAAGGTGGCCCCGCGTCCGTCCTCTGCCCGGCTAGCATGGCCGCCAGGCGGAAGGAGAGCTTTACCTCGCCCGGCGCGACGCGCGTCGTCTTGTCGGGGAAGAAGGGCACTGCCCTGCTGGTCGAGACCTCGAGGAGGAGGGGCGGCGGCGGTGTCGTCGTCGCTGTGGCTGTGGCTGTCGCAGCGGTCGCGGTCGCGCGAATGGCGGCCGTCGCGGGCCTCGGCTTGCCCGCCCGCGCTGCTGTGGCGGTGGCGGAGGACGACGCTTGCGCGACGACGGCGGGCACGGCGCGGATGCGGCGCACGATGCCGCCGGCGCTGGCGGCGAAGTAGACGCCCATGCCGGCCATGAACATGCAGACGACGCCGTAGGCGTGGGGCACCCACCAGCTCAGGCCCGCCGGCGGGTGCAGGTAGACGGTCCAGTACTGGACGACGGTGTAGGAGATGCAGAAGGCGCCGGCGCCAAAGCACGAGAGCCGCAGCCAGAAGTGCGACGGCGCCTCGTACAGCAGCGTCGGGTGGCCCTTGGAGGAGAGCATGTCGGCGTACGAGAGAATCGGGTGCCGGGGGGCCCGGGTGCTCGGGATAGTGGTGGTGGTGGATAGGGCGGGGGAGGTGGGCTTCACGACTGGGGTCCGAGTCTTCGGTGCTGGGGGCCGGGTTTGCGGTGCTGGTTTGGCGGCCGGCGATTGGGTCTTCGGTGCTGGGGGCCGGGTCTGCGGTGCTGGTTCCGCGCTTAGTTTGACGCCCCGGGCGGTGGCAAATAGTCGCTGCGACGGCCGGAGGGGTGCCCGGAGCAGTATCCGTATCGGCATTGCCTGTGTCGCTACGGAGCAGGGGGGTTGGTTGGGGAGGAAGAAGACCTGTGGCCGGAGCCGCCTTGCGAAGCACGACATCTGTCGAGAGGCTATGGTTAGTTATATATGCTCCGAACAACAGAGGAGAAAGAAGTAATCCTCACCTTGAGCCCCAAGAGCCAGGTGTAAAGTGTCAATGGCACTCTCACCACGTCTGATCTTGAATTTCTCTCGTGAAAAAGGTACTGAAGTTCACCAGAGCTAGGGGCCCAATCGGAGCTGTCCACTCCAAAAAAAATTAGTCGGTTTCGGCGCAATGTTTTAGCGACCTATGGGTTTTATCTGCAGGGGATCCCTGCCCGGGCTCTGAATCTTGGCTGTCCGTGCCCAATTCGGATCCCCAACGCTTCCAATTCTCTCAGGCCAGCTTCTTCAACATTGCGAAAAACCCGATCAACCTTCAAAGCTGGGCTCAATTGGGTTCGACTCTTCACATCCGCCGGCATGGCTTCCTTTGCGACGGCATGCCGCCTATCGATGAGACTGGCGAGGCGGAAATTGCCTCACGATGCCACTGTCAAAGGTCCGTTTTGACGCTGCTACAGCAGGCGAGTGAATTATAGTCCGTCGCTGACCATCCCGCCGCAGGCTTCAAAACGTCGGCAGCCGCCCTTGCGGCTCAAAACTTCACAATGCCAGCGCTATCTCCGACAATGACTGAAGGCAACATTGCTACGTGGAAAGTCAAGGAAGGGGACAAGTTCGCTGCCGGCGACGTTCTGCTGGAGATCGAGACGGACAAGGCAACCATGGATGTCGAGGCTCAGGAGGATGGCATCTTGATGAAGGTCATGAAGAGTGATGGAAGCAAGGCCGTCCAGGTTGGCACGCGGATAGCCGTGCTTGCAGAAGAAGGGGACGATATCAGCTCTCTAGAGATTCCACCCGACGAGAGTCCCAAGCCTCAAGACGCTAAGGAAGCCTCGAAGTCCGAACCCCCGCCGCCGTCGCAGCCACCGTCAGAGTCAACCACGCAGGCTCCCAAGAAGGATGTAGCCAAGTCTAAAACGAAGGCTCCGATGCAGACATATCCTCTTCTTCCATCCGTCACCCACCTGGTCAAGGAGAACGGCTTGGACGAGTCGGCCATCGGCGAGATGACGCCCACAGGTCCAAACGGCCGTCTTCTAAAGGGCGATGTCTTGGCATACTTGGGGAAGATCAAGGCTAGCACCCCCGCAGCTGTGTCGGCAAGGTTCGAGGAGGCCTCACATCTCGACCTGAGCAACATTAAGGTTGCCAAGCGACCAGAAGCCAAGAAGGCTGCTTCGGCACCAACGCCGGTCGAGGAGGATTCCCTCGTGACGCTGCCCGTCACCCTGGAGTCCGTCATTAAGGTCCAGAAGAAGGTTCATGCCACTCTCGGAGTCTTTTTGCCGCTATCTACGTTCATTGCTCGAGCCACCGACATGGCCAATGACGAACTCCCGCTACCTACCGGTGCCCAGCCAACGGCCGACGAGCTGTTCAACCAGGTGCTGGGCCTTGATAGAGTCGGCCGCAAAGCATCTCGTGGCTCCTACCTACCTCAAGTGTCCGCTCTGCCACCAGCATCATTCACCGCTCCCAGGCCAGCTGTACGCTCCGTCGACGTCATCGACGTACTTGCCGCCCCTTCGCGTTCTTCAGCGCCGAAGATGAAGAGGCCGCTGACACCTGGCCTCTCAGGCGGGGTCAATGTCTTCAGCATCAGCGTGCCGAAGCGAGAGGAGAAGCGGGCGCGTGTGTTCCTGGAGCGAGTAAAGCTTGTTTTGGAGAATGACCCCGGCCGGCTTGTGCTATGAGACGAGGCTAGAGGAGGTCAGAGACGTGTCAAGCCCCTGGAATTTTGTAACATGTATAGCAACCACCTAGACTTTTACCTTTTCAACGAAGCGGAGGAAAGAGTTGGGGATGAATTGGCTGGAGAGATATCTAGCAAAGTCTGAAGTAATCTTGACACGGTCGCAAACCGTCTCTTCTCCAGCTGATTAAACCGTCACCAAAGCTGAACTATCACTCATCAGAACCAGTGAGCAGCATGTCATCGTTCGTGAACGCAATGCCCACCCAAAAAGAAAAAAGGGATCGGCTTGTCTACGAGCTACCCGACCAGGTGGCAAAAAAGGAGAGTGGGGGCAAATGAAGCTGAGCTTTGGGGGGCGGGAGAGCTAAGCTGAGCAATCTGGCCAGCAGCAGGATGTTCATCTCGCGTTAACAGATCTGAGTAGATATCTGTCTACTGCATAGTACATGTTGTTTGAGATGAGTGAGGTGTTGATGTCGGTAGCAACCCAGGTACCTAGGTAGGGATTATTAAGGGGAGTGGTTCTTACCTAAAGCTGCTGGTGGCTTACGTGTCTTGGTAGGTTCGAGGCTGCCGCGCAGTAAATACTCTATGCGTACATCGATTACATTTTCGAGGTAACTGCCTAGGTAGAGGCAGTCTGGTATATTCCCTTCGGCGAGCTTCGTCTGTCTCGGGATAATCGTATCCATTTCCCGGCGAATTTCCTCGGGATCGATGACTAGGTACTTTTCCGTACTGCCGACTTGGCTTTTATAGCAGCCATATAACCCCCTACCCTCCCAACTTTCTCCTCTCCTGAACCTCGATATCGACCGTCTCATCTCTATCAAAAACCTTTGTGTTGGATGATGCAGGTTTTTCTTTACCTTTGTTTAAAATCTCGGGCCTTTGGAGACTCACCGTCTCGATAAACTGGAGCTGACTGCTCATGTCGCACAACATCAGCCACTGGCCCACGGCACGGGGCAAGCCTGCCTACTGGCCGGCGGTCTCCCTCACAGGCTGGAACGGAAAGTACTGCTCTGCGCTGTCAGCCAGGTCAGTGCCAATCACGCGGCCCAGGTAGCTGGACTTTGAGAATCGAAGCCGGGGGCTCCCAGTCTCTAGACGCTCTTGGTGGTCGCCACTTATACTTTTTATCTTTGCTTTTTCTTTTTTCTTGGCTACCAAGCTCCGGGTGGTTCATCCCCTGGCTCAGCTCAGCTACTTCGGTACAAAAAGCTGCTCAGCTTACTTTGGCAAAGCTTGTTCGCCCGATCACCCGCTAGTATTCGAGGTGACGTTTAAGGGTATTAAGCCAAGGGCTGATTCACTTCTCGTATTCGACGCGCGCCAGCTCAAGTTATCAATTGAGCGGGTTCTGTTTCCTTTCCTCCCATCTCCGCGGGATTTTCCATCATTCATCCATCCATACACATTCATCCATCCGCCGAATCAGCCAGCCACACAGCAGTGCCGCTTCCGGTGGCCCGGTCCTTACACCACACATTCCCCGCGCTGCGGAAGCCCGAACCGCGCCTGCCCCCTCCCCACTGTTCCCCGGTCGTGCTCTCGGTCGTGCTGTCGTGCAGCATCCGGTCCGTCAAGTCACAGGAGTCGCTTCCGGAACTAAGCTGTTCGCTCCGCGTCGGGGCCCATTGGGGGGTTGATTGAGCGCGTCCCATGGCTGCTCTGCTGCCTGTCTGCCCAGCATGGCACGGCCCAAAGTCCCGGACGACCAGCGACGGCGCACTGCCCAGGCATGCGACTCTTGCAAACGTAGGAAGCAGAAGGTAAGCAGCCGAGGCCTCTGATTTTCCAGCCAGCTGTCGTATTGTTTTCCCCCAACCCCCAGGTAGTACTGTACATGCAGTCATCGCTACTCGCGTTTGCTGCGCCTTATGCTACCATCCCTTCCTAGCTGGCAGCCCCCTGCTCTGATGGCGCCCGTCATTTACCTGTCATATCCGCGCATGGCGACGGTCAGTGGTGGTGTCTGGGGGCTATGATCGCCCAATCCCCGTGTCTTCCTAAAGCCTATAAGAGCAACTTTGGTGAGACATGTCGTGGATCCTGGGCGTTGCACGAGGAAAGAGAGGCCCTAACCAGGCATTTGAAATTTGAACATTGGCGCTTGCACGCCAATCAAGTCCCACTGCCTCCTAGCAGACATGCAACTACGTCGTTTGCTGACGAGCTTATTCCAAGTGCAACGGCCGACATCCATGCGATACTTGCACAAAACGGAGTCTGACCTGCGACTATGCGAATAACCCCCCTGAAAACGGCCCCAGTGAATCTACGGAGTCGCCGCGGAAACGACGCCACATCGAGTCACCCTCTTCGTCTCACCGTCAAGCGTCTCCGCTAGAAGAACCAACATCAAGCCACCTTCCACCCCAACCCGTGTATCAAGTCGCCCGCCCCCAGCCAACTCCGCAGAATAGCTGTACGGTAACACCGCCTGAGGAAAGCAGGAAAAGTGTTCAGCATGTCCCTCAACCCTCGAAAAGCGAGGTGGTCAGCAGCCTGAGATCATGGGTCCCGCCGCTGCCTTTTGCAGACCGCGAGCATCGCCAGGCACCATGTGATGATGAGCTGGAGAACCACTCGCGCAAAAGCGCGGTTAGCGGGCCTGATGAAGAGGCCACAGTCTTCCCCTCGACAAGGATGCTACAGGACTCAACTGGGCGTCTACGTAGGTGTCTCCGCCCGCTAGTACCCTCTTGACACTTTTGACACGCTGACCATGAGAGACAGTCTATCTTGGGGATTCTGCAACCTTGTCATATCTCCAGCTGATCCGGATGATCGTGGAAGATACGGTTGGGCCATCCGCCTTCACGGGGGATCCGTCGAGACATCGGATTATGGAGAATACCGTCTCCCTCCCGCACAATGTCCGGCCAGCACACCGTTTGCTGCCAGACCGACAGACTTCTGCTGTATTGGTGGACTCCTTTTTCACAAACGTACTGGCCCCTAACCTCCGCCTGATCTTGCGAAGCGCTAACGAATACCCTTAGACAATGGGCCTAATCGAGGTATTCGACCGAAACAATTTCCAGACCTTGTTGGAATCGTGCTATACCGATCCTCTCGATGTCGATCCGTCCTTTCTTTGTCTGCTGTATCTCGTATTCGCCATTGGATTGGTGCTCGCTGTTCCATCTCCGGACACCCCCGAGTACTTGGTCATCAAGCAGCTGCGGAACGGCCGTCTCAATTGGGCTGAGATGTTCTATAGGAGCGCAAAAGCGCTCGGCGACCCCGTGTCCGGCTTTGAGGACGACGACTTCTGGTCGGTTCAGGCTCTGTTGCTGATGTCCGTCTATATGCTTTCTATCTCCAAGAGGAACGCAGCAAACGCATATTTCGGTAGGTGTTCCACCCACTGTCGGAAATTTCGTTCTCTCCACCGCTCACAGGAGGTCTCGCAGGCATGGCGGTGCGCTCGGCCGTTGCTCTGGGCCTCCACAGGGAGGAGGCATCGACTCCAGATATCTTCGGCCAGGAGAATTCAATAGTCCGCCGCAATCTGTGGAGGACTTTGTTCGTGCTCGACCGCTTCCACTCAGCATCACTGGGAAGACCCACGGCAATATCGGAGGGTGATTGCTCCAGCGGCGCGCTCAAGGCACCTCAGCTACCCAGGCCGCCCCTGAAGGACGAGGAGGACGAAGACACAGATCTCGACGTAATCCATTCCAGGGGTATAGACGCTGCAGTCCGCAGCTCCCAGGCCATCGGGGTCATCCTAGAGAAGGTCTACTCCAAACGGAAGATCTCGACCGGCCTGGCCCAGGAGATCGCAAACATGTGCAAAGACTGGCCTCAGAGGCTTCACCCCAGCCTTCATTGGAGCCAGGCTGCGACGGGGGCGACGCGACCGGCTCATGGCATTGCAATTCTCCACACCAACCTGCTCCACTGCCATACCATGATCCTCCTCACCAGGCCATTCCTCCTGTACATGATCACCAAACGTCAACGAGCCCGCAGCTCGGCGAAACAATCGTTGCCCCGTATCGTGTCCAAGATGGAGAAGTTCTCCGAAGCCTGTGTTATCGCATCCTATCATACCATATACCTAGTCCAGAAGGCCTTTATGGACAACTACCTGCCGCAACGTAACCCATTTGTCCAGTAAGTGTGCCTGGCCCATTGCCAACGCTTCTTCTATCCCAAGCACTTCCCCTAGTTGACATGCTCCAGTTACTTCCTCTTTGCTGCCAGCCTCATCGTCCTTACCAACGAGTTCGGAGCGCTCTACCACAACGATGCCTACGAGACGTGCATCTCGAACGCCATCTCCATCACGCAATACTGCGCTGAGACTGACCCGCAAGCCGCCCGATGTCTCTACATCCTGGCTGCCTTCCGAGACGTCGTCGCGCGCAAGGGCAAGCCCCCGATCGACATGGCGCCGACCATCCAGTCGACACCGAGCAGCACCTACGACCCAATGGCGGACTTCCTAGGACCCCACGACCACCGCCAATCCGGCCCAAGCATGAGGCCCTCTGACTCCCGGCGCCCTGGCGACCCGAAAGTGCCCGGACTACTACCATCCCAGCACCCCTCCCACGCCTTCATGCCCGCGCCGACGATTCCCTCGCTACCCGAGATGACCGTCACGACCTCCTCCGGCTCCTTGACGCTCGGACCGAAATCCGACTCCGGGATCCCCCCAGACGGTTTAACGTCGCCGCCGCACCCCGTCGACTACTACCCGCTCCCGCAACACCATCCCCAGCATCCGGTCCCGGCCCTCACCGTCCCTACAGTCGCGTTCTCCACCCCTACCCCCGCCTCGGAGGGCTCGGGCTCGGGCTCGGGACCCGGCTCAATGGGTAGCGGCGACGGCGAGTTCGACTTTGACGTCCTGTGGAACCGGCCTCTGACCGAGGTCGAGGCCCAGGCGTCGGGAATCCTTCAACCCAGCCAGATCGTGCAGCCCCTGGCCCCGGCTCCGGCGCCGGCGCCGCTGTCGGCTACCGATTTACCCCACTTTGTGCACGGCGGGGACGGTAATGGTGCCAACGGCGGCGGGAATATCCCGCTGTATCCTAGCACGAATTTCTTGTGAGTTTTTGCAGCCCTCTGCGAGGGGGCCTGGTTGGAATGGGAGCCACTCTGCTCTGCTGTTGTGGTTGGAGTTGGGCTTGATATGGGAGGGGTTTTCATGCATTTCGTCGTTATATGGACGGGAAGATTGAGGGGGTGTTTAACTGGCTCTTTCTTCTCCTTTATGTTCCGGCGCTTGGATGGGCGGCTCCTTGGGACCACCACGTAGTCCTTCTTTCAAAATATGCACGCGATAAATTATACCCTTTCGGCGGGATGAAAAAAATATATTGATATTCGCCTGGGATTATTGCTTGCATTCCCCTCTTGCACATGTGGACTGTCTAGTTCTCTGGCTGGAGTTGGTTTTTCGTTGAAGTCACGACAAAATGTTACGATACCACTAGCTAGAAAAAGGCGTCTGAGGCCCTATATCAAGACGGGGGGGTGTTGGTGGCCAATTCAGACTACATGATATAATACTGACCGCACTTTTATTTTTGGGGCAACAACCTGCACCTCCCATGTAGTAGAAATAACGCCGGCTCAGCTGCCGCTACTACACCTGTTCAATGCCGCTATCAATGTCTTGGGCATGGTTGGCTGCCAGCTGAATTAGAAACAAGCGCCATGCTCCTGTTCATTGTTATACTACATTATACACGCTCGATCGTATAGGTAGGTAAGTATGAAGTGAGCGCTGTGTCTACTGTCGAGTCCGTACCGACCTCCCACGTCTACCCGATGCCCCCATGCACAACTGACTGGCTACCGTTGGGGCAGAGAATCGAAAGGAAGCCCCAATCATCGATGATATAAAAAGAAAAAAAAACCCCCCCAAGAACTCCAAAGAAACGCCTCACGCCTCACGCCTCACGCCTCACGCTTCTCATAAAAACATACACAAGCGCCCCCCCCCCCCAACCCAAAGCTCACCACGTCGCGGGCCCAAAGGTCTGGCCGGGAGGCAAAACGACCTGCACGGCCGTCCTCTTGAAATCCACCGTCGAGACGACAACGTCGTTGCCCCACCACGAAGGCGGGTCGATGTTGTTGAGGGTGAAGGCGAAGAAGATGACGAGGGTGGCCAGGGCGAGGCCGAGGTCGAGGCCGGACGAGGTCAGGAAGTTGAGGCGGCTCCACCAGCCGAAGTGGCGGTTGCGGATCACGTACTGGAACACGAAGCCCACGGCGCCCCAGGCCAGGTAGTTGAGCGGCGTGGCCGGCGGGATGAGGCCCGCCCCGCCGAACACGAGCGGCGCGATCAGGTACTTGAGCGGCGAGTTGGGCCAGCGCTTGGAGGCGAAGTAGATGACCACGGGCACGATGGCGCCGACGGCGAAGAAGAAGAATAGGCCCGAGTAGATCTGGCCCGGGGAGAACATGCGCGCGGGGCCGATGAGTCCCCAGATGACAGACGCTGCGAAGGGGGGGTCAAGTCAGACTGGGTAGTTCAAGGCAAAAGGGTATCCGCGAAGATGGGGCGGGCTTACCGGAGAAGAAGACTCGTCCACCGGGGCACGTAAAGTGTTCGGGCTGCTCGAGCGTGCAGACACCATCGATGCTGCCGAGCGCGGAATTCAGGACGGCGATCTGGATGAAGCACGAGAATGTCGTGGCGACCACTTGAGCCATGAACATTGTCCGGGGCGGGATCTTCATGTAATGGCCGAATTTGAGATCCGACACAAAGTTGAGCGCTTGCGACATGGTGATGTAGCCAAATGTCTTGAATCTGGAAATGGACGTTAGCAGTGCGATGACAAGGAGCGAGTCACAGCCACAACTCACATCATAAGTGCCAGAGGGCGTCCGGGCTGGATATAGCCGTAGACGAATTCAGTCAAGACGTTGAGCCCAATCTGGTTATTCGTGACGGCTTGGATGATGCCAATCGGCAGGGAGAACCCGAAGGAAATCAACACGGCCAACAGGAACGCCCACCAGGTGAGGTTGGTAGGATAAACCAAGATGGTTATAAACCCGAGAGCGAGCATCTGAAGAAACGGTTAACATCAACGCCTCAGATGCGGGAGTCGATAGTGATTGTCCGGGATAAATAGGACTTACGAGGACGAAGAGAGACATGTACCACCATGTTGGCGCTTCCTTGTACTTCTTCATCAGCTTCATGTGGATATCTGGTTTCTCATTCGTGCTGTTTCTGTATTGCCTCCAAATAGTCTTTCCATGGTGCAGGTACGTATAGACGATGAGGGATGCAATGGCGGCGAACGAGAGGCCATACGACAAGGCAAAAGTCGTGCTGCAGCGGTTACTTAGGAGATTGATCTCAGGGCAGGGCTGGCGGTAATACACACCTGATGAACAGTGGTGAGTAGCTCTCATAGGCCTGCACATCGAAAGTGAAGTCCGAGGTTAAAACCCTGGACACATTGTATCGGGCGCCGGTATTGTCGTACGTGGCGGAGTCACTCATTGGGAGGAACTGGCCATACCAGGTCCCACTGAAGTGTAGAACCGAAGCAAGGAAAAGGAAAAAGAAGACGACACCGATCAGCGTGTTAGCGATAGCATACCATGGAGGAATCAACGGAGAGCCGACAAAGCCAGAAATCTGGGTCCAGTCGAAAGTGATTGGCAGAATCGACAGTCCGGTCGAGTATCCAAATAGCTGGTTGACGACGGTGTTGTTTGGAGCTATCCAGGTGATAACAGCGAAGGAGCTCAAGAACTGGGCAAGATAGCCCGGGATGAAGTAGTAGAAAAACGCGCATATGGTGACAATGCCAAACCACCTGTATCGCGGCATGGCGCCTCCAATAACGGTCGGATCTGGCTTATCGTTCTTCTCGTACATGGCGTTTAGCAGAGTCACGGCGACAAGATTTCCCGGCCAAATCATAGAGGCTGGGTATACTTGACTGAGAGTTAGCAAATCAACCAAGGGGAAAGAGATCTGAACAGCGCTCACCAAGAAACTTCCTCATCATCCCTGCAATCCCATACCCGAGCGATTGGGTCGAGATGGTAAGCATGAGCTGGAACAAAGTGCCGAAATTCTGATTGTAGAATACGACCTGGGCCAAGATGATATCGGTGGCATAGGCGACCGAGAAGGATACACTGGCCATGACCACGATGATGGAGTGCTCCTTTATGTTGAACGGTCCGGGATTCAGGCTCCAGGTAATGCCGAATGTGCGGAATTTCCTTGTCGGCATGACCTTCGCCCAACCATGGCCCATGGGCCAGGATATAATCTGAGCAACGAGGGCCCCGAGGCTGATGGAGGGCGAGCGTAATGAGAACAAGGTGTTCATCGAGGCCCCGAGAATGACCAGAGTTAGGCCGATAGTCCAGGCCCGGATGGTGTTACAGGGCACCTCCTCGTCGTAGTTACGGACCGCAGATCGGACCTCGGCATATGGAGAGTTCTCCTCCTCCTCCTCCTCATCGCCGGTCTTAGTCCGCTTAAGGGCGGTTTCGTCGTCAAAGCTTCCCGAGTCTCTGTCGATGTCCTCGAGCGAAGCGTCGAAATGGTGGGGGAGGTTCGGATCTAAGAGGAGTTCATATTCTGATCCTTCTTCATCGTCACCATCGTCGGCCTGGTAGTTTCTAGACTCACCCCACATAGATAGGCGGGCTTTCAGGTCTTCCACAGGACTCAGCCGACGCTCATTGGAGCCATCGACCGGAGACGCTGCTTCGCCCGGCGGCACCACCTTCCCACTGACTTCCACGTCAACCTTTGGGTCTCGGTCATAATCGTCGTCGGCCATCGTAACCCTAGAACTCGTACCTGACGGCTCTGAGCTTGATGGTTGGGCCATGTTTACGGTCCCAATAGGTTGGAGAACGATCAACGATCTGACGAGTCAAAGGCAGGCGTGGAAGTAGTGGGTACTATATAGGGGCTATCTGAAGAAGTCACTCAGGCCAGACGAGGTCCTCATCGGCAGCCAGGCTAATGCCCTCCCTTGTCAATCCCGTCCCAGTAGCATGGAAAGAGCAAACAGGGGTCCGTAAATCGCAGACCAAGGCCGGATCGGTACTGGGGTCACGGAGCCCAGGGGGCCAGAAACGAGTAGCCGATAAGCTTCCCAAGAGAGACCACAGGGTGGGGTGGTAAAAGCTTCGAGGAGCTGCGAAGGCACAAAGGCATGAAATCGAAGGTCTCAGGGGATCTTGCTTTCCGAAAGGCGAGCGACAAGATCAATGCGGATGTGGGTGGTGATAGGATATCCGAGTTCAGAGAACTACCCTTTTCAGCTAAGTTCCAGGAGTTGTGCTTTCTGGTGGCTGAAACCGATATGTGGCGAACGCACAGATAAGAGTGAAGCCGTCGTCCTTGGTCTCAAGCTGTCTCTAGTGGACGGTGACGCCAGTAATGAGAAAGCACTAAATATCGGCGGGTTGCGGTCCTGATGCGATTGAGGGAATAGAGGTCCTCTCTGTCTTGCTCAAGAAGTCGCAATTGAGAAGCTGAGGGCCTGTCGTGAAGACAGGTGACGGATTGGGGGCTTTGAAACCTGTCGTTTCGAACCAACAGGACGGGCTGGGCCTTGTCCGAGTCCGGTATCGCTAACAAAGAGCGCCTAGGGAGTTGGTGCTACCTTTGGCTTGCCATATCGCAAACTAGGTTAGTTTCCCCTGACTCTGCTATGCAATCCAGAGAGTATGATGAGCGCGGAAGCGACCAAGAGTAGGTGATTTGGCTGAAGTCGAGCTGAAGAGGCAGGGCGATATTATGCTGAACTTCCGAATATGTACCACGTTTCAATCACAGACGGACCCGGGACTCTGGGCAAATGGGGGCCGCAAATGGGGGCCAAGGGGCTTTGTCCCGCCTGCGGCTCCTGCGGCTCCTGCTTCGCGCTATTCCGTGACGGGATTAGCGCATTATCACGACCCAGACCATTTTTGGTTTTATTATCGGACGGAACCAGTCGCGTTTTATCGCAACTGATAAGCACCACCACCCAGAGTATGGAGAGATCATGCGACGAGTTGTTGTGACCGGCCTTGGCGCCATCACTCCTCTGGGCGTGGGCATTCGCCCAACGTGGACGCGCCTACTAGCGGGCCATTCCGGCATCGTTAGCGTTGCCGACCTTGAGCCTGCGAGGCACTGGAAGAATCTAACCAGTACCGTTGCCGGGGTCGTCCCGAGTGGTGATGCCTCGGAGCATGGTTGGAAGGTATCGGACTGGCTGGACGGTGCTGAACAGCGCCGTACGTCCAAGTTTGCCCAGTATGCGCTAGCAGCTTCTCGGATGGCTCTGGACGACGCTGGCTGGAAACCAACTCGGCAGGAGGACCTCGAGGCTACGGGGGTCTGTCTAGGTAGCGGCATTGGCAACTTGGACGACATCTACAGCACCAGCCTGGCCTTCGAACGAGACGTGAGATTTAGCCCCACGCACTGCAACGTAAACCAATCTGGCCGGGAATGCTAAGATCGCGCGGTAGGGCAATAAGAAGGTATCTCCACTGTTCGTCCCGAAGATATTGACCAACATGGCTGCCGGGCACATCGCCATGAAATATGGCTTCCAAGGTCCAAACCATGCGGTCACCACTGCCTGCACCACTGGGGCACACTCTATTGGGGACGCCTCGCGGTTCATCGCCTTTGGGGACGCTGATGTGATGGTTGCCGGTGGTGCCGAGTCCTGCATACACCCCCTGACCTTTGCGGGGTTTGCTAGGTCTAGGTCCTTATCCACGGCTTATAACCATGAGCCCGCCCTGAGCTGCCGCCCCTTCGACAAAGATCGCGATGGGTTCGTCGTATCCGAGGGCGCAGCTGTGGTGGTTCTGGAGGAGCTGCAGCATGCGAAAGCTCGGGGAGCCCACATCCTTGCCGAACTCCGGGGCTATGGCTGCAGCGGCGATGCCCATCATATGACTGCGCCGCGGGCAGATGGTTCCGGCGCCGTCCTCGCCATGAAGAGGGCACTCAAGAATGCGTCTATCAAACCCCGGGTGGTTGACTACATCAACGCTCACGCCACAGGGACTCTCGTAGGCGACGCTGCGGAGGCCGCTGCCATCCGGTCGTTGATGCTGGGCGAGGAAGGTGTTGAAGACGAGGCCCACGTCACAGTGAGCAGCACGAAGGGCGCCATCGGACATCTGCTTGGAGCTGCTGGCGCCATCGAGGCCGTTTTCGCCATCCTGGCCATTGCCGAGGTGAGCCAACTACCTTTTTGATGGATTTACTCCTTGTGTCCGGACTAACCAATACTAGAACACCGTTCCGCCCACGGCCAACCTGCATGCGCCGAACGTCAATGCCGGATTCAACTTCGTTCCTCTGCATGCGCAGGAAAAGCCTGTAAATGTTGCCCTGTCGAACAGCTTCGGCTTTGGAGGGACGAACGCCACCCTTGTATTCTCCAGAATTGGATAGAATGGAAAGCAAACTATATAACAGCGCACCTGCGCCTTTTCTGTACAAGTTATAACTACTCCTGTAATTCTATCTGTAGAATTAAATAGATTTATTCAGGGGCTCCCTGACTGAATGTGCAGTATCTTGCTTCCCTCCTGTGAGGTCACGTGAGGCCGCGATGACGCCTGGTAGATGGAATTTTTGCGCAGATCGCCCATTCGCCAAAAGTTTCCCGATTGAACCCTCGTCGCAACCAGCTCGTTTTGTCAAGGCCCTTGGGACGGGAATTTCCGACCCAGCTTCTATCTACCCCCATCCTCACCCCCAGATCCGTCCACAATGGCGTGCCGAAGCTGCAGAAAGCCCCTCGACCTCCTCCCCCTCCGGCCACTGTCCGTGAGCCACGCCGCACCAAGGAACCCCCCCAGAGCAACCCGCAGGGCCCTGCACGCGACAGCGGCGCCGCGCCTGCAGCAGCAGCCGCAGCCGCAGCCGGCGAGTGAGACGACGACGACGACGACTACGACATCTTCGTCGAGGCTGCAGAAGTGGCTGATCCGGCCCGTGGCGGACAGGCTGCGGACGACGGCGCGGAAGACGACGCACTCGTACATGGTCTACGGCGCGACGGAGCACATATACAAGACGTGTGCGGCACAGGCCGACTACAAGATCACCCAGGCGGACCGCAAGGCCGGCAAAGTGCAGCTGCTGCCGGATGGCGAGGAGGTCGGCGTCGGAAGCGGGATGTGGCATGACGGTAAGAAGGCGGGGCGGAAACTGCCCCGGGGCCTGGCGTTATATATAGAGCTCGGCTGACATTCGACACAGACTTCAAGCTCCTCCCGACATTCAGCACGTGGTCCCAGGTGACGATGCTGCACATGTACCTGCTCGTGGTCCGGCTGCGGTGCCTTGACCGGGACGCGTACCAGACGTGGCAGTCGCAGCTGGTGGACCACTTCTTCCACGACGCCGAGGCCAAGATGGAGGTGGCGCACGAGCTGACGTCGCGGGCGATGCGGCAGCGGTACCTCAAGGACCTGTTCGTGCAGTGGCGGGGTCTGTTGCTTGCGTACGACGAGGGCCTCGTGCGCGGCGACGCCGTGCTCGCGTCCGCGCTGTGGAGGAACCTGTTCAAGGGCCGCGAGGACGTCGACGTGCGCGTCCTCGCCGCCGTCGTCAGCTGGATGAGGCTGTCGCTCAGGAACCTCGACCAGATGAAGGACGAGGCCATCGTCACGAACGCCGTCAGCGCCTTCAAGTGGCCCGCAAAGTCGGAGCTGGCCCTAGTCGACCGCCCGGTGAAGGCGCTCGACGGCGTGTATGGCGGGGCCCGGAAGGAGACGGCGAGCTCGCCGACGTAAGACGTGGGCTGGGGGATATGCGAGCACTGTAATACCAAAAGCAAACTTATAGGCCGGCCAGATAATGGCACCAACGGGCCTTGAGGAGTGGGCAATCTCAAGTGTACAAAACCAGGAGAAATTGCATGTAAAATCTATTATTAGACTAGAAGAACGGAACCGGGAGGGAGAGCCGGGGGTATACACCATAGACACACAACCAGAATCAACTCTCACCACCATCGCCACCATCACCACCATCACCATCCACCCTCTCCCACATCTCAAACTCATACTCCGTCTCCCCCTCCAGCTGCACCCCCTCGGGCACGACCTCACCCACCCACGCATCCATCTCCTCCTTAGACCTCCTCGCCCACCCCTCCTCCCCCTTCCCTTCCCCCCGCAGCGCCCCCAGCGGGAAGAAGGTATCGCACTCGATCCCCCCCGTCAGCACCCTCGTAAGCAGCACCCGGCGCGCGAGCCCCGATCCCAGCGCCGCGCCGTACACCTGCGCCCCGCCCACGACGAACACCCGGCCCGAGCTGCTGCTGCGCGCGGCGCGGAGCTGTTCCAGGGCCTGCTCCAGCGACGTCGCGTGGACGGGGCCCTCGTCTCCGGAAGAGGTGCTGGCGGTGGTGCTGGCGCTGGTGCTGGGGGAGCGGCTGATGACGATGTTGAGGCGGCCCTTTAGCGGGCGGAACTTGGACGGGATGCTGTCCCATGTCTTGCGGCCCATTATGACGGCGTTTATGGCTGGGGGTTGGGTCTTTTCCGTGGAGGTGGGGGGGGATTGAGCTTGTTAGAAGGTCTGCATGGCAGGGGGGGAGAGAGGGGATGTATAGGTATACATGTAGAGTATATACACTGAATTGGTTGGAGGCGGGGTTGTCCGTGAGAGACTGGGAAAGAAAGAAGAGAAAGAAAGAACTCACCTGCGGCGGTAGCCTCTTGGTCACCCGCGCAAAGTAGGCCATCTCCTTCTTTAGCCCCGTCCAAGGGAGGGTGCCGTTGAGGCCGATACCCATGTCCCGGGTCGCGGCTACGATGAGGGTCAATTCCGGATGAGGCATCGTTTTCGATTTTCCGGACTTGCTCAGTTTAGCTGCAGGGTATAAAACGGTCTCGGCAAGATTTCAGAACAAATGCGATCGTTCGTGGCTGGATGAACGCTCCACTGGTCGCGTTTTAATATGAAGATACCAGATAAATGTGCCCCGCTAATACGTATCTCCGGCTCATAAATTTGATTAAGATGGATATTAATGGTCTTAAGCCAACCTCATGTCACCCCCTTAGGCGCAAGCTAAACTGCCTTTCGAGTTATTAGCTGGCCGGGCAGCTCTTAGCCACATGGTAGCTATCTACAACACAGCCAAGGCGACCAATGACCTATATAACATAACCCCCCGGTCCGACACACTCCCACTCCCTAACCCCCATGCCCTCCTCCAACTCGACGCACCACCACAGCACCTCCTTCGCCTTGTCCGGCTGGCCGCTCTCCTCGTGCGCTCTCGCCAGTGCGAACCAGGCCTCCGAGTAGTTCCACCCCGGTCCCGACTTGGTGAGCCCCGACAAGAGCCCGTACGCGCGATCTCTCGCCGCCAGCCGGTCGACGAGCGGCAGCGACGTCGCCTTATGCGGCGGCAGCAATTTGCTCTCGTGTTGCGGTATCGCCGTCTTTCCATTGCTTTTCACGCTCTCTTTCTTGGCTGTTGCTGACGAGAGACCGAGAGGTTCGGAGGGCGGGAACTGTGGGATGCTGTCCGGTTTGTTTCGCATGACCATGTCTACTGTCGGGGCGACACTGCTATGGCTTGCGGTCGTGGAAGCAGTGCCCGTACTCACGTTGAGGCCAGGCACGGCCGGTGGCGGGAGGAGAGCCTCGGAGTAGATATCGAGCAAGATGTTCGAAAGACCAACGATTGCCGATGGGTGGTCGGGGAAGTGCATCAGAGCCGACTCGAAGTCCGCTCGCGCAAGGTACGGGGCCCCCGTGGCTACGGATAAATAGCCCTTCTAGATAGGTGTTAAGAGAATCAACCAATCACCTCTTGGCCGGAGAGCCCGAGCACCATTCTCTCGACTTACCTCGGACCATATGTCGCCCCAAAGTTCCGCCACGCTCTTATTCTGGGCCCAGCCGCATTGTTTGAACGACAGAGATGCCGTAGTATCTTTTGCGACATCTGCTTCAAGACTCTGCACGAGCTTCATGGCCTCGGCCAGAGACCCCTGCGAGTCCTGCGGCATGCCTGCGCGCCTGTAAAAGCCGGCAATCATGAGCCAGACCTTGATCAGCACCGCATTCCTGCGCCGCCTGTCATGGTCCTTGGAGAATTGGATAACTGGAAGTAGGGCGGGATGCGCCTCCAGCCTGTCCACGGATATGCCCGTTATATCGACGGCCCCCGACTTGGTTGCGCCGTTGGACGCGTGCGAGTCCGTATGTGAGGCGGTCCTGGACCCTACACCGAACCGCTTGGTTGCGAAGCTACTGAAGAAATCATTGTCCGACGACGCGGATTCGCCAAACGGAGTGAAGAAGCTCTCGCCGTCGGCGACGGTAGGTGGGCGGGAGACGGCGCCGCTGCTCACCGCACGCCTCCGACTCCCGCTGCTCTCCCGTTTCCGAAGGCTGGCCCTCTTGCCCGACTCGCTTCTCCTGGTCACGCTCGCCGATTGCCGGCGCCGTTGGGTCTCGCGCGAGTACGCGCTCTCGTTGGTGCTCTGCGTGGCCAGTCCTGGCGCGTGTTCCGCCATCGTCTGCATCGTCTGCGGTCTCGACTGCGGCGCAACTGACGCCTTCTCGCTGTTGCCCGCACCGTGCCTAGTGCGGCTCAGCCTTTCGGACCTGCTTCCAAATATGGTACCCCTGATGCTCCGCAACGTCCCCGTCGAGCTCTTCGGGATATCTGCAGTCTTTGGCGCGTGTGCCGGCACCTTTGGCTGTGGCACGCCGAAGAGCCTCGAAAAGAGGCTCAGGAGCTCCAGGCTAGCATTGACGGCGACCTTGGGGCCCTCCAGGAGCTCGATGATCGCAAGCTGTGTCATCTTGACTTCCAGCACGGCTTCCTTCTCGTAGTCATCCATATCATCAACCACTCCGCTTCCATCGTCGTCGAGTTTCTCGACCAGGGCCTCCATCTCGTTCAGATGGTCGCTGCGGTACGCCCCATTGAGCCGCTTGTCTCCAAATAGCACCGACGGGTCCTTGAACTGTTCAAACGCCCCCTCACACGCTCGGGAAGCCATCATATAGTCCTCTCTTGCGCTCAGCAGGAGCGACAAGAGGTGCCATATCGGGATGAGTGATCGTTCACGCCAGTATGGCCCGTTATGCAGCTCATGCTCTTTAGTATTGGTCTTCTCAGCGAGCAGAGCACTCTTGACCAGCTCAATGGCAGAGGATAGCTCCCTCTGCTCGGCGAGAAGGACACCCAGAGCAAATATCCCTCTAACATCAGCGGCCCGACCGAATTCTGCGGACAGCGATTTTTGCAGGCACACAGCAGCCTTGTTCTGGATTTCGGCCCGAGACGCGGCGTCGAAGGTCATTCGTGCCCATTGCGCTTGTGCTAATCCGATGGCCTGCCACGACAGCGCCATGGTCTTTGCTCCGGGTCGAGTCTGAGTCGAGGATACCTGGTCGGCTTCTCCAACGGGAGTCAAGCCGCCTTCCTGGGCTGGCTGAGATGTCTTGTGGTTCTCAATCCAGTGCTCCAACTCCGACGCGAGGCTACGGGCCTTCTCCGCCGCCGCCTTGTCGCCGTACCGGCAGAGAGCTGCAATTCCCGATGATATGGTCTCCATGACGGTCGCATCATCGTCCAGACTCGGTTCGGGCTGGTCAGTCTTGCCAACTCGAGCCTTCCCTTTCTTGACAAGATCCAAGTATGAGTCCAGCGACCTGAGAGCCAGATCGAACTCGGCCACTGCGAGATGCGCCCTGAATAGATGCCGCAGTATTGCTGTCGAATGGTAAGTCTTGGTGGCCGCACGGTACAAGAGGTCGAGGACTCCTCGACTGAGCGATTCCCTTCCTCCCTGGCCAAGGTCGTGTTCCCGCCAGCCGCGCCCGTTGAGAATGGTCCAGTTGTCCATGACCAGCTCGACAAAGGCCTCCACTTCCTCCCGTTCTTCCTCGGCTCTGGGAAATTTGGTCTCGCCGAGTAGTAGCGCCTCGTATTTGACCTCCACCTGCTTGAGCTCCGTGGGAAGCTGGCTCCTGGCTGAAGCCTCATTGTTGACCGGGGCGTAACCCGTCGGGAACGGCAGATCCTGCTTGAGAATCTCCGATATCACGTCATAGTACTCCAGCCATATCCTCCTTCGCGGTACAGTTCCCCGGAATCCGTATCCGCCGGTAGCAGAGATGCCCTGGGCATCCCAGTACTTGGCCCAGCAACGGAAGCATGCCAGGCAGTTCGGGTCTTCGAGAGAGCTCGGGTCTTCCTGGAGCGATTGGCCTTGCAACATGCAGAACTCGGTGAGATAGAGCTCGGACCAGTAGCGCAGCTGGTTCTTGGAGGGCTTGGTTAACCAAATGCTGGACAAGGAGGGTAAGGAGAGCTTAAACGCCGCCAGCGCCTCAGCCCGTCGGTCCATCCGCGCCAGGGAGTTCGCTGCAATATAGGCTGACTTCAGTACACAGACCTTGGTCCAATCCGTGACGTTGTCGAGAGTTTCGAACTGCGAGTATTCCTGATCGATGGTTCCTGGCAACCGGACCGTGGCCAGGTTGTACTCTCCCGCCACCCAATGCAGCCAGCCGACACACACCTGGGCCTGGAATCTGTCTTCGAGCAAGCTATTCTCTTGATCTATGGCCGCGAGCAGTTTCGGCAGCTGGGTCGACACGCCGAGGTCCTGCGCTGACAAGGCGGTGGTAGGTCGGGTCGACGGAGGGACGTTCTGTGTGGCTTTGGCGACAGCATGTTCGGTTTCCGCCACCAAGGTAAGACCTGTTCCCCTATGTTCTCAGCTCCAGCACGAATTGGCACCTTGGCACATTGGCACATTGGCACATTGGCACATTGGCACACGAGGCACGGGATGTAGGGGTGGCTGCGACGTACAGGTTCTCTCTGGAGCGTGCTTCCGCACTTTTCGAATGTACTCGGGGACGGCATCCCAATTGCTCTCGCAGCGGGCGTTGTCGAGCAGTTGGATGTAATGCTCCGCCTTTGCCAAACGGCGCTATTGTTTAGGGGCGTAGAGAGTCAGTTGGGGTTGCGATAGGTTACTTGGGTGCACAAAGGCTTTCTTACACTCATCGTGTTGGCGGTGATGCGGATTGGAAGACAAGCAGATGAACTAGACTGGTCTAACGAGTGGAAACATGCGTGCATAAGGTGATTAGAACATGGGTATCAAATGGAGAAACGCAAAAAGAACAGGGAAATATTTGACACAATAACGAGGGCAAGGAGGAGCAATTGAGGTTAGGCTGCCGTAGCGGTTGTGCACAGAGCCACAGACAAATTCCCAGTTATTCTGCAAGCTCCGAGGCGCGCCACGCGATCGGCACGGGAGAAACCACACTGGAAAAGAAAAACGACCGCCGGAACCTGGCCGGGACTTACTATGTACAGGGGTCCGGAATCAGGCTCCACCAAGGTTGTTTAGTGGAGCTAGCGGCCGACCTGGGAGTAGTGGTGTTCATGTGTACTATGTATAACGGATAAGGAAGAAAAAAAATTCACACCCAAACTGGGCAGTCAACAGAGCCAGCACCTTCAAGCAACAAGACATTGATAATTACTGGCAATTGCACTGGTAATTGCTCTCTGCTAGCAGTGCTCAGCCAGCTCTTTGCAAGCTACAAGTCTCTTGGGATCGTGTTAGAAAAGCGTCACTCAATCCTCGGAACATTTGAAGTTGCTTGGATTATCTCTTGTTGGCAAGGCATAGCTAGTGACTACCACCGCTGGTTTACAATGTCTCTACCTCCAGATCTTCGGGTGTTGGTTCGTCGTCTTGCCTCGACAAGCCCAGATGACCTCCCTCGCCTTTGTCCGATCTTGATCAAGCACGTTATACGTTGCGCTGGCCCGCTCTCGGCTCCTCATGATCTCAAACCTAAAGACAATAGTTCCGAGGCCTCTGTTCTTATCCACAAGTTCAAGACCCATATCGGCTCTCTCCTGAATGGCCGGAGTCCAGGCGGTCGGTTTGCCGCCATCATCTTGGTGAAAGCCGTCATTGATGTTGGCGGCTGGGAGTGCCTGCGTCTGTCTGAGCCATGGGTCCGCGGTCTCATATCATTGCTTCGGGTATGTCCCCATCCTTCCCCCAAGACGGTAAATTAGTCGAAAGACTAACACTTGCTAGAAACCCGGGTCCTCAGCTGCGAAAGAATTGGGCATTGTCGCCCTGGCGAGAATCTACACGCTGCTCCATGGATACCAAACATTGACCAGGGAGATCGCCACTCCGACGGTGGCATCCTTCGTCGAGGCCTGCCTGCAAATCATCAAGCCTCCCGCATCAGGCGTACCACTCAGGCTCCCTACCTCGCTGGTTGAGACTGTTGTTGATGCGCTGGCCACCCTCGTCCCGTTGTACCCGGCCACTCTACGGCCTACGGGCAATCAGATGCGCGAGGCAGTCAGGCGTTACGTAGCGCCTACCTCGTCAGACAACTATGTCGTGACTCAGCCCTTGAGCCGCGCCTCTAGGCGTCTTCTCATCTCGCTACACCACACTGCGCCGAAGAACGGCAGCAGCGAGGAGTGGGCCAAAACATTCAACGGCTTTATCAACATTTCCCATGCTACGGCCGATCAAGTCTTCCGGGCCGTCCAGGAGTCATGGGAGTCGGCTGTGGGCTACAATGCCCAGAGAGTCAGCGTTGATGGAGAACCCAGCGGCGGAGGGAGTTCTATCGAGGAGCTTCCGTCCTGGTCTGGTCTGTTGGCCGGTTCTGAGAGGCTTGTAGGGCTCCTAGAACTGATCGCGGACTGTTTCCGTTGTCCAACGAGGACTCCGGTAGCGATACCGCTTGGCGCTGTGATGGACCTCGTCTCTAGAGTCTCGCTTCTGATGCCGCCAGCCCCCGGGCAAGACGACAGATATCAGCTGAATCCAGCAATTGGGCGTGAGGAGAAGGACCAGCTGTGGAGTGTGCTTCCGGATATCCACGTCGCCGCCTCGCAACTTCTGCTGTCAATAGTACAGAGGCTGGGACGCACTGTTATCTGCCTTGCGCGCGACATGCTTGACCAAATGGCTCGCATGTTCAGATCAACAAGACATATCCCGTCCGGCCATAAGAATGCCTTCCTGCTTGCCAAGGAGCTTCTATTGATCACGGGTCCGACACTGGATAAACTGACGGTCGACTCGCTCGGCCTCCTGATCCAGGCGTGTTGCCGCGATCTCTTGGATGTGGCAGGCTACACCCAGGAACCCAAGCAAGACCCGACGCCAGCCACCAACGGCGCAAAGGGCACAAAGGGCACAAAGGGCAAAGCGCCTTCGGGGAATGCGGATGCCTTCCTTGCCCCCCAGTCCAAGCTAGCGGCTGTTCTCGTGGCCGATCCAGCGCATCAGGCTGTGGCTGGCGAGCTGCTCACCGTCCTCCTGTCCCGTCTACCTCAGGGGCACCTATCGCCGGATTCTCGCGGCTTGATTGACCGGACCGCGATCCTATGTCACAACAAGGACGCAATGCTGGCGAGCTGCCTGTACCCGTACAAGGACAAGAATGGCCGGTATTACCCAAGCATCTTGCCATTCCTGATCCGGCAGTTCCCCCAGGACCAGGAGGTCGAGGTTCTCCGAAGCAACTTGCGAGCTCCCAAGGCATCATCCCACGAAGCCTTTGATCCAAACAGCTGCCTAGAAGCGTTGCTGGAGGAGCCAAACGAGGAGATGACGTTCGGGGTTATCGGCGACTCCGAGCTCCAGCTACGACCGAGCGGTGGGGATGAAAAGGCAGCGGAGATTGTCATTCCCACGTTCCTCCCCAACGTTGATGTAGAGAGTGAGACACGCCCGTTCGTGCCTCAAGAAACTGCAAAGCTCGGCAGCTCGGCAGCCGAGCCAGACCAGACCTCGCCGTGGGGATTAGCTCAGTCCCCGCTCAAGCGCAAGGGGGAGGAGCTTGATTCTGGCGTGTCGAAGAGGCTCGAAAAAGGGAAAGATGTTGAGATGCCCCTAAAACCAGCACCGGCACCTGTCCAGGATGTGGCCGCCGAGGATGATAATGACAGCGACAGTGAGGGGAGTGTTCAGATCGACATGACGTTCGACGATGAAGATGAGGATGAGGACGAGGACGAAGGGGGAGACAATGTAGAATAAGTGAAGTTCGGCTAGCCAACATAGACATGACCGATCAGTTTTGGTATTCATTTCACCTATGGAACACCCAACCGGGTATATATGGACTCAGACGGGGTCCGGTCCGAGATCCATCCATCCATCCAGTCACGAAGTATGAGCTTGCTGTTATAGACGACTTCTTCTCCATCCACCCCGATGCAGATATTTTTCGGCCCTTTTGATGCTTCCCTCCCCCTTCGCCAGTGACGCCATCCCTGTTGTTAAAAAACAGAAAAATACAAAAATCGAAAACCAAGGAGGTTCTACCACGCGATGCCGAGCCACCTGAAGCAACCATACAACCAGCCAAACACATTACATGCACAAAGTTGAAAAAACCCATGAACCCACGCAGAGACACGCAGGCAGGCCCCTCTCCCAATCAATCGCGCAACCAAGCCCTCCTCTTCTCCTCCTTCTTCGCCCTCCTCTTCTCCTTGAACGCCTTGAGCTCCGCCTTGGACGGCTTCTTCCCCGCCCTCTCGGCCCGCAGGCTGCGCCCGTCGTGCGCGTTCGCCGCCGCGTCCACGTCGAAGAAGGCGTTCATCTGCCGCCGGCTCTTGGCCTCGTCCGAGTGCCGTTCCGGCCCCGCGGCCTCGCCCGACTCGTCCTGCCACTGGCCCGTCCGCCGGTTGAAGAACCCGCCGCTGGCGTACAGCGCCGCAGCCGCCGCCGCATCCGCCGCAGCGGGATCCTGCAGCGCGTCCTCCGCCGACTCCTCGGCCCCCCGCGCGTACCATGCGTCCGGGTCGTACGAGCCGTGGATCGCCGGGTTATAGCCCCCCGCGACGGCGGGGTGGACGGCAGCGCCCGCGACCGCGTTGCCGTCTACAGCCGTTGCCGCCGCCGCCGCCGCGCTGGGCACGCGCGGGTTATCCTGCTGCCATGCCCCCGTGAAGCGGTTGTGGAACCAGTAGCTGCTGCTCGCTGGCACCCAGTGGAATTCCCAGCCGTCGTCCTCGGGCTCGGGGAGGGGCTCGCTTGGGAGGGGAGGGGCGGCGGAAGAAGAAGTGGCGGCGTCGAATTTGGGGAGGGGCTCGTTTGGGAGGGGAGGAGGGGCCGTGGCAGAAGTGGCGCTCTCGGCTGTGGGGGCTTGCTGCTGCTGCTGCTCGGGAGACTCCGCCTCGTGGTTGTCTGCCGGGTCATTGTTCTCGTTTGATGCCGACGAGCAAGGGGAATTGGAGGGCGAAGGCGACGGGGAGTTCTCTTGGGCGGCGGATTCTCGACTGCCTTCCCCGGCTGTCTCCCGGTTGCCGCTCCCAGTGGGAGACAGGGGTTCCGGGGTCTTGGACGAAGGGCTCTTGGGGCTCTTCGTGGACGGCATCTTGAGGGTGTTGATCACCGAAGCTAAAAGTGCCTGATGTGTTTCTTGCAACTTGATATTTCAAGTTAACCTTGTCATATCATGATATAATGGCCATATGTGGTATACAAGCTGAAAATAAACCGGGAGGAGAGAGCGGAAAGTGGCAGTGACCAAACGTACACACTAACCAAGTCGCGCCGTGCAAATCAGTGAAGCCCGTTCGGAGACGGGATCAGTGAACTATTATTTTCCGGGACCTACCAGCCTACCTAGTCGTTGAGGCCCGTGCAGGCTATCCGGTCCGGCTATTATTCCGAACGGAGCGCCAAAGCTCGGGCCACTGGCGCCCTGGGAGTGGAGGTGGGATGGATGGAAGCTCCCGAGCGGCAGCCAACGTGAAGTGGGGCGGCACGTGGGCGGCAACTCACGGAATAGCGTCACAATCATCTGCAACGAGGATTAGCCTGGAAGGCTGAGCGTCCCAGCTGGGAACCAACTATCGTGCCCTCGATCTACACTGCCCAGCCCAGGGTCGTGGGAGAATTGAAATTGCCAAGATGCGAGTTTGATTTAGCAGCCGAAAGAGACCGCAGAATCGGTTCCTTGCCCGGTCACGATGACCTCCCTATTTCTCTCTCCTTGGAGCTGAGGCTCCATGCACATCAGCTGACTATGCATGATGGTGTGCCAATGAACAATCAACTTGGGGAAACTGATCGCCTGCGCCTGCTCAAGTCGAGACCAGTCTAGCCCCCTGAGGGCACGGAGAGAGGCTCCCTCAGGGGGCTATTTTGGGAGGGAACCCTTTAGCCGGATAGCAGGTATTTGCGCATCGCCATATGGGAGAATGGAGATCCCGGTCGCCAACGACGTTGATGTGCGCACGGGATTTCCATCCAGCGGCCTCCCCCAGGCGCGTCAACCAATGGGTTCGGCCAAGCGCAAATTTCTTGAGCCAAGGCGACGTTGACAAACCAAGGCCCCCTAAGGGGGGACAGCATATCGTGGTAAATTCATTTTACATGGCACGTCAAAGTGGTCCCAGAGAGCCCAGCCCGCCCAGGCTGCCATTGACCCTCCGCCGGCCCGCTGCCCCAGATCATTTGCAATGGTGCCAGATACTTGAGTTGCTCATCCCCTTCTGTGAAAAGCTCTGCGAGTTTTGTTTGCTCTTCTTCTCTTTCCCTTTTGGTATTTGTCGTGTGCTACGTCCCATGCAGCTCCCCACGCTACCTTGACCACAATTACTAGCTCTCCAGCCTCTCAGCCTTACAGCACCTCACTCGGCCCTCTCATTTGCCCAAATAGGCGTTACGGTTTCGGTTACTCGCAGACGCCTCCCGGGTAGGACCTAGGCCCGCCATGTGTCTACCCACATCCCTGTATTCTTTGCTGCTCGTCATCGCGGCCTCCGGGCGCCTCGCCGCAGCGGAGCCGGCTCTCACTGACAACGCGAGTTGCGATTGTTTCAGGACTAATGGGTCAATTGTGGGCTTCTTTGCGCAGCACCGATTTTTCGACTTCCGGAACCTGTCACAGTACGCCGGGGTGCCCGACCCAATAAATGACAAGAACGAGAGCGCAAATGCCTTCGCGACGAGCGACTACTTCCTCTCGGACCAGTGGAATAATTTCTGGGAGATCCAGAGCTGGAACAATAGCGGCGGGGAGCGCAGCGACGCCACCATCTACATGGGCAACTCGCCGAACAACATCTACATCGAGCAGAACACAGACGACAAACCGTCGTCCAAGACGTGGATGACGCTGCGGACCATGAGACTGCCGACCTTCCAGACGGCGGCCGAGATCGAGTCCGTCTCCAGGGACTTCAAGTTCCTCTCGGTGCGGATGCTGGCCCGCACCGTCGGCTCCCCGGGCGGCTGCACGGCCATGTTCACGTACCGGGGGCGGGGCTCATCGGTGCAGGAGGCCGACGTCGAGGTGCGGACCATCGACCCGCCGACGGTGGTGCAGTACACGAACCAGCCGTCGGTGAACGATGACGGCGACGTCATCGCCCAGGCGACTATCAACGCGACGCTCCCCGGCGGGCTCGAGTGGTCCGACTGGGCCGTCCACCGCCTCGACTGGACCCCCACCCAGAGCACCTGGTACGTCGACGGCGTCCAGTCGGCAAAGATCAGCTACCAGGTCCCGCGCGACCCGAGCCAAGTCATCCTCAACGCCTGGAGCAACGGCGGCGCGTGGACCGGCAACATGACCAAGGGCCACGCCGCCTATATGCAGATCCAGTGGTTCGATATCGTCTACAACTCCACCGGCGACGGCGGCGGCGAGCAGAAAAGGGCCGCCGACAAGACTTCCTGCAGGCGAGTCTGCAGCGTCGACGACACGAGCAGGACGGGCACGCCGGTCCTGCTGTGGAACGCCGCGCCGCGCCTCGGCCATAGCACCTCGGGACTCATGGTCTGGGTGCCGTATCTGGCGGGTCTGGCCATGGTGTATATGTCCTCTGGCCTGCTAGCCTAGGGGGCAGGCTCCCCCCTGCGGTGTCCAGGCTGCCAGTGTGTTGTATAAAGTATCCAGTGTTGTAAACAAACATGCGCCCGGTCGTGTTAAATAGTTGGTGGCTCGCTTCTGGCGTTTCTTTGGCGCGATTCAGAGTGGATGGGGGGAAACTCGTATCATGAGCTTGTTTGCGGGATCTAGAACGGTTCCATTGGCGCACATTCACCATGTTATGCTCCAACATCTATGTTGCTGGAAGGTTCAATACTCTCTAGAGACAGCGATCTAGTTTTTTTTGGGGGGGAAGTATTTAGTATGTGGCACCTCATTGGATATTACCACATAGAAGTTGACGAGAACTGTCGAGGCATGGGTCATCGACCTTGCAATTCGCAGTGGCAACCACAACCCTTTCATGCTTGTTTCATCGCCTTAGCATCGAGGGCACATATATACGTCACTGTTACCAAAATAAATTAAAATTCCAAAGACATTTGTCCTTTTGGGAGCACATGCACCAACCCACACAGGGGCCCGCATACGGAATGCTTAGTGTGATCTCCCCCAACAAATATCCCCATTTGCCCACATAACTAGTCGATTTCGTAACAAGTCGATTTCCTGACAAGTCGATTTCCTAACAAGTCGATTTCGGTTCGACTGGGCCTACATTGATCTTCTCCTAAGCCGTTTCAAAGTGCCGACAGGCGCCAAGGCTGTGTTCAAGGTCCCTCGAAACCAGCAAGCCTTCCGCGATGACGTCTTGAGCCTCTACAACTCCTCTGCACCCCCCGGCCTCGATGGATGGAAGCAGGTTTTCTGCGCCATCTCGAGGGAGCCAGTCGACAGCATCTGCGCGGCACACATTGTTAAGCACAATGTGACTGAGGTTGTTGCGGAGCGCCTTGTCATTAAAGTTGGAGACCCTCTCTGCCCCTGAAATTATCTGGCTACGACTGTCAATAAACTGAAACCCGACTGAATCGTTGCCAACACTTAAGATAGTGCGGATATGAATCTGGCACCCAGCACGGCGGTTGGCGACCCTCTTACGGGGTCCTTTGTCATCTCTGGAATATCCAGCCCACCCCCTCATGATTTACAGCCCTGCCCCTGCTAGTCGTCCGGGGAAGATGAGGCCTGGGCGGTGATCACGGAGCCAGGATGTGAATCTCTCATTCAAACAGCCGGCATCTAGCACGTAGGGTCCGCGGACCAATCTGCTTGAGAGCAAGCCATATGCCCCTGTAGTCCGTTCCCTAGACTTCGGGCGAACCCGCCTCTTACGCTCTCGGCATTCCCGACGACCATTCACGTCTCCTCCATGGTCGATGAAGGAATCAATATCCCTAGCATCGCTCTGCTAGCGCCTCTTCGCAGCGGCGGCAGAGGCCGCCGTCGTGAACACGAACACGACGGCACCTCGAGCGTGGCGGCGGGAATCCAGGCGGTGGTGAGGCAGACAAGCGAGTTCGCGGCCCAGTGTCCGGACACAATCATTATCATGAATGGATTATTCCCAGGCACGTTTTTGTCTCGGCCGACAGGCGGGTTTGCCCATGTGACGAGCAGTGGATCCTCCCACCCGGGGGATTCGGACAGAGAGAGCGCGGCGGTAGGCTGACTGACGTCTTTTTCACAGGGAGGGTAAATCATGGACGACTCCTTCTGCGGGGGGCCGGACGGGTCCAGCCTGAACTTGACAGGTACACTTATATCGGACGCTGTGGCTAAGGACGTGGCGTCGAATATCCTTATGGGCGACCCACGCTATGTCGCAGGACTATCCTTCAATGTCTGGAATACTACAGCAGGCGGCGTAAGTACACACATACATAGGTACATATATACGTACATACAAGCACTGGCCGTGCATGCGAGGGCGGTGGTGCTAACAACGGCTCGTTCCCTGTCTAGTTCGCGGCCCGCCCACCGGTTTCAAATGTCCAGCCTTCAGAGCAGAATACAGTCGTACTACGACTCGCCAGACCCATTCTGCTCCAATGGCACGAGCCCCGAACACCACCAAGGCTACGGGAGGGAATATGGCGCGGATGCTCTGGCATTCGTCGTTAGCAAGAAGATCGTAGGGTGAGTTCAGTACGAGAACAGAAGAAAGAAATGCTTAAGGGAAGGGGATTTTGTGACGAGCAGTTAGGTAGTTTACCTTCTTACACGCCCGCTGGCTGGCAGACCACCATGTATTATACCTTCTTGATAGCTTTAATAATGTTTTTGACTTGCCTTGGTTAAACATGGCGCAGCTTGGGCATTCATCGCCGTTCATTCGAATTGGTACTCGTTCGGCCCAGGTTTGGGATATGTGGTAGAGCTTGTAGCGGCGTAGTGTTTTTCGAACTTTGCCAGCAGTGAGGTGACCCAGATCTGGGTCCGGACATCGGCAAATTCATATGCGATCCGGATCGGGTATCCTACGCGATACGGGCCCAGAATGTCAACGGAAACGGATTCCACAGATCGGAAGATGTTTCGCGCAAACTCCATGTTAGACATAGTATAGTCAACTGGATATTGGCACTGATTTAGGGTTTCTTGCAAGATGAGCATTGACGCCCAGTAGCCCATGTACGTGGCACCGGCCCAGACGTTGCTGTAGGAGAGCACAGTTTCGAAGATAGACCCAGGGTCTCGAGAAGGAGCTTCGGTTGGCCTAAAGTTAAGCGCTTCAAAGCTTTCAAACCAGGATGCAAAGTCGAGTCGCAACTTTTCGGCATGCTGCGAGAGTAAAGCGACATGGGCAGCGTCGACGGGCATGTTGTGCTTCCTTGCTTCCCTAAGTGGAACTGCATGGCGCAGGATGCTTGGTACCTTCGCCATATGGGCAAGGTATATGTCATAGATTGTGTCGGTCTTGCTTTGGAGGGTGTCCCCTGGATCATCTGGCCGAGTAGTAACCAATATTTGTTGCCATTTTCTCCCCGCAAGAAAGCAGTCTTGGCCAGAAAACATGGCATTCATTATCTATAGGTGGGATTAGCCCAGAGCCCAGATGAATGCGTTGGAGCCCGAACCAGAGCAAGAACAGAGAAGGCAGAGGTGGGGAGAAGTGACGAGATGGACGAACAATGAGGGCGCGAAATGATAGTAGCATACTATGGTCCCAGGGGCTGCTATAAGCCGCGGGCCCGCGTTGCTGGATAAGCCAAGAGACCCCAGCGGCGTGTTTCATCCAGGAATCGGGGTCTGTGGTTCCAGCGAACAACTAGCAGACAGGGCAATGAGTTAGACACGGTATCGACCTATGGCAGGAGGAAATTGGGGGAGACCAACTTCGAAATAGCACATCATCATGGTGGCGCAAAGGGTCTCGGGGGACTTCCATCCAACCGGATGGTTTAGTGACTTCTGCAGCGAACCAAGAGACTGGCCATAAATGGAACGGCTCCGTCGAACCAAGACGTCATCCTGATTGGCTTTTCCGAGCAGGTGTATGACGAATGCCGACATGGCACTGTCTAGGGTCAAATTGTTGCCCAGGCGTTCAGAGGCACCTATAAACCATGGGGCAAACGAACCCATATCACTGTTGGGATCGATGTTCTGGAGCAGGGCATAGACGAACTGGCTGCGGCTCTCACACGGCGAGATTGTCAAGGGTGTTATAGTTTCTCGTTGGGCAATCGAAGTTGAGGTTGGTGGGGAACTAAGCTCGGGGGTAGTGTCGCCCGAACTTGGGGCCTGCAGTAATCCACCGTCCGAAGATGTGCATGAATTGGCTGGTTGGCGGCGGTGACGGACCTGGTGTTTGCCGGCCACGAATTTGAATGCCTTGTCATAACCTAAACACTCGGCGCCGTACTTGGCACAGTTGCGGCATCCCGGCCGGGTTTCATCGCATTTAACCCTCCGTTTGACGCAGAGCGGGCAGCCGGTGCTCCGGGGTACTCCAACCATATTGAGGAGATCGGTCTACCCGAGAGACCAACTCAAGAAGATAGTGAATCCCTACCTATCAATCGCTGTACTTTTCATGAGAGGTTACCGTGTACGTTGCTCCTCGTATTGAGGCTGATTTAAAGTGGGTACCGGATCAGGAGCTAACTCTCTAACGGCTTAGCGCCGGAGTTAACCCAGATCGCGAAATCACGTGAGAATCAGACATAATTATCTCAGGTCAGAGATACCTAAGTAGGCATGTGAAAGGAAGAGGGTATCCCTTGGTGGGGCATGGGTGGACTAAGGCACTGACGAAGCAGCTATCCGACCCATTACCTACCTATCGTACATGGCAAGTGTTGAGTCTGTTATGGTTGTTAGAGATCCTCGGCGGCGAACCGTGTCTGGTAATTCTGTTATTACTACTCCGTATACATGACCGCGTGACTGTGCCGTCTCTCCGACCTTGTGAGGGGTTCAGGGGCTGGGCATTCGCATATTGTCCATCGAATGGAATGGGTCTCCTATTGTGGGTAGTGAGTGATACAATCCAGCGGATGAGTCCGTTCGTGTACGGATTACAGATTACATGCATACGCTGTACGAAGTAGCCACAATCGAGGCAAGATCAGCAAATGTGTCTTGGAATGAGGAACGGCCCTTATCAAGGCTTCTACGGGTGGACACCACCAGGCGGGTTTCTATGCGTACGTGTAGTAAAAAGCTAATAAAGGTACATATAGGTATATGGCATGTTCTTTTGGCCAGCTTTTCCTGAATCTTTGCTTGCACTACCTCTAAATTGTGGAGCGGTGGGGAACACAGCAGATCCGTGTCGGGAGGCACAACTCCATGTTGTCCCTCTGAGCCGGGGTCGACTGTTTCCCACAAGTTCCAGGCTTCGGGCCCTCGAGCTGATGCACGAAGCCGGGAGAGCATACCTATTGGCAGGCGGAGAAGCCCTCTGAGGGGCTAGAGGAATCTCCTAAATTAAGTGTCTCCAGCACTGGGATTCAACATTCCCCCCCTACTGTAGCATTCCCGGGCCAGCATTCCCACTACATACTGCGTAGTACTCCTGCGTCTCCAGCTACCTAATACCCTGTTCATCCGATCTTCACTAACTTTCCGGTTGCGTCAGTGAGATAAGCTGTCCGACATGGCGACCTGTACGTAAGAACAAGATTTGCTTTTCTTTCTCCCGTCTTCTCTATTTTTCACCCGATGATCGCGACTCACTGGGAATGAAACCCACCATCCTTTTTTCAAGACCCCATTCAAATGTAGGTACCCTTACTATAGGAAATCCGCGAGTTTAGTGGCTCACGCGTATAGATGTTCGTGTGGTCAAAGTGGGGACCAGAAACCGTTACGCCACTAGCCTCTGCTTAAACCCCTGAAGTGCCTGACCCAGACCCGGGTCTGCTCTGAGACAAAGCCATTTTACTTGCAAACAAACGGCAATGGCTGCATCATCAATATGGCAATGCGTTCAATGTTATTGTGGTTGGGTCAGTTGTTTCGGCGTGCCAAGAGAGCACAGTTCAAGCCCAATGGTCCCGGTTGGCAGAGTCTGACCACCGAGATAGTAATCTACATTAGGAATAATTTCCTGGCAATAGGCACGGGCATAATTAATAGAGTAGCTGCGTAGGATGTACGGATATGGATGGCACTGTGGTAATGAGGATTTGCCTAGGTAGTAGGTACGGATACCTCTAGGCGACACATCATACATCATACCTGGCCACAACCAAATGTCTAATACGAACGGACGGACGGCGGCCCTAAAAAGGGGGTGGTCAATTGGTCATTGCACGCACCCATTTCGCGCCGCGGCTACTGCGTCCGGGCTGCACGGTCCAGCGGCCATTCCATTTGAACCTGCAGAAGACGAAGCTTGGGCGGCGTCCCATTCATTCCCAGTTCTCTCTCTTGCATCGCATCTCTACTACGGAATATGTGAATGCAACATGCAGGGTGGTTTGGGGCCTGATGACCCAGTGCAGATTAGATATATAAGTACCTTAGGTACTGTAGGTAGGCATCCACACGAGAGAGAGAGGAGAGGCAAGCGGGCGTGGAATCCATCCCACTCACTATACCCGGATATTTAGGACACGCGGGCTTTCCCAGTTGTCTCTTCAACAAAACTTGGCTCTGCTTCCCGGATGACCTGCTTCCCGGGTGGCCGACCTGCTGCCCTCAACATGCTGCAAAGTTATATTTCTTGCCTGAAGAGATTAACCAAATCGCAGCTGAATGCGTCCAGGGGAATAGCGTAGTTTTGTAATGTAAACTTTTGTGCAATTGGGACATCTAATAAAAGGAGAGATGGATGTTGCTCAAGCCGAAGAAACGTCGGGCCCACATTTTAATGGCTGCTGCATTGCCCCTGTCTAGCGCGTCTCTGGATTAATGCCATCCCAAGCCTGTCCACCCAATCAGCACGCAGGCTTGGCCCTGCACTATCAACATGAAGACTTGGGGAAGCACGCAAGCCCTGGGAGACCCAGGCGCGACGACGTAACTTCCTTGCTACCCATGCACTTAACATTAAGCACGCTAATAACTAAGGGAATTTTGCCTGACCTGATGTACCTTCGTATGGAGAATCCGTACCCTGACACCCTGACTTGGGCCAATCCGTTTCTGACGTGTTAGTGCCAGTGGATGTGCCTAGGTCTCTCTGGCTTCGTTCGGTTTTTGGCTTGCTTGTCCAGGAACCTTAGGTAGGCTAGTGCAGAAGGAGGCCAATTGCTCTTCTCCCCAGTTCGAATAGCCTCCCCCATCGCCTTCCATCTCGAACTTTTGCTTCCTTCACCTTCGTCCACCCTCACTCACTTCATCACACTTCTCCAATCCCGCTCTTTCTTTGTTACTCCCCTTTCCCCCTCCCCTTCTCCCTTCTCTGCTCCTCTTCCTCCAATTCTACGCCGGTCTTCCGCTATTTCCCCTTGCCGACCCCCTTGCGGAGGAGCCACGATTCAGTCTGGATACCCGCTGTATCCTGGGACGCACTTTCTTTTCGACATTCACTGTTCGCCATTGCCGGCCTTAATTTATCGTCCGTTGCCTTCCAGTCATCCCAGGAAAAGCAGTCGCCCCCAAGCAACAAAGCTCCAGTCTCCTGCCGTTCCGTCCCAGATCCCGAGCCGGTTTTCCATGTCCTCCTCCCAATAACGAACGGGCGATCTCGAGGTGTCAGTCTGTGACACTCGATTCCCGGTCTTTCGTTGATCAGTTCGACGTGTCGTGACAGACCCGGCAATTCTCCTCCAAGCAAGAAGTTCGTGGTAGCAGCGGACTCTTTCGGAGACCCAAAACTGCCCCCCTTTCCCTCCCTCGGCCGCAGGCGTCCTTCAGTTCCCATTTGAAACAATCGTTATTGAGAGTCATCCAATATTCTTTTTTTATCTTTCTTTTCGGATTTGGGCCTCTGTTCAAGCAACCTCGGGTTCCCAGGCCTAGCCCTTCACCCTAAGGTATGCAATTCGGACACACAAGATTTCTTCGATCCCAGTCTGTCTTCCAATCCCCATCTCCCGTCTTCCCACCCATCAAACCCATATGGGGCCAACCACTTGTTCGCTGTTGGTGCTAACCATCATTTGAAGGAGCAGATCGCTACCGGAACTTCAATAATTTCCTGCCCTTTCACGGCTCCGCTAGCTGCAATTCTCCTACAAGAGGACCTAGTTCCACCGTCTATTCTCTTGGAGCCTGTGACCTCGCTACGTTCGGTCACGCCCCCATAGCCTTCCCTTCGAATTTGTGACCATGGCTGCTCTGGTCCAGTCCTATCCCCAATCGACTGGAACCGTCACTCTGCTCCATACGCGACCTACATCCGCCTCAGGCATGCTGCCGACACAGTCTCAACAGGCCCAGCAATATGGTCACGGAGCGTCTCAGCAAAGAAATGGCCTTCATGGCATGCAGGGAGCAGTCGGAAGACCCATTGTATATCGCGGCAGCGCTGCACCTGTCCAGCCATATGCCTTCACTAGCACACCAAGTTTGAATCGGGATTTACAGTGGCAGCAATCCAGGACATCCCGGACAACTTCGATGCCCGCAGTGCCGACAGTTCAGACATTTGACCAGAACCAGAATGCTGGCCGCCCTCGCTACCTTCCCAGCGCCTCGATGACAAATTTGCCCAGCGGCTCGACACTCGGATACTCTCCTGCAACTTCTCTGGACGACTCTTCGATAGCTGCCAGGGGCATCAGGCGGGTGGCGACCTCATCTCGGCCCCAGTCTGCCTATTTGACAGCGACGCCTCCACCGGCGACCCTCGCGCAACCCCAAACATCGCCGGTCAGGATCTCACCTGAGAGATACAGGCGGCCAACTTCCCGCAATGTTGATTCCTCTTCTGCTTCTGGCCCGCAGGTGCACCCGCAGCCTTCCGCACCCCCATCGGGGTTGGGTATGGCGAACGTCAACCATTTGTACGGCCAGCGTACCCTGGCTGAGCAGAAAGCTACCGTTGTGCGAAACCAACAAACTACTCAGGCCGCCAGGCCCACCAGCTTTGTCGGCTCTGCGGCTGATGATATGCAGCTCAATCGGACTGCTTCGCATGAAGAAGCGAGAAGGTTTCGGCGGCGCAGCCTGCCATCTTTGGATTCAGCCGGTTTCCCCAAGCTCCTGACCCCACCTGACCACGCAAAGCAATCGGACGAATCGTCCCAGCAGGATGAAGTAGCGCCACTAGACAGCGCCGAAAAGCAGCAGCAAAAGTCTGCAAGGCTGGCTGCGACCATTATGGCCGCTGAAAATAGCAAGGCCTCGCACGTTCGTAGGGGCAGTTCTGAGAGCCTCGTCTCCAGCCTTAGCGGCAGCTCTCGCCCTTCATCGGTGAGTAAACACAATCCCCGTCTGGCCCCCCAATTTCTTTGCCATCGTTGCATACATTTGATGTATTATCCAATCGCAGCGCTCCGTTTCCCGAGTGTACCCGTAGCATCACTAACAGCTCATTTCCAGTCTGCCAACCGCAACACCAACGTATCCGCCCCCACCGGTAACCCCGCCCTGCTCTCTTCACAGGCTACCGATCACAACCAAGATTACAGGCTTGTAAACATTCCCCCCCGAAGCTCATCCTCCGATGCCGCCACTACGAGCCGGGTCGCCAATCCGTCTCCCCTTTCCCAACCGGTCGCAATGGACTCGGAGACGGAGAAGCGCCCGCCAAGCGCGGGAACCGCCGGTGCCAATGCATCCCCAACGCTTCCAGCCTCTCCGACTAATCAAATCGAGAGCGCTGCCGTGAAACACCTCGCTGCGATAAGTGAGAGGAGCGGGAGGCTCAAGAGTAAGACGTCGAGGCTGCGACGTGCCTTCTCTTTCAGCAGCGCCGCCGAGTTCAGGAAGGCTGCCGGCCCCGAAATGGACGCTGCCGATAGCCCTCATGACCTGGGCCCCGCCAAATTGCACAAAGATCCGTCCCCGGAAGAACTTTACGATGCCGAGCAGGCCCGAATTGCCCAGAAGCAAGAGGAGGCTGGGCTTGGGAATAGCATCTACTCGGGAGGAAGGTTCTTCTCTGGCTCGACGGATAACATATCCGTCTCCTCAACTGCTTCCTCAGCCTCGATCATGATTCGCAAGATGGGGCGTGGCATGAAGAAGGGTGGTCGTTCTTTGGTGGGCCTGTTCCGCCCCAAGTCGGTCATCTCCATCCCTGATGCGGACGCGCAGTTGCCCGAAGCCAGCCAGGCTACTGTTTCGATGGTCACCGTGGAGGCTGAACGTCAGAGAGTCAATATCAACGTTGACCCACATGACCAGAATGGAGGCGGCACTGGTTTTCCTCGGCTGGAGCGGAACTCGATCGACGCATCCAAGCCTCCCCGCTCGTCGTCTGACCGTGTGGGGAGCTCTGGGACGGATAATTCTGCATCGAGAAGGAGCATTGTTGGTGGTGAAAAGGAACGGGCAGAAGTCCTCGCAGCAGTGAGGAAGGGTATTTTGAAGCGTAAGACCCCGTCGCGGTCCCTGGCCCATGAAGTACAAGTCTAACATTGATGGAATACAGATACAAACCGTTCACCGAGCCCAAAGCCGTCTGAGGAGCGGGGAACAGTCCTGGACTTGCCAAATGCACCTCAAAGTACCGATTCTCCGAGCTCAACCGCACCGAGCACTCCGAACGACGAGGCCCATGGCCACCGACGTACCGGTTCCATTGCTATTGGCAACGAGGACTACTTCGTGTCGGCTCTCAGACTCCGCCAGGACACAAAGAGTGCCCCCGGGACGCCGCAAGGCTCGGCCAAGCGCAACGCAACCTTCAGTCCTCGGATCATCTTCCACGACACCTGGCCTAGCGGGGAATACGATCGCCGGGGCGAAATCGCTACGTGCAACCGGTTGACCCCAATGCTTGCTCAACAAATCAAAGAGGAGCTGAACAACTTCAAAATGGTAAGTACATTGCAACCGGGGTCCCCAAAAGGGAAAACACCGAGGCTGATGATTTTGACAGGAGATGGAAGTTCATGAGAACTCGAAGATTTACACGCACTTTTTCTGATGACCACCACTCTTGTCAAAGAAAGATGCATTGTGCGGCTTACTTATTTGTTTCGCAGGGGGTTCGCAAGGACCTCGGCCGTGTATTTCTTCCTTCCTTCTCCCTTCCCTCTTTTTCTCTGGTAATCTACATGTCGATGGCGTTCCTGGTCAGCATAGTATGGTGTCGCGGCGTTTGCGCATCGATCTCGACATTACGTCCAGCATCCGGCACGCCAAGTAATTCTTAGGAGACACCTTTTAGAGGAGCGGGTGTCTTTCTACTCCATCGATAGCCACGTCATTGGCTGGGGTCGGCAACGTTGCGTGTCGGAGTGCAGGGTCTGCAAGCGGAGCGAGGCAGGATGAGCATGTGGAGTAGAGCGGGAAGCATTCAGAGACCGAGTACTTCCTCGACGAAGCCTGGCAATTCTTGGTTTACCCGCCTTGGCATCTTTGCAAGACGCATAAGGCCGGGGAGGAAACATGGTTGTCCCAGCCCGTTGAGAGAAAGTTTAGCAAATACATGACACATGACAGCTGTCGCAAGATTTAGGAGGATTTAGAGCGCCTTTACTTTATCTACTCTTGCGTGTGCAGCATGCGGGTCATCAAACAGTTAGCACGATAATGAGAGATTCCGTTCCTCAGCTCAGCATAGACTCTGGAACTGAAAAATGCTTGGCTTAAACGGATACTGCCGTCAACTCAATGAACGATTCCTGATTATGTAATCAGTCCATATCGCGGGGCATACGTAATGCGGGCGGTTGCAGGCTCCACAAGTGCGGGGGAACGTTTCAGGATACTGACCTATCATATTCAACGTCCGCCGCCTCGCCCCCAAGGCTGTTTTTCCTTTTTTCAGCCTCGTTTTTTTTTTTTCTTTTTTTTCGCCATGTAAATGTGGTGAAAGTCAACTCAACGTCCGTCTGTCCCCGCATGTCAGCACAACGGTGACTACCACTGCTCTCCTCCCATTCCTGCCTGCCACTGTGGAGGCATTTCTCACCAACGCCAGGGCGCGGGGCTGTCCGGTCTGGGCCGCCAGCTTGAGAAGAACACTCGCCACGATGGCGGCAGAGCTTTCGAACGATGCGCCTCGGGCAGCGGCCCCGGCGCTAAACGGCACGCCCTATATAAGCAATCCCCTGTCGAAGAAACTTCACGGCAGGGCTTTCTATGAGAGCATTGGCAGCCCGAAATTTGTCATTGCTCCTATGGTGGATCAGTCAGAGTTTGTCAGTCGTCCTCGCGTCGGATCTGCGCGTGAATCGCAAACTAACCTGCCATCATAACCAGGCTTGGCGAATGCTCTCACGGTCCTTCCTGCCGCCGTCTCAAAGGTCCAAGATCCTTGCCTATTCCCCAATGCTCCACGCTAGACTCTTCGCCGAGAGCCAGAAATACCGCGACACCCACTTCCAGCCAACCCGCGAGCCGCTAGGCGCCACTCCACAATCCCCGGGCACCCTCGCCTCCCTCACCCCCTGGCTCGACGGCAACCCGTCGATCGACCGCCCTCTCTTCGTCCAGTTCTGTGCCAACGACCCAGATACGCTCCTCGCGGCCGCGCGGCTGGTGGCCCCCTACTGCGACGCCGTGGACCTGAACCTGGGCTGCCCGCAGGGGATCGCGCGCAAGGGCCGCTACGGGGCCTTCCTGCAGGAGGACCAGGACCTGGTGTACCGGCTGGTCAACACGCTGCACGCGAACCTCGCCGTCCCCGTGACGGCCAAGATCCGCGTCCTGGACACGCCCGAGGCGACGCTGGCGTACGCGCGCAACGTCCTCGCCGCGGGGGCCAGCGTGCTCGCCGTGCACGGGCGCAGGCGCGAGCAGAAGGGCCACATGACGGGCCTCGCCGACTGGGCCGCCGTCCGGCACCTGCGCGACAATCTGCCGCCCGACACGGTCCTGTTCGCCAACGGGAACGTCCTCCGCCACGACGACCTCGAGCGCTGCCTCGCCGCCACGGGCGCAGACGCCGTCATGTCCGCCGAGGGCCACCTCAGCGACCCGGCTATCTTCGCGACGCCGCCTGGTCTCGGGGTGGATGAGGAGGGCAGGAAGGAGTACTGGCGCGGAAGGGACGGGCGCGGCGGGTGGAGGGTCGACGCCGTCTTCAGGAGGTACCTCGACATCCTGCACCGGTACGCCCTCGACGCCGAGCCGCCCGCCCGCAGGCCGCTCTTCGTCCCCGGCGACGACGCCGGGTGGCTCGTGCCGGCGGCTGCTACAAAGGCGGCGGAGGGGACAGAAGCAACGGCCCGGGGAGGCGACGGGGATGGCCAACCGCCCAGCAAGAAGCGCAAGAGGGACCCCGTCTCCAAGGCGGTGGCGGCGGCCCAGGCCGGCCCGAACCTCTCGGCCACGCAGGCGCACCTGTTCCACCTCCTCCGGCACTTCGTGACGCGGCACACCGACGTGCGCGACGCGCTCGCCCGCGCCAGGTCCGGCGAGCTGGCGGTCCTCGAGCGCATCCTCGACACGGTGGAGCGGAGGGTCGCCGAGGGGCTGGTAGAGTACGAGCACACGGGTGGGGCGTGTGTTGAGGAGGATGGGAAGGGAGAAGCGGAGGGGGAGGAGGTGGTGGTAGAAGAGGAGGACGGCGACTACCATGACGCGGAGAGCTCTGTCAAGGCAGTGAGGGAGTGCAGGCGGCCATGGTGGGTCGCGCAGCCCATTATCAGGCCGTTGCCCAAGGAGGCTATCGCGAAGGGGGCGATAACGCTGAAGAAGGCCAAGGCGGGAGCGGGAGGGGGAGGGGAAGGGAAAGGAAAGGGAAAAGGAGAAAGAGGTCCCGAGTCTGCCTCAGCTGTGGATGTGAAAGAGGGTGCTGGTGACGTCGGGGGAGGCGTAGGCCCCGGTAGGAGTAATAATGGCGCCGAGGCAGCTCTGGAGAGGAAGATTAGCTTCCCTGATAGTGAGCTAGTTAGTGGGTGATCTTAGACATAGAACAATACCCACCTATTTGGCACCATCTGGTTCTGCTCGTCCTCTACTGCTGAAGAGCTCAGGTAGTTTCGATAGCAGACCAGGCTACCAACTACCAAACGACTGTCCTATCCACCGATTGCGACCAAAGTATCAATTTTATGTTCTAATGGTTTCTACTTCTACGCACACGTGAATAATTTCGATGATCGTTACACGGGATGAACTTGAGATAAAGAATTGTCCTAGGCCTTTCTGGCAAGAAAAACCCCGAAAAGCCCCGAACGCAGGAGGTCTAGCCGACTGGTTTTGTGGCTTTCTTGGTAAACTACAACGCGTTCCGAAGATTATCAACTTGGTAACAGTCTCGCTCTTGGTATGGAAACAAGCGTAAAAGCTAATGCCCCTTCCTGGGATCCATCTCTCGACCATTTCCACCTCTCATCCCCGACCATTTGCAACCTAGTCAAATAAATACACATACACTCTCCACGACCATCCCTTCTCCCCCTTTTTAACCCGCCACCCGCCCCCTTTTAGTAGGAGGCGGCGACGGTGACCTGGAGCTACTAAGCCGTCTCCTCTTCCCCGCCGCGGCTGGGCTCGGCGAACGCGAAGGCGAGATCGAAGCCCGACGTCTAGGCGGCGGTCCTCCCCTTCCTCCTCCTCCTCTGCCGCCACGCCTCCCGCCCCGCCCAGACGGCGGCGTCGGAGACCTAGACAGAGACTCCCTACGGCCGCCGTTCCGCCTTCCACCGCGCCCTGGAGCGGGGGGGGACCGGGACGGCATCGAATCGCGCGGCAGGGGCACCCGGGCGGGCGGTGGCGGCGACGCCGACGCGGAGCGGCTGCTGTAGCTCCTGTTGCGCCGCGAGGGCCGGGGCTCGGGGCTGGCGCTGACGGACGGCGAGGTGTTCCGTCCTCTGCGGCGGGGCGGCGGGGAGGCCGAGTATGAGTCCCGACGGGTGGCCCGGGGCCGGATGCTGCTGACGGAGGAGGTATTTCTCCTCCGCGCGGCGGGGGGCGGCGGGGAGCGCGAGCGCGAGCCTGACGGGCTGCGGCCACGGCGTGCACGGGGAGGCGGCGACCGCGAGTAGGTGGGCGAGCGGGAGTAGCTCGGCCTTCGCTGGGGGCGCGCTCTGGCAGGCGGGGGGGTAACGGACCGCGAGTCCCTCCGGCGATCTCGCCGGGGAGAGCGGGAGGCGGGCCGGTCCGGGGAGATGGAGCGGCTAGGGCTGCGGCCGCGACTGTAGGAGCGGTTCCTATTGCCGCGCGGCGGCGGAGTTGGCGAGTACGAACGTGCCCGACCAGCAACTCTACGTGGTGGGGATCGAGAGCGCGATGGAGAGCGGGAGTAATAGGACGAGCTTGTGTATGAAGAATAGCTGGAGACGGACTCCGAGTCGGAATGGTGCGCAACGACCGGTGCAGGTAGGGCCGGTTTCGGCATGTTCTGGAGGAAGTCTCGCATCTCCTGGGTGAGGACGCCCATGCCGATGGACGTGAAATAGTTGATCGAGAACCTGATGTTACGCGGGTTGTCGTGCGGGAATATGCCCTGGAAGCTCGGTTGAAGGGCCTCGTCAGCCATCCTGGCTCGCAGCTTGGCCATGCCAATGTTCTCTGCAACATCCTGGAACAGAATCTTGATGAAGATACGACTGGCAGAGGTCGTCTCCTCTTCGTTTAGGTGGATGACCGAGAGGACATGCCAACCAATGGCGTCACTCGCGAGCAGATGGCCGAACAGGCAAGCAATATTCCTGAGCTTGTTGGTCTCATACCGGTGTATCATGTCGTAGTACTTGACGAAGGACTCCTCAAAGAGATCCATCCACATGCGGTTTAGGCGGGAGATACGTTCCGCGATTAGGCCGTAGAACTTCACGTACGTCTTCGCCTCGGCACAGGACTCGACCACCATCGACACCAATTCGGTTTCCTGGCCGGGAGGGAGCCGAAGCTTGACAAGTTTGTGTGTGGCCTCCTCTGGGTCCGCGCTGCTCTGCAAGGTGAGGTAGATGGTACGTCGTAGGTTTATCAGATCCGCATTGCTCTGGTCCTTGATCTCCAGGGCCTTCTGCTCTCCTTCCTCTTCTTCAGAGGACGATTCGTCGTCGTCTTCATCTTCGTCATCTTCGTAGTCGCTACCCTCGCCAAGGATCTCATTCTTGAGTTTCTTGTAGGCTTCCTCGTTCTCCTCCCACTGCTCGTCGAACTTGAAGATGTTCAGTGTATCTTGCCCTTCGACCTCCCCGTTAAGGGAAATCTGGTGAGTAATCTGGTCCTCCTCTTCAACCAAGTCTAGCTCTTCCTTGATCGCCGGATTGTCCTTGAATTTGTCCTTGCGCACCTGGAACAAAACCTCAATCATGTACTGCACCCGGCGGTCGATATCAGCTTCGTGAAGGATGCCTCGGAACCGATCGAAGACAATTCTCGCAATATCGGGATTCATCTCCTCGAGGTGCTGGCCGACTTCTCTCGTCAGGCCAACAGCGATCTCCACACTATCGTCGGTGGGCCTCTCCAGTAGGAGGATCAGCATCTCCGCGGCCACGGTCTCATGCACGACCTGCTGGTTGACCAGATGTGCGATGAAGGTCGTTGTGGCCAGGCACACTGCCTTGTCGTTGCGCCGGAACGCCTTCCTGAATCGCAACACCAACCTCTTGACCAGGAGCTCTCCGACCTGGGGTAGCTTGGTGTTGACGATGGCAGCCATGGCCGCGTAGATCGGAGTGAAGGGCAAGCTCGCCGCCTGGGCTTTCGTGATGCTCTGGCAGAACAGGCCCCGGCCGCGGATGAGATTCTCGGCGAAGAGCTCCGGGACAATCGCCTTGATGTTCGCGACGTTGATCTTGTTGATCAGCCCGTTGATGCTCTTCTTCAGCGCGTCCCACGCCATGCGCTGGTATTCCTTGCTCGTCTTGTCCGTGATCTGGGCCTGGAGAGCCCGCAGCCGTGCCGGGGGGATGTAGGTGCCTCCGCTTCGCATCGTCAGGAGCTTCTCGTACTCGGCCTTGGCGGCTGCCTGCTTCTCCTCCTCGGTCCTGGCCGGGGGAGGCGGCGGCGGCGAGCGCTCCTTCTTCGCGGGGCGACCGCGTGCCGGTCGATAGCTGTCGCCGCCATCGCGTCGCGGAGGGTCACGATCCCGTCGGGGAGAGCGAGGCCGTGATGGAGGAGAGCGATCACGCCCCAGTTTGTGCGCTGGAGACATGGTCTCCGTGGAAGCCATCTTGGAATAGTTGTGATGATGGCTTGGAGAAGAGTTTGTCGGGAGAGAAACAGCGTGGTTGGTCTCCGTCGACTCTTCCTGAGAAACTGTTTGATGTGGCTGGAAAGTTATTTCTTTTTGTTACTTAATGCATATGCAAGCATGGCTGGCCCCACTCTGCGCACGGATCATTGAGGCTGAACCGCCACTTGCACTAAAGGCCCGGTTAAACCGCGGCATGGATGGACGCGATCTGGCGCGAACTAACAATGGAACCCCTGGGTTGAGTGAGAGCTGCTGAGCTTAGCTTTTTGGCCAAGTTGCTTGTCCAAGAGAAGACTCGGCGACCCTACTGTATCGCAACAAAGACCACGCTTCACAAGGTTCTTCTCACATGCTCTTTCAAGTAATTTTCCAAAACCCTCTATTTTAACAATGGTATGCCCTTTTCCCTAATTCACCCTCGCCGCCAGGCAAAAATGTCACTCACTAACCCACGAAACCTCTCTCCCAGCTCGACAAACTCATCGGTCTCGCCATGCTGGTGGCCGCCTCTCTCGTCTTCCTCTATTACTCCATCTGGACGCTTCTCATGGTATGTCCACCACCGAGGCCGATCCCGTCCCCAAAACCAAAGACTCCAGCGACGCTCACTCCCGGAGTTCTCTTCTCCCCCCCAGCTAACAGCCCCAACAGCCCTTCGTCGACTCGGACCATCCCCTCCAGAACTTCTTCTTCCCGCGCGTGTGGGCCATCCGGATACCCGTCATCCTGCTCCTCCTCGGCTCTGCGGTGGTGGGGTCGTTCCTCAGCGTGGTCATGATTCGCAGCAACCGGAAGAAGGCCGCGAAGGCGAAGGCGGCAGCGAAGAAGAAGGCTTAGATTCTGAGTGGCGGGAGAGGAACAGGGGAGATTTTGTCTCGATGCTCTAGGTGTTGAGAGGCAAATATTGTACTTGCCCGCGCCTTTGGTGCGGCCTACTAGGAGCATATTTTATGGTCTGCTGTTGTAGAACTCTAATAGACGTTCAAAATGACAGGGCGACTAAGAGAGTTACAGTCAATGGGCAAGGATCACACAGTTAATGGGACAGGATCTTCCGGGGTCTACGAGATTCCATTGTATGCCTATGTCGCGGAGAGCGAAAAGGGGTAATTCATACTATTAGCCATGCATGCGAAGTGTGTCCAATACTTAAGCCAACCAAGTAACCCACCAAGACGATATCGGTTCCATGTGGAGTAGAATGAGTCAAACCAACAGTCCTTCGAGGAGGCCAATGCTGCGCGGGCCGCCCCATTCAACCTCCTCAAGGTATTGCGTAAATAAGACGTTCCGAAACCGACAAAGCGAGTCCCGTTTACTCCTTGCCCTGGGTAGTGCGTGTTAAATCAAAGCTACCATGACCCTTTCAATGATGTGAAAACGCTGACACTCCATACTGCATGCAATGACGTCGTGAACGAACGACCAAAATTCACTTAGACTCGCTGATCGGCAAAGTCGAGGACCTCGCAGTCGTCCTCGAAAAACCCGTCGTCGTCGGGGTCGGCCGAACGCCCAGCCCCTCTTCTCCGGCGCGTGGTGACGACGATCTGGTCGTCATTTACACCAGAATGGTGCAGGACTCTCTCCATCGCTGAAGCCGGCAGAGCGCGTGATTCGTCCGAAGCAATGTTGAATGATTCCTCGGCCGTGAGCGGCAAGCCGAGATCTAGCTTTGCTGCATTGGCTGGCTGCCCAAATACCCAGACGTCGTGCGAACTGGATGACCCAGCCTCCTCCTGCCGCGGCTTCTGTTGCTCATGTTGTTGCTGCTGCTGCTGCTGCTGCTGCTGCCGCTTCCGTCGCGATCCCGTCGCGGTTGGCTTGTCTTCCAGGCTTGCCGTCGCAAAGAGTGCCGACAGAGCTGGTAAGTCCCCTCCTAGGCCGTCATCTTCGCAGTACTCGTACAGCGCCACTCGCCTATCCGTGTGGAAAGGTTGGTAGGGAGCGTTTGATTCTATCTCGGCTTGTGGGATCGAGGACTCGGCACTGGGGTCGCCCGCTTGTTGTAGCCTCGACCGATTATCAAGCACCATCGTGTTATTGCCTGCATCTAGATCCTTCTCCGTCAAGTCCAAGTACTCTTCAGGGTCGAGATATCTCTTGATTGACGGAGCGAGGACGCTATCTGGCAGATTAGGGAGCCTGAAATCCTTGTATCGTGTCAAACGAGTCGCTCGTTGCCTAGCACCACCTCCTAAGGACATCCGCCGGCTCTTAGTTGGGAAGGTCCGGACTAGGCCGCCGCCCAGGACAAACAGGTGGTGATCTTTCCTGGTTGTTATCCAGACAACGCACGATGGACCGGGAGAAATGGTACTGGCGGGAAGAGAGACACGGTTCTCTCCAGTGTGCCGCAGCTGGCTGATTGCAGTGCCTGTCTTGCCGAGAGAATGACTAATGCTCGCGGCAATCACCTTCCCTCCATGGCTGGCATGATCCACCAAGCTAGGGCTTGTCTGCTGTGGCACATTAGAGCTGCTTCGTCGCGGCCGGTTCATGAGTGGTCTGGCTACATCGCGAACCGAGCTCAGTGCATTTGAGGCGATGGAGACGGCCGAATGGCCCCCTTCGGCAGTGGCCGACTGGTCGTCCTGCGGTCGAGTTCTCCGCCTTGGCGGAGGCCAGGTGAAGGCACCCGACGGGAGATCCAGAAGATGAACTGTTCCTCTCTCGGTGACCATTGCAGCACGTTCACCATTGGGCTTCGTCCACGCAACGTCGACGATACGAGCAACCGTCATGCGGGAGAATTGTGCCACCTGGCGGACCCGGGAGCCGCCATTAGCGGACGACGAGGGGGGCGATTGGAGTGTCGATGCCTTGGTGTACTGGATACGCATGAGGTCCCACACTGTCTGCACATCTCCTTTGCTGCTCGCAGTGAAAAGCAAAAGCCCCGAGGGGGCAAGCGAGAGAAAGCTGCAGCCATAGGGAGCTAGGAAGGTGCTGGTCGGGTGCAACGAAGGCGAAGTACTTAGGGACTCGATGTCCAGGATAGAGATGAGCCCAGGGTCCTTTGGGGCGGGCGGCGTTACAGTCCCATGCGTCGGAGGGAACTGGACAGGCTCTTGCCGTTGGTGGAAGGCACCTCCCCAGCCCTGGGCACCAAACGGAGGAGACCGCGACGGTTGTGAGGCTGGTGGATTCCAATATTTGTTCCAAGCTTGCCAGCCTTGCTTGCCAACCCATTTTGCGCCCTGGATCAGCTCCTGCGTTGCATCGCGCATGATCTTGTTCATGGCGCTCTCGGATATCGGTAGATCAACCTCGGAGTTTATGGGAGGCAGCTGCGGCGGAGTCATCGACGAGAGTCCAGGAGCCTTGCTAGAGGCCAGAACTCGGACTGATGCTCTTAGGGCAATCTGGGATGAAGGAGTCGCCGGGCAGTAAGAGAGCCATCTTCCCCTCAGTGAGAGAATCGCGCTCTGCGGCCGCGGACGAGGCTGGGTCCGGACCAGTCCTCGATCAGCTTCCCCTGCCGTATCTCCTTTGGGAGGATGCTGAAGAGTGGTCCACAATTTGCCAAGGCAAACAAACTGCACACGGTTTTCGCGCGAGAAGATCATCTGCCGGTACAGCCAGCACTCGCCGGTCACTCCTGAAGATACAAGAATGCTTCCATCGTCGGCCTTGATGTTGAGAGCTCCAGTCGGCGAAGGGGCCTTAAAGACAGGGCTCGTTATCGGTGTCTTGAGGGGTATCTTAGGCACCTCAAGAAGAACCTCGACCAGCTCGCTCGTCCTCAGGGAGTACACTTCCACCGATGTTTGGTACGCCTCAATAAAACCGGGGGAGGGTTTGATGCCCGTGCCATCTTTGGTCCCCGTTTCCGGGGCTGTATTTGTGATGGCATCGGACCTGTCAGCGGAGACCGCATCATAGTCGCCGTCATTGGCCGTCCCAAGAGAGGACAACGGGACAGCGGGGCCATGGATAACGACGGCAACTAGAGGGAACAGGTCCGATCCGGGCGAGGTCCACGGCAGGATTTTGGCATGGTAGACACCTCCTCGCAGTCCCTTCAGACTAGCGACATACTCTGCTCCTCGCTTCCCAACGGAATGCACCTCCAGTCCTCCCTCATAGCCACAAAGGACTACGTTATCCTTGCCAAGAAGGCGGTCAGCAGACGGTGACGGGAGAGTGTCGAACCCGAAATGATAACCCCTCTCTCCAGCCTTCATTCCAGATAGCGGTTGGGGGTCAAAATCGATGCCAGGCAGTCCATAGAAGTGCGCCTGGGGTTGGTGAGGCAGTGGCGGATTCGGGCTGGCTCGGGCATGGGCAAGATATGAGTGCATCGAGTTTCTGTGGGCGGCAGGTGCTGCTGCTATTGTATTTCCGTGAAGGTCGGGGGGAGTGTAGTGGCCATCCATCTGGAAGCTCAGCGGGCGTGTGGCCGGTCTTGGAGGGGAAGCTGACGCCAGCTGGTAGTGATTAGAAGGTCTCGGGGAGGACCACCCGTATTGCATTGCCCTGGAATCCTCATAAGAAGAGGGCTGGGTGGGCGGCGACTCTCCCATCAGGCTTATCAGGTTTCCAGGCGACCCGGCCATGGCTGCAGGAACAAGCCCCCTTGCCCATTCCTTCCTGCTCGGAGATGTGCCCGTTGTCGCAAAACTCGTTGGAGAAATCGCACTCAACAGTGGTGATGCGCCGGGGTTGCCGTTTGAAGAGGGGGTTTGTACCGCAGGAGGGGAGGGGCTTGCAGAAGAACCGACCGGGCTCTCCTTCCCATAGCTGACAAGGCGTCAGAGACAGCAAAACAAGCAACTTGTCACGCTCGGCGCTCAGTGAGAACATACGAGAACCTGCCAACATTCTTTGTCACTGCAGCAGCGACTCCACCACCTTCTTTGCCATTCTTCTTGTCCTTCTTCGAGCCTGTTAGAAGACGGTCAGGTTAGTGGATATCCTCAGCCTGGCAACGGACGGATTCTTGGGGCACTGCAGGGCTGTATTTGGAACACACTGAATAATAACACAAAGAGTCACGAGCAAAAATGAATATGGGAGAAGGTACACAGACCTGGCATGAACGGCTTCAGAGGGGATTTTAGGAGCCGAGTCCTGCTCAAGTTAAGCGGCCGACTCCCTGGGCCCTTGAAACAGAACGGTTCGACAGAGAAATTCTCGGGAAGGTTTGAGATCGGCGAAAGGGTCGAGGTCTGGTTTGAAAGGGGTCTGGCTGGTTACACAGAGAAATCGTTGCGAACCCCTTCGAGATAGAGGGTGGCGCGTTGTGTGTTGAGAGACAAGGGACAAAGGAGTGGAACCCAGCAGGCACAGCCGTGTGGGAGGCTTGGCAGTTGAAAAGGAACAGAATATGGCTCTAGATGTTGCAATATAAAGTAAATGGAATCAATCAATGAGCAATAGGCGTGAGTTAGTCAAAAGAGATTTGCTTTGTTGTTTGTTGTTGTTGTTAAGAGAGACAGACGGTCAGGGTGACTCGAAGCTGTCCTGGGCAAGTAGGTAACCGCTCATCAACTCCTGTGACGGGAGGCGGGGTCTCCTGGTTAAGCTTCAGCGAGGTATTCCGTAGGTGGGGAAGCAAGGGGCGACCCACTGGTCTGTACATATACAATTAACCTCTATGTGGAATGCATGGTCATATAGGTATCAAGGTACCTTTCTATATTAGTGTTCCTGCACGCCTGACTGGGATCATTTGGTCCGGGGTCGATCTGTACTCCGTACCACGGTACACATAAATACAATGCCCAGGCCAGGCCAACACTACATACGGAAACGGCATGCAGAACTCCGGTGGTTGTAACTTGAATCTGGAAGTGACTTGATCACGGCAGAACTGGCTTGTGCTTGTATTAGGTACGTCATTTCTGGTTTCCACAGCCATGCTTCATGCTGGCGACTACTTACTTGACCTCTATATAACAGTGACGTACAAAGTAAGATAGAGTCAGACTAGGACCTGACCTCACCGCTGACCTGTATCGGTGACCAGCCAGTCCTGAGTCCACCCTCCTTCCTAGGGAGGATCTAATAATTACAATGCAGGTACCCAACACAAGTGGCCCCTGCAAGGCAGATAAGGTCGGGTATCTCCATCTGATTATCCGGACCTTGGACCTGCCATAGGTGGCAGCTAGGTATGTACATAACAGCACTGTTGCCCTGTGAGGTGTCTAGAGGCCCGATCAAGAAGAGGAGGCGAAAGCTTGGGACTTCCCTTGTCTCTCTCCTCCTTCCTAGTGCAACCATCGATCTTATAGGAGGTTACCTAGCTCTCTTCCACGCCAAAGTGGGGCCAACAGGGTCGGCTGATAAGGAGGAGCACTAAGACCGCTCCAATCCGGCTCGCATCAGCACAAGAACATACGTAGGCAGTGGCTGAAACAGGCCCTGGTGGCACCCGCTGCTGACGTATTTGGGGACCGTCTTACTCCGTCACACCTTCGCCGCGATCGCGGCTCCTGATCTGAGATACACGACATGGATGGCAAACTTCCAAACATTCCCCATCTGTTCTCCTCACGTGCCCGATCACGTCACCAAAAGCTCAGATGACCACTGCCCCCTGATATCACAGGAGCCCTAACCCTCTGTAGAGCTCGGATATAGGTTTAGTTGAATGATGCTTGGAAAAGCAGGAGAGTTCATTCCTCAGGTCTTTGTGTTGTGCTGGCAGCCCATTGTCACTCATCAAGGTACCCCTTTTATGCTCAAGGGTGTGGATGGATCTAGGGGTAAACCCTGAGTTTGTGTATACGTATAACGGTATAAGCCAGACGCCAGTTCTAAATCGTAGCTTTCCAACATTGCGGCACGCCCTGTTACTCCATCCCCTTGACGTGCAAGTACACCAGTCAACCAGCTGGCATTCATCGCTGCCGTAGCTGGACCTCATGCTCCAACCAGAAATTCCTACACGATCTATGCCCCCAGAACTCGACCCACCACTCCCCAAAGCTATCCTCGACCTCAAAATCCACCTTGACGACCCTCTCACCCCTCTTCAGCCCGCAGATGACACACGGCTTGGGTGCCGTCAGCGCCCCCTTAGCGGTCCGGACGACTAGACCGTCCGCCAACTCGGGTATCGCCCCCAGGCGCGGCTCGCCGGGCCCCAACGCCAAGTTCGCCGCCGCCACCGCCGAGCGCAGACGGCCGACGATGGGCCCCCATGCCGCCGCCACGTCGGCCGCCTCGCGATCCTCGTGGCTGGCCTGCGACCTGTCGACGCCCGAGAGCTTCATGCCGCGCTTGCCGCCCGCCGCCGCCGAGATGGCCATGCCCTGCGACAGGAACTTGTCGCGCTGCCACCGCAGCTTGCGGCCCGCCACGATGCGGCCCGCCACGGCGGCCAGCGCGAGGTAGCCGCGGAGGAAGCGGACCGTCGCCGGGTCGGAGAGGACCCGATCCTTGATCGGGCCCGGCTGGCCGCTTGTTGGCTTGAAGAGGTATGTGGTGGCGGATCCGAGGAGCTGCGGGAAGAGCGAGAGCAGAATGGACGGGGGCGGGACATTGACTGGAGGTGGTCCCGCCTCGGGTTTGGCTGGGGTTTCTGCTGGCGTTGGTTGTTTGCCGGAATGTGTTGCATCCCCGTCCCATGCATCCCAGTCCCAGTCTGAAGCGGGCTTTGCATCCTTTGAGGTCTGGGCCGATGTTGCGGATTTGTTGGTTGTCCTGGGCTCCGCAGGTTTGGACGGGAGGTCCTGGAAAGTCCCCCAGTCCTCAGCCCCGTTGGTCTGACCAGGCCCTCCACTGCCGTCGTCCTCGTCAAACGACGGCCAAGCCGTCACTGGAGAGGGCGACGGCCAAGCCGTCACGGGAGAGGACGACGGGGGCTTTTCCCCTGCTGAGAATTCGGCAGCCTTAGGGGTCGTAACGCCTAAGCTGGGAAATGGATTACGGGCCTGAAAGGATGGAGATCTTGGGGCCGTTGGGTACGGCGATAGACCCTCAATAGGCGTAAAGGTCGACAGGAGCTGGCTGGGAGGAGGTTTCCGTGTCTCGGTGCGCTGCGGAGTAAAGTCGGTCGACAGGAGATCTACTACTGGCTGTTCAGTTGGAACATTAATCGGCACTGGAGGCGGCACGGTCTCGAAGTCTCCGAACTCATCGTCATCTTCTAGCGGCTCTCCGTCGAAGTCGTCGGCATCAAACAGCACATTTGGGTCTGAGCTCTTTGGTCTAGGCACCTGCGGCTTCTCAGGGGCTTCCCCGAATGGCCTGTCCCGAGGAGCTGCTGATTTTGGTGCCGGGCCCCCAATTGGGACCAAGCTGTTCGTCATGAGGTCTATAGTAGAAGCGCGTACCATTCTAGTCCGAAACGGTACCTGCGCCAGAACATTGGGCTGAGCAGGGGGCGAGCCTAGAGCACTCGCTGGTCCCGGCGGAATAGTTGCGGTACTAGTGCTTTGAAGGGCATCCTCAAAGTCGCCCCATCCATCGTCATCGTCCTCCTTTGCATTAGAGACCGAAGAAGATCCTGCCAGGTCGCTCGAGGTTTCCAAAATGACTGGTGCCGTTTGTGGCTGCGACATGAACCATGGCTGGGGCTTCTGGTCTGGTTGCTGAGAATGATATGGCTTCCATTGCGTAGACTGCAGGTTTTGCTGCTGTTGGCTCTGGGCTGCGCTCGGAGTCAAGGTGGGAAAAGGGTCGCCCTTTGACCCTGAAGCTTGGGAGCCAGCGCTGATGGTTTGCGGTGATTGCTGTTGGGCTGGCGATTGGAACGAGCTGTTGAAGGCGGCAAAGAGGTCTGCCGACATGGTGACCTCGGGAACGGAGCCCTCGGAATCAGTAAGTCACACTCGAGACAGTAACGTGGGCTTGCGACGTCGTCTAACCCGTCAGACGCGACTCGGCGAGAATATCAAGAAGTTAGTCAAACCCGACCTCAAACTCAAGTACTGCCGACCAGGTAAATAGCATTGGATTGCACCAGGGGGGCGAATTCTCGTCCGTTATGAGTTATGAGTCATGAACGCAAAGAAGAGAAATAGTCCTGCGTCTCAGTTGAGTCGCAGTCCAACCTGTTCGAGGCTGAACGAGCTGGAGGCAAATGAATGGTTGGCGCGAGCACTTTCAGCCTCAGCTGCAGTCCTGCACATGGTTTTATGTGAGCAGACGTCAGTGTGATGTTTTGGCCATTGACCCCTGCCGGGTTGCCCCGTTAGTGTGATTGCCCCACCATCCGGCCGGGATCTCGCATCCACCCAGCTGGATCCACCTCGCGCCGTTCAACATCAACTCGGAGTCTTATAAGGGCGTTAGATACCTCGGTTTTGAAGCCCCCGAAATTTCTGATCTATGTCATGGAAGACTGATCTTCGCTCATCTCACGTACACAACATGCAACGATGAGGCCACTGTCCGAAACAAAGTGTGACCCCGTGCTTAACATCCCAGCATCCTCTCCCTGCATCGCCCTGCTGACTGTCTCCTAGATCGAGATGGGAAGAGACCTTGAAGCACAGCTCTAGCTTTGTCAGCCTTCAGCGGGCAATCAAGTTTAATGGCCTTGAAAGTCCTTGCCTTTCCGGCTGCCGATCTGTGTGCTGGAAGACGTTTTTGCTTTTCCAAGACTCGGCGCAGTCCGACTGGTCACATATCTTGCTAGAAGCAAGAAACAACTACAGTTCGCTCCGTGATCAGTACTTGAAGTACATCAAGCATCCTGAAAAGCTTTCCGACCTTTCTCTCGACCCATTGGCAGACGTACCCGACTCTCCGTGGGATGCCGTTCGCCGAGATGAGCTCCTCCGCGGAGAGATACTCCAGGATGTCCAGCGGCTCCCAGATGACCCCTTCTACCACCAAGAGAAGATTCAGGAGATGATACTAGACATCTTGTTTATCTACTGCAAGCTCAATCCAAGCGCCGGCGGCTACCGCCAAGGCATGCACGAGCTACTGGCCCCGCTCGTTTTCGTTGTGGATCAAGATGCGATCGACCGCGATGCCGCCCCTTCGGATGGTGTGGTCGACCCGTCGATGGTCGAGATGCTGGACTCGTACTTCGTCGAGCATGATGCCTTTGCCCTGTTCTCGAAAATCATGGACCGCGCCGGCACGTTCTACGACGTGGGCCGCGCAAGTGGCAGTCATGCAAGTGAGCAGAACATTATCGTCGAAAAGAGCCAACACATTCATGAGGTGGTCTTAATGAAGCTCGACCCAGAGCTTGCAAACCACCTGAAGAATATTGAAGTCCTACCTCAAATATTCCTGATGTGAGTGCAGCCGACCGCGAGGCTCATGTGCAGCGTCCAACTGACAGGGCGAAGACGATGGATCCGTCTCCTATTTGGTCGGGAATTTCCATTCGAACAACTTCTGGTTCTTTGGGACACCCTCTTTGCGTTTGATCCTTCACTGAGCCTCATAGATTTGATTTGTGTGGCGATGCTTATTCGGATTCGGTGGACCTGTAAGTCAACCTTTGAAGAGCCCGGGACGGACTCCGTTTATGAACTAACGTGCGCAACAACAGTACTGGAAGCAGACTACTCGGTCGCATTACAGTTGCTTCTGAAATACCCCTCACCCTCGCAACCTCATGGACCCCATACTTTCGTAGACGACGCCCTCTATCTAAGAGACCATCTGAACGCCGCTGGCGGCTCAACACTAATTTTAAAATATACCGGCAAGACCCCCGCCACATTACCGTCGCCCAGCTCGCGTCCTTCGACGCCGACCTTCCAGGGCTTCACCTTGAGGAGCCGAACGCTCGGCGCAAAGTCGCCGCTATCGAACCCTGCGAGGCTACTTCAACACCCGGGTGGCGTTGAAGCCATCTTCCAAGGAGCGGCCAAGGGCGTCATTGAGCGAGGGGAGAAACTGGGAATCAACCAAGCAGTCCGAGACGCGATGGGCGAAATCCGGCGTAACATGCAGGGATTCAACGACCCTCGGAACCTGGCAAGACCGGGGCGAGGCTCCCCGGCCGACGACGGCCCAATGCCGGCCGCGGTCGCGGTCCTGGAGCGGAGGAATCGCCAACTCGCGGCGATGCTAGGCGAAACCCTGACAGATCTAGAGACAATGGCGGCTTCCAAGCTCGACGGAGACAGGGACAGGTACGTCGAGATGATCGAGGCGGCCGCCACCAAGATACAATTCGTCAAGCTCCGCCTCCAGGACCCCTCCCTGGCCCTCCCCGGAGACGAGCTCCCCGCGATCGGCACGCTCTCCCTCTCCCCGCGAGCAGAGAGGAGAAGGTCGCCCACGGTCGCGCTCGACACGACGCCCGTCGTGATGACCTCGTCCGCGGCAGAGAGCGTGCGGTCCGCCCTCGCATCCCCCGACTTCTCCGGCCGGTACGACGGGCCTCCCCACCCGCCCACGGCCCCCGGGGGAGATACGGATCCCTCGCCCCGCCTCCCCTCACCGACGCCAAGACCGCCAGAACTTTCCGCGGAAGACGTAGACCGCATGGACACCGACCTCCCCGCGCCGCAACCAGCCCCAAAACCAAGCACCGAACCCGTCACCACCACCACCACCAACCGGCCCGGCCCTCCACCCCCTGAAAAGCCGCCCCGCCCCGCCCCGGGCCCCACCCCGAGCCGCTCGACCATCGCGCAGTCCTCCTTCTCGTGGATGCTCGAGCCCGAAGCCGCCAGCCCCTTCCCGTCGACGTCCAATCCCACTTCTACCACCGCCTCCTCGTCGTCGTCGCCCTTGCGACCCTCCTCCGCCCGCCTGCCCCTCCCCGCCGACGGCGCCGCCACGCCCAATAGTGGGGGGAGGAGGAGGAGGAGGGCGCCCGGCAGTGCTGACGCGAGCCGCGAGCGCAATGCTTTTCTGTTTGGCGAGGTTGGGCCCGGGGGGTCCGAGTCGGGGTCGGTTGCTGATGAGGTCTTTGGGATGTTGCCTATGGGAAAGGGGAGGGGGAGGGGGAGGGGGTGAGGTGGGAGGGTGTTGGGTCTGTGGTGTAGATCTCCCGAGGGGGAGGGGTTTTTACTATCTTGGCCGAATGTATCGTCAGGGTTCGTTCTTCGGCTGTGTTTTTGGGCATTAGCGTATTCCGAAGACCGGGCTTGAAACCTGCCCCTAAACGGAGCAGTCTTCGGGAGCGATAAATGATCAGCATATAAACTGCACAGCATACATGTGGACAAGACCATTTAGGCGTGGCTTGAGATATGGTTTAGCTGTATCTGCATTGGCTAAACAAAGCGCTTCGGCACGGTCACAACTACCAACTGCTAGCTAGCTAGTCAGTAACCGATGGGACGGCCACTTGGTCCTGGTATCAACCCGATCTATCCGAACTCCATGGTTGCTGATCACGCCCTTCCTCGCCCATCCTGTCCCAATTGGGCCACCCCAACGCAGTTCCCCTCCAATATATCCTTCCTCTCGACAATGTCCGAGGGCTACTACCATCGCCTCTCGGGGATTCCCAAAAAAATTCATCATCCTGACTAACGCCCCGTACCAAAATCGGGAAGGGGAATAAATGCCGCTAGGCTCGTTCTGTTGCCTCGCTCGCAATGCCCCACGGCCAAATATTGACTCGCTAGCTGTGGGAATGTCAATGGATCCCATTGAAAACCATAAAGCAGATCTGCAGGTAAGCCTAGGTCCGGCGTGCTCAGGTACCCGCCCGGTCGGACTGGGCGTCAATTCATCTATCGTCTCATCCACGGCATGGGCCCCATGAGTCCACCTCTCAGGACCTTGCATAATCATTTCGGGGGCATCATCTATCATCAAACACATTTGCGGTTCCAGCGTGGGTGTGCCATGGGTGGGGGGGAGGTGCGGTCCTCGGAATCACCCTTTGGAACACCAAAGGCTGCGCGCTCGCATGTATCTCGCCACGCAAGCTTTGGTCAGTCCACCTCGCACCACGGGTGTGCCAAGACCTGGTCGATATTGTACCGCTGCGATATGTCGCGGTTCAGCATGCACCGGATCAGATCGATGCTCTCGTCGCTGATCGTGTACGGGACCCGCAGGTCTCGGTCCATGATCTCGTCTATGCTATAGAAGGGGTTCTCCTTGTAGATGATGGTGTAGAGCAGGATGCCGAGTGCCCACACGTCCTGCTCCTTGCCACCGTACGGTCTACCCGCCAGGACTTCTGGGGCAGCGTAATCTGAAAAAAGCCACAGTTAGCACCTACGATCCCTAGGCAGAGCAAAATGAGGGGAGAGTCGCTTACCAATGGTGCCTACGAAGACGTCGAACGGCCCGCTCTTGAGGTATGCGGCGCTTCCAAAGTCGATCAGCTTGATGTTGCCGTCTCCGTCTAATATGACGTTCTCGTCCTTGATGTCGCGGTGGACCACGTGGGCTTTAGTGTGGAGATGGTGGATGGCCCGAGCCACCTGGACGAAGATGCTGCGGCATTCCTGCTCCTCCATATTGGTGCGGAGCTCGATGTAGTCGAAGAGGTCCATGCCTGGTAGGCCATGGGGGACCATCTCCACATAGTAGTTGGTGTCGTCCTCAAAGAAGTCCTCCATCTCCACGATATTGGGATGTCGCAGCCCGTCTCTCCTGAGGTAGTCCAGCACATGGATCTCGAGGGGGACAGTCCCCAGCTTCCTGTCCCTGGTCCAGGTATCCACGAGAATGCGCTTCTTTGTGACGTATTTCAGGACGCACCTCTTCGCGCTGTTTTTATAGCGGGCGAGCTTAACCTGGCCATAAGCGCCTTGGCCCATCTCCTCGAGAATAACAAAGTCGTCAATGGTTTTCTTCGGCGGCGGCGGTGACTCAACCGTAGTCGTGCCTGGAACAGGCTGTGCATTTCCCACCGCCTGGGGCTTCTGGGAGCCCGTGATTCTCGCCGCTGCCGTAAGAGCGGCCTCCTTCAGCTGCTTGGTCAACATGGAGGCCGTTGACGGCTCCTTTCTGTTCTCTTCGGAATCAGAGCTTATCTCCTGCGGCGTGCCGGCTGTGGTCTGTCCTGGGGAAGGCTGATGCAGGGGAGTGCCAGTGCCGGAGAGGAGGGGAGATGCTGCTCCTAGGTTGTTTCTGGTGGCGTGCAAGTGCCTCGAATATGTAATCCAGAGGGCATAAACCATCTCTGACGTGGCCAGGGTAAAAGTATCACCGTCCTCCGCAGTGTGCGATTCGCCTTCGCTCGCCTCCGCTGTCGACTCTTCTTGCAGCACGAGTTGCTTCTCGCTGTGCACCACTCTCATCTGCACGTCAATCTTAAGCTCTGACCCGTCCCGGTGCCTAGCCGGAAGTCCTTCTGGTCGAAGGAAACTCGTGGTGGCGTCAGCAACGCCCTCTTTAAGCGCAAGGAATGCCGAAGCTTTCCTAAAACTATGCTCAGGTATCACAATTCCCTCGCTAAGGTTCACGCCCTCCTCTTCGGTCAATATGTGGAGAACCTTGTCGAAATTCGGGATGAGACGATTAATCGACAACCCGTCAGGATTCTCGTACCCGAACAGCGCCCCACAAAATACAGAGTTGGAGCTCTTGATCGTCAGGCTCCTGGTATTGACGACGACAATGCCGGCGATATGCGGGAAGCTAGACACTCTCAGTTCCGTCTGCCCCCTGACCTGCTCGACGGTGGCCGGTATCGATATCCGACCGCAGTTGCGGCAGGTGAAATACTTTTTCCTGGAAACTTGGGCGTAGTCGATCTCGCCAAACCGGGAATCTATCCCCTGGCGAGGAATGCGTGGCACAAGCCTCCCGATATCGATGCCGGGCTGCATGTTTTCGTCGCCCCAGATCGGCCCCAACGCGCCCGAGACCTTCGTGACCAGGCCCTCATCGTCGAGGGTCAGGAAGGCAATATCCTCATGGATCTCCTCCAAGACCCATATCAGCCCAAACCGCTTCTCCTTCACCCATAGGCTCGCAGATCCCGTCGCGCCGTTGCGCTTCCGGATCGGCACCACATCCCCGCACAACAGCACGCCCCTCGACTTTTTATTGTTGTGATGTGACGTCTTCGGCGACTTGGCATCTCCGCTGTGAACAGTCGCAGCACGCCTCTCCGCCGGGGCACTGTTTGGAGTGACGGACCGCGAGTTCGGCTTGCTTAACAACTTGGAGGTAATCCCACCAGCGCGTGCCCCCAGCAGTTTTGACGCTTGGACGACAGGTGTCGGCTGCGCGATCTCGCTTTCTGACCCGTCGCCGGCGTCTTCGGAATGCCCCCCTTGAAGTTTCCTTTCCAGCCAGGCTCTCCTCTCTTCTTGGACGACCTCCATTATTCCCATCTTCCGGACTTCGGCCTTGGTGACTCCGAACACCAGGCAGGCAAGATCATTTGCAGCCAGAATCGTGTAAGGGGGCTTGGCCTTGGTAGTGAATATCGCTTGTGCTGCCGGCACCCACCTTGCCGAGTGGCCGAGAACGGCAGAGGACAATGTGCTCGGGGGGTTGAAGGAAGATGAGAAGGACTGCGTGGAGGTCGTGGGAGCAACTTGTGGTTGAATTGAGCCCCCTTCGAGGAACGGCTTTGCCATTGTGTCTATGAGCTTTTTCTGCATGGATACATGTCCGGTATCCGTCAGTGTCCGCTTGAGGTTGGTGGGCCTCCGCGACGGCGGAGATGCCTGTGCCGCCGTGGTACTCGATGCGTCGAGAACGGCTCTTGGGAGCGAGAGGGAGTGTTGTTGAGCGCTTGCGTCGGATTGCGAGGTGTCCATACTCCCCGGGAAAGCCACGCGCTTGGCAACCGGTGGCAAGACCAAATGTTCGTCGTCTACCAACTCTGGGCTCGCGGTCCTGGGAATGAACTCCTTCTCAAACACATTTTCGCCCGACATATCTGGCGGACCGGTCAGAGAGCCGGTCAGAGAGCCTTGGAGATTGCTGGCGGTCGGATTCGGAAGGGTCCCTGCCCCGACGATCTGGGCTCTAGCTAGCAGGTCGAGCACGCCTTGCATCTCGAGGTCCCCTGTGGCCCGCGCCTGTGCACTTGCCATGGCGACGTCCTGGCCGGCCGACCACCCCAGGCGGTCCTTCATGAACTCTATCGATCGTTTCAGCAGATTCTGCCTGTTGTGGATCAACTCTTCGGATTGGTGCGCAAAAGAGAACGAGTGTAGGGACTCGGAGGGGAATCTCGATAGGTCCTCGGTGAAGACCGGGGAAGCAGGACCCGGAGACACGGGCATGGTATGGCTGCGGTGGTCGATCATCATGGTCAGCGAGGCTGAGCGGGTAGGGCCCAATGAAGGGCTTCGGCTTGCGGGCTGGGATGGGATCGTGGGCGTCCGAGATGGGTGTTGTCGGATCCGTCCGAGGCCAGACAACCCCAGGCCATGGTTATGGTCCGTCGTAATAGGGGACCTAGATGCTCACATCAGCAGAGTCAGCGCTGCTCGGGAAGTAGCGGCCGGCTCGCGGGCGCCACAATCAAATAATCCGGGGGCAACGCAGATCGCACCTTGTGATGGCATCATATTCAGCTGCTGCCGTGCCAGCGTCGAAGGAGAAGCGGATTCGGGCTTTCTCGGGGCTGTCTCTCGTCGCTAGCGCCAGGTTTCCAGTGCTCCGGTTCTTCGGTAGCTGTAGCGGCGGCGCGAGTTTGCTCCGGCCGCGCTCCTCCCCATCGTTCTGTATGTCGGCGCCTAGGGTGGGAAGACGGGAGACATCAGCGCCTGCTACATGCGAGGAGGAGAAGTACCAGGAAAGTGAATGCACGGCCGGATGAGCAGCTCACCATTGTCCAAGTCTGCACCATATGTATGGAGCATAATTTCGGGGGAGAGGATGGCTAGGTCTGTTTGGCGGAGGACAAGAACGAAGGTGGGCGGGAGGCGTTCAGGGTAGGGCGAATAACTTCTCGGAACGGGCGGGGTCCACGTGTGGGGACCAATACCGGTGTTATGATGCGGCGGCGGCAGAGTCTTGGAGTATCGGATCTCGCGAGACCCCAATTCAAAGCTGTGCTAGGAGCCGCAAAGGGACATTTACACGTGATGGCCGGCCAGTGGCTGGACCGTCAGATTCGATCAGCAGCAGTGGCTGGATGTAATCCGTATGCGTAAGTGTGCGTGATCTGTTGATCTGTCCCTCTGGTCTTGAAATCTTGACGGCGTCAATTTTCCTCTCCCAAACATGTGGATGTTTCGGCCTAAGTGGCGTAGGTAGTGTAGCGTCCCGGGCCAGCAAGTGGCCCACCAAGTTGAGAAGTAACAGCACAGCTGATCGTAAAGATGAAGACCAATACCTATGCTAAAGGTATAAACAGACGAGAGAAGCTCCAATCATCAAGCTGGGTTGTTCTGTGCGAATTCTTCCTTTAAGAATGCATGCTACGCAGTGGCGGGTGCCGCGGGGCATGGAGGGAAAGAATACGTTAAACCCTACCTAGTGTCCAATGGCCGGATGACTATTAATATCCACCGCCTTCACGAAGTAGGTTAATACCTGGTCGGCGAGACTCTTATAAACAAGAATCAATAATCACTACCTTAATCGGCATCACCAAGTGGATCCCTTACAACAGGGCAGGAATCCCTCTGGTGAGCATCGAGGCTCTCGAAGAAAGTCACGTAATGAATAAATGTCATTTATGTCCCCCCTTTTTTCGCGCTTCCACTCAGTCGGGCTTGTCACTGATCCATAGATAGCATGCATGGTGTAGCTGCCCACTTCGCAGGTTCGCACATGATAATCCATTCAATATTCAATATTCAACATTCAATACACAAGGCATGACATGCGTGTCTAGCTTAGGGATACATACACCAGAAGTCCACTGATTCACTCAGCACTGCGGAAACCCCACGCCCAAGGGTTGAAAAAGGTTGCATATGACCGTTTTATAGGCGTCTGCTGACATGATTTGTCTCGAAATAACCCTGGCTTGCCGCTACCACTTGACCTTTCAATATGCGGTGTTGGTTCTGTATGTGTGAAGGCTCATGTATACGAAGGTTTAAAAAGAATTAGCTGTTCTTGAGACGCCACAGATCACCTTTATTCGGCCCTTAGGACTCCGGGTTGCGCTCGGTTTTGGCCGCCGGAACCGACATCCTAGAGGCCCGGCGGGGACTGGATAACGGCTTTCGGGTCCGGCTGCCGGACAACAAAAAGCCCTACTACTGGTGGAGATATAAGCTAGGGCCCAACCTACCAACCGAAGCACCATTCATACCTCTAGTACAGAATACACATTGCGTCTTTTTGTCACCGAGTCCGAGAAGCCGGTTAGCCATGTGGCAGACCAAGACAAAGAAATGTGGGATGAATACCTAGGTAGTACCCGGACGTTATACATACATCAAGGCAGTAGCAGTGGTGTCTCTCGCTTTCTATCTCGTCATGCAGAGACCGGGATGACGAGGGGCAGCACTAGGTCGTAGGGCCCTTGAATAGCCTTGTCAACCAATGAGACGACTAGTTGGCAGTCATGAACGGGCACTTGGGGGTGGACGGTGCCACGACGGCTGATCATATGCAGAAGCTGATGATAGCCCACCACAGTGGTTCTACTTTGTACTGTGTCTGCCGGGCCCCCCCTCCATGTCCGATAAAGGAAAGAAGCGTAAGAAAAATGGAAAATGGTGTGGAGGAGTGGGTTGCAAGCGGTTGGCCCTGTACATACTGCGTGCATAACACGAGAAGGTATTGCAAGTTTCTCTGAGAGCTGAATTGAAGGGTCCATTGCACAATAAAGAAGGAACGGTGCGCCCATCTCTCGCTCTCTCTCCTCCTATGCTCGAGTCTCACTCTGTCGGTCGCCTTTGTGAGCTTCCCCTGGATCTGGTTCGTATCCACGTGCAACTTCTTGATAAACCACTGTGTGTTGTGTGTTCTGAGCCTGAATCAGGTCGAGGCGCAGCAGACCTTTGTCAACACCTCGCGAGTCGAGTGCAAGAATCAGGAAACGAAGAACCGAAAAGCCGCCCCCACCCCGCTCTGGTCAACACCGTCCCCTTCTCAACACCCGCTGATCCCACAGGCTACCCCATTAGCAAGTCAGGTACCGGAATACATCCACAAAACCAGCAGGCCTGATGGTTGTTCCAGAGAGGAGAAGCGGGGCCGTTCTAGTGCTTTGTCCTTGATTCTCGCATGGCCTTTTGACCACCCCACTTCCCCCCCTCCCCAATCCTCCTATCGATAGTGCGAATTCAACGATAACGCCACCCGGCTCACCTTGGGCGTCCACACCGGCAACTTAGGGGTTGAGGTAGACAGTACTCTCCCCCTCCAGAAATCCCTCAGTTCTTTTTTTGTTTTTTTTAATTCCCTTCATTGTCATCTCCCCGGCCTCTCAGTTCGTCAGTCAGGTTCCAATCGAGTCGCCCGAAACATGGCCGAACTCGAGATGGGCGACACGCCCAGGACGGTAACCCCGAACCCCACTTCTCCCGACGAGCAGGACGAGGTGATGGAGGTGCAGCAGCCGAAGATGAAAGGCCGCCAAAGGCTGCTCCGCGGCCTTCAACGTATGTCGTCGTCGCCCTCACTCGCCCAATTAGGTCGCTCGAGGGCCGTCAGCAGTCCCTCAAAGCTACCGTCGAGCTTCTCTTGTATAAGTCTCGCTTCGAGCTCTTCGCCCTTCGGCCAGCCCAGCCCGAGTTCCTTGTTCTCGCACCCTTCCACAGACGGCTACTCGAGCGCTCAGACGTCCATCCCCGGGAGCCCGAGTATCGAGTCGTCGGGCCTGGAGGGAATCGAGAGTGTTCTGGCCCTGAGCAAAAGCGAATCCCCCGCCAACGCCCGCCGCACAATTGCTGCAGGCGTCCGGCCAAAGAAGCCCGCGTTCAAAATATGGGCCAAGATGCCGCACGAGATCAAGATCCATGTGTTCTCCTTCCTCCAACCCAAGGAGCTCGTGCGTGTGTCGCGCGTGAGCAGGGATTTCTACAAAACGTGTTTCGACGGGCAGCTTTGGACCTGCTTCGACGCTTCCGAATTCTACAAGGACATACCCGCCGAGTCATTGGCAAAGATCATCGTCGCCGCCGGCCCCTTTGTGAAAGATCTCAACCTGCGCGGCTGCGTGCAAGTCGAGCATTACAAGCGTGCCGAGGTCGTTGCCAAGGCCTGTAAGAACCTGATGCATGCGACCCTCGAGGGATGTCGGAATCTCCAAAAGGCCACGCTCCACAGCCTGCTCAAGAGCAACACGAAGCTTGCCTATCTCAATCTGAAGGGGCTGACAGCCGTCACCAATACGACTTGTAAGATCATCGCACGCTCGTGCCTTCAACTGGAGATTTTCAACGCCTCATGGTGCAAGCATATGGATGCAAGGGGCATCAAGTCGATTGTTGTGGGCTGCCACAAGCTGAAAGATCTCCGTGCTGGCGAGATCAGGGGCTTCGATAACCTCGAGGTTGCCGAGGCCATCTTCAGGACGAACAACCTCGAGCGCCTCGTCCTCGCCGGATGCGAGGACCTCACTGACTTGGCACTCCGAGCCATGCTCTACGGGACCAACCCGGAGATGGACGTCTTGACGGACCGCCCGATTGTGCCCCCGAGGAAGCTCCGGCATCTCGACCTGTCACGCTGCAGCCGGCTGACCACCCAGGGCGTCAAAGCCCTGGGCCACTTCGTGCCGGATCTGGAGGGCCTGCAGCTCAGCGGCGTGACCAGCCTCACCGATGCGGCCCTCGAGCCCATCCTCGCCACGACCCCGCGGCTGACCCACCTCGAGCTCGAGGACCTCGCCGAGCTGACCAACAGCATCCTCTCAGAGCACCTGGCCAAGGCGCCCTGCGCGCCGAACCTCGAGCACCTCGGCATCAGCTACTGCGAGAACTTTGGCGACACGGGCATGCTCCCCGTGATCCGCAACTGCACGCGCCTGCGCAGCGTCGACATGGACAACACGCGCATCAGCGACCTGGTCCTGGCCGAGGCAGCCGCCATGGTGCGCGGCCGGGCCGGCAGCAGCCAGACCGCCGCCTCCAACCAGAAGCGGCTGCGGCCCCAGGTCGGGCTGAGCCTGGTCGTCTACGACTGCAACAACGTCACGTGGACGGGCATCCGCGAGGTCCTGAGCCGCAACGCCGAGGTCAAGCTCCCCGCCGCCGCCGCCTCGCAGCCGACCGAGGACGGCCAGTCCCCCGCCAGGCGGACCACCACCACCACAACCCCCGCCTACCCGGTCGAGATCATCGGGCTCAAGTGCTTCTACGGCTGGCAGATGACGGTCGACGAGCACACCAAGCGGGTTCTCCGCGGCGACCTCGCGGCCGCGAGCCGGCTGGAGCGCAAGTGGGGCGACTACATGCAGGCCAGCGAGGAGGCCGGTGTCGTGGGCGCTGGCGGGAGGCGCCGGCGCAGGAGGGCGAGGGAGGCGCAGCTGGTGCACGCCGACGAGGAGGAGGGCGGCGCCGGCGGCGGCGGTGGCGCGGGGTCCACGGGCAGGAGGAGGGCGAGGACCGCGGCTTGCGTGGTGATGTGATTGGGGCACGATGTGAGGGACGAATCTTCTAGATGGGGTGGTGTTTTTGGGAGGGGAATCTTTGGGTGTTTTTTGGATGCTGAAATTTTATTTTACGTACATGACAGGGGTATTATAGGCGTACGGTAGGGACCACGGGTAGCGTTGCGTTTAGCCTGCAGTAGACCGCTGGATTTTTTTGCAAACACTGGGAGGAGTCTCACTGGGTATCTTGGGCAGGGATTCAAGGCAACATATGGGCTGGAGGATAGATATCTGAGCGGAACACTCGACAACGGAGGATGAAATCACACGCTGGCATCATTGGCGCAAAGTTTGTGTGCCCCGGAGAGCATTTCCATATCTTTTTTTTTGTGGCATCGCTGGCGTTGCTATACATGGACTCTCATGGGATGCGGACAGGTCTGCCTCTCTCGGCCTCATATCGTTGCATTGGTTATTGACTCGAGAGGGCATATTCTTAGTCCTTGAGATTGTCGAATTCCTCTCGCGTGTACCTGGTTGGTTCCAGACACTGCAGTCAGAACAGATAGATACATCACTTGAACATCAAGACTTGTCCAGCAACTGAGACATCCCGGTATGCTCCTCGAAATAGAAAAGAAGAAATCCCCATTGGAACGATCAAAAAAAGAAGCAAGTACCGTGATGCCACATCCCAATCAAAACCAATATTTCCATTACACCGTCCCAAACACATCACACGACCACCCCTTACCGTCTTCAACCCCCTTCCTAGTTATAATTCAACTCCGGATTCGCCCTAAAGTTGCACTCGCACCGGCACTCGGGCACGGGACACTCGCGGTGCCTAGCGAACCACAGCCTCGCGTGGTCGAGGTGCAGGACGTGCTCGCACCGGAGGCAAAAGGTCGCGAACCTGGCCGCGGGCCCGAGGCCCGACTTATCGTCACCGTTGTGGCTGTTGTGGTTGTTGCCACCCATGCCGCTGTTGCTGTTGCTGTTGCCGCTGCTCTTGTCCAGACCACCGCTGCGTGGCATCCCCACGACCTCGAGGCAGATGGCGCACCGCGGCAGGTGCCGCTTGCAGTTGTGGCAGCTGATGCCCCCGCCGACCATCTTGCTGGTGAGCGGGTTCTCGCTCGGGGCTCCCGGCGCGGCAGCCTGGCCCGCCGCCAAGGGCGAGCCGGAGCCGCCCCGCTGCAGCTGCTGCAGCTGCTGGGGGTTCCGGCTGAGGCTGGTCTCGGCGTCGCAGTAGACGCAGCGCAGGGCGATCTGGCGCGGGGGCGGGCGGATAGTGGGGCGGCCGTCGTGCTTGGAGCGGCGGGTGCTCTCGGCGTTAAACCTGGCGCGCAGGAGGAAGGCCTTGTGCCGCTGCAGGTAGTCGCGGTAGGCGTTGCGGAAGGCCGTGGCGCGTATGTCGTCGATGAGGCGCGGTGCGCAGAAGGAGAGCAGGAGGGTCGCCGTCTGGTAGTCGTTGAACTTCTGCACGTAGCGCGCCAGGATGTCGACGAGCGGGCCCGTGATGCCCGTCAGCACGACCGCCCCGATGTCGCCCGTCGAGACGGCGCGGGAGACCTCCCGCTCGAGCCAGACGGTCAGGGCGTCGTCTGCGAGGTTGCGCACCGCGACGAAGATGCGGTCGCGCAGCGGGAGGGACTTTTGGTTCGCTATGTTGGCCCAGTCTCCCGTGGCTATGATGGAGGATATCGCGCGGAGATAGGGATCCGTCTTGGACGCCACCCTCTCGTCGAAATCGAGCGCCCCCTTTGACGAGTCCTCGTCCCCCTTGCCTATGAGCTGGAGCGCCAAAGAGACGAAGAGCAGCTCGGGGTGTTTTGTGCTGGCCCGCTTCAGAACCTGCACCGCCTGCGCAGCATCTCCCCTGAACAGGGCCTGGGCAGCTGTCATCGTATGCCAAGCTGCACCTTTGTCTTGGTTCCCTCCTTGACCAACCCCATCCTTGTTGTCGGGATCAGATCCACGTCCCCAGTTGCACATCTCGAGGCACAGCTGCCGGTGATGTGGCCGTTTGGTTTCTACAGTCTCGAATTTAGGGACCCCCAGCTTCTTGCAGGTGGCATTCAAGCAGCCCTCCCAGCCATTCGCGTCTGGCTCCGAAGCTCCACCCGAGAGTCTCCTCTCAGGTTTGCTACCTGGTCAGAGTTAGTTATGTATCGCTCCATCCCAGTACGGGCAGGCAGGGCTACTAACCGAGATCGTGTGTCCATATGCTATAAACACCCATGTAACTGATATCCAGAGGGTGAGACATCATGGCGCCCTCAGCAGCGGCTTCTTCTGCGCCTAGACAAGGTTGTGAGCTAGGACGGAATCTCCCAAGTCTCGGAGCAGAAAGGGGGGATGACTGACCAGCTACCCATGCCCACACGTCTTGAAGGGATTCGTCGTCTGCAACTATTTTGCGATTCGTTGCACAGTTGAACAGATACATCTCCCTTGCTCGAAGAAGCATGATGTTGTCCAGGATTGCGTGCCCTTCTCTTGGCAACCCCAACGAATGCATCCTATCCTCAAGGAATCTCTCATGACACTCGCGTGGTGAGGGTGGCTCGTCCCCCGCTTGCTTCTTTGGTTGTTTTTTGGTATCCGCATCTTGACTTGCGCCCACCTGTGGCAGGTGTGCTTGAGAATAGAGTTTCAACGCCTGTAGCTTCTCGGAGATTGACGAAGCTCCTTTCAAGTCCAACGCAGGCATTTGCCGAACCGCTTCGTCGACTACGAGGCTGCCGTCTCGCGTGGACATCTGCAACGCAGACTTGACCAGGGCTTCGACGTCTGCTTTATCTGGTCCAAACAGCGGAATATCGGATAGGGCATTCTCAACAAAAAGCGGTGCCAGCATGTTTGGTGACTGTGATTTATCAAACTCCATCAGGTCGTGATATCTGCCTCCCTCTATTCATAACATGAGTAAGTGCTCGGTTTGAAAAGAAGGCGAGAAAGCGTACCTGATAAGCCACGGTGGGGAGGCTTCCATGGAATCAAGTCGTACAGATAGTCTGAAGTTGCAGGTGGCTTCTCCAAGACGTCGAATGCTCCATTGGCCCTGAGTACTAACAAGCGTGGTCTTAGGGCGCGAGAGCTCAAGGTAACCCAGTCAAATGACACTATCTTATCATTCTTCCGGCTTGGATCAGAGTATAGCGGGTCCATATCGTGGGATTTCACAACTTCTAGGAGCTCGGGACTGCCCTCTGGTATCATGTCCGTGTCGGCGCTCTCGTGCTTGGTAGACAGGATTTTGAGCTGGCCGGTCCGGGACAAGACGGCAAGCATGCCGGGATGATCGCGGCAGAACTTCAGAGACCGGATGAACGAATTCTTGCTGTCCATTAGAGCGGGATCCGTCTCCATTTGCATTGCCCGGTTGAGTCTCAGGGATCCACCCCAGGGCACATCATCATTGTCGACGGCTTCTAGGTAGGACACGGAAGATTTTGACCGGGATAATGCCCGGCGATCCCATACCATGATGCCCGGCTGATCCAAGGCGGACGAGGCAAAGTAATTCTGATCTGCGTAGTCAATGGCAAGGTTATTGCAGCACTTGGTTTGAAAGGTGATCACAGCGGCATGTTTGTCTTGACAGATAGATATCAGATTAGCAAACTAGTCCTCTTCCAAGGAATGGAGTGATGGATACCTCTCAGATCGTGTATACGGAGTCCCTGACCCTTAATACCAGCGACGAGGACGTTGGGGTCATTTTCGAAGAACCTCACACTCGACACAGACACGCTGGGCTCGAGTCGGTCCATCGGGTCGGTGAAAGGGAGAGCATCTGTAGGGAATCCCGAAGATGCCGAGTCCATGGTAGCCAGACGGTTGACATCCCATATGTAGAGACAGTTGTCACTTCGTACTCGATCCAGGCCGACGGCGAGCTTGCCCGCCGTGTTGAAAGCCACAGCCTGGCAGGTCCGTGACATCTTGAGATTCAATTCCATATAAGCATTGGAGCTTTCGTCAATCCGCAGGAGGTTGACAACGCCGGTGGCGGTTCCGACGGCAAGCAGGCCGGGGATGGAGGGCGACCAGTCGCATGTCGTGAGAGGGGGGAAGTCGTCATGCTTGGAGACCTTCTTCCAGTGGAACCGACCTCGCTGAGCGTGACCGGTCGGCTCATACACCTGAATGACGCGATGCTGCAGGTTTATGTGAAGAAAGCAGTCAAGAGCCGCATTAGGCGACCATTTGATCAAGCCCGGCTCCGGCCGATCCATGGTGAGCTGAATGGAGGTCGCGGTCGGCTGCTATGTCACTTGGGCATCGCAGGCACTTTGGAGAGCGGGTGGTTTGTCAGGTCAGTCATCGACACCTGGATCCGGTCCCAATTCCATTGAACCATGAGAGCCGCTGTAAAGTAGCGGGCGAGTAGGTTACCAATGGCACCAATATATCAATCTCGACTGACGTTGAGATGCGTCGCCGCGCTCAGTAAATGTTGGGCTAACTTAACCCTAACCCTTATCCAATCTAGCGGGGCAAGATCTTCCTGCCTTGGTTGTAGATGCGTTTAAAATTCGATCACCTTCAACAAATCCAATAAAACACCAGCCCGCAAACTGCAATACCTAAATTGTGATCCCGAAGACACGTCAACCCGGAAGGTCTCATAAACAATCCAATGCCAGGCATGGGAACTAAGCGCTCATTCAAGGAGGTCGATGCCTCGACGCCCGAGGAAGGCCTCGAAGACGGCAGGCAGATGAAGAAGCAGAAGAGGAAGGAGGATAACATAAACTGGGTGAAGAAAAGGGCAAGGGATATTGAAAGGATATTCAAGCGAGATAATTCAAAACTCCCGGCCAATGTACAAAAGGACTTGGAGCGGGAGTTGGCTGCTCACCGCAATCGGATCGCAGAGGAGAAGGACAGAAAGCTCAAGGTCAAGATGATTGGGAAATATCGTATGGTCCGCTTCTTTGGTGAGTTATCATGGTAACCAGTCTACAGCCGAGAGAGCCGGTACTGACCCCTTGCCCTTCAGAGAGGAAAAAGGCCATGCGACTGTCGAAGCAGCTGCAGGGACAGCTCGAGAAGGCGACTGATCCAGCCGAGATGGAGACTCTCAGGGCGGATATGCATATCGCCGAGGTTGACGTCAACTACACCAACTATTTCCCACTCATGGAGCCGTACATCAGCATGTACAAAGTCACAACTGCGGATAAGCCAGACGACAAGAGTACTGCTCAACTTGCCCTCCGCTCGGAGAGACCCCCCTTGTGGCCGACGGTCGAGAAGGCCATGGAAGAGGGACAAGAAGCGCTAGAGCGGCTCAGAGACAGGCATCCCGATGCTGATGCGAAGCCACCGGCCCAACCAACCTCGAAACAACCCCCCGCGGGCAAGGCGAAGGCCAAGGATTCGAGCGAAACCAAGCCAAACAAGGCCAGCGGGAGCAAGACACGGGCTTCTGGTCCTAGGAGCAAAACTCATAATAACATAAAGCCAGAGGAGAGCAGTGATAGCGAGGGTGGTGGGTTCTTTGAAGACGCCTGAATTTACGGCATTACTCTTGAGCCGAAGATGGAGAATAACTATGTTATCTGATACCCATTTACTCATTCGAGTTAGGAGGGAGGCTGATTGTCAGCTCCCGTCAGAGCGCATCTCGGAACTTGGTACCTTGTTGATTCCATACTTGGGGAACAGGGCGGGGCCGAATTTGTGACGAGTCACGCGAAGTGCCCGGTCGGTTGGTGTGTGGGACGGGATTCACAGCAACGTATACTCTCTTACGGATCCGCCTCTTGGACCGGCGTCTGCCAGTCTCAATACGTAGAACTGGCCAGCCAGCATGGGAGGGTTTGCCGTAGGGAGGAACCAACACATTCGCTCGCACGTAGCTGCAAATCAAACTATTGGCCCGCGGCCTCCGACATCTGATTTTGGTGTGGTTGCGGGTTGATCAAGTCGGCCTCGAACCCACAGCCCAATCATTTATTTGAGCTTCGTAGGAATTGCTTAAGACAAGGCTCACTGCCCAAGCAATGCAAGCATCCAGCCATTTCGACAAACCAACCGCTGCCCCGCTCCGCCTACCAAGAGAAGTTTAGAGGAGTGTTTGTAGTTGGGCTCCAGTGTCATCCCAAGGTTCTGACCTAGCCGGAGGTCTAAAGCCTAGAGCTATAAAAGCATCCAAGTACACCCTAGCAAAGCAACGACTCCTACAGCTCCGTTGCCACTGCGAAAGAGAAACCCGCCCGGCCATCTCCAGACACCATGACCGTTGATCAGAACACGCAAAACGGAGGCGAGGAGGAAAGGGTTAATTACCAGGAGCTCCGAGACTGGATCGCCCACCAAGAAGCTTATGAGGCTTCCGCCTCCACACCCGCACCTTTGACACCTGCCCAGCGCAAAGCCCTCACCCTCTTCAAGCTCCCCGCTGCCGCGCCACACGAGATTGAGATGGGCGACAAGGACTGGGTCAGCCTGCTTCACAGTGAGTATTCAGTACCCTAGGAAACTAAGTCCATGAATCTAACCACACAAACCCCTCTGCCAGGATACCGCGACGCGCACCACCACATCGGCGTCAGCATCACCTTCAGCGAGTCCCCCAGCCCGGACCTCCGGTGGCTCTGCACCTGCACCCTCACCACCTCCTCCGCCAACTTCCCGGACCCGGCCCCCTTCCCCGGCCCGGACACGGGCTTCCTAGCCGCCACCGGCGCCGCCCCGTTCTTCGCCCGCAAGCGCGACGCCAAGCAGTACGCCGCCCGCTGCTGCGCCGAGTGGCTGATAGCCCAGGGCCGCATTCCCCCGGACGGCGAATCCGTGGTCTTCCCGCGGCCCACCGCCACCGCCCTCGCCTCCTCCTCCTCCTCTGCTTCTCCTTCTTCTCCTGCCCCCTCGCCAAGGCAGAGGAAGGGCATCCCCGGCGGCGCGGCCGTCGACGTCCGCGACGACGACGTCCCCGCCACCCAGCGCGTCCAGGAGATGTGTCGCCGTCTGGGCCTGCAGGCGCCGCGGTACGAGCTCCGGCCCGCTGCCGCCGCCGCCGGCGGGGTCGGGGGTCCGCTGTGGAGCGGCGAGCCGTCCTTTGCCGGGGCGGCGGGGCCGCATCTCGTGCCCGAGGGTGTCGGGAGGGTGGAGGGCGTCTACGGGAAGAAGTTTGCCAAGGAGAGGATCGCTGAGGAGGTGCTGGCGCACCTGCTCCAGATCGAGGCGCAGAGGAGTGCCCAGCGGGGGAAGCTCTTGGATGGGGTTATCTGAGGGGTGGGGGGCGCTGTCGACTCCCTGCTTTGAGCATAGGTTGTTCCTACGGATTGGTTGAGGTTGATCTTTGACAGGTGGCGTTAGGGATTGGGATCAGGGCTCTTTAATGATAGGTCATTATGGACAGGATATGCCGGATACCTGGAGTGTGTATAACTTATTCATAGGGACTAATGATCTCTGCTTTGATCCTCACGGGTCAAGTGCTACATATCAACCAGGTCCACCCTCTCACGACATGTTGATGGGCTACTTGATGACGACTCCAAGGCTAGAGAACTTGGGCAGCCATTTTAAAGCCACTATGGCCAGCTCGTACTACTATGTAGACTATAAAGAGGACGGACATGGCTCCAACCACTCCCATTGTGTAATCCCCCAATGGACAGTCACACCAAGCCATAAACGTAACGAAACTCAGCCGTCTACTCTGCTCGTCCCCCGCCTCCACCCCCGCCGCCCCGTCCCCTGCCCCTCCCCCGTCCCGCACCCGCGCCTCCCTTCCCCCTCGGCACCCTCCCCTTCACATCCGGCGGCAGGTCCGCGACCTTCACGCCATCTTTCCAAAGCACTCCCACGCCCGCCCCGGGCCCCGTACCAGGCCGGCCCACGACCTCGCGGAAGAACCGCAACGGCACAACCCCGCCCTCGTCGTCCCCCTCCGTCAGTACGACCCCATTATCACTGACCCACCACCTCATCCCCGCCTCGCGGATGCTGCGTTCCACGTCCACATACACGAGCAGCTCCGCGTCGCGGCGCATACCCGACACCACCGCCGCCGCCGCCGGCCCGTCATGGCCGCCGCCGCGGCCGTCGCCCGGCAGCCCCGTGCTGCAGTGCACGTGGTTTCTCCCCATCGGCCTCAGGCCCCCCGCCGCCACGATCGCCGGCCAGAAGGCGAGGTACGTGCCGTGCACGACCGTCGGCGGCACGGGCACCGCGCCCGGCGGGAGGGGCTCCGCCGCCACGGGCCCGTCCGCGGCGGGACCCAAGGCGATCGGGCGGAGCAGGCCGTCCGACGACTCGAGCTTGATGCTGTGGCCCTGGTTGGCGCGGATGAGCCAGTCGGCCGGGTCGGTGCTGCTGCTGCTGCTGCCGTCGTCTGGGGCGCTGGTGCTGGTGATGGTGATGGTGCTGGTGCTAGCGTTTGGGTCTGAGGGCTTGAGGGCGAACCGCTGCTTGTCGCTGTCGCGGACGAGGGACTGGATCTCGGTGACGGTCGGGGCCATGCTGCGTAGGGGTCCCCATTGGAGCTGGAGGGCTGAGTTAATGCTCTATGTATACTTTGGCTTTCGTTTCATTTTGCTTCCTGATACCATCAAAAGAGGGGGCCTCTGATACAAGGGGGGCTGAGCCGGGGGGAGGTGGGAGGGGGCCGTCGTGTATCTTAGTGTTATGGCAGACTCGTTCCCCAGACTCCAGGGCAACGAGACCACCATGGTTTGCAGCGTCGTGGGTTGTAGAGAGAAGGCGAAAAATACAAATAGATAATAGATTGAATAAAAGAGAATCAGCATCCAAAAAGAAACCAAAACTCACCACGCGATCCAGGGGTGCGAAGCCTTCTTTATCCAACTTGATGCCGGCATGCTGGGCCTGGTGTCTCAACAGCTTAGACAGCGCCCTCGAAAGGTCGACTTGTCGAGATGACCCTCCGCCCCGACCTCCTCGGCCTCCCCGCCCGCCTCTGCTTCTGCCTTTGCCCTTAGCCCTGTTCTGACGCGAGGCCGTGTCCTCGATGGTATCGGCGATGTCGTCCATATTCTTGAGACGAGAGAGTTCGCGGCCAAAATTCCTTCAAGTGAGATCCTGTGAGACTTTCTCGGGATGCAGCCGGTCTCTTTTGCGCAATAGGCGGATGAGATCTGGATTCTGCTTCAACTTTTTGAGAAGCGGCTAAGAGTGAAGATATCTCGAGGTTGGCGGTAGTTAGGTTAAATTCTGTCTAGCCAAACCAACTACTGGCGTTTAGACCACTTATGCAGAATGCTGTGGCCAAAATACTCCATAGTCTGACCATAAATACGATTTGGGACTCAATGACTTAGAACTTTCGATTGCGGCATGGGAGCAAATGGGTCTTTGATATAGGCTTCTCAAATGTGCGGTGACAATGGATCATTGGCCGGATGACTCAACAGGTGGGGGTTCTGACACCTGAGCCTCAAATATCGTACATTATGGTTACGCGCCTAACTGCCCGTCGGTTTATTTACAGGAGGTACAAAAAGCATCCCCGCCCTTCCAATGGCAGGACATGTTCCCGCCAGCTTCTCTTCTCGTGGCCAGATAACCACCCCTCTAGATGCACGATAACTGGACATGGACGCACAGCCGAGCCATCGTCATCTCGCGCCTAAAGCACTCCAAAAGACCGGCAAGATCGAAAGAGTCCGGTACTATGTAGAACATGAGAATCGTATCCATAAAAGGTTCGTCGATGTGGCCCGTCTGGCTTCTTCCAGTGCGGCCCTCTCAAGCACGTTTTAGGAATGATTTCCTGTTTTCTTTCTATGTCGATAGCTCCGGCACCCGCCCCGAGAAGCTCCTGGCGAAAAGTATGCAATTGATACAACAAATCCATGAAAGCCGATAAAAGGTGGCCATCGAGAAATGAATCGACTCCGACTCGTTAATGTCGTGTGTTTCATGCATAATCTTGCAGGGAAGAGTGAGAGTGAGAGAAAAAGAAGGGAAAAAACGCCCCGCGCATGATGAACAGATATCTAAAGGTGGTACATTCGTGAAGATGGTGCGATCGTAAAGGGCATAATCCTTCTGATGCTGGTGTTTGTCATTATCATCGATATGATCCCGCCTGCATGCTGGCAGACGGCAGGCTGGGAATGCCGCTGTTACGTCGTCGGCTCATGCTTCCGGTTCGATTGAGCATGGCGGTTTGGCTGAGGGAGAGCTGTCGTTGCCCCCTATCTTCGGCCAACTTCTCCATGACACTGTTGGTTTCTCGCTCGGGCATCGACCTGTCGAGATAGCGGCGACCGGCAGGACTAGCAGGACCAGTAGCCGCTGAGGGGCCAGTCGGTCTGAAGCTCAAGGTGGACGAGGCGAAACGGCGACGTGGCAAAGCGGACGATCCTAGAGCGGTGCCTTCTGGTGCTGGCCCTGGGGCAGGATACTCCCGAGGGGCGGTCCGGAGGCCATTGACTTCGGTAGCAGCTCGAGACGGGGCCCGAAACCTGGCTTCCTCATCCTCGTCATCGTCGTTCGTACCTCGTCGTACGTGGAGCAGAGACGTCTTGCGGCCCTCCTCTGGCTCCTCTGTCGCTGCCCGGCGTGTCCTGAGCAGCAGCGAAGATTTCCTTCCCGACGGCTCCTCGGGTTCTTCGGTCCCGCCTCGGCGAGTTCGTGCCAACATAAGGGACGATTTCCGACCAACATCCGTTGGCGTTCCAGGGCCGGCGGCAAACCGGGGGCTTGGCAGTGCCGCTGAGACCAGCAGAGTAGTGCGCCTCTGCTCGAGGCTCGTCCCAGCCCGAGGGCTAGAGTTGACCCTCGTCGGAGGTTGATCCGTGATGCTCGGTCGTCGCTGGTTCACACCTGTGGAGAATTTCGTGACTGTCGGACTGGTGACAGTTGGACTGGCGACCGCATCCTGCTCCCGCGGGGTCGAGTTACCCTGTGGTAGCTTGGATTGCGACGATGACTCAGTCAATGCCAGACACAATTCTGTTAAACTTCGGCAGATACTTTCTGCCTTGCGGCGCAGCTGTCTGTCTGTGACGCTCCCGCCAGCACCAATCGTGCTTGCGCCGCTGGAGATGGGGCCCAGCTGGCCAGGCGTGCCCATCATGGATGATAGGGCGAGCGCCTCCGTTGCTGCCAACTCGATTGCGCTATACACATCCAAACTGACAAATCCTTTGGTCTTGGACAGCGCCGAGCGGAGGATGGGTTGTGCCTCCCTTTGTGATGAGGTGGTACTGCTCGCATCGGCTTGAGCTGCACTTGTGCCTGATCCTCGCTTTGGGGAAGCCGACATGGTCGTCGCGTTAGTTGTGGCTGTCGGGGGTCGCTCGTCAGACACTCTCGACATGGCCGCTCCAGAGGTCGATGGCGCCTTGCCCGTCAGCTCCAGACGGTAGATGCGTGATTTGAGGTCGTCTAGCTCATCCCATACGGTAGATGGAGCGGCGGTGGAGGCCGATGACTCGGTTCCTTCCAACCCATGGCTCGCCTCAGGTGCCTGCTGAGCATCCTGCCTCTGAGGGTCCGAAGACCTCGCGGCTAACGGTGATGAGTTGTACGTCCGTCCTTGGCCATACAACAAGTTTGGGGTCCTATACTGTGAAGTCCGGGACGCCAGCCCAGAGTTGCTGTCGGTCAACGACGGCCTCCTCTGTGAATATGCGGAGCTTCCATCGGCGAAAGGTTCTTGGAAGGTCAGCGTTCGCGGGGTGATTGGCGAGGGTCTAAGAGAAACCCTCGCAAGCTGCGATCGATTCGAACCTTCCCCGATCTGCGAGTTCGTTGTGGGTTGATCTTTTGGGATCCCTCGGTAATTGAGTTCTCTGGTCATTTGCTGGGCCGACCGGTCATCTGCTGTTCGGCGATTCCTCGTATTCTCGCGCTGGTCGGAAAGACGTCGAGATATCTGCGGCGGGGAGGCTTGGTATGATGGGATGGCGGCCGAGAGCGGCCGTGTACGGGTGGATCGCGTAATTCGAGACTGGGTAGAGTGTTAGTTTCGGCCCATTTGATAATGAGACAGGTGCGGGCTGCATCTCGAGATAGGCCTGCAGGACCCTGCAGCATGCCGTGCCGCTGTGGAGGCCAGCGCATTCCGAGACAGTGAACCTTGGGGCCCACGCCGCGACGGAGGGGTCGCGTCGGATGGAGATGCCCGACACGGTCCGCTTCTCTGTTGGGAGTTGGGCGAACCGTCGCAAAACGACACAATGCCCGAGCGCATCGAACTAAGGCAAGAAAAGACAGATTGTTTGAGAGGATACTTACAACCGCACTGTGGTCCTCTGCCGAGCCCATCCCGTCATTGACTCTATGCGCGGGGTTTTCGCTGGCGATTCTCATGAATATGTCGGCCGTGTTCTCGTTGCCTGACATCGCCCCGGCCGAATCTGGAGGGGTGATCTGCGAGAAGTCGTCGTCGGACCTGCCCTCTAAGGCTCTTAGCGTGCGGTCGCGGTGGTGTGGGTCGTCGGCCTCTTCCCCGGAATCGTATGACGTTCGTCTGGCATGCATGTCGAGAACAAGGCTCTTGCGGGATCCAGAGGACCGAAACGATCGGATGGGAGGAATGACGGCGCGGCCTGAAGAGCCGGGGATATTCGGTGCTCTGAAGGAGACAGGCGGGCGTGACTTCTTCTTCTCATCGGTCTTTGCGCTATCTATCGATTTGGGCAGCAGCAGCTCTCTCTGGCCTTGCGCCCAGTCCTTTGTATTATCCGCGGTTGGCGAGGCCTGCCCCGACTCTTCGGCGCGCGAACGAGTTGAGCCCAGGGACGAAGAAGGGAGATCGTGGCCGTTAATTTTGACAACGACGGCGGGAGAGTCGGGAAATGAGGCAGGTCGCCTCGCGGTCAACGGGACTGTACGAGAGTTTGGGGACGACGAGTCCTGGAAAGTAGAAGCGCGATTTCTAGATGGGCTGGATTGGGGATGCTGTGAAATGACGGGTGCGGAAGGGTTGGATGCGGGCGAGGCGGCTGTTTTGGCGCTGTGGAGATTGTTTTGTCGTGGTGACACAGCGATTTGCAGGCTTTGCTGGCACTGCTTATGCGAGTCGTGCGAGTCTGGATCGTGCCTGTTGTCGGCTGATTCTTCGGGGCTGCAGTGGCCCGAAATGGTCGACGGCGATAAGGGAGAGGGCGGGGCGTTCTGTTGCAAAAGACCTGGCAGAGACAGCGCTTCCTTTTTCAGGTCGGCAAAGCGGAAAGCAGGTAGTTTGGACGAATTGTGGTTCTGGCGATGGGCATGCAGGGTCGTGTTGTCCTTGTTGTTGTTGTTGTTGTTGTCGCCATTGCCGTACGTCGTCTTGTTCAGGGTCGGGTTCCTGTTGAGGTGGCGAGCGGTAGGAGAGCTGTAAGAGGCCGAAGAATTCGAAGAATTCGCTACGTGACCCCCCTCGAGCGCAAAAGTGGACGAGGCCATGATTGCTCTCTTTCTTCCCACGCCCTTTACTCCGGGTTACCCGCAGCGGACCCTCCCGACTTCTGTTCTGGGAATATATGTTTCACAACCAATCCCCGGGCTCCCAGGCGCCTTTTATTCGTCGAGATATTAGAATTTAACCCGGGTCGTCCATCCATGGAAGACTCCGACGGGCCCTTGCGTCGCCGTCGATATAAGGGGGGGAGAGGACAGACCCGAGATGGTCGCCTCTCGCTCTTCTCAATTGATTCGGCCTGGCCGCACAACGGGCGAAAGGGGGGAGGGAATTATTAGGTAGAGCATTAGTATCGAGTATCCAGCGACAAGGAGGGCTGCAGTCTCGAAAGTGGTATGACGTGGAGAGAAAGAAGAAAGAGGGCGAGGGCCAGGTTAGAGTAGGTAGGTAGAGATAGACGTCGAAGGAGAGAAAGTAGAAGGAGAGAAGGAGAGTATTGCCATCCGGAACCGGACAGTGTCGTCAGGATGCAGAGCAGGCCAGACCTGGCTTGATCAAATATCAAAAAAGCGAGTGACAAGACCAGTAGACGCACAGGGCACATGGAGAGCACTGAGCACTGAGCACAGGTGCCGCAGCAGACACCGCAGCCAACTAACTAACGAGCTGTTACATCGCACAGTAAATGCCTACTAGGGGGTGCATGTACTTGACAGGAGATGGATAAATCGGACAAGGGACAGAGCAACTACCAGTTGCCAACGAGGCCAGCGAGGAATTGGAGCTCTGAACAGTTGCCATTGACTCGCGGTGCAGGAGCGGGGTTGACAGAGCTTCGTGCAGGGGCAAAGTACCTGTACGACTTCACTAGCCCAGTCACTTGGGGTACCTAGGTAACCTGCCTCTCCTCTTACCATCCAATGTAATATGTTGGAGGAGGTACTGCTAGGTATGTCCCGAGTCAGGAGGCAAGAGTCCCTGCTTAGGTGCTGCACATCACCTGAAAATCGGCTCTTCACCTAAAGAGCATTTCAATCGCGTCTCCTGAGCTTAAACCCCATATAGCGAGTCAAGTCTTCTGGCGGGAGCATCGGAGTCGTAGCTCAAATTTTGCTAAGATGCATGCAACATGGCGCACATAGGTAGTGTACATAACCTACATGCTTCGCCCAGCCAACCCAACATTGCACTAGATGTATGTACCCTGAAATGAAAGGGTAGCGACCCCAGGCACTGGGGCAAAGCTCCTCACCGTTTTAGGCTCGCGACACAGTAGCCTGCGGTGGAAATGGGGTGGGCGTGCAAGGGTTGTTCTATGACAGGGAGGTGTCAACAGGTCGAGGACATTACGGATTACGCTACCGCCGTCGTAGGCAAGTAAAGATGAACATCACCCGCCCTGGTGTAACCATAAATGTGGTTCGAGGCTGGAGTTTGTGAACAGGCCGTGCGCACGTTTTCATCGAGTGAGGATACAGCCACCTCAATTCTTCCAACAGCGCCACCCAGCCTGCCATTTTCCAGACTTGTAGCTACCTTGCAGAGTATCCGTAGAGAAGAAACACCTTCCTCGGTTAGATCACAGGAGAGGTCGACCACAGGAGAGATCGGGAGCTTTCCTCTTCTTTTCATTCCTATAACATTAAGCTCTTGAGGTAGCACTAAGAAGAGACTAGGAACAGTTTGGCGAAACAAAAAATGGCGGGGATACTCTTAGTCTCGATTACCTAACGGCCTCGCGAGGTACTCCTTGGTCTGATAGGATCTGATCCTGCAGTCTCACAGGGGCTTGCATGGTGTCAGTGCGGGACCACATGTTTTGGCTTTTGGACTACCACAGTAGACCTGCCCGGGTACCACCTAAGGTACAGTACTGTGTACTTCTACTAAGTATGCCGACATGTATCTACCTCCTCTAAATATTCAGCACAGTAGGCATAGAACAGTATTGCAGCATCGCCTTGTTTGTGAAATCAAGATAGATGTTTTGGTCACATCAACCTAGGCAGGAAGCATAGGTACTGTACATAGGCTGCATCAAACTCCATCAAGGTCCTTTGATATTGGGGGCTAGCTGACGGAAAAGAGCCTCATAAATCGCTGGCGAGAAAAGGGAAAACAGCGGAGACTCTACGCAAAGCTAAGAAAGCAAACTGAACCACCGGGTCAAGCGCGGGTAGAATACTCCATATGGTCCGTACAGGTGTGCAGATGACTTGCGCTTGCATTTGTACTTGCGCCTGTTCACCTACCAACTGCGCATCCATCCAGGGTATGCCTTGAACCTAGGGGGGCTGTGTGCAATGCAACTGAGATGGTGTTTATGCTTAAACGCAGCCAGGGATTCTTATATCCTGCCATCAGGTCGGCGTTGCTATGTATTGTTCGTGACGGCGCTGATAGATCAAGTAGTGTACTGGCACCTGCGCGGTTACAAGGGCACCGTTTCTTCCCAGCCCACCCTTCCAGTCTCGCTTCCAATTCAGGGGAGACTCGAGAGCATACCCGGCGACGGACCGAAATTACGGCGGGGGTGCCCCACTTCCGGCCCCGTCACCGAGGTGAGGGGCCCGAATGGAAGCATTCCCCGCGGAGGGTCAATGACTTTCAGCCCAAACAAGCCCTCCGCCTGCTTATGCCTCGGTTAGGTATATTTCATGAGTTACATTTCCAGTGCCCAGGCGGAACCCCGATAACAGTTAGAGGATCCGTTTCCCCCGATCCCTCTCTCTCTCCCACTTGAGAGCGCAGCTACTTGGCAGACCGGGAAAAGAGACACGTGGGCAGATAAAACCCAAAAATTCCCAGAGTCTGCTGTAAGAGACATCCCGCTTCTTCATCCGCAACCTATCCGCAACCTATTTCGGCAGGTGGGGAGACGAACGCGAACAGTCGCCAATGGCTTGCGCAAAATATCTGACACCCGTGCATCCATCTCTCAGACGCTGGACGGGACACGCGGAGGGCAGCTGACCAAGGCAGATGACGTTGTCGGAGGGAGGTGGCAGCTTCAGATAGAGATGTCCGGGGATTACACGACGAGGAGCTTCGGCACATGGGCTGGGGTTGCCGTTGTAGGGAACTCGTCGACTTTGAAAATCCTGGTTGGAGTTGCCAATTCCAGATCTCCCCGAGGCGCATGAGTGCCCACTTTGACGTGAACCACGCATCAGCCTCATCGTCTCTCGACGGTGCTACCCGCTATCAACGAGGCAGTGATGTGGCTGTCGTGTGACTTCAAGGTCGAGAAGCTGGGTTCACCTAATTAGCATCCCTAGATCTACATCGTTGGCTTCAAAGATAGCAATGGACGAAGAACGGCCGTGCCAAGTACGAGCCACAATGTGTTGTTTATTGGCAAATTGTGCTAACATTTACCACGCAAAACACATATATATATACCTTAGCATGCTGATGTACCTAGGTAGGGAAGGCCGCAAAGCCGTCTTCCGTCAGCTTGTCTCGGCCGAAGTTTGTGCGATGTTCGATTGTTCGATTGTTCGATTGCTCCTGGGCTTCGTTGCGCCAGCTGAGGGAGTTGCGGAGAGCGAAATAGCGGTGGGGGTTTCTGGCTTGACTGTTTCAGGTTTAACAGGGGAGGTAGCCGAATTAGATCGGATTGCCCACTCTAGCCTGAAACCGCTCTCATTACAGTGCGTAATTTGAGCTGTGATTTACGTGAGGCGATTTGGGCAACTGACCCGGCGCCTGCTTTAGGGTTCTTGTTGTTGGTTCATTACTATCGTCTGGTCAAACTGTTACCGAGCTCACGTAGATGAAAGACGAATGAATAAATAAGTACTGCGTACACCTACCCCAGCGATTCCAGTCCAACCAATCGTGAGATACCCGACTCGCGGCAGACGAGGCAAGGATCAAGGTTCAGCATTCAATTGTGGAAGATTCCATACAAAATCCATCCTTGGTGGCAAGAATTGCATGTTTCTGGCCGACCTGGAGGTATCAATCTTCGTGGTTATACGCATACTGGGAAATCTGGGAAATTGTTGGCAGGTCTGGACAGCAGACGGTAGACAACTGATTGAAGACAGCCACTATGCAAAAGCAGGGCTAGGGGAATGGATGCCAAAGGCGGACGGCGGACGGCAATGCGAGTTAAGCTTCCTGCTGGAGCTGTCAACTTGACGCAGTCCACTGCGGGCTGTTGCAGACAAGTTACTAAGCTTACCTGCTGCCTTGACGAAACATCGAATCTTTAAGTCAACTCATATACGCGAGATTGGTGACAGAAGACAGAAGGGTCCTTCTCATCTCTCTAGAATCAGAATAGTAACAGAGGATCAACACAATGATAGATTGATCACAGGCCACGCACAGAAAGGCTAGGCTGTTGGGAGGTACGAGCTATGTACGCATACTCTGGCACCCTCGACTTTGAGGGCTTTGAAATTGCCATATGTGGTTATGATTGGCTGGCCACTAGCGCGTAAAAAAAGCCTAAGGAAGGAAGCATGCTATTAATAGCTGGGCGGCCGAACCCCCTGTTCGCTCTCAGCGTTTGCCGCCATTTCTCTGGAAGCGCCGCATTCAATTGGTGCAACCACCCAGCAGTCCGATGTCTGAGGACCCACAAATGGCACGCAACAGGGACACTAGACGAGGCACAGGGGCCCAGAATTGCCATCTCCTGCCCCCCTTCCCCAGCGTGCTTCAGAGGGCCTAATCCGGCCCACCCGCCCAAGGCCAGCTGTATTGGCCAGAGGAGGCTTCCTCCGCCCGCGCCCGCAGCCCTGCCATCATTCTCTCGACCTCTCGGGGCGCTCCAATCTGACGCTTCCAATCCCTGTCCCAACTGCTTCCCGGCGCCCTGCAAGCCAATTCTCGTCGCTAGTTCCTCCTCCCCCATTCCTCTCCTTCAACCCCCCAATTAACACTACTCTTTCTTCAACAACCCTATCTATTCACTGCACCGGAGGAGCGCAGCAGTGTCAGAGACCAACCGACGGTCCAACACTTTGCTGTGTCCAACTGCATTTTACCTACTCCCTTCAATTCTTTTCTCAGTCTCGGTCTCAGTCTCATTCTCATTATTCGCAGACTCGACCATGCGCTGACACCCAAACCCTCCTTTGACCACACTCCGCTTCTTCGTCTTCTAAACTCGACCGTTCTTCCCTGGCCTCTGTGCCTCACACCCGCACCCTCACTTGCTGCCGTCCCGACCAGTCTTTTCTTGAGAGCCAGCCCTTCCAAGCAGACACATACACAACAGCATCGACGACTATCCGGCATATCCTCGCCGTGGCCGCGGTCGACTCTACAATTTCCGGCTTTGTCACCCAGTTCCTCTTTTGACACATCCAATCGCAAGCCTAATACAAGCAACCCGACGAGACCAGCCCGGGGCTGTCTATACGGACAAGTCAAGAGAGAGAGAGAGAGGGGGGACGTGTGTGCGGGTTTGCGCTTCTGTGCGAGGATTCAGCAGTGCTGCCCTCTTGAGAGCGCGGCGTGCTTTCCTTTCCTTTCCTCAGGAGTCGGAGTTTCCTCTGGCGTGGCCCTTACTGCCTGGTCACCGGCCATTCGGGCAATCACAAGTCGGAAACACCCAACCACTTGCTCACCAGCATCCAGGCGAGAGTTTCAGATTGAAGCGAAGAGGAGGCAGTTAGGGGCTGTTGATCGAGGAAGTAAACCAGCAAGGCACTCCTGCTGGCACAGTTGACCATGCCTTCTGCAGCAGCGCGACGACTGTATGAGGATCAAATACCGACCTTCATGTCGGTGTTTGATCTAGACGTCGAGACGATGAACGACCGGGCCACAGTGACGGTTCTTGAACCCAAGTTGGTCGGAATGGAAGCCTCTAAATTACCAACCGATGCCCTTCCCCAACTGCAGCCCAACACATTGCCCTCGGATTCAATTCACAGGCACCAAGATAGCACGTCAACCCAGAACTCCGAATCGGCGGAATCATCACCCACTACCACCCTATCGTGTACAGACTCATCTTCACTCTCCGACCCCTCACCGTCCTCATCTCCAGAGTCTCCTGTGAACCTCCCTCCGCTATCATCCTTCACCTCAACTTCCTTCAGCGGCCTGTCGTCCATGGCTACTCTTACCGTTTCCGACACCACCAATACCGAGAGGCCAATGACATCCCCAGCGCCTAGACGACCGAGGAATATGAAGGGCCTCTCGATCCAACCGCCCTTCAACTCGCTGTCTAACTCGCTCGTCTCTGAGCCTTGCTCCCCTTCGTTCATCAAGCCCAAAATTCCCGCTATGAAGAGGAAGCCAAGTCAGCTTAGCCTGAAGACCAATTCGTCGGATCTAGTCACACGGTCGACACTTGAAGTCCCAGTCTCCCCATCAGTGCCCCCAATATTACAACGTCGGGCCCTGAAACATTCCACTTCGTCACCTCATATGCTTTCCTCCCTCAAGTCGGCCACATTCGGTCCCCTGGGCGGAATGACCATCCCCACGGTGCTGGAAAGAAACGAATCTGGGCTGTCCGAATTTCTACGGCCCTCAAAGCCTACCCCGCCTGAGAGATTCGATTCAACAATCCTGGAGGAGGACTCCCCCATCCGGACGCAGATCGCGAACCGGGCGGCCTTTGAATTCGAGCCCTTCCATGAACATGAGAACAACGAGGATCAGAAGAGCCCCGGATATCCTGATGGCCCCATTGCCATCTACGATGACAATGTCTACCTCTATTTGGAACCGACGGCCGATGAAGCGTCGAGATTCGACGTGGTGATTAACGTTGCCCGCGAAGTCAGGAACCCCTTTGGAGCGGCATTAGGAGCAGCGGATGCCACGTCATTGGCTCCGGTGGAGGAGCGACAAGGAGATGCCTCACCCAACCCCGACACTGCCGTCACAGCAGCAAGCTATGCCACTGCTTTTGAATTCTTTCCCGAGGAAGCCACGGCCGAGACTCCGACAACACCGAAGGCGATGCCTCTGAAGGAACCCGAATATATCCACATGCCCTGGGATCATAATACCGATATCAGCCAGGATTTGACCACGCTTTGCGAGACCATGGAGAGGAAAACAAAAGAAGGGAAGAAGGTATTGGTTCATTGCCAGCAGGGCGCGAGTCGCTCAGCAAGCCTGATCATCGCCTATGGAATATGGAGGAACCCGGAACTGAGTGTCAACGACGCCTATTATGCTGCCCAGGCCAAGAGCAGGTGGATCAGCCCCAACATGAGGTTGATGTACTGCTTGCAAGACTTTCAGAAGGCCGTCTCGGAGAAGAAGCTGCCACCTAGCTCAGGCTTCAAAACGAGGCCAGGTAGAAGCCCGACGAAGCATCGAGCGACACTCTCGGCGGATGCCATAGACATCTCCGTCAAAGAGCCGCTGACAGCGCCGTTGCCGAACGATGATGTTGTATCGAATGGAGCCAGCCCAGAGACGAGCCCTAGGCGGTCTCGGGCTCGAGGAAATTCTTCGCCTAATCGGGGGGAGCCGATATCGCCTGGCCCATCCTCTGCTCCTTCAAGCTTTTCGTGGAGCGAACGGGAGGGTGAGAGCGACGATGGAAAGTTGCCGCGGTTTAACATCAGCTCCTTTGCCAAGCCGTCGAGGACAGCCTCTGATGCCGAGACTATACCCCCGGTACCTACTCGCCTGGCACCAGTGCCCGTATTGAGGCCGCCTCCGTCGCCGGGTTTCCCCTCCCTAGGCAGCTCTTTCTCGAAACCCCCACCATCACCAGGTTTTGCCCCCCTAGGCAGCCCTTTCTCGAAATCCCCCCCATCCCCAGGTTTTGGCAACCACAGATTTGGCGGACCGAAGGGAAAATTCGGGCTCCTGCCCCTGAGCTTAGGCGGATCACAACGACGTGACAATAAAGAGCCGGTTCCGGAGCGCCACGTCAGGGTCATGCGAAGCTTCCCGGAGGACGCGGCACTGATGTCCCCTCGCGCCGAAACAATGACGAATAACCCCCTACATGAGCCCTTTGTTTCTAGCTTCACGGGCATGCAGTTCGTCGAGGTCCCACCTACTCCTAGCGAGGGCCTATTCTCGCCTCGGGAGACCATGTTCCCTCGCGATCCATTCTTCCCGTTCGGCCGCCCGACTCAAATAACAGATCCGCGAAGCCCACCGACGAAGGGAGAGACTCCGATTGTACGGTCGATCGACGAACTGTTATAGTCCCTCCGAGTACCCCTTGTGTCTTAGACCACACTTCCCCCGCATCTACCAGCAACCGGCAATCCATTTTGCCTGGAGGAGGGCTACGATCGCATTGCATAGAAAACGGATAGCGTTCCTTGTATTTGCTATACTGTCTTTGCAGTAGCGGTTTACTTGGAACTTTTCGGACGCAGCCCGGAGTCCAACCCTTTTACCCTCCGACCCGCGAGCCCTTATCAACCTCGACTGGCTGGCCGAAAACCCCCTATCCTTAACATCACCTTGCGGGCGAATTCCTTTTGTTGTTCATTTTCTTTATGCACTATCAAAGCGGTGGCGAACTGGACAATGGCAGACGAGCCTCACTATTGATAATTTTTTTTCTCCATCATTTGCTATTTGTCTTTCGTTTATGTCTAACTCGAAATGTGTAATCTAGGTGCGCCTGAGCACACGGTGAAATGTTGGATGGGACCACGGACGGATACAGGAGTCAGGACTCTCTCTCTTAATCCCAGCAAACGGCTGCAGGTTGTTCTTCTGTCTCTCACCCCGCTCGACCTGATTTTGGCCAAACTCCGTCCAGTTGGATGGAACGGGAAGCCAGCCGCGGCGTGATGCTGAGCGTGAGGGCATGTTGGATAGGACGAGATATGAGGAACGCTGCGCTGTCTCTTGGTGTTTTCTCCCCCGATGCGAAAGGGGGACGAGGTGGGGTGTTCCGTGGGAATTCATTCGTCTAGGACCTGTCGAGTTGCGCAACGAGACTCTGGGTTCGTAATGGAGTTGGGGATTGGAATACTGAGTCTATTTCAGTAGCTCTGGTAGTTAGGGTGGATATCAAAACATAAACTCTTATGATATTGACAGGCCATTCATTCATTGCCTTGTGACCTTCTATTTGTGTCCTAGAGGCAAAATAATAACGCTTCTTCCACACCTCATACTCCATTCAACTATACCAAACCTCGAATGAGGCTCGGCGGCATCTAATGACCGCGAAGGAGATGCGTAGTATAACGAGGGATGGTATACCTCTATTGCTCTTTGGAGCCTAGTATGTGCACACCAGACAGCCCGGCCAAGCTCATCTGAAATCATAATATGCTCCTCTTAATGCTCACCCAGACGCCCAACCACCAAGTTAATGTGGCTGACATGCGCAGAAACAAAAACACAGGCTAGGTATCTATCCTCTTGGGGTCTCTAGCCCATTCCTCTTCGATCTCAACACAACGGTAGACACTCAACACTCTCCTGCTCGTTCGTCTCCTCCAACCAAACCCTCCCGCCCCCCTCGCCGCCCGGCAAACCCCCCGAAAGAACACACCTCACTGCGCCTTCCCCTTCGCGGCCGCCTCCTTCGCCGCCTTCTCGCGGCGCGCGATGGCGGCCTCGACGCCGATGCCGCCGAAGACGAGCCCGACGCCGAGCCACTGCATGCGGCTGAGACGGTGGCCGAACGCGGCCACCGACAAGATCATGGTGAACATCTTGCGCGTCACCGTCACCGTGACCAGGAGCACGGACGAGAAGGTCGAGAGGGTGTAGACTGAAAGTTAAATAAATTGTCAGTACCGGAAGAGCAACTCTCTATTTCCCGACTCAACAGGATGATGGGGAGTGGTTTGGGTAGGGAAGGGAATCGGTAAAAAATAAGGGGGGGGGGGAAGAGAGACTCACAGATAAACACCTGCCCGACGGCGCCGCAGGCAGCAAACCCAAGCACATCGACCCAGACGGCCGGGTATCTGCGCAGGAACGCGAGGGCCGAGGCCAGCTCACCCGCGCTGCCGGCGACGTCCATGCCGAGCCACTCGCCCACGCCCGTGTGGACCAGCCAGGGGCTCAGGACCAGGTACCCCGCCGTGATGGCGGTGCTGAGCAGGTTGTTTGCGCACATCATCTGCGGGCCCGAGTAGGGCCCCAGGTTGGAGAAGATGTAGTCCTGCGTGCTGTTGGTGAGCCCGTCGAACAGCAGGTTGACGCCCAGCAGCAACAGGCCCCACGCCGTCTGCCCGGAGCGGGTCGCCCCCGAGGCGCCGGCCCCGTGCTTCTTGCCCGAGTGCAGCGTGAACACGGCCACGCCGGCGGTGACGGCCGCGACGACGAGGTACTTGTACAGCGGGTAGCGCTTGCGGAACACGGTGATGTGCAGGAACATGACGGGCAGCAGCTTGCAGCTCTTTGCGAGGATGAAGGTGATGTAGTCGATGTGGGCGAGCGACGCGTACCCGAACGGCGCCGCCAGCGCGCTCGTAAAGGCCACGAGCGTCAGCGGCGCCACGATCTCCCGCGACGGGAACATGGCCGGCACGGGGCTTCCCCGCGGCGTGCGCGCGACGTTGTACATGTAGCCCGTCGCGAGGGCGAAGCTCGACTGGATGGTGAGGAGGAAGACGGGGAACTTGAACCGCTCGGGCGACGACGCCGGCCCGTACGGCGTCGTCGTGAGCTTCTCCTGGAGATAGGCCCATGTGAGGCTGCGTTTCGGGATTGGCGTCAGCGGATTGAAATGGGGCTTGTCGTAATGGTCGTATGGCGGATGTCACTTACAAGGAGCCGTAGATGCCCGCGACTGCGATTACCAATTGTATCACGACGCCGTCGACCTTGCCGGATTTTTGTGGCGGCGCAGGATGGCCATTCGCTTTCTCGCTGGTTTCCGTCGGAACGGATCTTTTATTCTGTGGCGTGCGATCGTGCTTGCTGAAGTATTCCGACGATGTTTCGCGCCGTATTGGCGTTGCCTGCTTAGAACGAGCCATTGCTCTAGGAAGAGATAAAAGAACGGTCGAGTCCCTTGAAGCAATTCGAGACACAAAATACAATAGTAAGTAGTAAATACTATCAAAGGGCGTTAGATTTACCCCTGTTCAAAAGGAGAATCTACAGAAAAACAAACGAATTGGTCAGGGTCAAGGAGGGCATATCCATCGAGGAACCTGACAAGCTGGCTTCAACCAGAGTCGCAGCCCGCCAAAAAAGCCCATCCCACTTAAAGCTCAACTTAACCATATCGGGAAGAATTTGCCGGGCGGTGTGGGACATCCCGATCCGACCTACCTAATTTTGGTATGTGCCGGAGATGCGGGGCCCCGATGTCCCACTGGGACGGAAAAGTGGCGCCCAGCACGTGGGGTAAGGAGGTGTGGATGCCAGATCCAGGGTCCATACTCTCTCCACAAGCTACCTACCTACCCACCTCGGTAGCTTCCTAGGTCGCAAGGGACAGCAGCAAATATGGGAAAGCCGGCGTCCAAAGTTACGGAGCTATTAGATTAGGTGTTTGTGCTTACATGCCAAGTCACAACATGGTCACGCGCGGGCAAAGCTGGGTCCTTTCAGGATGGTCATATATTCTCTAGTCCCCTCTACACCTGAATAGCCCTTCTAGCCACTCCTTCAGGCATCTGACGGAGGCCCGAGTTCTGCGGTTTGGGGGGATTGGTGTTCCTTGAATATGAGGTGGGAGATGAATAGATGAATATCGATCCGGAACAGGTAATAGACGCATGAGAGTAAAGGTGCGAGGAGATGGTGAGGATGCCAGAAGAAGTCCAAACTTCTAAAGGGAGGACTGGCGAGTAATGGTGGGAAACGGGGGCTATTGGATGAGTATCAATGGTAGCGGCGTGTGACGTGGACTTTTGTGTTGAGCAAATTGGGAGGTTGAGTATCGCGGTGCTGAGGATGGTATGAGGTGGTTGTCGTAGTGTCGCGGAGAACCTTGGGAGATAGATTTTATCCGTCAACCTGAAGGAAGTCTCGGGTTAAGTCTGCGAGCCCCATGTGGCCGTAAAGCAGCTGGACGTCGTGGAATGAAGTTGGTGAGATAAGGGAGTGAAACCAGTCCAAAAAAAAAAAAAAGAGCCAGGCAGAAGTGCCATTCGTAAAGGAAGATCGTCGCATCGTTTGCCCTCGCCCGTCAAAACAATAAAAAACTTAATCAGCCTTGCGGCAAGTCAGATCTGGGAATGACCCGTAACGAAGGGTTGCCAAATCCGACCCAATTCAGAGACCCCGGAGCTTGAGGTAAAGCCAGGATCCATCATCCCCGTAACGATCGCCGCGGTGAGAGGACCTACGGCGAGCTCGTTACAACATTGGACCCTTGATGTCATCGTCCTCCTCTGAACGCTACTCGGAGGAGGGTGGTGCCTGTTGCTGCCGCCTCATCTTCTCCGCCTCGAGATTCTCGTACAGGAGGAAGAGGGCCGTCTCATTTGCCTTCGCTGTTCCCATGATGGTGAACATTCTCTCGCCAGTCTCGTCATGGGGAGCCTATTAAACTTCATTAATGCACCGCCCAGATGGATAAAAATAATATGTAGCTCCTTACCTTGGCGATGGAAATTCGTGCCCCTGACGTCTTTCGGATCTCACTGATCTTGGATCCCCCGCGCCCAATGATGCAGCCAACCATGTCGGCTGGGATGCTGATGTTCTGGGTCTGGATCTCCTCCCCGTTCTCATCGTGGGTTGGAGGACCACGGGTGGCTGCGTCAGAATCAGAGCGACGATTGTACGAGCGTGGCCCGCCGTTGCTGAAGTCGGCACCATTACCTGTTCGCATGACACGAGCGCTGCCGCTGCCGTACTCACTCCGGCCTGCGCCATAGCTTGCTCCTCCACCTCCACCAACGTTGCTTGGGGGAGCTGTTCCGCCAGTTTGGGTACGGACGACGGGATTATAGAGGACGGTCCCGGTTCCACGCTGCCAATCGTCGACAAGGCACTTGCATATCTCCCATACGGCCCTCTGGATGCCCTCAGGGTTGCCCTGGAGCTCCACGATGCGCTCGGTGGACTGAGGCAGCATTTCCTTCTGTGCGACCATACGGACGCCTGACACATCTTGAATGTGCTTGATCTTGAGACCCTGTCTGCCAATGACGGTTCCCATCTGGTTGTGGGAAATGAGGAGTTTAACGGCTGTCAAGCAGATTAGCGTTCTGTATCCCTGTGCGAGTTGGGGGATGCAACATACAATGAGTTCCATTGCCTTGGACGACTCCTCCCATGCCCATTGACGGAGCGCCCTCCAAAAGAGCGCGGGCAACAACAGCATAGGCCCTGGAAATAGCATCGCAGCCGCCAGTGATGGTTAGAACACGGTCATGCACACCCTGCACGACCTTGCTAACACCGGCTTTAACCCCAGTCTCGTCTCGCAAGTCGGCGACATTCTTCCCGCCCTTGCCGATGATCACGCCAGCTTCTTTCGAGGAGACAATTGCTCGAAGGGTCAGTTGGGTCTGAGCATATTCCTCATCTGTCTTCGGCGCAGGCTCTCCGTCTGGGCCGAGGCGCGGCTCATTGTCGTTGAGCCTGACCTGGTCCATGGACTCCACCAGGTCATTTCCATTGACGTCCTGTGAGGCAGACATTATGGATGAACTGAAGTGACGAGTGGTTGATGGTGGTGGGAGGCTCTGTAGAATGTGATTCCAGTGTTGGGACTCTGATTTGCCAAGTCTCGTGGGGTTGCGCGCAAGGAAAGTGCGGCCTGCTACAGTCGCGATCGACAGACCGTAAGTTAGCTATGGCGCTACACCCCGACAAAGAAGATGGCGCAAATTAAGAAACAAGAGTAAAATAAAAATGCAATCAAGAACTGTCTTCGTCAAGTCCACCCCGAGAAAGCCGGCAAAGTGAGGGAGAGAGATGGTGAAGTTGGATATACCGACTGGCGGGGCAAGTTTTACATACCTTGTTATTTTATTTTTATTTCTTCCCTGATGTGGCGGGGTTGATTGGGCGGTGGGGATATGGTGTGATGTGTGGTTCCTGTTTGGCGTGTCCTTTTGGCGGGGTGGTTCTGGGTGTCCAGGAGCCAGGTGTACGTAAGGCGGCGCGTGAAGGAGGGAACCAGGGAGTCGGGAGAGGTGTGAGGATTGAGAGTGACGGATGTGAGGGAATCGGGAGTGCGGAAGAGGAGAGGGGGAGATGCGGTAGGGGAAGGGAAAAGGGTTAGGTAGGTAGGGATTGGGGGCGGAAGTAGGCGGCGAAAATTGTTGTGTGAAGAAGAGAAAAATAGAATGGAGGCAGGCGATTGAGGTGGGTAGGTTTTTTTTTATTTTACCCCTCCCTGCTGGTGGTAGGTAGACACCTCAGTTGTTGCTGGTGAACAAAGATCTGAGAGCCTAGGAGAAGAGTGGGCAGGCGAATCTCCTGCTGTTGCCAAAGTTCTCATAGGGTCAAAAGCTAGCCGAGTCAAGAGCACCCAGGCGCACTACCCCACCATCAAGTATTTACCTAATATGATAAGTATGTAGCTCCAGCCTAGACCGCTTTTGTGCTTCACTCCTTCTCCCTTGCCAGCCCTCCTCCTCTGGACCCTGCTGTTGCTGCATTCCCAACCTCCGATATTTTCCTTGAGCTCGTTCCACGTGATCTCCATGGAGGGCAATCTTTCCGGTTGCTCCTCTCTGAAACAATCTACCCAGGGCCGTAAAGTAGAACGCACCTGTTACCTTAGGTGGGTAGGTAAGTATATACCTGCTCTGGCCAACAATCTCGAGGTGTCCTGAAGGATGGATACCTATCATGACAGGAACTGGAATGGACTACGCATGTACAGATCTTCATTTTCTTTGCCCATACCGGCTAGCCATACCTGATATTGGGACAACTTTGTCTGGCAAAAAGTGGCACCTGCTGTATCCACGCAACTTGATGATGTATACATATATGTCGCAGACCGCGGAAGGCGGGGGTGCGGGTAGACAGAGAGCTCTATTGCCTGATTGCGAGGACGACTGGTCAGAGATGATTGCTTGCGTCTCCTGTTAACTCGGCTCCTGCAGACCAGCAGGCATCATACATCACCGGTCACCGCCATGCCAGGGTTCCTACTGGCTACCGGGATACGGCCTTCCACCCCGGCCTCCCCTCCCATCCGTCACCCGTTTGTCCCAACGTTCATGAGGCTGGCCCAGAATTCCATTGGCTCGATACAAGGATGGTGAAAGTGGGGTTTGCAACCACGAGGCACTGCTTCCCTCTGCAGTAGCCGCTTTCGCTTCCTTTCTTCCAGAACGCCAGGTGCAGAGCTGCAGAGACTGCAGTTCTGCCAAGAGCGGCCGACCTGATCTGCCCGCCTACCTGCCTAACGTACTTACCCGTGTCAGGGTTCCGCATAAAAATGCCTCTATCCTGAAGGTGAAGAAGTATTGAGAACTTGGTTACGAACCGGATTTCCCAGGCTTTCCAGAGGCCACCAGAGGCCACCAGCTGTAATTAACCATTGTGCCCTCCAAGAGACATGACATTCTACACACTAATCAGGACTACCTGAGCAAGATACCTTATTAGGTTAGCTCGTCCTGCTTCCATGGTATCAAAACAGTCGGCCCAGGTGCAGCGTGCCGTTGCAGCAAAATGTAGATGCTACTAGCCTCCTTCTTTCGAGAACGGAGGGGTAGTGTAGTGCCTGTGACATTGGTTAACAGCAATCCAGCCACGCAAGTTTCTGCTGCCCTGGGTCCCGATTTGCAAGCTGTCCTTTTGTCAGCTTATTCCCCAGATGTCGAAGCCACATGAGGCCCCACGATATTAATAGCGGGCTAGTATGTGAGGGTGGCCAATGCGCTCCCGCTAACTTCAATCCATCGTTCGCCTACCATCGCGGCCCTCAGTGGGAGCAACCAAAGGTTCTTTAGATCTGTTCCAAAGCCGCGGTCCTAGCTTGGCAATACGCTATGGACAGATGTCGAGATCATTTGATTATATGAGATAACCATGCGTTTGGAACTCGGGGGGTGGGAGACGCTTCTTGCTTTGGCACTACTGAACCTTAGAGCCCTCGCCGAGGTCCATGACCATGCATCCAAAGGAGGACACGAGATAACCTTGAGCATTCCCCTGCCGACCTCCCCAGAAGCATGTGAATCGAAGACTATCAACTATATCACCCATACCCTCCCACAGCAATGCCTTCGAACCTCCTGGGCGAGTTCAGCTGCGTCGACCGACCCGCAAGCGACCGAGTCGGGACATCCATCAGTATCTACGCCCACTGCTTCCCGCTCGGACAACGAGAGCTCTCCAGATCCACCGACCGAGCAGAAACAAGACCATGAAGAGAAAGAAGGAGGCTCCCGAGCGGACCTGCAGGCCCGAAACGATGCCGAAGTCCAGGAGGATCTCGCCACCGATTCCTTCATGTCGTTTGAGGAATGGAAGGAGATGATGCTACGCAAATCCGGGCAGGACCCTACCGACCTAAAGGGCCGGAAGCATCGAGAACAGAGGGGTGACAGGGATCCAGGGGTCGGCAATGGCGACCTCGATGCCCTTGGGGACGATGGAGAGATATCGCTGGACTTCGACGCACTGTCCGACAAGGTTTCCGAGCTGACCGCATCGCAGCCCGGGGGCGCTCCACCGGGCACCGCGGAGGCGCAGGAAGATCAGGTCTTCTACGATGATGGCAAGACTCAGTACTACCGCAGCAAAGACGCAGGGAAGACCTGCAAGGAACGGTTCTCTTATTCCTCGTTCGACGCTGGGGCGACGGTGCTCAAGACCAGCCCGGACGCCAAGAATTCCAAGGCAATCTTGATCGAGAACAAGGATTCGTATATGCTTCTTGAATGCCATACCAAGAACAAGTTTGTCATCGTCGAGCTGAGCGACGACATTCTCATCGACACCGTGGTACTTGCAAACTTCGAGTTCTTCTCCAGCATGATTCGCAAATTCAGGGTCAGCGTCAGTGCCCGCTACCCCGTCAAGCTGGACAAGTGGGTAGAGCTGGGTACCTTCGACGCCCGGAATTCGAGGGATATCCAGCCCTTCTTGGTCGAACACCCGCAGATCTATACCAAGTATATTCGGATAGAGTTCTTATCCCACTACGGCAACGAGTATTACTGCCCTGTTTCGCTTCTCCGCGTCCATGGGACTCGTATGATTGATTCTTGGAAGGAGCCTGAAGGCGGCCGAGATGACGACGATATTGAAGAAACCATCGACAGTCCTGCTCAGGAGGCAGCGGCAAATACTAGTCAAGTAATCGAGCCGGTCGTGGAGCCACCTCAGCCATCAGATACTACAGAACAGATCCCTCAACAGGCTGACTCGGTCAAGGAAATGCGACTGTCACCGTGGTATCCCCCTTTCCAGTTCGAGCTGTCGCGTGAAACTTGCGCAACTGGATCTCCGACGACGGGCCAGCCGACTGCGGAATCGCCGGTTCCAGTTGATGCCGGTGCCAGGATGTCTACGACGACAGCACAGTCAACGTCTAATCTGAGTGAAGCCACTCAGACTAACGGTTCTCCTACTACTAAGGCCGCGACGGAGACGACGACCCCAGCAAGTTCGGGTTCATCGGATGCTGCTTCTCCTACGTCCTCGTCGCCATCGTCGTCAGCCAAGGTAGAGGCCGACAATGCCACCGCATCAGACACGAGTTTGAAGCAACAGTCTGTAGGAACAAATGCGTCGGAGCCTACGACATCAGCGCCGACGGCCAAGGTCACCTCTCAAGCACACCCCACGTCGAAAAACAAAACCAGCGCCTCTAGCGCGCAGTCAGCCTCCCCGACCGTCCAGGAGTCATTCTTTAAGACCGTCACCAAGCGCCTGCAGCTCCTCGAGTCCAACACGTCCCTGTCCCTCCAATACATCGAGGACCAGTCCCGCTTCCTCCAGGAGGCCCTCCGGAAGATGGAGAAGAAGCAGCTCAGCCGCGTCGACGCCTTCCTTGACAACCTGAACAAGACGGTCCTGACCGAGCTGCGCAACGTGCGGACGCAGTACGACCAGATCTGGCAGTCCACCGTCATCGCCCTCGAGTCCCAGCGCGAGCAGTCTCAGCGCGACGTTGTCGCTCTGAGCTCCCGCCTCAACGTCCTCGCCGACGAGGTCGTCTTCCAGAAGCGCATGGCCATCCTGCAGTCCGTCCTGCTGCTGAGCTGCCTCGTCCTCGTCATCTTCAGCCGCAGCTACGTTGGGAACAGCTTGGAGCTGGCCCTCCAGCAACAGCAACAGCAACAGCAACAGCAACAGCAGCACCAGCATCAGCATCCAGGTCACCACCACCACCACAACGCTCTCGCAGATGCCTCGTCACCCAGTCCCGCGCAATCCCCCGACACTCACAGCCGCGGCGGTAGCGGCGGCCCGCGCCGCGACAAGACGCTGCCCCTGACGCCGACGTCCGAGTACGCCCGGAGCCGGGGCGTCACGCCCTCGATCAACGTCGAAGAGGCGGAGGAAGAAGAAGAGGAAGGCGGGGAGGCTAGCTTCCTCGAAGACGTGCCCGAGCTCGACGACACGCCCCCCCGGACCACCAAGGGCGCCCACACCGATGCCCGGTCCGAGTCGGAGGCTGCTCACAGAGCCCGGGGAGCCCCCGATGAGAGACATTCTTCCCACGGAAACGAAGACGTGAATTCAGACGGGAACGGGGACAGAGATGGAGATGGAGACGGAGATGGAGAAGGGGACGGAGATGGAGAAGGGGACGGAGATGGAGACCCCGCGGACGTTTCTATGCATACAGAGCCCTTGAGGCACTCATCGACTCGGTCTACTTTTTCACAGCACGGTAGTGCCAGAAAGCCACTTCCTGCCTTGCCTGAGGATCCGCCGGGGGATCCGAGTTGAGTAGTCCTGGGACAAGAGTATTATAGGCAATCATTCCCTCTCACCTGAGGTTGCCAGTTCAAAATTCGGCCGAGTGACCAGAGTACAATCTAATTGGGTACCTAGTTATGCCGTTGAAGCCCTTTGAAGGTTTCATATATCGAGGCGCCGTCCCTCGGACAAGGCAAGTGCCGCGAAGGCCGAGGTGGGAGGAGTAGTTTAGCAGATGACTGCCATTGTAAGGAGCTAGCGAAGGGAGCGCCTCCGAGTTTCTCGAGCATGTATGGGTATCTAAGTATACAGAAAGAATACTGGGAAGAAGCAGCCAAGCCAACTCAATCTGGGCTCCAAGAGCAAAATGACTTGTCCGGGTTTGAATGTCACCGTCTTTCCTAGCTCGCCATGACCTTCAATATGGCCACATTGACCTAGACCAATCGATTCTTAATACCGAGCGCCACCGTGACTGCCAAATCTTCGTTCCTGCAAAGAGAGGGGGGTTGTTAAACCTGCCAATAAGAAAGAAATGCTGCATTTCTGGGGTGTCCTTGTTGGCTGGATATCGCGACGTAGGGCCAATGGCTACCTAGCTGTTGGATATCAGGGGGGTTTATTAGGATGGAAACATTGTACACCTCAGAACAATTTCTGTTGTAGATAGCGAGAAAACCAAGGTCATGCATGATTCATGACAGTGGTAGCCGTTGTCTGCGAGATCTTTGTCAAGATACAATTGCTCGACGCCCTATGTATGTCCGCAGGTGTATCCAAAGGCTCACTGGCCCACGTAGAGACGTTGCATGGAGGCTTCGTAATCGAACTCCTCCAGGGCTGCGAGTCTGGTACCTCGGTCGTATTGAGAGCGGCGGCGGCGTTGTTCGTCACGGAAGTGCTGGCCGGCGTTCGGAGTGAAGAGCCCTGTTTCCAGACATGTGTCAGATCTGCCACACCAAGAAATCGTGACAGTAATACTCACCGACATGCTCCGCATTCTCGCAGCTGCGCTTCATCTTCGACTGGTTATCGGGCTCGGGGAATGACTCTTCCTGGCCCGCAAGCTCAGGCGCTGGTCCATTGGACGTGAAGTAAAGCTACCAACGTTAACATTCTGCTCCCTTGCCGAGAGCGCCAGCTACATACCTTGGGCCGGTAATGGGGAGCTTCCAGCATGACGGAGCTGTTGCGAAATTTCTGGACTAGGCAGTCCTTGCCCTGGATGGCTATAAACAGTTAGCATGGGACTTTCCTCATGATCTCAAAGGCGACACTCACTGGCATAGGAAATCTCGGCGACTTTGTCGCTCTTGAAACAGTTCCACCGCTGGTTTCCTCGAGCATTGACAAACTGCACACAAGGTTAGCTCAATTAATCCCCAGGAGTAGGCAACAGGGGCTCACGTCGATGATGTCTAGAGGCTGTGTCTTGGTTAGTAGGCGAAATCTCTAGGACATTGGGAGTACTCACATCCACAAAGTTGATAAATGCGTATCCGACACTTGGATCTATCAGTAAACAGGTATGTTGCCAAGGGGCGGGCAAAACTCACTTGCAATCGTTGGCAAAATCGATGCGCAGGTACATGAAGTCATACTTGCCCCAGCTTGACTCGTCGACGATTCGTTTCAACATGGCTTGGTCCACCTTGTTGGGGATATTTCGGAGCATGATCTGACCACTCAGTTTAGCACAGTGAACTCCAAGAACACTTGATTGAATCACTAACCGTTGTTCGGACATCAGTGCCTTCACGGATACGGTTGACATCGACGTGATTGTGATGACCTGCCCCATTGCAGTATGGGGACGACCGATTAACTCGCATAGCATTCTGCCGACGCCCCTCGAAACGCCCAAAGTTGTGCATGGGTCTGCCACCCGAGTAGTCGCCATGAATAGGGACAAGACTGGTGTGGTTCGATGGATGGTACAATGATCCGAAAGCCGGCAAGTGACTGGGCAGTGGCATCATGCCTGGGTTGCGAGTCGAAACGGGATCAACCATATAATGTGCACCAGTGTAAAATGGGTTCTGATAGACCACAGGGCACATTGGAAGCTGAGGTTGGACATGGAGCCCAAGAGGTACCGGTCTTGGGCGGTCTGTGTTGATGAGACCTCCAGTGGGTTGGGACGGCTTGGCAAAGGACATGTCATGGAAGAGAGACGTCATTGACGACATACCCTGAAGCGGAGCGGTAGGTAGGAGCGCCGGTAGTCCTTCGGAACTGTCACGCTGTGGAGGTGTGGTACTGCGCTTGTACAGGTCCAGGGAGAGTTCGATGCCCTGCGAAAATACTGGTTAGCCTTAGCTAGCTAGTTGAATAGGTAGTGAATAAGGGGCTTGTACCTCGGCGGTGAAGTGGTCGAACCTGTTGATGATGGTAACAGTCTCCTCCATGTCACAAAACTCGATCAGTACACGGAGTGTCAACCGGCTAGATGAGGTGTCTTCTGGGATGAAGGCAAATATGTCTGCCTCAGCTCGAAGGAGGTTGTACACTGTTGCTCCAATATGTGCAGCAGGATGACTGAGACTCGGTCCAATCACTGCCTCAAGGAAGACCAAGCCATCATTGATAGTGTCATCTGGGAATCCGGGATCCACGATCTAGAACCAAGTTAGGTGAGACAAGCCTGACAGTTTCTCGACGAAAGCAGACATACATGACGCGTGCCCGGTCGAATGTAGTCCATCTGCCAGCCCAGGGGGCTTCTATGGGCGTTGTCATGGACCATTATAGCATCCCGGATGTTAGTGAATCGAATGTACACCTTGCCGTTGTGTCTGTGGACCTGTCGCTTTCCTTGGTAGGTAAACCCAACCTGTTGCAATTGCTGGGTTCATATATATTAGCCAGGTCACATCCCGCAGCCGAGGTCTAGGCTGAGAGACACGAACCATGAGAAAAGTGTCGACATCATCCGGGTAGACGTTCCGGATATTGGAGGTGACGAGGAGATACCGGGACAGTCCTTGGTCTGCGCTAAGGCTCGCGATACCCAGCTGAGGGCCATGATGGGCTCCCGAAGTTGACGATACGCTCAGAGGCGGGATGGTCGCCGCCGAACCTCGAGCGACCAGTGGAGCCGAGAATGGTTGGAAGGCTGACGCAGTAGGAGACAGTTTCTGGTGGTCGGGTTTTCCAGGAGTGTTGGAGGAGACAAAGGGATCCTTTCCAACCAAGATGGAGGAAGTGTTGTAACCTTGGGTCTGATGGGGCTGTCTAGCCGTAAACTGAAGAGGCAATGGCTCTGTGGCGCCCAGAACCAAAGGCTTCAGGAACCTGGTAGATCTCACAGAGTTCTCATCTGGGGAGAATGCCGTGAGTCTGGTGTCTGGAGTGCCCTCATGCTTGTAGGAGTCTGCCCCACCAGGGGATGAGTGAGGGGAGGGAGGATTGAATGCTTTCTCCCGTGCCTGTGCCATTTTAGACACGTTGATTGTCAGTACTTCGGAGAGAAAGAAGTAATGACGACCTGTGGGCTGATAGAGCCTGACAGGAAGACCAAGTGGGATGTAATAGGTGGAGGAAAGTCGAGTCAACTGTAAAAGAACGGAAGAGAGAGGTGAGGGAGATGGGGAGAGAGGGAGAAGGGGAAAGATGGGTGAAGGAAATTTTGGGGAGAAGGAAAGAAATGTTGACCAGGAGGGAACTGCTAGCTCTCCCTAAAAATGGAAGTCGTTGGAAGAAATCCAAGTTGGAGGAAGGAGCTACTGTAAGGAAGGACCTATCGTGAGAAAGGTTGGAGCTCCAAATCAGGAAGGAAGCAACGACAAGAACGTAGACTGGACTGGTACCTGAGGTAGGTACCTAGGTAGAGTCGAAAATCTAGATGCCCAGGGCAGATCGATGTTCTGCAGAGTCGATATTCTCTAAGCCGAAGTCCTGTTGAGTTGAAGTTTATGCCGAGTCAATTGGAGAGAGGAACCCGGCGTTGGGCAGGGGGGAAGAAGAACAGCCTTAGACCGCAAGCTATTTCCCAAGTGCGGTTGCGTCTAATCACCCAAGTCCAAGGATGCTCTGCTGAATCGATTCAAGAGAGAAACCTAGCGTTGGGTAGGTGGGAAGAACGACCATAGACTAGGACCTATTTTCTGGGTGTAGTGATGCGTCTTACCATCTAACTTCGCAAGTGTTCCGCAAGTCAATTCAGGAGAGGTACCCGGCATTGGACAGGTGGGAGGAAGAACGACCTTAGACCACAACCTTAGTGGCGCACCTAATCATCTAACCTCAACCCTATTCATCAGACGGCTTTGCCCGGGGTTGGCAGTGAATCCTCTCCCTCGGCGTTCAAAGAACTGTATCACTTAGGAAGGTAGGTGGGTAGTCAAGGGATCTAAGATGGAAATCAGACTCACCAGTAAGACCTACCTACCTAGCCATGAAACGATCCATAAAAAGCATACTTCCTAAGTAGGTATCTAGGTGATAGGTTAGGAAGGTAGGGAAAGGGGTAGCTACCTAAGTTTGATGCCTACCTGGCCCCCTCGTAATATCCTGACTTATATATCTAACCTACCTTGAAACCAAGTTCCTTGACTCGGATTCTTCCGCCCAGAAAGCTTATATCCTTTACGACACCACTCTCATTATATGAACAGAGCCATCCGTGGAAATTAGGGGGGATATGCCAAACCTCGTCGAGGCAGAGGAACGAGGCACATTCGTTGCAAGAGAACCTAGAAGTGTAGGCAATATCTCGAGGGTATTCCTTGCACTGGCTCTTCTACCAAGCTCTCTCTTCTCCCATTTCGCGCTGTGCGGGCGCTTTAAAGGGGTTCGAATTGGTAGCACGTGCCATTCTCAAGGATTGAAGGTCCCGAGTTGAGATACTCTTGTGAGGCATCGGGGACTTGGGTGGGTCATGGATGGCTCCTACGCTTGGCTTCTCCCTCGAAATATTGTTCGAGTAGCCCTCGTATTCAGTTCATTTGCGAGACTTCCTAAATATGACGGTCTTGTGCTCCAAACAATTTGGGGAACTTGGTGACCATACCATTGCAGACTTGTCGAAGTGAGGCACAATCCACGACAGCACGCAGGGGATGGCAGATAATTTATACTGACTTCAGCTATCTACCCACCCACCTACAAATGCAGTATTGTCATTAGGTTCTAGGTTGCAGACTTCGACTGTTAGAGTGCCCTGCCTGGCGGATGAGGTCGAGCGGGAAGGTTGGAATAGAATCCCAAGTCTGGGGTCCAACAAGGGTGTCCCCAAAAAGGCACGGACCCAGAATGCACGGTTCACATGGAGGCCTGAGATGATAATTCATAGGAACCATGAACCCTGTAGGCGCCAAGTCCTTGGGGGAAGGGGCTCCGGATGGATTCCATCTTCATGTGTCGTCCATACGCAGTTTCACGTCTTGAACTTTGGCAATTCCTTGAGTAAACAATCCATCTGCGGAGGCTATGCACGCTTCTGCAAGTGGAAAACTTAAATATTTCCCATTCCATGATACAGGATGCCTCGAAAAGCTCAAACGTGGGATGACTATGGCGCCGCCGTGGATCAGGTAATAGCCCTCCAACGAAATACACCATTGCTCACATGCTGATAGTATCCGCAGATAATCCTCTCCTCCTCGGACTCCGACTTCCTCGGCCAGCTCATCCCGGTCCTAAAAGACGCCACGACAAGCGGCAGGGCGTCTTCGCTCGTCCAAAGCCTCTCCAATTATGCCGAGGATCGCGAGGCCGACATCGAGCGCATTAGCCTGACCCAGCACGAGGAATTCCTAGGGTCTGTCAACCAGCTTCAGAAAGTGCGGGAGGGAACAGTCGCCCTGACGGCCGAGATCCTCGAGTTGAACGAGTCTATTCAGGCGAGCACGGAGAAGTTGGCCCAACAGAAGCAGGGTCTTGTAGACACGCGTGCGGTTCGCCAGAACATTACAGAGGTCTCCGATTCCCTGAAGGAATCCCTGAGGACCTTGCATGCAGTCAACAATGCACACGATCTGATCCGCAAGAAGCAATATTACGCGGCCCTGAAGTCGTTGGACGACCTCCAAAACGAATATTTGATTCCGACCATACAAAACAAATATGCCACCCAGTACAGACTGGCCGACCTGATCCAGAAGTCTATCCCGGCTTCACAGAAGACAATATCAGAGGCTGTGATGACCGACTTGAATACCTGGCTCTACCGTATCAGAGAGACCTCCCAATTCCTCGGTGAAGTGGCATTTTATCACACGGAACAGAGAAGGGATAGGCAGAGGAAACGGGTTGAAGCGAACGAATACCTTAGCCACTTCAAGCTGAATTCGGCCATCGAACTAGTCATTGACGAAAGCAGTGAGTATGACGTCCTCGACAATGAGGAAGTTCAGGTCGACTTCACGCCGCTATACGAAGCTCTCCACATCCACACGGCGCTGGGCCAGAGCGACAAGTTCCGCTCGGATTATGCAGCAACGAGGCGGCAGCAAAAGGATCTTCTCATACCTAACACCGTCAACCTCGTATCCGATGATGAAGACAGGTCCCTTAGCAGTCTGCTAGAGGGAATTGCTGGCTTTGCCATTATAGAGAAGGCAACGATGCAGCGTGCGCCCCAACTCCGCTCCTCGGTAGATGTGAGTGCTCTCGCCCAGACCATGCATGAGGCACCGTAGCTAACGCTCTTGCTAGGTCGATGAGCTGTGGGACTCCATGTGTCATACTGCCATAACTCTGATTACAAAGGCTCTCAACGAAGTCAGCAACGCCGAGATACTCCTTAATATCAAGGGAGTCGTTGCGCTTTTCATACAGACGATGGAGGTAATTTGATTCCCCTCCGCCCAATTCTTACCATCTGCTGACACTACTCGAGGGTTGGGGCTATTCGGTGTCCATGTTGAACAGCTTCCAGCTCACCCTCTTCTACAAATATGCAGAACTGCTCAAGCGGCGTTTCAGCGATGACTTCCAAGAGGTTTTTTTCCCCATCCCTCCAACTGCGGGGTCGCTACTGACTCCATTCCAAGATCGTATCTACCGATGACTATATGCCCATGGCTATCAACTCGGTCGAGGAGTATGAGAAGGTGCTCAACGTCAGCTGGTACACCAGTGACAAGTCCGCCGAAGAACTCACGTACGTGCCCACCATGACACTGACCATCGGACTTCCGTGACTGACATCATTCCCCCCCCAACAAGTTTCCCCTGCGTATTGCCGTTTTCCCAGATGTATCCGTTATGCTGCATCGATATCCGCAACTTCTTGAACCAATTCTACTTCTTTTCAGACGACCATTTCCAGCACCCGAACGTCATAGACGAGACCCTCAGAAAGGTAAGATGGTGGCCGTGGTGATATTGCATATCTTGACCGAGGCTGACCTTTGGTTCGAACTCGATTAGTCGCTGGACGAACTCTTGACGGAGAAGGTCTGTCAGTCTCTAGTTGAGAGACTGAACTCGCAGTATCTGGGCCAGATTGTGCAGATCCTCATCAACCTCGAGCACTTCGAGATAGCCTGTCAGGAGCTTGAACAGTTATTAATCCGAGCGCGCTCATCGACATCGGCCGGCGGGCCTGTGACACTGGTATCTACCGAGAAGTTTAGAAACCACAAAAAGACGGCGGAAAAGCGCATCTTCGAGCTGGTCAATTCCAAGATTGATGACCTTGTCGATACTGCTGAATATGACTGGTTAGTGACAGCACCTCGATTGTTGACCCCGGCCAGATTCATCATTAACATCGTATTGTAGGATGGCATCCTCACCCCCAACAGATCCAAGCAGCTATATGCAGACCTTAACGCGATACCTCTCCACCATCATGACATCGACCCTCCTAGGTCTTCCTAGGGAGATCAAAGAGCTCATCTACTTCGATGCCCTCAGTCATGCTGCCAATAAGATACTCGTAAGTGACGGGCCGCGTTGCGCGCAGGTCGAGAACATCGGTTGACATTATGCAGGCTCTACCCCTTTCTCCCGAAGTCAAGAAGATCAATCCGAATGCCGTCACCGCGATGGCCAAGGACGTGCAATACCTGACAAAATTCGTCAGCAGCCTGGAGAACGCGTTCATGCTGGAGCAGAACCTCGACGAGCTCCAACAGACTGTTGCTCTCCTGCAGTCGGATAACCACGACGAGTTCTTCGATGTCTCGACGCGAAACAAGAAATACGGCCGCGTTGATGCGATCAACGGTCCAGTACTCCTTGAGAAGTAAGCGCCGCCCTCGAGAGCACCTATCACCAGGCATTGGAACTAACCTCCCGTCTTCAAACTCAGACTCACTCAATCAGTTGCCCCTGCGACGTTGGCGAATTTCTCATCACGCTTCGGGTTGAGGTAAAATGCGACCATGGCGCCTAAATCTCCACAGGCATCAAATCACTCAACCCCTTTCCATTGTTCCCCTGGAGTGCCTCTGCGGCGACAGGCACAAGGGTTTGCTTGTGGGTGACTGTCAATTCGGATGTAATTCATAACCCAGTGGCCCCGCTGGATCGTCGTTTCATCAAGGCAGGCGGCTGGGAACGCCTTGATCCGCCTTAATATACTCGTCTTGAAAATACAGAGGCAACGATAACCAACCCGATCTACCCCTTATTACGCCATACTCAGAACCCTGCGAAAAAAAAAAGGAAGAAAAAAAGAAACAAAGGAACCACTTCTCATCCGGTATACGATTTGTGTCCCCATTCTTCCAGGAACCTTGCCAAGATGGTAGCCACTTTGCCATCCGCTGCCCCGGGGCTCGCGTGTTCGACAGCTTTGTTTGGGACCGCATCTTCGGGGACCTCCGATTCTTTGCTTGTTGGCGTTTTCTAGGCGCTCTACTCGAAGCAGGTTAGTACTTCACCATTGACCGAGTTTGTCGAATGTAACGTGTCCATGTACATGCGCACGGAAGTGATGGGATGGATGGGGTGGCATGGGATGGCCCGAGCGGACGCTGGGAAAGGCTGAGATTAGGAGCTTACTTGTTGTGGCGGCATCGTCGAGTATCCATACATGCCCTCCATATCCCCATACATCGGGGCTTGCGGCTGGCCGTACGGCGGCGGGGCGCCTGGCTGGACCTGGCCCGGGTACATGCCCTGTGGCTGGCGGTAGTCGGCCTCGGCGGCCAGGGCGTGGTCTCCCATGCCGTATTGGGCTGCCGCCATGGGATGTTGGCCCGCATGGTTGGGCGCCGTTGGGACGTGCTGGCCGGGGAGCGCCTGGGCAGGGGCGGGTTGGGCGGCGGAAGCAGCCTGGCCGGCACTGCGCTTGGCATGGGTCGAGGCCTCCTCCCGTGGGACTATGTCAATAAGAAAGTCGAACATGTCGGACTTGGCCAGGGCGGAGGCGATGTCGGAGCGCTGGAGGGTGCGTCGCTTGTTCTCCTCGGCGTGTATCCAAGCACGCATCGTCAACTCGGTGATGAAAATGTCGCAGCCCTTGGCAAATAGAATTGGGGCTTCGGCCGAGATCATCTTCACGTCGGGATCGGCCTTCATGACCTTCTTTATCCGGGCCAGCGGCAATTGGTGGAGCTTGTAGTCATGGGTATCGCCCTCGAGGTGGTTGATGGTCTGCTGCCAGTAGGTCGTGAGGATGTCCTTGTACTGCCCGTTGAGCCCCTGGTGCACGTTTGCCCACGTCCCGGTGTACAGCTCTGACGGTGCGAATCCTTGCGCGGATAGCTGTATTGTCGGTGCTAGGTTAGTGCGACGGTCGCTTCATCAAGGTTGCAGGTGGAAAGACAAACCGCTGCGCTTGCTCCTGTTTCGCGGTAGGGCGGGTTAGTGGAAAGCCGCATGAGAGGAGGATGCGGGCTGTGTGACATACCATAATGGCCACCCTGGCTGGTATCATATACAGGCTGCTGCCGATTCTGCTGGCCATGCGGCGCCGAGGATGGGTTCTGGGGATCCATGATGACGGGTGTGGGGGTGGGGATCGTTCGTTTATCGCGATCTCAGATAGCTGGGCGCGAAGGTTGCGTGGTTGTGGAGCGGATAAAAAGACGGGGTGTTTGTCGGCGTGAGAGATATACGGCGTTGCGGGTTCTCGTGAATGACTGTTTTAACTTTTGAGAATTAGGTTTCCCAGATTCTGTTTACAAGGCAGCGACGACTTGTATAGTTTGTTTACTTGCGCGACAAGGTCGTCTACCACAGTCGCAGCTTTCCAGGTTTGAGTTGATTGGGGGGGTTGATTGGCCAGACACTGGGCCAAGCTGAAACCAATGACTGGAGTTAGATTGTGCTTGACGACTCGTGCCTCGAAGCGGGAGCCACTCAGCTCCAGCGAGAGGGGAACGAATTGATTGGTGAGATTATTGGGGATGATGTGAAATCGGCGCACCAGGGAGAGAATCACAGGTGCAGGAGGTACATACCCTTCTTATAGGCTTTGTCTATGGCGACCTCGATGGATTTTGGAGTTTTCAGATCCAAGGCAATGAGCGTGACGGGGGATGTAGGATGACGATTTGTGCGGGCGAGCGGTCAACCAAGAGATTGGGCATCAGCGCGGAGATGGACAACGAACTGTGGCGCAGTACCTGCAATCGTCACAGCTGCTTCAGCCCAAGACTTCTGCAGCAGTGTCGTTTTCTGACGGCCTAACCCAACCCGCTGCCAACTGGCAATGACGGTGTGGCTCAAAGACATGGAAGTCGGCCCCACGGAGAAAGAGTTAGTCCGACCTCTTCTTATTTTTTTTCCTCCGTAAATATCGTCAGTCCCAAGCTCTCTGCTTTGGAAATTTTCTCCCACCACTTCTCACAATGTCGGATATAACCATGGATCTCTCAGACGAGCAAATCGACAGGCTCCTGTCTGAGGCGGAGTCTCGTCTCGCAGTTCAAGACTCTCCAGTTGCTGCTCCGTCGAACCGAAACAAGTCGGCTATTCCATCAGCCTCGACGGCAGTTGTGAGTACAACTGAGCTGCCCAAGGGACAGGCAAAGCTCCCAGAAGGCATGACTGTCAGGGTTCCCAAACCCCCCAAAACCAAGAAAAGGGTATGTTCTACCTACCTAGATCCATGGTCTCCTGCATGCCTGTTCGCCTTGTCCTCCTGATGAAACTATTATCCCAAACCTTAATGACGCGGGACACGATCCCGTTATGGGAGCCCTGTCCTGCAACACAATGATTATCTTGTTCATAGTTACTCTGATTAAACAAAGAAAGGCTCAATCCGTGGCTGCTTCCGAGTCCAGTCCCGTTCACACATGCTGACTTGAGATTAGGATATCCCAGATAACGCTGGCACAAACTGGTTCAACATGCCGAGAACAAGCAATGACCCCCAGGTGAAAAGAGATCTCCAAATACTCAAACTCCGGGGCGTTCTTGCGCTGGGAAAACAGCATTTCAAAAATGATACCCGGAAGGACCCTATCCCCAAATTCTCACAGGTTGGGACACTGGTCGAGGGCCCGACCGACTTCTACAACGGCCGCCTGAACCGCAAGGAGAGGAAGCGCACGTTGGTGGAAGAGGTTCTTTCATCGGGCACAACGCTTGCCAAGTTCAAGACAAAATACAACGAGATACAGGACCGGAGCAGGAGCGGGAAGAAGTCGCATTATAAGAAGATGCTCGCGAGAAGGAGACGAGGATGAATGAACGAGGCCAGAGGATTAACCTGGGATATTAATCATGCCTCTCACATCAGGATGTGCTTAGGTGTGGAAGCGTCTGCCCGGCTTCGAAGCTCCTTCTCTAGCTGAGGAGCTTTGATGCTTCGGGTGTTAACCGACCGAGGCAGGATCACAATGGTTGTGGTCCTGGTTTGTGCGTCCGCCAGATAGGGGAACAAGACTATCCCCTAATCTCCGTGAGGAATCGCCGATGCCGCATGTCGACGCCGATGTGCTGCGAGGTCTCTGGCTTCCCCCATTGGAGCCGCTGCACACAAGCTCTCGCGTCGAGAATCCCGAGTCAAGGCAGACCAAGTTGAGCAGAGATACGCAAGCGACGTTGCTTAGGTAGACTGTAGGAACTAGATATGAAAACCTGCAAATCTAACCTCGTCTCTTCTCACTGCCACTTCATTCTATCCACTGAACTGAATCCTTGAAAACCGGATGTGAAAATATCATGACACAGTGCATATACAGTATAAATACCGTTCCTGATAACTGTGGGGCACGCTCCATCCAGGGCACTAAAATCTCCTTCGAGCCTCGAGCTCTCCTGCAACATTCGAGGGTCCCGACGAGATCATGCAGAGATGAATGCGCCACCATTACTACGACCGTTACGGCACTTGTTGCAGAGGCGGCTGGTAAGGAATTCTCTCTCCCAATGGCACATTCTAGCCATAATCTGTTGCTAATCAATCCCAATTGCGCCGTTGTAGCAACTCGCGACGGCTCGGCCAGTCCACCATGCCTTCACAAATCCGCCCGGACAAGTTCGAACAAATACGTCGGTGTAAGGTCACAATGGATGGGGGTTTTTGAAGCTGCGGCAATGGTGCTGACAGCCTCTCAGAGCGACCGGAAGCGAAGCCACTACATCGACGACGTCGGTTCCGCCCCTCCTCCTCCCCCATTTTCTCCAATGCAGCGAAGCCGGACTGACACGAAATAGAAATGAGCTGTCGGACCCAGCCACCGAGGCAACGGAAGCGAAGGATCCTCGCTACCCGCGCAGCTTGCAGGCGCTGTACCTGAAGCCGCTGCGGCGCGAGGCCGAGTTTGGGGTGCCGAGCTGCGACCTACAGCTGCGGTCGTACTCGGTGCGCAACCTCGAGTTTTTCTGCGACTTCGCGCTGCGGGCGGCGTACTATCTGGGCCTGCCGGCGTTCGGGCCCGTGCCGCTCCCGCGGATGACGGAGCGGTGGACGGTGCCCAAGAGCAACTTCATCTTCAAGAAGTCGCAGGAGAACTTTTCGCGCATCACGCTCCGCCGCCTGATCCAGATCCGTGACGGACACCCCGAGACGGTGCAGGTGTGGCTGGCATTCTTGCAGAAGCATGCGTACTACGGCATTGGTATGAAGGCGAACGTGTGGGAGTTTAGCAAGCTGGGTGAGTCCTCTCCCTTCATTTTGCACCCCATCTTCTTTCTTTGGCGATATATTACACCTTTTTTGGGCCGGGCAGCTGACTGACGAGCTTCTTCACAGGTGTTGGTAAGGCAATGGATGACAGCGTGGCGGATGTGTCAAAACTGCTGGAGGACAAGTGGGCCCACCTAGGACAGTCCAAGAAGAGCGAGGTGAAACCTGTTGAGAAGATTGAAGAGCTCCTTACCAGCGAGAGGATCAGGTACGCCGGTGGGAGATAAAATGGGCCTTCATATTCTTAGCAATCTATTCGAGACTGTAAGAGATACGTGTACAGACAAATAGACGTTTTTCGAAGTACTCTAGCAACTAGACATGTGTATATATGGATACATGGCCTATGTCAATGATACAGGAACGCAACCAAATAAAATCTATGCCAAGACGTGGCATGAATAGGTAGAAAGTGCATGGGCAATACACAGGGGATGATTGTCTTTAGGCCGTCCCCAGGGTTGGAGTTGGCGTCCTATCTGCTGGGCACCCGCTGTAACCCCACCCAACCCACCAAAATTACAGCGCCGCCCCCGTCTCGCTTGAGAAATTTCTCGTGCTCAGATGGCATAAGAGAGGGACCTTCACAAGCTAGGTGACTCACTCACTACCCGTATGTGCAGGAACGGGAGGGAAGAAGACCGACTGACGACCTGTCTCTTGGATAATGGGGACCAGACGGGGATTGGCCGCCCAGGTTGTGAAAAATCTGCGGCGACTCGGCCATAGTCGAGCAGCGTCTAGTGACGCGAGCAACAGCAGCAACAGGGTCGTCTTCTCGGGCATCCAGCCGACAGGTGTGCCGCATCTGGGCAACTACCTCGGGGCGCTGCAGCAATGGAAGCGCATGCAGGATGAGGCTACTCCGGGGACCAAGCTCATCTACTCGATAGTCGACTTCCACGCCATCACGGTCCCCCAGCAGGCCGCCATGCTGAGGCAGTGGAAGCGCGAGATGATGGCTTCGCTGTTGGCCATCGGCTTGGATCCGGACCGGTCCATTATCTTCTACCAGTCGTCGGTGAGCCCTGCAACGGTGCCCTGGGAGAAAAAGAGACGACGTGAGATGCTCATACCACGCCACAGGTCCCGGCCCATTCGGAGCTCATGTGGATACTTAGCTGTACTGCTTCTGTGGGATACCTCTCTCGCATGACACAATGGAAGGTGGGGAGCCATTGTGACTACCTATTTTTGATACCCCGGTTTTTATTTACTGAAAAGTCTACAGAGCAAGTTGTCTCTGTCCGAGAACACGTCGTTCCTAGACGAGAAGGCGAAGTCTTCGCTCAAGCTCGGCCTCTTCTCCTATCCTGTCCTGCAAGCCGCCGACATTCTAGTGCATAGGTTTGTAGTCCTCGAGCCCCTGATTTCCCTCTCTAGCTCTAACCCGCCAATCACCAGAGCAACTCACGTCCCCGTCGGCGAAGACCAACGGCAGCATCTAGAGTTCGCGCGGGAGTGTGCCACAAACTTCAACCACGCCTTCGGGCAACATCTCATCCTTCCAGAGACAATCATCTGTATGTGATTCTCTCCTCTCCCTGCCCCCTCAATCACCAACCTCACCTCCCAACTCAACCCCCTTCACCCCTTGCCCCTCCTTTTCTTCTACTTTATATATATATATATATATCCAAACTTGGCACAACCTCCTTACCAACCCCCCCCGACAGCACCCGCCCGCCGCGTCATGTCCCTCCAAAAGCCGACGCACAAGATGTCCAAGTCGCACGCGGACCCGCGCTCGCGCATCCTGATCACGGACTCGGAGGACGAGATCCGGCGCAAGGTCTCCGCCGCGCTGACCGACATGACCAACTCGGTCTCGTACGACCCGGACGCCCGGCCGGGCGTCTCCAACCTGCTCCGCCTGCTCTCGCTGTTCGAGGTCGACGGGCGCAGGGGCCCCGAGGAGCTGGCGGCGGAGCTCGAGGGCGCGAGCCTCGGGGCGCTCAAGGCGAGGGTGGCGGATGCGGTTGTACGCGGGATGGCGGGCGTTAGGGAGAGGTATCACGAGTTTATGGAGATGGATGGTGGCAGGTATCTGGACGACGTGCAGGAGAAGGGCGCCGTGAAGGCTAGGGAGAGCGCGGGGGAGACGATGAAGATTGTAAGATCAGCTGTGGGACTATGACGCCGGGGTGGCCTCTCCGTTTTCCCCGTATCTGTAAGAACAGACCTGTACTATTATAGCCTTTATGACACAGGGGGTCTTTCCTCCAGCTTTCCACACTTTCCACGGTCGGTTCACCACCTTGTGTGCCCCATTTTCCCATTACGATATGTCTCGGGAGATCCAGAGGCATCCAAAGCAGGAGGCGTGGGAGAACAACCGGCCATATGAGCTTATCCGGCACTCCTTCTAACCTTGTATTCCAATCACGACACATACGCAAAGTTGGATCCCCTGCAGGCAAGCCAGAACTCCCTCACCACTTGGTTCGTTGGCCGACCACCCCTTAAACTAGATAAACAATGTCAGATGAACATTATTTTTTAATTCTTGGTGTGCCGTTAATGGTCCTTCGACTTACCTGATGATCTTTTTCAAGAAAAGTGTCCTGTCTTCAGGGGAGACATGTGGGCTTGGGAAGGACTCGCTGTATAGAGCTTGCTCTAGCCATGTCTTGGCACGAGCCTGTTGGACGACGAGTTTCTTGAGCGGTTCGCTGAGCCTGTCCAGCTCGCTGCGCGAAGCGTTACCGCCAATGTTCTGCACCAGGGACTGGGCAATGAGGGGGCCGAGGTGTTCCATGGCAGCGGTGATCGAGGCCTGCGTCGAGGGATCTTCACTCTTCAGGGTAATAAATCCTGTCTAGCCGGGGGGTTAGCATGTTGAGACAAAACGGATGGTGTCTTTCTTCTGGGGAGGCTGACTTACCCAGAAGTCTGTCGCTGCATTCTTGGGCAGGGGCTGGCGTCCGTTGAGGACCTTCAAGGTAAAGAGGAGAAAGAATTCGAGAGATGATGCAGGTTGCAAACTGAAGAGAACCTCTGGCTGCTTTACCATGACTCGGTGGACGAAGTCGATACTATTGGGAGCCAGCTCGGTGTCGGCTTCAGGTTCTGCGAGTTTGGTTAATTAGAGAACGAAGTTAACTGCAACCATAGGTACCTGAACCTACCAGGGAGTGATTGGAGCAGGCCAATGACCCATGGCAACAACCTCGACAGGTTGTCCCTAACATGGACGCTGGGTCCCTTGTAGAGAGAGCTTACAAAAGAGCAAGCGGTGAGGAGGAGCGTTCCTATTCGAGGTGTCCTGATCGTCTGCTTGATGAAGAAGCTCGAGATCGTGTCCGGAGGGAAGACGAATGGCCCTGGTTCTGTCTCGGAGAAGCCGGCGCGGAAGATGTTGCAGACAGCTTCAACCACCTCCCCGCTACCATAGAACGTGGTCAGGATTCGATCTATGGCTACAAGAATCTCGTTGTGGATCCCCGTTAGTTCGACACTCCTCGTGTCTGTTGATGGGGCGTCCAGGTCAATAGGACCCTCCGAGACGTCTTGCATCCCCTTGGCGAGGCTGTTGAGGCATCTAAGAGCCCTCAGCGATAGTTGCAGCGAGACCTCGTCTGCCGATGGCACCACCTGTACCTGGGACGACTCCAAACCTCTCCTGAACAGAGGGTCGGAAAGGTCAAGCAGTTCCGGATGCAACGCTAGCTGCAGAGATCGCTCCATGTCATCCCTGATGAGAGAGAACAGCTGCTCGAAAGCCTGCAATCTCTGAGCTCCAACCTTAACAGATTGGATAATGGATGCTACTGCAAGGACAATTCTCTCCTCGGCGAGAGAATCAATGACTTGGCCAGTGCGGATGGCCGAGTAATGCCCCAGAAACACGCCCAACTCTCCCGTGAGGATGGAGCGACACGAGGAACACAGCGTGGAAATAGACTTGGCGGACGGACCTCCCAGTATCGGGTCTGTAACGGCGTCGAACAGCAGATTCAATGCCGAGGGAAGATGCTCTGCATGGCGCTCAAAGTAGTCCGAGTAGCGCTCGATCAGGGACAGGCCGGTCTGGCGCAGACGGACCGGTATTGGGCCCCGAGTCTGCCCTAACAGCTCGAAGAACGGAGATGCAAAGACCTTGCAGAGCACATCGTCGCACTTGTCGTCGTCCGCGATGCAATCAGACAATGAGCCAAGGCAGAACGCTGCGGCTTCAAGCTCGGCCCAGGCCTGAGAGGGAAGGCTTTGGAGAAGCGAGTCGACAAACATAGAAACGAGGGGAGGACCAGATAAGGTATAAACAGCCTGGAGAAGATCGGCAACGTCCTTTCTCGCATCGCTGAATCCCACCCGCTCTGTCGAATCCCAACTTGCGAAGACCTCGATCGAAGGATACTGTATCTTCCGCCAGCAATTGGCGACAACCTGCATGACGTGCGCCATAGCCTTGGGCATCCAGGCTTTCGTATCCTCTTCCACCGATGAGTACATGATGTCCGTCATGGTCTCGACAAATGTAGACCAAAACTCGAGAGCGGGCACGAAGATCTTGTCCTCGCCCACGGGATGACCCGAGGCAGTAAGTAGTCCGCTAAGACCTGACAAGAAGTTCTGAGACTGGGCGTCGGAGCCCTCCATAAGCTCTTGAACCTTGGCGTCTCCGTAGGCCAGCATGAATAAGCCGAACTGCAGAGAGTCGAAGTCGAAGTCACCCTGGAGCAGAGCTTGATACCGCTCCTGGGCCCATTGGCTCTCGAACAAGCTGGCAAGTGAACTATAGTGTTCTTTGGTGAGGAAGCCAGAGTAGTTGGATAGTATGTCAGTGAAGAGTTCAATCGCAGCTTCGTACAGATCATCATTGGCGAGACAGTTCAGCGTGGGTGGGATCAGTGTTCGAAGAGGGCCGATCAAGATGTCGGTCGTTGATGAAGCACGCTGCGCGTAAAGGATCCAGGACTTCAAAATAGTTAGTATTCCCCACCTTGAAGTCGGGTAAAAGGGGTAGATAGTCCTACCTGGAGGCATTTGATTGAGTCCTCCTGTATTTTGGCCCTGGCCGGTTCGGAGCCCGGCGCTAGACCGCGGGCAAGTAAGCTCGTCACTTCTGGGGCATTCTGTGCAAGGCGATCATGGGTTTGGTTGCTGAACGCCGTTAGCGGATCTTGAACCGAGTCGAATACAGTAAGGGGACAGGTCGCAATCTCGACGTACTATTTTGACGAGTTCATGTCCGTCTTCCCAATGTCCTCTACAAAGGAGGCCGCGAACCACAGGGCAGCCTGCAACTTTGCCACCGTTAAGGAACCAATGACCTGGCTACTCGGGGGTATGGAGTCGAGTTCTTCGACTGGAACGGCCCGGCCGAGATCAAGGCAATAGACGAGATGTCGGACACAGTGCGGCCAGAGGTGTGAGAAATGGATAAAATAGGTTGCTAAGGCAGAACAGAGCTTCCTAATCACCAAGGTTCCAGAACCGTCTTCCAAAGATCGGACAAGCCAACCAACCAGGTTCTGAAGGAGCTCCTTTGCATCGTTCTCACTCAAGGCTGAGCTGTGAATAAGGTCAGCACTCTGAAGGGAAGCGACGGGAAATCGGGATACTTGCTTCTCAGTGTTGAGCTTCACCATCAGGGTCAGGGCACCGAAGAACTTGATTTTGTCGTCAGTGCTGGCGAGGAGGCTCCGGGCAAGCTGCCATCCTTCTCCAGACTTCTGGAGTCTGTGGAGTACATCCTGGATCTTCGAAATACTTTCTGGCGGAGCTGGTTCATATAGAGCCCGAATCAACTAAAACCAGAGTCGTTAGCCTGAGCTCAAGCGTGTTTCCCTTGGCATGAACTTACAGCTTCCACCTCAGCCAGGCTTGATGGTAATGGGAGTTGTTCCATCTTGACAAACAGTCGAGCATGCTATGGCTGGATATATCAGATAGGTAGGTACTTTGAACAGCAGCCGCCACCGTGGCTAACCCCGTACAAAGGATGGAAATCTAAGTTGTCGGTTTAGTTGAAGCCGAAACTGTCATTTTTGTTTACGCCGTCCACAGTTCATGCCATTAACGACCGGTTGTCAGTGTGAGGTGAGGTGATAGCTCTGATGCCCAAGTCGGATAGGTAGAAGGTTGAGGTCACTGTATATGCAATGTAGAGTCAGATGCAGTTATCCGCAGCAGAGCTTTCGACGTGGGCCAGCGGGCCCCACCCCACCACCCCAGCTCAACCCGATGTTAACCTCCAGCTCCATGGAAGACCTGAGTTACAAAGGTACCTTATCGACTAGTAGGTCTGCACCTGTAGCTGGACTTCTGGCCCAAGCAAGCTGATTCGAAGCATTCCATACTAACTGGAATTTACCTAGCCCCTCTCCTATTAACTGCCAGCTACCTAATCCGGCAGGAGGAGTCTGGGGTGCCCAAGGAACTAATTATCAACGCCGAATCGTGGACGAGGGGTTGAAGACGAGGAACGAGACACCCTGTTTCTTGCACCCTCCATGCGTTATATATGCTCGCGCCCTTTTTTCGCTTCTTCTTTCGGGACTCCGGTGGCACAATTTGTTCGGCCTTCTAAGACCAGATCCTCGAGGTTCGTTTTTGCAGGCAGACTTACGATATCCGCACCGTTTTTACCCCGCGCCGCCGCTTTCTCAACCTCAACGGCACCATTCATAACCATGGAGACCGTGGACACGACCAGCCGGCTGGCAGAGCTGAGGGCTTTGATGAAAGAGCGCAAAGTGGACGTCTATAGTAAGAAAACTCAGAGAGCGTGCGCCCCCGCATCCAGTTGGTCGCGTGCTGACACCAAGCCCCCCCAGTTGTTCCCTCGGAAGACAGCCATGCCTCAGAATATATTGCTGCGTGCGATGCGCGACGCGAGTTCATTTGCGGGTTCTCTGGATCGGCGGGCACGGCAGTGATCACTCTCGACAAGGCAGCCCTAGCTACCGACGGCCGATATTTCAACCAGGCTGCCAAACAACTGGACAATAACTGGCTGCTCCTCAAGACCGGCTTGCAAGATGTCCCGACATGGCAAGAGTGGACTGCAGACGAGTCTGCAGGAGGGAAGGTTGTTGCCGTCGACCCCACTCTCATCTCGAGCTCTACGGAGGAGAAGCTATCAGAGAAGATCAAGAAGGGTGGCGGAGCTGGCCTCGACCCAGTTGCCGAGAACCTGGTAGATCTCGTCTGGGCCAAAGCCAAGCCTCCTCGGCCGAGCGAGCCTGTCATTCTTCTACCTGAGAAATATGCGGGGAAAGACGTCGCATCGAAGCTGGCCGATCTCCGCAAGGAACTCGAAAAGAAAAAGTCGGTCGGTTTTGTGGTGTCCATGCTTGACGAGATTGCATGGCTCTTCAACCTTCGCGGAAGCGACATCCCTTACAATCCTGTCTTCTTTTCCTATGCCATCGTCACGCCAGGCTCTGCGACCTTGTACGTTGACATCGCCAAGCTCAGCAAGGACTGCCAGGATTATTTAGCTGCGAACAGTGTCACAGTCAAGCCCTACGAAGCTATCTTTGACGACGCAAGGGCGCTCGCTGCGTCTGCTCGAACTAATGGGGACTCTGCTAGCCTAACACAGTATTTGATGTCGACGAAGGCGTCGTGGGCGCTGAAATTGGCTCTTGGAGGCGACGACCTAGTCGAAGAGATTAGAAGTCCGATTGGCGACGCCAAAGCTGTGAAGAACGACACGGAGTTGGAGGGCATGAGACAATGCCATATCCGGGATGGCGCGGCCCTCATCGAGTTTTTCGCGTGGCTTGAACACCAGCTCCTGGAGAAAAAGGCGACCTTGGACGAAGTTGAAGCGGCAGATAAGCTTGAAGGGCTACGGAAGAAGCAGAAGGATTATGTCGGCCTTTCCTTCGACACGATATCCTCTACCGGAGCCAAGTGAGTTTGTCTCTCCCTTACACTTCTGGACTGGCTGACAGTTCTTAGTGCTGCCGTGATACACTACAAGCCCGAGAGGGGAAATTGCTCCGTGATCGATCCCAATGCCGTCTATCTCTGTGATTCAGGGGCACAATACTTCGATGGGACCACAGATACCACGAGAACTCTCCATTTCGGAACGCCGACTGAAGCGGAGAAGAAAGCCTACACATTAGTGCTCAAAGGAAACATGGCGTTGGACACGGCAGTATTCCCCAAGGGGACAACAGGCTTCGCCCTGGATAGTCTGGCAAGGCAATTTTTATGGGTAAGCCCTTGACATTGGAAAGATATACGCACATTTTCCAAGACTCACACCTGTCACAGCAAGAGGGACTCGACTATCGCCACGGAACGGGTCATGGAGTGGGGTCTTTCCTCAACGTCCACGAGGGACCTATCGGTATCGGCACTCGGAAACAGTATATCGAGGTATCGCTCGCCGCTGGAAACGTCATATCGAATGAGCCGGGCTATTACGAAGATGGGTCGTATGGCATTCGAATTGAAAACATCGTCATGGTGAGAGAAGTGAAGACGGAACATTCGTTCGGGGACAAGCCCTATTTGGGCTTCGAACACGTTACAATGGTGCCATACTGCAGAAACCTGATCGACTCTTCCCTGTTGACAGCGAAGGAGAAGAAATGGCTCAACGACTACAACGTGGACATCTTTGAGAAGACGAAGGACTACTTCAAGGATGATCCGCTGACGTTGGCATGGCTCGAGAAGGAGACGCAGGCCTTCTAAACTAAAGTTTGATTCATAACCAAGACAATATGCTAGAAGGACATAAATGCCGATAGCGCAAAGGTTAGACCAAATGATATTCCAAATGCAGGACGCTTGACCAGGGATGAGAGGATGCGCGAAGATTCAACCCGTTTTCTCAGGTTCAGCCACCCCACAATATCGATGCCAAATCGGGAAGCAACCTAGGGGCAGGTTTTAGTCTTTGAGTGAGGTCCCGAACACTATGGGAAATAAAGTACCTGAACGGCGGTAATGCTTAAGCCGACGAGAAGGACGAGCGTCTTGGAGAAGACGCTCACAACCAACCCTAAAAAGAAGCCTGATCGGAATTAGTCGACGCCCTGAGGAGGGGGAGGCAGAACAAGTAGTACCAGAAAGGCTCCCGCCAGATAGCTGCTTGATAACCTCGGGATCTAGTCTGTCTTTCCGCCCACTCGACATGGATCTAGCAGCTGGCCTGGAATCGAATCGCAGAGGGGTCTGCCTGCTGATCATCATCGCACCAGCCGACAGACCCAGGCTGAGAGGCACGACATTACGACGCAGGGCAGAGCGGCACATGGAAAGAGCCGCCATATTGCACGAGTATTTGAAGGAGAAGATGCCTGTTCGAAGCATCAGACAGGAAAGGGGAAAGCTGGGGAAGGATGATGGAGTACGAGTGATGTCATGGTAAAGCGCCCCGATAACAGCAACAGCGCTTCAACAAGTACAACACCATGACAATAAGATGCAATACAGCCCCAATTGAAGATACTGAACAATACTAAGCTATAGGATGCTGTCTATTTACGGTGATTAACGGCTCTCCGCCGAATCTCGCAGAAATAATGGAAAAGTAGTAGAGGGGAGGGTTGTTAGCTGTCGTACCTCGTAATTCTAAATACCGCATAACCGGGTATCTAGTATATGGGTTGCAACGATACTGAGCTTATGTGCAATACGAGATTTACACACATGCGGTAGGTACACACCTGCCAATCACAAGGTCGATGAGGCCCCACTTGTTTGGACGCGCTCTTCCTGGACGCGTCTGTTTTCTTTCCCGCTGCGCCTTCCACCACCCACCTAACAAACCACCGCCCAGCCACCCCACCCAGACGTTGAGAATTGGTCGCAACGCTGGGCGCATACAATTAAACATTTCTCCTAGACAGTTCAACGATATTCTAATTTCCCCACCCAAATCTATCATCCCCAATGCCACGGCCAAAGCGAACTCGAGGCGTCGCGACGCGCCAGGCGAACCTGGGGGCCGAAACATCCGCACCGACCAGCGCAACGCAGCCAGCCGCACACAACCCAATTATCCCTTCCGGCTCCAGCACCGATATTTACGACCTTAGCGACCGAGAGAAGGAGAAAATAAGGATCCAGAAAGCAGGACTCGGCGCGGAGGCGGATGACACCGCGTCGCAGAGCGCGCGACCGCGACTCGGAGTGAAAGGGAACGCCCAGCAAGCGAAGGCGCTGGAGGATTCAATGAGCAGGCGCGACGAGGCAATGACGCGCATGGACGATCTTACTTCCACATCTAAAACCTTCAACGCGTCATCTGACGACGTAGAGAGTCCGCCAGAGATCGGCCGCCGCAGCCAGACAAGCCTCCGACAATGTCGGCCGACAGACGTCTCTGGCTTGGACTTGGACGACGACATGTTTGGCGATTTGGACGACAGCCTGGTTGGCCACGACCAATCGCAAAGCGTTCATCACTCGACCGACACGTCGAGTCTCAATGTAGCAGCCTTCCGGAAACGCCCTCGCAAGTCGAGCATCGTCGGCAGGGACGACGCTCCCATCAGGCCAAGCAGCAGAGGCCCGAATACTCCAGGAATCAGTTCCACCCTCAATTTTGGCCATTTCAGGCGACGCCCGAGGGAGCCCAGTATTCTCGGCACGGGTCGGAGAGGCCGGTCGAACAGCCGGCAGCCCCAGGCTTCCGGAGATGAGAGCGAAAATGAGCGAGATTTGACGCGTAATATTGGTCTGACGCCGCTGCGCCAGACATCCAGACAGCTTGGTGGCGCGCCCTCGAGTGAGGCCCCGAGGCAAGCCTCGCCAAATGAGCGCACACGGAAGAGGAAGTCACTGGAGGACCATGGAAGTGGTCAGAAGCGAGCCGCGCTCGACTCGGACGATGACGTCCGCGACTCGATAGAAGTTGACGACAGCCCTGACGCCTCACGTCAGGGTCGCAGTCCACCTCGCCTAGCCACCCCGGATATGGACGATCCCGACCTGGCTCCGCCGCTGAGCAGCGGATCGTCTGAAGGTGGGGCCGCCATCTGGCCCCCTCTGGATTCTCTTGCGCACCGAACCTACCGGACGAGGAGACTAGCCTCGCGGGCCCTGAAGACTCCCGAGTTGGGCGATAGTGGCTCCGACATTTCATCACCCCCCTCCCTCACGCATTCGCCGAACTATAGACCAGCAGCGAAAACCAAGCGGAATGTGCGAGCCGCCAAGGCCAAAGTCACCACGGCCGATCTGGCGTCCCTGCTACCTCGGCGACGCCATAAAAAGACGGGATCCAACCCCTTCGAGATCACCAGCTCGGATGCCGAGGAAGAAGATTCCACCCTCGGGAACGAGGATGACGAGCTCGCCTACACCAGTTCGAGGGCAACCCGTACCAGGAAAACACCACGGCCGCCAGGCCGCGCCGCGAACAGCGAGGCAAAGGACAAGAGAGCCCCCGGAACCGGCAAGACCTCCCGGCGGACGTACGGGTCCCGCAGCTCGGACAAGGAGAACCAGGGCGAGGAGGAGATCATCGTCGGCGCCGGCGATGATGCCGCGGAGGACGAGGGCGAGGAGGACGGGGTGGAGTTGCCGGATGAGGAGACCAGCCAGATGATGCTGGTGAGGCTGGGCCAGGAGCTGAAGAGCGCGGCGAAGAAGTTCAAGGAGGTGGACAAGTGGGAGCTGGAATTCGAGGAGATCACCCACTCGTCGTCACCGAAGGATGCGCGGTGACGGGGACATGCCTGTCACGAAAGGATAAGGAGCGAAGGGAGGTTGGAGTGGAGGGTGGGCATAACTTGCCTTCAGGTCTGTGGTTTTCAGGGGCTCGGTCGGGTCTAACGTTTTTTTTTTTTTTTGCATCATCGTCCGTTCGAGGAGGACTTTTTCCCCTGTTATTGGGGCTTAGGAGATACCAGATGCCTTGGCTTCAACGTAGTCGATAGGGCTACTATTTATTTTTTGAGACCGAGGACACTTGTCCCCGCAAGATGTAACGAGGATAAGGGGTATGGGGGAATTTGCTTGTTGAGGACCAAAAAAAAAGACTTCCACAGCTGTGTTTGGTTTTATGAGAAGAACCTGGAACGCCTCCAACACCAAAGACTGACTGACTTGACTACCTAATGCTTCACGTACGCCGTGTCCCAAACCATATGGCCGACCGTGTTGAGCTAGGTGCCTACCTAGCGAAGAGCGGAACCGAAAAGATTTAAACCATGCCCTCATGACCTGAGGGAAACACTCTCCAACTGATGCTCTATCACTGGTAACAGGCCCGCGACCTGATTGGCGTCTCTCATCGCTGCTGTAACCGCATCCGGAAGGAGTCCGTTCATCAATAAACTCTGCGAGATGGTCAGTAATTTGGTGCTGTGGTCTCCCTGAACATGGTGGTTTCTTGGATCACGCAGTCATGGGAAGCAAACGGGGCAGAGACGAGGTTTCTGCTTCCTGAATGGTAATGTGTGTTGCTCTTTGGGGAAAACGAGCGGAACAAGGGAAATCGGGTCGCATCCCGTCGTCAAAACTCACCCTCTTGAGGTTGGCGAACGAGTCCTCCTTGGCCGTGTACTCGCGGATGACCTCGTCGGTGTCGAAGTCGATGTAGAGCCTCGTATCCCTGACGCGGACGACGACGTTGTCCAGGCGCATGTATAGGCGGCATAGCAGCAGCATGCGGTGCTCCATGACGCGGACCTTGACGCTGAGGACCGAGATGCCGTTGTCGTCCAGCTCGCTCTCGTACAGCATGACCTCGTCGAAGAATAGGATCGGGTCGCGCCGCTTGAGCAGCTCCAGCGGGATCGGTTTCGTGGACGGGGCGAGCTGCTTCCCGGCGGCGTCCCCTGCGGCGGTGGTGCCGCGGTACGTGGTCGAGTAGCTCCAGTCGTAGGGCTTGACGACCTCCTTGATGCCGGCCGAGGTGCGCTCCCTGCTCGAGGACCACTCGCCGGCGTAGGCGACGCGGAGCATGTTGCGGTCGGTCTTGTCGACGAGGTCGAGGGCGTCCTCGGCGCGGAACTCGACGGACCAGCCCGTGGGCGCGTGCGTCACCGCCACCAGGTTGTCGCCGAAGATCATCTCGGGGATCGGGATGCCCAGCCGCGCGCCCATGGCATCGATGGGTCCGCTCTTGGAGATGGGCAGCTTGCGAGAGCTGATGCGGAAGTTGCCCTGCGTGTGGACCGTCGTCGCCTGCCCCAGGGCATCTGGCGTGAGGAAGGGCTCGTTGGGGGAGCTGATGTGGTTCATCTTTTTCTATGACTTTGGATCTTTGCCCAATTCCCGCACTGCTGGTCGCAAATGATGTACCGAACCTTCCCTTTGAGAGTGAAATATAGTGCGACAGGAACTGGATTATGGGATCGTGGGCTTAGTTGTCATGTCGTGAATAATAGCAGGGCCAGCTGTTGTGTTGTACTGTACACAGTAGTTCTAGTGGTTCATGGCGGGGTTCAGTCTGAGGATCTTGGAGGGCCAGGAAGGTGGGGGGTACAGAGCGGACAGTGCTGCCGATTAAGCCATTCCTTCTTGCAACTCTACCTATTCGTAGCAATGTACTGTACTTGTTTGGTCGATGTCATGAGCACTGGCAGAACCAGCAGGCAATTACACAGGCTCAAAAGTGCCGGATTGGAACTTTTTGAACTCAACAGAGTCAGTCTCACCCATTTCTTGAGACAAGAAACAAGTCGAAAACGGTGTGCCATGAAACGGCGGAAACATGAATCTACGCAGAACAATGGGCGCTAGACCAGTGTGGATGGGATTATAAGCTACTTCACGATTAACAGACTTCGCATGTCATTAAACCTATTGTCGTTAGCCAGGATGTGACTTGTCTGTGATTTTATTCTGGTGGTGCCCCATCCAGCTCGTTGCCTGGGTGACGGCCGTAAACATGCCTGCTCCCCACTAACCAACCAACATGCCCCGTACCCAGTTCCTAAGCTCTGGACCACTCCCTTGAAGTGAACAAGATCATCACTTTGGTAGCCCGCACTTTCATCCTTTATCGGAGCCTCAGCTATCATCATGGCTACTCGCACACTGGAGGCTCGCTTCGAGCACATGTCAGTCAACGACAATGGGTTCCAGAAGGCCAAGCCCACCCAACTCGCCCACTCCTCGAGCCGGCCCAATCTCTTCAAGGTTGCTCTTCAGTCACAAAAACCAAATGCTGTCACCACCACCACTACCGTAACTCTTCCCTCTCAAGCAGCACAATGGAAGGGTTCCAGTGCGCAAGCCAACGGTCCGGCATCACCAGGCAAGAGGGACATGTCAGGGACGTCGTCCCGCAGCTCCGACGAGCTGGCACTCGCCGAGCGCGCGTCGGCCGCCTACGTCGACCAGCCCCTTGTCCCTAAGCAGTTCCACCTCGGGATGTTCGAGATCGGCCGGCCGCTCGGCAAGGGCAAGTTCGGGCGGGTGTACCTCGCGCGCGAGCGCAACACGGGGTTCGTGTGCGCGCTCAAGACGCTGTACAAGGCGGAGCTGCAAAGCTCGGGGGCCGAAGGCCAGGTCCGGCGCGAGGTGGAGATCCAGAGTAACCTCCGGCACCCCAACATCCTCAAGCTGTACGGCCACTTCCACGACAGCAAGCGCATCTTCCTCATCCTGGAGTTCGCCGGGAAGGGCGAGCTGTACAAGCACCTGAGGCGGGAGAACCGGTTCCCCGAGTGGAAGGCAGCCCACTACATCGCCCAGTGCGCCGCCGCGCTGAGGTACCTCCACCGCAAGCACGTCATCCACCGGGACATCAAGCCCGAGAACATCCTGCTCGGCATCCACGGCGAGATCAAGATTGCCGACTTTGGCTGGAGCGTCCACGCCCCGAGCAGGAGGCGGCAGACGCTCTGCGGCACCCTAGACTACCTCCCGCCCGAGATGATCGTCAAGACGAGCAAGGATGGGTCGTATAACGAGAAGGTCGACCTGTGGAGCCTGGGAGTGCTGACGTACGAGTTTCTGGTGGGCGAGGCGCCCTTCGAGGACACCAAAGTTATGACCCAGAAGAGAATTGCAAGGGCCGACATGACCATCCCGTCATTCGTCAGCCCCGAGGCTAGGGACCTCATCAAGAAGGTATGTTGTGCATGAATGAATGCGTGGTTCTGTTCTCGGTCACAAGTGGCTGACCCTCCCAATCTAGCTTCTGGTTCTCGACCCCGAGAAGAGACTTCCCCTAGAGGATGTCCAGCAGCATCCGTGGATATTGAAGCACTGCGCAAAGGGAAACCGGACGGGTAATCCCGATCAAGTGGCAGGGAGAACTGGGAGCTGAGTGAGCAGTCAATGATCTGACGACTTGATGGGAAACCGCAGGAGTTGATGGGCGTTCATGGCCGGGGGTTTATTGGTGTTTGATGAACTATTACAATTTGCATATGCTGAAGCCGGCCCTCTCTCTACCTCTATCCGTCTTTTTGTCTCAATACATGAGCATGGTATCATGGGTCTCTGGAGATTTCATTATAAATAATACAGGAGCCAGTCATTGACTTGATCGAGGTGCCCAAAGTCCTTAGCGATAGACCTCGTTGAAAGGCCTCGTATCGTTAAAGCACGAGTCCCATACCTCGTTGACGACCTTTACCGCGTGTACATCATCCTTACACCGCGGCCGCGCCATGACCGACTGTACCGCCCTCATGCGCACGCAGTTTTGAAATTGTTGGGTCAACTTCCAATTCCCCCTGGTCATCGTTTCCCTTGTCCACCTGCACTCGCCACTCAGCGCCGATGCGCGGATCTGCAGAGACAGAACCCGTTAGCCCAGTCCGACCAGATTATGCCCCCACCGTTGCAAAAACTCACCTCTGCACAAGCGGCCTGCCGCAAGTCCTTCTCCCCGGCAAAGTCGACCTTCCACCTCAGGTGGTCCCAAGCGTGCACCATCTCGTGGGCGAGGCTGTCCTCGAGGTGTCCGCGGTCGCGGATCTCGTTGGCGCACAGCAGGATGCCGTGTCCGGGGCTGAAGCCGCCGGACTGGCGGACGACGTCGCCATCTTCGGTCAGGCGGGCCGGGCACCTCCGGCAGACGACGTTGGAGGCGTCGAGGGAGCCGTTGAGGGCGGAGACGCGCTCGCGCAGGAAGCGCACCGTTGGCGAGTGCGCGAACAGCCAGTCCCGGTACTCCTCGCACCGCCGGCAGTCGCGCTCCTCGTGCGCCCGGTACCGGTCCTCCCGGTAGTGGAACGCCCCTTCCTTGGTCACCCGCCCCGTCAAGATCCGGAAGTAGTTCATCCACCACGCCACCCCGGGGTCGTACCCCGTCCGCGCCGGGTCATTCTTGAGGCTGGGGGCTAGCTCGGGCGCCGCCGCGGCGGGGGCGGCCTGCTGTTGCGACACTGGTCCTGCGCCTGCCGCCGCTGTCGCTGCCGCAGGGTTCGGGTTCGGAGAGGCGCTCGTCGACGCCATTGGGGCTGGGGTGGGGGATCGCTCGTTTAATGGGGAGTACCGCGAGGAGTATGGAGTCGAGGTGGGAGGGTTCGGAATGTTCAGAAGCGACGGCGATCAATGTTCAATCCACACTCGAGGTGCGCGGTCGTGGTATGGGGTGAAAATGAAGCGGGTCTTGTTCACCGGATCCAACCTATGCAAGTTGCCGTCATATGCAGCTGGCAACTGAATTTTTTCCGCGATCGGGCGATCGGCGGCCACCCAATCAAACCCACAACACGCTCCCCTGGCTGACGCTGTGCGACCTTTCATGCAGAATAATTAACCGATTGACATACATAAACTACACAAATAATGGAGGATGCCTGTAAGATAAATAAATCTCTCTTCCCAAGATACCATGACTCAGGGACTCCATGAAATCCCCCCTGCCTGATGTCGTGGCTACTCCTACTGACCGTTCCAAACCGCTCCAGCTATGAAGAGTCATCGCTCCCTGAGGATTGTCATTAAGCTCGGTGAGTAGTAAAACCGCACAGCGACAATTCATCTCCCGCAGAGCTGACTTTTATGCCAGGGACTAGCTCTATCGTGGATGAGAAGACATATGAGCCAATTTTGTCCATCCTGACCCTGATCGTCGAGACAGCCGTAAAGTTACGGAAAGATGGCCATAAGGTCATCATTGTCTCGTCCGGCGCCATCGGCGTTGGTCTCCAGAGGATGGATGCTGAAAAGAGGCCGAAGCATGTGTCAAAACTCCAGGTAAAGAAGCCGAAACCGAAGAGACATGAAAAATGGCCCGCTGTTCCGCCCTATCTGACCCGGAGGCAATTGCTAGGCATTGGCGGCAATAGGGCAGTGTCGCCTGATCAGTTTATGGGATAGCCTGTTCAACCACCTCCGGCAGCCGATCGCGCAGATTCTGCTCACGAGGAATGACATTGCAGACGTAAGTCAGGGGACAACCCGAAGCACACCGACCGGCATTTGATGGGGGAGCTGACAGGCTTCCTGCATAGCGGACGATGTATCTCAATGCCCAGAACACGTTCAACGAGCTCCTGGACATGGGCGTGATCCCGATCGTCAACGAGAACGATACGCTGGCCGTATCAGAGATCAAGTTCGGCGACAACGACACACTGTCCGCCATCACGGCCGCCATGGTCCACGCCGACCTACTCTTCCTCATGACAGATGTTGACTGCCTATACGACAAGAACCCACGGATTCACCCTGATGCCCGGCCAATCGAGATCGTCGAAGACATTGGGGCCCTCGTTGCTGATGGTGAGCTAACTATGGCAGGGGGAAGGGGCGTGGTTTGACCCGTACTATACTAATACTAAAGCGACGACTAGTCTCGACCGCCGGCTCATCCCTCGGCACCGGCGGCATGTCCACCAAGATCGTAGCCGCGCGCCTGGCCACATCGGCAGGGGTAACGACCGTGATCACACGGTCCTCCAACCCAGGCAACATCCTCAAGATCGTCCAGCACGTGCAGGCGAGCAGGTCTCCGGCGTCGCTGGTGACGCAGAAGAACTCGAACGACGACGACCACAGCAACGTCAACAACAACAACAGCAACAACCACCGCCACACCGGGGACGAACCCCCATCCCTATCCGCTTCCACGACCTCGCTGCGCCTCCTCGACCTCGAGAGCAGGGGCGGCGGCGGCGGCCCGGCCCCGCTGCACACGCGGTTCCTCCCGTCGCCGCACCCGATCCGCGACCGCTCCTTCTGGATCCTGCACGGGCTCAAGCCGCACGGGACCGTCTACATCGACGGCGGCGCCCACAAGGCCCTGGTCGGCAAGGCGGGCCTGCTGCCCGTCGGCGTCGTCGACGTCGAGGGCTCGTTTGCGCAGCAGGAGGCCGTCCGCATCTGCGTGGTTAGCCGGAGGGGGAGGAGGAGGAGGAGGAGAAGGGGGACGGGGCCCACCACCACCACTACTGGCGAGGTGGTGGTCGCCGAGGCCGCCGGAGGGGGCGAGGACGACGACAATAACAATGACGGCAGCAGCAGCAGCAACAGCGGTAGGCTATGGGACGGCCCCGCCGTCGAGGTGGGCCGCGCGCTCGTCAACTACTCGTCCAACGAGATCGCGCGCATCAAGGGCCACCAGAGCACCGAGATCGGGGCGCTGCTGGGCTACGCCGACAGCGAGTACGTCGCGCAGCGGGAGCACGTGTGCTTCTTCAGGCTGGAGAGCAGGCCCGCCACCCCCGTCCGCGAGGTCATGGACGGCCACGGCATCGGCGAGTACGAGTCCGGCGCTGGGGCTGCTTTGCTGTGAGCGCTGCTTCCTCTTTGCTTTTCTTTTTTGTTATTCTTGAAAGAGCCAAGAGGGAGAGAGAGAGGTCGCTGCATCTGGCTGGTGATGGGATCGTCGTTGGCGTTTAGATGGGGAAGGGAAAAGGAAATGAGAGTAGTGTTTCGATGTGGGGATATTCCAAGTTCCATACATGGTAGCATGTCTGAGGGGGAATGCATCGCCGCCCTCGACGCCTTGATGGGTCGTGCGTTTGTAGGAGATGATAAAACAATTCAGGCCACGCGGAACCGGAAGATATCCTAACCAGATAGTCGCATGGGTGGGTATGATGAACAGAGGAGGCTACGAACAGAAGATGCCCGGAATGCTAGTAAGAGACCTGGTGACTGCCTCTAGAGGTAGAGTGTTGATGGTACCCCCGACAGTTGGCATATCGATCCTCGTCAGGCTAGATGCGATGTAACATTGCGAAATATGCCATATTCAAGCTGATGGCTACGATACATACATTGGCCTATGCAAATTCGATCCCCCTCCGCCGAGGAACCTCCCCCTGACTAAACGACGTGATTATTAAAAACGTCAGGGGTATCTAGACTTAAGCCCACCCTCTATGCAATGCGTGTTCTATAAAAATACAACAAACCATTAACGCACATTTCATCGGGAACGGCCCTCGGTTCACATCCTGCCTTCCTTCTCCTCCAGCTCGCGCATGTACTTGGCGAACCTCTTCTTATGTGTCTGTTTGGCTGTTAGCAAGGGGCCCAAAGGCAGAGAAGGAGGACGGGACACGGTTCCGGGGTGGCCTACCATTCCAGCATAGCGACCATCACGCAAGATGCAAATATACCGCAGGCCCAATTTAACGAAACACTCATATACGAGGTCCATGGGTGACCTGATGTCTAACGCAACAGGGGCCTAGAAGGATCATTAGCACTGCTGACGAACTCGGCAGAGGTGAAGGGCCGGCACTAACCGGATCAATATAAGGGGTGAAGTCGGTAGGGTCGGGGCTCCCATCGTCCGAGTCGTCGATTCTCGGCACGTCTGTCATGAGACACCGGGCCGAGCCCTCGTCGTCAAGGCTGTCGAGGGCGAACTCAAGGTCCGGCGCGGGGATGAAGCCAACTAGAATGCCATCACGGATGATCGGCAGGCCCCCGTCGAGCTCGCCCGCCCTATGGAGGAGCTCAAGTTTTCTTCGGAGACTGGGCGCGGGGACCAGCGGCGAGTCGGTGATGTCAATCACCCGCTCTTGCCGGACCCGCGGAACAATGTCGGCGAGATCGGACGTGAAGATCGGCTTGTGCTTGTTACTGAGGAAGGGGTACGAGTTCATCTCCGTTAGGAGGTCCTGCTTGGCGGTTAGCATATCCTCGGCTGCACATATCGCGGCAAGTGACCCACGTAGATGCTGCGCGGTTCGATGGCGTCTGCCGTCCACTTGGCGACAAGGATGGCAAGCGAGAACGGCAGGACGTAGTCGAGGCTGCCGGTTAGCTCAAAGAGAATGACTGCGAGGGTCACGGAAAGGCGTGTGACGCCACACATGGTCGAGCCAGCAGCAATCAAGCCGTAGACGCCGGGCAGAATGCAGGTCGCATCCCCCACGACAGGGCAGCTTCCCCATATGCCCCAGTGCGGAGTGGCCATGACAAGGTACTGAACCATGTGGCCGATCAGGCGTCCCATCAGACCGCCAACCACCATGGACGGGACGTAGATACCAGCTGGTACTTTCTGTCGGGGGTTATCAGCCTTCATGCTCTTGTGCTGCAATAGAACTCTCCCGGCGGTTGGTGTCGACTTACTATTCCGAACGTTATGATGGTTAGCAGCCCCTTGATGAGGAAGGCAGCTAACAAGGTGAGGAGGATGGGTGGGATGTCATTGATGGTGGAAGGGCAAAGGCCGAGGTCATCCAAGTTATTGTCCCTCTCGTCACATGGTGCGGCCAAGTTGTACAAGAGCTTTGCAACGGGGAGCTTTGTCAGGACGTTCCAATAGCCAATGAGGGCGGTGACGAGCGCCACCAGCACCACTTCCATGAGCGGGTAAGACCTGATGATCGGGATGCCACGGAAGGTCCTTGCCCACAGTCGAGAGGCCTTGATGAACAAGGCACCAGCCACACCCCCAAGGATGCCGACGAGGATGAAGCTTCCCAGCTCAAAGTATTCCCAGTCCACCTGGTAGCGAACCTGGAATAACACAACCTTGTGGGTTCCATAGGGATTCAGAAACTTGAGCGTCAGGGCAGCGGTGATGCAACAGAAGAAGGTTCGGAACAGAGTCTTGGCGGGAAAGAAGTATGCCACCTCCTCGAGCCCGAAGAGGACGCCGCCCAGAGGTGCGCCGAAGGCCACAGTAATGCCCGCTGCTGCGGCTGCTGACAACACCTCGCGCCTCTTGGCGTCGTTGCCATCATACTTGGGGAAAATACGGCAGGCAATGTTGCCGACGCACGTCGCGATGTGCACGTACGGGCCCTCCTTCCCTAAGCTTAGACCGGAAGCAACGCTCAGAATCAGACCGGCAGATTTGATAATCAGGGTTCTCAGTCCCAGAAAGCCGTGAAGGACAAAGCCGCTGAGGATCACGCGCACCTCGGCAACGCCACTCCCAGCCGCCGAGTAGTAGATCATCGGAGGCGCAGCCGGCTCTTCGGGGGGATCCCTCGAGCTGTTTCTGGTGCTGGTGCTGGCGCTCGGGCTGGGGCTGGCACTGGCCGCCTCTACCTCCGTCTCCGTCTCCGCACCGTTGCCGCTTCGGGGTAATGTGCTCTCCGCTGCCAGATTCTCGTCAAGCGTCGTTAACCGATATGCCGAAGGTACAACCGTCTTGGTTGTCAAGGTGAGGAGGCACGACAAGGAGGCAAGGATAATGACCAGGACGATGTAGACCCCGAACTCGCTCCACTTCTCTCCCAGGGGGTTACCGGCAAGGATCTCTCCCCAGTTCCGCCAGTCGGTGCAAGGGCCGTGAGGACAGCATGTCTAGACCCGTTCGCGCGTCAGTCGACGTCCCACAAGCGCACGAGCACGTCCGTACTCATACAGACGATATTCGAGCTGATGCGGTCTTACCTTCTCGCTTTGATACCAGGCCTTGACACAGTATCCGTCCTTGAAGTCGAAAGCCGTGGCTTCGGTCACGTCGATGACGTATGCGATGGCGGCGACGGCGAGGCCCACCACAGCACTGAGTATCCAGCCTTGTGCTCCGTCGAACAGGACGATGATCCGCCCCCAGAAATCCTTCCTGCTGCGCAGAGCCTTTACGCGGTAGGCATCGGCAATGCTATCGTGTACCCAGTCGGTCGAGGTGAACTGGTCGTACCAGACGCGTTCGTCGGGGAAGACTGAGGTCTTGGGCTCGTCTACGGCTGAGTCTGGACGGTCGGAGAGGGCAGAGATCAGTCTCTGGCCCCATGAATTCCCTCGGTTGTGGTGTCGGATACTCTTGACGCTTCCTGCACACGGACGTCACTCGTCAGCAAGAATCAGAGCATGTTATGGGACCTTCCCTCCCGGCCCAATTTTCCTGATAAACTTACCGCTGTAGCTCTGGTTTCGCGATAGGTTCGGTACTCTGGGCGAGCCATGGGCGCTCTGGATGCGTATTCGCGATCTGGAAGTCTGGAGAAGCGGGGAGAGCTCGTCGGGGCCCTCGTCGGTGGAGGACACCCTCCTGCTCGTGCCGGGTCGAAGGGACCGGCGGCTGGCCGAGGGGGAGCTCGGCACGGACAGGTAGCTGTCCTGGCTCGGTTGGGAATCCGGATGGCCTGCCATGTTATCCGTCGTCTCCAGTCGCCGAGGCATTTGCCCTCGTTAGATACCTAACGCCAGGGAGAGAACGAGGTTGCGTGTTGAACGTTTGGCAGACCCCCAAAAGTTCAGGCTGCGGGACCCACAGCAATGTCGGCCAAGACCTGAGCCAAGAAACGAAGCCGAAAGCTACAAAGTCAACAAGGCACAACGCCAAACACCATCGGCACGAACCGTAACTCGAAGGGATAGATTGACTAATTACGCAGAGAAGTGAAGGACTAAGGAATCTAATAAACTGAGGGTGCCGTTATGTCTCGCTGCGGATCGACCACTGCCATCGAGTCAGCGAGCGCGGGATGGAGCTTGTTGTCGGGTTTACGACAAGTGTGCGACTGCGAATGCTGTGCCTGTGTGCAGGGGAGATGACGGTTAGCGTTATTAGCTGGCGTGCTAAGCTACCTAGCTCGTGGGGTCTTTTTAAGCCCACGTCTACGTCTCTGTTTCCAGCCTGTCGCCGTTATTAGCCAGGCCTCCTATATAGATACAGATCCTGGAGGGATGCCTGGTGCTATTAGCAGTCAGAAGGGCTATGTAGCATCGTCAAATGACGGCCTTACGACAACCATCAAGGTGGTGGCCACCTAGACCAAGCTCTAAATAAACGGGGATTATCATGGGGTGGCGCGCTTCGAAACGGGTCATAGGTGTGCCATCCATGTCAAATGAAATCATATGTTTCATCGAACTCATGTTTGTGGCTGCCACGCATCCCTGCTCCCTTGGCCAGCTAGGGGCCCTGATTCATTGAACAAACGCCAGTGCCGAGATTTTGCACTGACAGTTGCCGGGTGAGTGATTGTCAGTTGGCAGCTGTCGCAGCAGGCTGCACTTGAGCACTTGAACAACCAAGCTCATACACACAATCAGAGTCGTGTGTCGACGACTACCTAGAGCCTGACTCGATAGGTAATTACGAAATTCCCATGAGTCGGTACGTTGGGCTAGGTTGGCAAGAGACTTGAGGTGTAACTCGAGGGGCAATATATCTGCGCCTGTGAATAACATGACTCGTTGCAGCCGCTCATAATGTCATCGAGAGACGAGAAAAGGCGAACAGTTCCGAAGTTTGGGTCTTTCAAACCGAGGGCCCCTGACAAGTCTGAATCGGAGGCATCGCCGGAGCTCTCTCATCGAGTCACTGAGAAACAACCACGCGACTCGGAGAGGCCCAGAGAGAAAAGTAGTGGCCGAGAACGATCCCGCCACCGCTCACGCCTTGAGCCCGACCCTGGCCGTATCCTTTCCGCAGAACGAGCACCAAAGGAGAGGTCGAGACCGGAAGCTGCTGCCAAGAATGAAATATTCACCATTGACAAGCGTGGGGACCCTTTGATCCTCAGATACGGCAGTAATGACCGCTCTCGCGTTCCTCCCTATTACCGTTATGGTTCGGGCAAGCTCCTGGGGTCCACCGGCCTGTTGCATATCCATCGGGAGGGAGCTCGAGAGGAGTTTAGCATCAGAGGTTATCGCGAGGGGACCTCGGCCTTTCGAGACAAAAACGTCCTCTTGGCAAAGGCCGCCAAGACACGACCACGGCGCTTCAAGCGCTTGATAGACCAGCCCTTACCTCCAGGGACCGAGGATTTTATAGCCCTGGGCCCTTCGAAGAAGCGAAAGCGTGGGGAAGAAGAACCGGAGTCGTCATCGGATGAGGAAGGACCTACTTACAGATTGATAGAGGGACCAGCAAAGGCTCACGAGGACTCTGACAGTGACTTCGAGACCGACAGCGACGCCTCCGATTGTGGCAGGGAAGTGTATTACATTACTCCTGCGAAAAAGAAATCCATCGAGCTCTCGCGGAATGTAAAGGATCGCCCAGATGATGTCAACGCCTGGCTCGAACTTATCCATCTACAAGACGAACTCTTCCGGGAAAACGAGGATGACGATCACATACGCACCAAGGATGAGATCAAAGGCCTCGCCAATCTCAAGCTATCGATGTTTGAGAAGGCCCTTTCTAACGCCCGAACGTCTACTGATCGGGAGGGACTGCTCGCTGGCCTGATGCGCGAGGGATCGAAGGTCTGGAGTCCCCAAGAGGTCGCAAAGCGATGGGTCGGAGCAACCGACCACCATCCCATGAGCTATAGGCTGTGGAGGGCTCGCATGGACTTTGAGCTCTCGAATCTGGCTACATTCTCTTACGAGAATATCAGGCAGCTTTTCATCGATCGCTTGCTCTTCCTTGCGGAAACACTAGACAAGGCCCCAGACAAGGGAAAAGCCGATGATGTGGCGGACCAGGCCGTCTACGTATTCCTCAGGCTGACTCGTTTCCTTCACGACTCCGGTTTCGTCGATTTAGCCGTCGGGGCATGGCAGGGGATGCTGGAATTGCACTTCGCCCGTCCGACGCTCGACGAAGACAGCAGGAGCGCCGCGATGTCCTCACTTGCGGAATTTTGGGACAGTGAAGCTCCCCGTATTGGCGAGGTCGGCGCAGAGGGATGGAGGAAGTTCGTCGAAGGAGGTGACAGTCTCGCGGAGCCGCCAGAGGCGAAACTACATGACGCCCAAGCTCGGCCGCACACGAGGAATGTCTACAAAGCATGGGCTGCGGCCGAACGGCAACGGGGTCTGGAGGCGCGCATGCCAGCTCGGATTGCGGACGAAGGAAATGAGGGTGACCCTTACCGGGTGGTCATGTTCACCGACATCGACCCCTTCCTACTCTTTTTCCCATCCTCGCTTCTCCCCCATATCAGGGATCAGCTCCTTGACGCTTACCTCTTGTTCTGTGGCTTGCCCCCGGCATTTATGTCCGGCGACATTTTAAAATCCGCCCTGAACGACTCCTTCGTCTACGGCGGCAGTCTGGACCTCAGGAGAGACCTAAATAGAGGTTCTGAGCGAGTCGATGTCCTAGAAGAAAGCCACCGACGGTCCCCGAGATTCAGACAGGACGGCTCCCACATGGCCATCTCGTCTGACGTCCTATTTTCGGGACCTAACTGGTTTTCATACCTGAGGAGCTGGCGGGAACTGTACGACGAGCAAGACGAGTCGGTCGAGAGGTCTTCCGTCCTCAATACGCTGCGGCAACTGGTTCGCGTCTTTGGCATGGAGGAACTCGGCGAATACTGTCTCGCCATGCAATGGTTGGAAGAACCTCTCGGTGCGAAGAAAGCTGCCAAGGCGATGCTGAAGCAATATCCCTCGAGTACCCGTCTATACAACGCGTACGCCTTGATTGAATGGGGTAATGGGAATTTGGACGTCGCCCAGAAAGTCCTTGCGTCGGTCACCGGCCAGGGCTTGGTAAGACCACCTGCAGCCTCTCTTTTCTCCGTGGAGGATGGTATTAACATCCTAATTAAGTCGCCGGGTTCTGCGAGTCAGTTGCTTTGGAACACTTGGGCTTGGATCGAACTTGAGGCTAGAGAGCAGCAATCGGCCGTTGCACGCCTTTGTTCGTCCATCGACGGACGTGGCCTGAGTTTGCCAATATCGCCCTCGCTCGTGCTCAAGGCTAGATCCCATTTCTCCGGTAGGCAAGACTATTCGCTGTCCGCTGGGGCTTTTGAAGACGCTCTCGGGTTCGCGATAAGCCTTACTCTTCTGGACTATCTGAGCTCTAGCGGGGGAGACGAGCCAGCTTCCGAGGGTCAGGGCAACATATCTGCTGCTATGCTTCGGATCCAAGCCTTCTCCGACGAACTATCGTCTCGGGGCTTGATGCGATCGTCAGTTCAGGAGCGATTTTTGCAGTCTGCCGCCAGGCTTATTTATTTCCATGCCAGCCACGGGTAAGTCATCCACCTCATGTATCTCTTCGACTGCCACTGACGCTCGACCTATACAGTCCGTTCCGCCCCGTCTTTGTTCGGGAGCAACTCCAGAGATTCGTCACCCTTTTCCCCCGAAATACCATCTTCCTCTCCCTCTTCTCCTGGGCCGAGTCCAGCCTCCGTATCGACGACCCCGTCCGCGCCATCCTCCAACAGGTGGTCCTCGCAGAGCCATACGACTGCGTCGGCAGCCGCGTGTTCGGCATCCGACACGAGCTCCAGTTCGGCAACGTCCACTCCGCCAGGGCCGCGTTCGAGAGCTCCGTGGGCAGCGAGGCCTGCAGGGGGAACGCGCGGCTGTGGATATGTTACACGCGCTTCTGCCGCTGCAGGAAGGAGCTGAGGTCGAGGGCTAAGGAGGTCTTTTATAGAGCCATTACTCATTGCCCTGGGTCGAAGGAGCTGTACATGGAGGCGTTCACTACCCTGATAAGGGATATGGACTCTTCTGAGCTGAAATCTGTCTTCAGAGCCATCACGGCCAAGGGACTGCGCGTCCATGTGGATTTAGACGAGTTTATGCAGATGTAGTAACAGCAGCTGCCAGGGGGTATGGCAATCTGCATCAACATGGTTCTTCCTTGCCATCCGCTTGCTTCCCTCGCCGCGAGCTCCACCTCCTCGAAGGGCGTCCCCCGTAGCGACAGTTAGGATGAAGGGTCGCTGAGAGGCGGCACCGGCTGGACGGGCGAAGCTTGGGGGAGGGGATTCCTTCGAGGACCTCTCAGCAAACCTGCCCATTCCCTGTTGTTGTCGTTGTTGTTGTCGTTGTCATTGCCTGGGGTTGTTTGTGGCAGCGGGTTGATTATCATCCGGAGCTATTTTCAGTGCCTGGAGTGGGACAGTTCCACCTGAGTAGCGTGTCGTATTGACGCTGAGTATCCTTGCCAGCAAGTCCTTGGGGAGCGCCATGGTGCGTCAAAGTGCATGCATGAGCATTTAGGCACATGCATTGCAACTGCAACTTGATGGTCAGGTGCTGGGACAAGTACTTGTATATGCCTATATGTTGTATAGTACCTTGGTTCGGTACATGCAATGACTAGGTAGCTACCTACATACCTAGGTGAACAATTGCCGCCAGCTCTGATCTAACAGTGGAACGAGAAAGTCAACCGCGAAAAATCTGAGGCGCTTCTAAAAGCACGACATGGCCCCTAAAGCACCTCGACCGGAGAACTAGGTACCTACCATAAGGCGTGAGCGCATTCTTCGGGGTGCTGTAAAGGAGGTTACGCTGTCAGATATCGATAGTTTGCTGTATTTCTCCTATTCTTTCAGTTCTTCAGACTTCCCCCTTCAGAACAACCTCTCTAACGGCTGTTAAATGGATGAGGTTACAGCTTGTCCTAGTGTTTAGCTGTCTGCGAGTAAAGCTGGTGAGAATTAGACGTTCTTTCCTTGTGAAACGACACGTATGTTGCCTTTCTAGACGAGGTTGACTCCGCGGGCAGGGTCATGTAGCTATTTAAGCAGGGGCATCCAGCTACTCAGGCAGGGGCATTCAGCTATTCAGGCAGGGGCATTCAGCTACTCAGGCAGGGGCGTTTAGCTATTAAGGCAGGGGCATTTAACTGTTAAGGCAGGGGGCATTTGCTAGCCGTCGCTGTCGCTATTGCCAAAGCACTTTTTCTGTCGCCGTCTCTGTTGCTGTTGCCATCGCCATTGCCGTCGCCGTCACTTGTTCCATGGCAGGCAGCCTGAATAGCCAAATGTCCCTGCCCGCGGAGACAAGCTCTTCTAGACGGAGACAGAGTCGCCACTTCCGTAGGTTCGGGTGTTGACTCCACTGTGACACTTGCAAACTATATGCCCAGACTTGCGAAGCAATTCTGTTCTCCTCATCCACCAATCACCAACCACCAATTTATCCACCGCGAATCAGGCTATTCCTTCGGCGTCCCCCGGTTGCTATGGCAACCAGCTTGGTCCGCCGCATGAGCTCAGTCAGTGTACCTCTAGCTTCAGAGGGCCAGAAGCTCCTGGCGAAGATCTATGCCCCGTTTGCCAACTTGAAGAAGGACAGCCCCGAGTACAAAGAATTGGCCCTCTCAGGAAGGGTATGGGAGGAATACCATCAACCTGCAGATAGTCAGAGGCAGGGTTATACAAGACTGCAGAAGGTGCATGAATTGTTGATTTGCACCAGCACGAATATCCACGACTTACTCGAGGCAATCATTTCTAGGAATGCATCACACTGCTTCACGAGATCGACAGTTTGAAGGAATCCATGAAACTACCTGTCATATCTGTCGCCAAGAGTCTCGTTGTCGAATATGCACACCAGTCAGTCCAGATCGAAGACAACCGTCTCCGGCTCGGGGACGGCGGCAAGATCGATGACTTCCTCGCCTCCGACTTCCTCAAGCACTATGACCTGTCATCAATGTCTGCCGGCGAACTCTCTCAAACCGACATCCCCAATGTCACATTCCTCCTGCCTGCAGCCGAACCGACCCAGGTTGTAGAGCTTCGAAATCATATAGTAGCATCTCACTGGGTTGCTGCCACTGCATCGGACAGGCAAGGCACCGCAGGTCTTAGCGAACGCGAACTTCACTACTTGTCCGCTGTTACTATCAAGGGTACGGCATCGGACGTTCTCTATTCACACGGTTGGGGGAACAGAGTTGAGCTTGGTGGATATCGTTCGACCCCCATCTCAGTCAGGGGCAACCCTATGCGCATATTCCCTTACCATGACGAAGTTCCCGCATTGATGCAGCGCTTGTTCCAGTGGCGCGATAAGGTTCACAATGAGAAACTGCTCCATCCCCTCATCGTGGCATGCCAAGCCACTGCATACCTGTCGCACATTCACCCTTTCCCAGATGGCAATGGGTGTGTTGCCAGGATGTTCATGCAAGACTACGTGCTGAGACAAGGATATGGCCGGTGACGATGCAAGCCTTGGAGCGCGAGGACTATTTGGGAATGATCAGTGATGCGCAGGATGGTAAGCCGGAGGAGTTCGTGGCTCGGGTTGTTACGACACAGCTGGATGCAATGCGGACGTTCAAGTGGCGGGAGATGGAACAGAAGGGCCGGCCATGATGTTGCTCAGACTAGACAGCGTTTGCCCGTCTGCACATAGTTATCCAGTCTCCAATCATTTTGGACAGGGTTCTGCGCTGGTATGTTTAGCTTCTTCCTTCGGGTATAGTGAATAAAACTTGACAGCCAAGTTTGCATTCTAATTGCTCGTATCACACTGATCTGTAAGTTTCTTTTTAGTTGCTTCCTTTTGTCAGCCATCCTTCCCCTTTTCTACGGAGTACTTCTTTGCTTTTTCTGCTCTGCGCATGAAGAAAACCAGACACCAAGTATTGACGTAATGAATAGCACAAATGCCCATATGCGTTGGGTCAAGGGTTTTAGATATACAGTCAGAATCTAGATTCGTCACAGCTCTCCCACCAAAGATTATATAGGTAATAGGTAGCTAACGAGCTTCGGTTGCCAAGTGAAAGGGCCTAACTCCCGGACGATGCAAGATCGCCCCCGTCCCGATGGTTCGCTCCGCTGGTGCGGGTGCGGGTGCGGGGGAGGGGGAGGGGGATCGAGCGGCGCCGCCGTTGGTTTCTTTCAGCTGGGTTGGGTGTGTGTGTGATGTTGGGCCTTGGGAGAAATTTTGTGGGCTTCCGTGCCTGCAGGACCGGGGGTGTTCCCCACGTGGCAACGGTGCAGAAAGCGGATCATCCGCCCCCAAAAAGCAAGGACCCCACTCCACCCGACTTATCGATTCCCGGGTCCAAGATCGGCGAACAAGTGGACAACGCCGAAGGGGGTGGAGAAGAGGGGGCGTGGTGTTAGAAGGTATGAGCCATTAGTGAAAGGTGACGTTGCTTACTTGGGGCACCACCAGGTCACAACCAGTCTGAATATCCATCGTTGAGAATGTGCAGGTATTTCAGGTCTTCGTTTGGCGTATTGTCGACATTATTAGCCTTGCGCCTTGCGACGTGCGAAGGGGGCCTCGGGCACGAAAATCATATCGCTCGCACCGACCTCTAAACTAGCTCTCTAGGTTCTCCTTAACAACCACCAAACAGCCAAGTTTGTCAAAAAATAAACCCTCATTGGGTGTCAAACCTACAACGGCCATCTAACCCTCGCTCGTTTGCAAAAGAATAAAAAGAGAGGGCCAGGCCAAGACATGCCTCACCCCAGAGTCTGTACATCAACCTCCACCTCAACATGCAAACTGACATTGACCCAAGTCCTGACGGTCAGCTCCTAACCTCTCGCCAGGCTCAGCAGCCCATTGGCCGCCCCGCCGCGCAGGGCGCTGCTGGTCAGCCTCTCCGCGTCCGCCCCCTCGTCTAGCTCGAGGTGCCGCCGCCCCCTCGGCGTTTTTACCGCCGACTGGGCCGGCAGGCGCGGCAGGCTGGGCCGCTCCTCGGGCGACGGCACCCGGCGTCGTGACCCACCCGGGCCCTCCACTTCCTCATCCTCCTCCCCCTTGGAGCTGCCCTGGCTGCTCGACTGGGACGACTGGGACGAGCCCGCGCCGAGCCCCTCCTCGCTTCTCCTCCTAACAGGAGCGCCAGGTAGGGGCCTCCTGGCGGGCCGGTCCGCGGCAGCAGAGGCGGCGGAGGTGGTATGCACGGCCCTTGGCGTCATGCCAGGCAGAGGCCGCACCTGCAGCTGCTCCAGCGGTACGTCTGTCTGACCGGTGCGCAGCTTGTAGTTGGCGAGGCCGAGCCGCAGACGGAGGATCTCGGCTTTCTGCAAATGGGGGTGAGTCCCCGACACGTTAGTTTGGGTTGGAGTCCCGCACGACACTTTGACGGTGTTGGGGGGGGATGGGAATTTGTTGGTGGTGGTGGTTGTTTTGGGGGTGGGTTCCCATACCTCTTTGGCCTCCTCGCGCGTCAGTCGTGGACGTGTCGGCGGTCGAGCAAGGGCAGCGAGTGCTGCTACTGCGGGAGTGATTGCGGGAATCGCGGTGTCGACGTCGGGATCGGTCATCGCGGTTGCTTGGGTGTTGTCAAGCCCGGAAGAGTCGAAGAGTGAAGACGCTGCCGGCGACGCGGATCGATGCCTATCAGATGGTCTGGGGGACTTCATTCAAGAAAGCAAGTGTCAGCTGCAACGCCGCGAGGAGGGCGCGGTAGTGGCCGGAGAACAAACCTGCTGGGAGGGATCCGTGTCTGGTTGTTCGGCGTTCGCCGGCATTTCATGCAGATGCTGGGCCTTCTCTTCGATGCCGGCCTTTTTGCCCGATTGAAGCTCGGTTCTTGCTTCCATCGTGAGTTGTATCTTCTTGGGTTGCGGCCCAGGCGAGGGTTCCGCAGGCCGCTTGAGGGGAGATCCGGGCGCGTTGTGGTGTGGGGACTTCAGTTGCTTGAGTCCCAGTTGAGGCCTGGGGGATGACGCGTTGGGGTCCAGGGAGCCCAAGACACGCCTCTTGCTGGGTGATGCTTCCATTTCGGCTACTACCAAAGAGAGTCTTGCTCTTGGTTGAGGTTGGTGGAGAATCTGTTGCCGTGTTTGTTGTTCTTGTGCAGATAGACTTAGAGATGCAGCAAGCGGAGACCAATTCGCTTCAGAGTATTCTGTATATACGGGTATTTCAAGAAGGAACACAATGCATTTGAGCGGAGGTTTGTTTGGCGTGGTTGGGAAATGGCTGGAGCAAATATAAGAGAAAGGGGACACACGCGTCGGTGGGTGGATGTGCATGTGGGACGATGCTGAGCAATGACCAAGTCGCGGTCGGGTTGGTATTTACAAATTGCCCCATCTACACTTGAGTGGGTTAATTCATCAGGGACCGTTTACCACTAATTTAACGTGGGTTTTACTGATGTACTGCTAACATCACGGGGCGCACCGCAAGAGTGGACCCCTAAAAACGGCTTTCGTCGTTCATAACTACCTATACATAAGGGTCTACAACTAGACAGACGCGTCAACCTCTCCAATACCCCTCCTGCCTGTCTGTATTATTAGCTTGCGGTGCAAGTCTTATAGCTCGCCGCACTGCATTGTTCACTTGCATGGATGTTTCAGTTGACATTCCACAGCCCAAACCATCGGAACAGCTTGACGATAGCAAGAATCAATTGCAGCCCACTACATGGGCATCCATCGTAGTAGGAGTTACGGGTATCTCTCTCAGCCACAGGGACTTCATACATGGTTCCTTCCAACCGAACTCCGCCTGAGAATGAGGACGATGACCTATCTTGAAAAGTTGAGGGGGGGAAAGAAGCAATCCTCCAAAAAAAAAATCATGATAATTCTGAAACGCCTTGTGCAACTTGTGCTTTTCCATCAGAAACCCCTTGCAACCAGTCATTATTACGTCCGCCAGCCATCACTGCCTTCCCACCAACCCAGTTTTTGTTTGTTTGCCCCAAAATACATCCTGACATCAGCGACAACGCCGGGCAATCCTTGCGTAGAGAGAGAAAAGAGAAAAAGTGAAGAAAGGTTTAGGCGTAAGAAGAGAAAAGAAAGAGAGAAAAGGTAATGCAGCAGTATCATGTCTCCTCCAAACCACCTAGTCAATGTACCCCTGGGTTATCCCAAGTCCTTCTTCACATGGTATCTAGCGAGTACAAGGAGGAGTCGAAGTGGAAAGGTTTCGAGAAGTCGGGATTTATGTCCTCCCACATCGGGGCTTGCATCGAAGGATCCAATTCCATCGACCTTAGGATGTCGTTGTCCGAGCCCTCGAGCCCTTCCATGGAGAAATTGCCAATGTCATATAGCAAGTCGGGCTCTATCGTCTGCCAATTCATATCGATGTCGATGTTTGCGCCCTCGGAGATGTCGCTGTTCGGCTCTGAAGCTCCGCTGTCTTTGCTTGACTCGGGTGTGTCATTCGGCGTCAGAGACCTGTACACGTTCAAGTCCGAGATGAGGCCTCTCGCAGCGACCTCGAAGAAGCCGGCCGACGACAGGTCTTGTGGGTCAACCGTTGTGCCCACGAACGGGTCCTGCGCCATATGCCCATGGACCGGCTCAAATTCCGGTTTCGTAGCTGCCAATTTGCTATCCGTAGGTCTGGGGGTGCTCCCGGCCTTGACAGGTAGACTCTTGCCCGGCGTGGCTTTGTTCTCCGCCGCCCCCTTGGCACCCGTATTGCTACCCTGTCGCTTCATCGAAGCCTCGCGAGACATTGGGGTTGATGCCGGATTAAGCTTGTTGTTCATCGGGGTCTGGCCTTGCTTCGATTGACTGCTAGCCATGGGCGGCGCGGCGAGTTGCGATCCATCCTGCGCATGCGCTTTCGCGGGAGCAGCCTTAGATCGGCCCTGAGAATCCAGTCCGAGCGCTAGAGCCAAGCTCTCCTGTACGAACTTGACGGGGTCCTCGTTCGGCTTGATATGCTCTTCCTGCATGTGCGCATTCAGAGCATCTTGGTTCGCAAAGCCTGTGGTGCGCATTTCGCAGTCGGCCTCGGGACACATAATGACCGCCCGGGGAGGGGCTTGGGGCGCTTTGGGCTCCGGATGTTGTTGTCTCTTGACCTCCGGCGATGGCGGCTTGACCTGCGGCGAGGCACCGGCCTGCTGATGGGCCGTCTTGGTCTTCTTCCTTGACGTGGGGATCTGCAGGTTCTCCTGCGTTACGGCCGGCTTTCCGAGATACATCGGATGCCCGGTGGGCGATATTTGCGCTCCGGGCTGCGAAGGTGGCTGCGCGCTTGTTGGCGCCGCAGGAGCTTGCCCACTCTTGCTATTGGATCGATTGTGCGCCTTGCTCAATGCTTGCGTCTGCTTCTCGAGGTTCGTCGCGCTGAGCGGTACTGGTTGTGGACCTTGCTGGCCTTGGGTCGCTGCCCCGGTACTGACAGGGTTCCCCTTCTTCGGGATGGGGAGGTTGGCGGCCAGATCCTTAGCCATACTCTCCAGCATCGCTCTGGCATTATCCAGCTCATTAGCTGGGATGGAGAAATTTTCCTTCATCAGCTGCATTCTGTCCCCATCATGGAACTGTCGAATCAGGCGAAGTCGCTAGTACTTATGTCAGCATCGTGGCTTTGGGCAACGGGGAAGGAATGGTGGTGCTGTGTGATATTGAAAGGATTTGGGAAGAGAGGCTTACAGTCCGGAAGTACATCTTCGCCCTGGCATCGTCGTGAGTGATGGCATACCACTTCCCCAAACCCTTGCCGATCTTCCCCATATCGGTGACGATCTTCTCGATTTTGCCCGCAATTTCGCTCTTCTCCTCGGCCGACATGGGAATTTCCAGCATTTGCTCATGCTGCAACAGCCGCAATTCCTCTGCGCTAAGAGTCTTGAGCCGGTTGACGTCATCCTCACTAGGCTGCAAGTGCTGATGCTGACGGCTGCGCAGCATTGCCTCCCATTTCTGCCGTTGGTCGGGCGTCATCCCAGCAAGCTGTTCTGGTGTGGGTTGTGGAAGATGGCCCATGGGACGCGCCCCTGCTTGGGAGCTTGGCCGCTGATTCGGGGCTGCGTTTGTGTTAGGAGCCTCTTCGGTATCATCTTGATGCCGGCGCTTGAGGGACTTCTGTGCCTGTGCAGGTGATGGGTTTAGTGCGGATCGGTTCTGGGTCGGTCTGCTAGGCTTCGCGTCGGACCCAACCGGGGTTGGCTTCTGTGGTGCTGGTTGCGAGATTCCTGGCTGGGCCATTGCACCGTCTGCTTGATTAGATGCGGGTTGAGGGCCTTGGCCAGACTGAATATGGTTCATGGGAACAGGTGCGTTATTCTTCGCAGACTGCTGCTGGAGCTGATGCTGCTGGAGCTGCTGCTGCTGGAGCTGCTGCTGCTGGAGCTGCTGCTGCTGGAGCTGCTGTTGTTGGAGCTGCTGCTGCTGGTACTGGTGGTGCTGCTGCTGCTGGTGTTGCTGCTGGAGAAGCTGCTGCGACTGTTGCTGCTGCGGTTGCTGCTGCTGCTGTTGCTGCTGCTGCTGCTGCTGTTGCATTCTCCTGAGGTATTGATCTTGCTTCATCTTCCCCGCAAACTTCATCAAGGTGTTTTCATCGAACTGTGCGAACTTGGGGTTCCTGCGGAGGCTTTCGAGCTCCTGTGGGGTGACTTGTACTGACTGCGCCGGTATCTGGAAACCATGGGGGAGGTTAGGCATCCCCTGCTGTGGTTGACTGTGCTGCTGCTGCTGCTGCTGCTGCTGCTGTTGTTGTTGTTGTTGTTGTTGTTGTTGTTGTTGTGGTGGTGGTTGTGCAGGGCCACCTGGGGTCTGCTGTCCTCCCGCCATGGCCCCTGGTTGGCCATTAGGCCCAGCAGTTCTCCTCTCCACAAGCTGGCGGAATTGTTGAAGTTGGACATTCACCAGTTGTTGCTGCGACTGCGGCGGCAGATTGCTCTGTGGCAGCCATGCCTTCAACTGGGCCCATTTCTTGATATCGGGAGGGATGGCACTGCGCAGATGTTGGAGGACGCTCGGCGGGATATCCATGTTGTCCATTATCTGTTGGGCTTGCGGGTGGTTCTGAGCGCCCGCCGTCAGCCGAGCTCGTGCAGCCATCTGAGAAACCATATTCGGTGCGCCAGCCGCGATGGGGGGTTGGGGAGGGGCCCCGGTGAACTGGCCCGCCCCATTCATCTGCCCCATCTGGGCCTGGGGCTGTCCGAGCCTGTGAGCTTGGTTCGGCTGCTGACCGCCATTATTCATAGCAGTTCGCTCTTGCCACGTAGCCATGAGTTCCCTCAGCTTGTCCGGCGGCAGGGCGCTGACGGTCTGCCGTTGCTCGGGGGGAATCGAGCTCAGCATCTGACGGAAGGCCTGGGCGTTGACGTTAATATTTCCCGGCATCGACATTGGCCGGGCGTTGCCTTGATGATTGAACCGCGGATCGAGAGTCTGTCCCATTGCCGGGTTGCCTTGGTTCATCCGGGGTCCATTCGCTTGAGCACTCATGGCGACTGGAGGCTGCGCCATTGCGGCTGTCAGTGTACTCATGCCTGGACTCTGCGAAGTCGCTCCGGCAGGGCCGCCTGGCTGGTTCGCCATCTGCCTGGCTGCAGTCTGCACCTTGATCTGGGTCTGTGACTGCGCCGCTGCTTGATCCATCTTCGCCTGCGTGAGGTTGAAGGACGGGCCCATCTGTGGTGGCCGTGGCTGCTGATTCGGTCCTGGCTGTGCGTTCTGCATATTCTGGGGAGGCATTCCAGCCATTGGCTGGGGTGTCGGGTTCCGGCCGGTACCGCTATTAGCTGGCACAACCATTTGCCCAGCTTGCTCGGCAAGCAAGCCGGCCTTCTGCCCGTTCACGATCTCAAGGTTGGAGGAGAAAAGCTGGCCGCCAGGGACTACCCCGGCCTGCTGAGCCATCGGGTTCATCATAGCCGGGTTCATAGGCTGCGGCGCCTGCTTTTGTTGAGGTTGCCCTTGCCCCATCTGCAGACCGGCTTGAGCTTGGTTGGCATTCGGTGGCATGCCTCCTGCCTGCCGCTGCTGCTGTAGCATCCGCTGTTGAGCATGTTTCTGCAGCGCTGACAGGGCTTGCTGGTGGAAGTACGGCGCTAGTATGTCTCTCCCCGAGGCACGCAATTCCCGGAGTTGCTGGGGATTTACCCTCGCCTGTAGCACGGCTCGCAGATTCTGCTTCTGATCCTCAGATGTGGACGCATAGAGTTGATTGGCGAAGTCCACAACCTTGGCCCTGTCTTGCGGCGACATAGATGCAAGGTCAACGGGACCAGCACCGGGCTGCCTCGGCTGTTGCATTGGCATTTGGAACTGCGGCTGGTTTGGAGGTGTCTGCTGCTGCATGCCGGGATTGGCCATACCCATGCCCATTTGTTGCGGCGTCTGAGAAATCTGCGACACCTGCATTGGGTGTTGTAGGTGCTGGAACCCCTGCTGCTGCCCCTGCTGTCCCATTCCTCTTGCCACCATCTGTGCTTGCAGCATCCTCTGCTGTTGAGCCTGAGCCTGCACGTGAGCTGCCTGTCGAGCCGCCTCGACGCTCAGCTGATTCTGAATATTGGGAGCGTTCGCCTCGCGCCTCTTCGCCATCTCGGAGGTCTTCGCTTGCATCATTTGATCATAGGCTTGCTAAAGAGAAACAGTCAGAAGAGGAGCCAGGGGGATGCATGAGCCGAAATGTCCTTGTTGCCTAGACCTACCCGATCTGGAGAGCCCAGTAGGGCTTTCTTCTCAAATTCGATGCCAAATGTGGCAGCTTTCTGCCACTCTGCGCCTGGCATAGCAAGGATGATGTTGGTTATTCTGTAATGTTGTCAGCAATGGTGACAGACGGCAGGAATGACGATAAGGTAGCAAGAAGACGTACAAGTTTACGGCCTTTCCTAATCGTTCGGGAACACCTAAGCCAGCTTGCCATCCCTGAAGCGGCGGCGTATTGGACATCATCTGGGCATAGACCAAAGACTGCAGCTGTCTCTGGCCGGACTGTTGCGCCGCGACATGGCCGTTGCCGGCCATCTGTGGTATGTTGCCGGCCATGGCCGCCGAGCGATCGAGACCAGCAAGCCCCGGGGTTCCTGTCTGTCAAGGCGACACGTGAGGACTTGGGCCGTGGAAGGCAAGGCCTGGGTGACTCTCGGTGCAACAATGTAATGACACAACCGACGCAGAAGGAATACCGCAAGAGCTGGTTAGAAGGTAGGTTGGTGTTGGTGACAATGAAGCAGGTCGCCGTAGACTGGCTGCAAATGCCTAGAGTGGCCAACAGATGGCCATGTAGAGGAAGTTGCGGGTGTGACGAGAGATATCGCTAGGCTAGCAATGCTAGAGCGGGAGACTGACTCAGGCGCCGAGCGTGGCTCAGTTCGACGGATATCTGTAAGTCCTCGAAGGACTGAATCCTAGATATTTTTGGTCGCCAATAGTCAGGCGTGCAGCCGATGGCGCTTTGGAGTTTCGAATGGTTGATAGTTGGTCTCGCAAAATCTTCAGGGTAGGTATCTTCGGGAGGAGAACAGTGACAGTCGAGGATGAGGTTCGTGATGACGGACGGAGCAGCGTAAGGGATTTTTGTCCTCAGATTTGCGAGTCGGCAGGCGAGAATGGCAAAGTTAAATTCGATTGCGGCCAAGAGCGACGGAGGGATTTGACTTCGGTGGTCAATCTCTGTTAAGCTTATTGTTCAGTTAGGTGTGGTGAATGGGTGAATGGGGCCGTGGCTGAAACGAGAGGGAAGACGTCGCAGTCGTGACAAGAAGACCAGAAACCCAGGGAAAAGACCAGGGAGAGAGAAATTAGTAATAAAACAAGAATGGAAAAACGCAGTTCGTCTGGCGGTCAAGATGTGGGATAGGATGTCGGAGGAGAGAAGGTGAGAGGGAGTCAGTAGGATAACTGCTGTAGTGTGTGCCAGGAACGAGGAGAAATGGGAGAAGAGACGATGGAGGATGGATGTGGATGGTGGATGGCCCCCAGCCGCCGTTAACTTGAACCTCTCTGACTGAGTCTAGGTACCTAGGTAGGCGCCTTCGGTACTGCACCAAGTACCTTTGACGACCTACGGTCCCTAGTACCGGAGGTACCTACCTACCTCTAAGCGGGCGGGCACCTACCAGCCTTGCCACCAAGAGGCAGCCTAGTTTACCTAAGCCACTTGACCAAACCTACCTACACTAAACCTACAACTTACCTACCTTACCTAACTTTCCTAGGCCTACACCTTAATTGATTAAGCTCCCGAGGCGTTCAAAGTCGGGAGTCTAAATAGGTATGTACATTGGGACACCGAGAGAGAGGATTTCAGAGGAAAAATTACACAGATCAATTCAGATCGAGGGGATCAGAGGGCGACGATCGGTCAAGCAAGTAGTTATGCCCCCAGTTCCTTATGTAGAAAAAGGGAACCCGCAAACTCAGGCAGGTACTACCGTGTAATGAGACAGGCAGGTACCTCTGGGTCGGTTTTGGTGGCTGCTACGGAGTAGCGAGTGACTTCTATATACTTTTTGCATAGAGTACCCTGATTCGGATAAGGAGCCCTCCCTGTGCCCCACCAGCGAACAGGGGTGCATGTTAGGCAAGTGCAAAAGTCTCACAGTTCTACACTACCATCTCCCGTCTGTACGTTGTACGACAGACAGCAGGAGAAATCGCAGAGCGGACAGCCATTCCTCTTGATCTATAGGACCTAGAGGTAATCAACAGTCAAACTCTCAGTTTTGCCTAGGTATGGTGCGCGCCATTTCACATGGGATCGTAAGCGTGGCCCCAGGGGAAAGGAGTTGAAGAACACAATAGCAAACAAGAAGCGATGTTCGAGAAGGACTTAGGGCGTGGATAGGAAGCTGTTGCATTATAACAAACTGTACACCCGTAACATTGCTGCGACTGCAGCTCTGAGCTGGGAAGCCGAGGTCGACGGCCTGTATCGAGGAGCATCCCATGGCCTTCATCTCATGTCAATGGGGATGGATCTTCGAGGCATGGTTACTCACACGCCCGCCATTGGTCGCCATGTTCCCCCAATTCGCTGTACGGTTCAATCGTGTGTTACTGTCCTGGCAGCACGCCAACAAGGTTGCCCGCCCGTTAATGTTCAGGGCCAACTTGGGATGGACAGTAAATTCCGAGATGTTGACCTGATATTGGGCAGCATCCTATCCCGTTCCACCCCTCCCCCGCCGTGATGCTTGTGACAGGAACTTGGAAGTCTCCTGCGACAGGCGTTATCCAGTGACATAATTCATGTAGCCCTCAGGTAGGATGGTCGAATTGGGAGCGGAACAATGGCTGGTAACTCTCAAAGGGTGGACTCTTGGAATACTTGCCGGGGTAATCCATGCCAGGTTCGCCTAGGTGGATTGCTCACATGGACGCTAACCAGCTTGCTGTTTTAGGGTACCAGGAGGATACTTTGATAGGCACCTTGGTAAAGCGAGATGGCTGCCATTCACCTGGGATACAATCGTTGCCGTGCGCGCACCTTTTCAACGTCGCCACAGCTATCTATCAATCAGTGGCCTCCATTATCAGGTAGGTACTGTTTCAGCGACACAGCGCAGCGAGTGTAGATGTATGTACAAAATGACAACAGTTCCAAAAGTGAGACGCCATGGCTCGAGCTGTTTTGAAGGTGGAGTCAACAGAGCAGACTCCACCGAGGAAATAGGCATGTATGTATGTTCCTTCTGGGACGGGCACAACAGCTGGCACCCAGGGCAGGTCTGTGCGCTAACTTCAAAAAGGATAGATGAGATGGATGCGTGAGAAGGGTGTCATGTCAGCTACAAGATCTGCTGTCTTTGCGGTCCGGAGGCAGAAAAGATAAGATGGATGAGGTCAGAATCGCAAGTCAACGCACCCTAAGCTCGTACACTCTCCCCGCGGTCAGGTGCTGTCCTCCATCATCATTCATCATGATCTGGACACGATGGTGCGACTTGATGTGCCTTCATGCCCGCCCGAGAGAGAGAGAGGGACAGAACTGAGGAGGTACCCGACATGTTTGTGGGAGGACCTCTGTTGCCGGCCAGCTTAGTGTAGAATTCGCACGCATTTTATTTCCGATCCGACTTTTTAAGTTGACTGCATCCCTGTCCGGGAATTGTCGATGTATCTTCGCTAACCCTTCCCTCGCATCCCGGCGCCGCAACTTCGAAGTGGTTGGATTAAGGGGTCCTGTCCTGTGTTGTTCTCGCCATCTTTCATTTCCGCGCGTCAGCTGTATCTAATTGCTTGATGCCCCAAATATTTTCTTGAGTTCTGCCCTGCGTGCATCATTGCTCTTGCCACGCCAACTTGCAAGGGTCTGACGCCAGATATGCATGCCCGATTAACTAGGGCAGCTGTGGGTACCTCCACGTTGGGTAAGTACCAAGGTACTGTACAGCAAGGTACCTCTTCCCCTTCGCCCTCCCTCTTGACACCAGCCAGATCTACACATGGCTGACTGACCGACTCATCGCGCCATTCTCGACGGGTCGTCATCTATTCCTTGTCGCCTCACGCCCTACGTCTCAACTCCAACGACTTGTTTCGCTGGTCTCTGCAGAGTCTGTAAGTTATCGAGCAGGGCAACGGCGTACATGGGTTCGTGCAGCAACAGGAGGGAAAGGGGGGATAAGAAACAAATACTATGCAGTAAATGATGATAATAATACGAATGAAAAGACCCTCCCTTTCCCCACCATAACGCTAATAAACGGCAGCCGTTGTCGAAATTGACTACCCTCCTACTCGACCCCGAGAGGAGCTGGAATCAAAGCAGGAACCTCCGCAAACCCAATACAGCATACGGCCATCGAACGATTTGGAGAAGTGCTCGCTCTGCAGCCGTGATCCAGGATTGTTGGAGGCCTTGGCCAGGTTTGCTGGGTGGCCGGTATTAAGACGAGCATGATATTGCTGCCAGAAACAGCGAGAAGAGATGCGACAGACAGCGATGGTGTTACACTCCCATTTAGCCTGCTGCGTTTCTCCCTCAGAACATGTCCGAACTAAACAAAGACAAAGAAGATACTCGGGACCTGCTGCTCTCTGCCTGTTTTTACCAGTCACATCTTCCATCTTCCGCTCAATCGAACCTGGGAGCTGGGAAACTTGTCGTTTGCATTCAGTCCACTCTCTTTTTCGTTGGACGGCGAGTGGACCCCGTGGCGATGTGCCTGGAGATGTCCAGCCCGCTCGAAACCTTCGTCCGCCCAGGGGACTATCGATCTGCGTTGCTCTGTCGCGCACCCGTTTTATAGCAATTACGGGTAACTGACCGGTGAACAGCAAGACACATTCATATAGAGTAAAACAGATGGTAGCATCGATTCTATCCACCAGCACCCATCTATTCTCTCCTGTTCACCAGTTCACCTGTTCATCTGTCCATCTATTCATCTGTTCCTCTGTTCATCTGTCCGTGCCCACCTGCTCGCCTTCGCGCAATTCGCTATTCCTGGCATGGAACACTGAGGGCTTCTCTCCCTTTTCTATTCTGGGCGGCAAGCAGCTTTGATACAGCAGCCATGTCTGATCGTCGCAGCCACACCAGCGACAATTCTGTGGTTCTTGCCCTTGGTTTTGTCAGGGATGTGATATACATACAACCAAAGGGAAAAACAGCCCACCAGGTACCCCAGCAAGCCCAGTCAATTAGGTATTTAATCATCCAAATTGTCCCTGGCATCATCCAGATCCCTTTGTTGGAGAAGAAAAAAGAAATGATCTCCCTGTTAGGTTAGCCTACTTCCCCCGCAACGTGGACGAATGCAGCGTCCGTGTGGACGGTACGGTGCGTTTGTTCAATTACCTACTTCAAGATAAGGGCAATTGGCGGCGAGGCGCCAGTCCGTTCTGTGTGTTCTGTGTGTCTTCTTCTCTATGTACGGGACTATTCTTCGTGTTGTGTCCGTATATGGCTCCAATCTACCCAAACGGTCCCCAAGATCTTACACAAGGTACGGAGGTACGTGCCTACCTAGGTATGTATGTACATGTACAGTACTTTTCTTGGACAGGGCTGCAATTGGCTGGTTGGCTGATCGGGGGTTGCCGCAAGAACCAGGATCCTGGTCATATCCCGAGTCTCGTGCCTGGCTGGCTCGCCGTGTGCAATTGCAACTCCCGAAAGTCCCTCTCTTTTTGGACTGATCTCCAATGCACGTAAACTCCAATCCCAGTCCTGCTGATTGCTGCTCCTCCGGCTGCCCTCTCATAATTCATAATGCAAACACCAGGCGGCGACTTCAGCTTGTGACAGACTCGTCCCAAGTTATTTCGTCCTTGATTCATGTCTGTACTCGGGCAGCGACACGTCGTCCTCGTCAAATTGATCAAGCAAGCCCCAGCTACCATGGCAGTTTGAGCCGCTGCCGTCTTTTTATCCAAGATGACGACGGCGATTACCACCAATCCTCGCCTTCTCCCATTTCCCGGCTCCTATCATGGGCATATGGGGTACTTAGTTTCTGGCACAACTGTGACCATACAAAAGTGGCCGTCCCCATCCATTTCCCTACTTTAGACCTGCAGGCTTCTTCAGCAGGAGCTGCGAGAAACGTATTAAAGAAAAAAAGGGCGCGGGAAAAGCACAGAAACTCAACTCATGCACACCCATACGCTCCCATCTCGCAGATAGAAGCAGGGGATCGAAAGCTTGGCAGTTTGGCAGTGCCTACACTATTGGTGCCGCCGGTGCGTGGCGCACGCCCAATCAAGAGTTTCCTAGCTGGATGTGGCTAGAGTCGCGGGAAGTATTCTGACTTTCAGCCAGGCGACACAGCAACCTCAACCGCCAAGGGTTGGGTTTTGAACATAGCCATACACTTTGCCAGGCGCTTCTGGGTCTTTGGAGTCCAAGCATGGAGCTGACCTGGCCATCCTGTCACACACCGTCGCTGTGAGGTAGGCCTAGGTGGAGATTTAACCATACCTTATGTACTCCGTACAGATTGTATGGCACACCCACAATGACCCCAGTAGGTATGGTGGGGTGGAGGCGGGGGGTTGCCCAGTGGACCCCCAAAACAGCCTTCAAAGTCCAACGTCACTCGAGCCAAGAAAGATAGTACCAAGCACGTTGATTGTGCACCTGCCTTAATATTCTGGAATACAGGATATACAGGCCGTCAACCATATTGTCCTCTCTTCCGACGAGGTTACGACAAGCAAGCCCAATTATTACAGTTACTACCTACCCTGTGACCCGCTTTTATTCGTGCTCCCTCCAAGATGGCACCTCCTAAATCAGCATCCCAATTCCTTGCTTTCGTCAATGCATCTCCAACTCGTAAGTCGTGCCTGAGGCGGCACCGATCATCGCCTCAAGCACATGCATATAATTGACGCCGTCTCGATCTAGCCTACCATGCCGTCGCCTCGGCCGCAGCTCTGTTCGAAAAGGCCGGCTTCAACAAGATTAGGGAGCGGGAAGACTGGTCGTCGACACTCAAGCCCGGCGGCAAGTACTACCTGACGCGGAACGGCTCGTCCATCGTCGCCTTCGCCATCGGCGCGAAATGGAGGCCCGGAAACCCCATCGGCATGATCGGGGCCCACACGGACTCGCCATGCCTCCGTATAAAGCCCGTCAGCAAAAAGACCAACGCCGGGTACATGCAGGTCGGTGTCGAGACGTACGGCGGCGGGATCTGGCATAGCTGGTTCGATCGGGACCTGAGCATTGCCGGCCGGGTCCTCGTCAAGGAGGGCGACGGGAACTTTGTGCAAAAGCTCGTCAAGGTAGACAAGCCCATCCTGCGCATTCCGACCCTGGCGATCCACCTGAACCGGGAGCCGCAGTTCAACCCCAACAAGGAGACCGAGCTCTTCCCCATCGCGGGGCTCGCCGCTGCGGAGCTGAACCGGACGGGCGAAGCGGGCAAGGAGGAGCCCACCGAGGGCAAGGCGGACGCGGCGGACGCAGGGGACGCGTCGGGCGATTACCAGCCACTGAAGAACATGTCGGAGCGCCACCACCCGTACCTCGTCGACGTCATCGCCGAAAACGCCGGTGTGACGGCGTCTGAGGTCGTCGACTTTGAGCTCGTCCTCTACGACACCCAGAAGTCGACCCTTGGGGGGCTCAACGACGAGTTCATCTTCTCCGCCCGCCTCGACAACCTCGACATGACCTTCTGTGCCGTCATGGGCCTGATCGAGTCCGTCTCGACCCCCAAGAGCCTCGACTCCGAATCGGCGATCCGGCTAGTGGCCTGCTTCGACCACGAGGAGATCGGGTCGACCTCGGCGCAGGGCGCCGACTCCAACCTCCTGCCGGCCGTGATCCGCCGGCTCTCGGTCGTGGGTGGCGCGGGGTCTGACGACTCCACGGCGACGGCCTTTGAGCAGACGCTCAGCACGTCGTTCCTCGTCAGCGCGGACATGGCGCACAGCGTGCACCCCAACTACGCGGCCAAGTACGAGAGCAGCCACCAGCCCGAGATGAATAAGGGCACCGTAATCAAGGTCAACGCCAACCAGCGGTACGCCACCAACTCCCCCGGCATCGTGCTGCTCCAGGAGGCCGCCCGCCTGGCCGGCGTGCCGCTGCAGCTGTTTGTCGTCCGCAACGACTCGCCCTGCGGGAGCACCATCGGGCCCATGCTGAGTGCCAAGATGGGCGTCCGCACGCTGGATCTGGGCAACCCGCAGCTGAGCATGCACAGCATCCGGGAGACGGGGGGCAGCCACGACGTCGAGTACGCCATCAAGCTGTTTGATAGCTTCTTGAGGAATTACGGCGAGTTGGAGAGTAAGATTCTGGTGGATTAAGGTGGTGCTACCCAAGCTCATGGTGTGTACCTTGATGGATATTACCGCGGGAGTCAACTCGCTATACGTAGGTAGGTAGGTATTTACATGGGGATTTCCCCAAGGTACCTACCCATCTAATCCACTGGATTCGGTGCATGTCTCTGGGCGCTGCATGTCTCTGGGCGTGTCACATCTGCGGTGCATTTGTGGAAAGGCAGCATCAAGTGAAGCTTTTCGCCTCCTCGGGCTCGCGAGATCAAATTCCAAAGAAGGCCTTTCCTCCATTTCATTATCACCTAAACGCATGTGATGCAATACGATGAGACCCTCAATTAATTTGTTCCTTGCTTGCTGGCAGGATATTAGGATTATCGATTACTATCTCCATGGTTCATAGAGTCTGGCCACCCATCCGGTGTTCTTCGCGTCAAGCAAGAGCTATACCGGATCCGTAGGTAGGTATTACCGGCCGGCTCCCTCCCCGTTCGCCCGTGGACCGCTTGTCGTTTCCCGTCTTCGCGGCGGAAGCAAGACAGCTCTGGCGGCACGAGTCGGGCAAGTTCTGTCGGCCCGCCCTCACCACTTGGCCCCCTTCAGACCCTCCAGATACACCTGGTAGATGCGCGGGCCCATCCCCCGCGCCGAGCGCTCGCTGACACGGCTCTCCATCCTCAACCCGACCTCCTCCCCCTTCCCCTTAACCAACCGCCCATCCCCAACGGCACCCCACCGACCGGGACTGCCCGCCCCCAGCTCCGCCCCCTCCTCCTCCTTTCCCCCTTCCTCCTCAGACCCCATAACAAGCAATAAATGCTCCATCCTCCTCCCCAGCGCCTCCACAAACTCGGCCGTCTCCTCAACCGACCACCCGTACCCCGGCCCCAGCTCGGCGTCATCCAGCTCCGCCAGCGCCGCCGCCTCGTACCGCGTCACGTACCGGCCCGTGGCCACGTACACGGCGTGGAAGCCGCACAGGCGGCGCGCGTGCAGGATCCGTGTTGGCGGGGACGCGCAGTGGTCGCACCTGTTCCTGCCGCGGCGGTGGTCACGGGATTTCTGCTGCTGCGGCTGTTTCTGTTGTCGGTGTCGGTGTTGGGATAGAAGAGGACGTGGTGGTGCCGGCGCCGCCGGGATGCAGGCGTACAGTTGGCCCGTGCTGGTGTCGATGCGGAGGATGTGCTCGCCCGGCCGGGAGGCGTGCGCCGAGATGAGGGTCGACATGTCGATTGCGTGGCTAGGGTGGGCGTCCTGCTGGACGAGGAAGGTGAGGTCCGCGCGGGAGACTGCGGCTGCGGCTGTGACGGGGTTGGCGGTGGTGGGATTGCTGTCGGTGGGGGCGAGGGGCGGTTCGGCCAAGCCGGCGGTCATCGTGTAGGGCCACGGGGGCGGTCGTCTGGAGGTCGCGTTCTTGGCGAGGTAGCGGGCTCGGACGCCGCCGGTCGGGGAGCTCGTGAGACGCCTCTCCGGGGTCACGGGTATCATGTAGCCCTCATGTGGGATCCGCACATTGCTGGCGGCGGGGTCGTAGTACTCGTTGATGGTGTGCGAGGCGAGGTCGTTGATGAGCTGCGTGCGGCCCCATGGGTAGCTCATCTTGGAGAATATTGAGGAAGAGTGACCCGGAATTCGTCAGACGGAGCAGCTGCGGCGAGTGGGTAAGGAAGGTCCTCCCTATGGGCGCCACGGTCTGCGGATGGGCAGAGGGGTCGAGTCCTGAAGGTTCCAGCCTGAGGCAAGTGCTTAAAGACTCTGATCGAAGTGAAGCATGAGCTGTTAGTGATCGTTTGTGTTTGCCGAACACTGGGGTTTATGTTTGGATAAAATATAAGGGATCGATCAGAAAGTGAGAAGATATTGAAGTTCTCCGTAACCGTCGGGGGGGGGGGGGGGGAGTGATTAAATACAAGATCCTGGGCAGCAATGCCAAATTTTGCGGAACAGTGACTTCTCAGCGTATTGAAGGAGAGTACTATTGCTTGTAGAGGTGCCTTCAAGGACGTTCCCTTGCCTCCTCGCTTCCTCGGCGATATATGACGGGGGAGTGGCAAGGGAGTTTTGTAAGAATTTCGGAGTGAGGCTTGGGCTCTTCATGTACTGCCGAGAGAAGATGGGAGTATGTCTGGGTAACAGATCTGGAGGTAATAAGGAAGTGGAAGAAGTAAAATGGTCTGGCCGATCAAGTCTCTGGCACCATGTTGGGGGTATGAATAAGGAAGGGGTTTGTTTAGGTCGAGATGTGTTATGGGAGTAGGAAATGGAGGACCAACTTCTTACTCGGGACAAGAGCTCACCTCAGGCAACGGGTTTGACCTGTCGAGTTTTCCAATCACCCGAGACTCACACCTTCACCCAAGAGACTCCAAAAATAAGTTTTTATATTTCGAAGGGGGATCGCCTGGGCCGATTGTCACTCGTTCTTTGTAAGTTGAAGCAGTTATACACCGAGGCTTTTGAGTCCCGAGCTATCCATATATGGACCATGCCAATCAAGGACTTGGGAAGGTAAGGGCGGGGGCGACCTAGATGAGGATTCTGTTCTTTGGCGATACTTGCTTTAGCCACGTGAGGGAGCCAAGTATCACGCCTGCAAAGCTTCCAGACATCACCCGCCTTGAGAGGCCCATGACAACCACAAGGAGAACCCGCCCGGAGAGCTGTGTTGTCAAAAAGAAGCCGAGCAAGAGAAGACCTTGAAGCGAATAACAGGCCTGGACCGACGGAGAGCACTAGAGGTCTGTCCGAGCAAGCGTTTGAAAACATTACGCTGGATCCCCACGATGACAGACAGCCTTGGACAAGTGCTAGGATTGTCTATCGACTATGCTACCAATCCATATCCACCGCCAGTCTTCCCAAGAATAACCTTGGCTAGGGGGCTGCCGTCGTCCGAGGCATCCATCTCCCCCTTCGCAGATGCTGAGGCACTCTATCTACTCCCTGCTACCTCTCTGAGGTCATGATGATACTGGTAATATGGTAGTCTTTCCGCCAAACTCCGCCAATGCAGCGCATATTCCCTCCTCCATGCCGCACCGAGTTCGTGTATCGTATCAATGGCACGGCAAGGATGTTGCCCCCTTCCTTAGCTGAAATTTCCCTTCGTATTTCATCTGCGGCTCTTCAGGAGGTTCTGCAGGTAGGTTGCAAAGGCCCTGCGGTCGGTTGACGTTGTCATGGAGCGCAGGAAATCCGTCCCGTCTATGCCCAAGCTGGGGAATGTAATCGTCTGGAGATATTGGATGAACGAGTCTCCGGTTTTTGTATAGATGGTCTGCTCCAGACCGGCAATCTCGCCGAGGACTTGCTTCGTCTGGGCATCGCTACTTGGCCTGAAATGGGCATCTTGGAGGACCTCCACGCAGGCAGTGTGGAACCTGTCTATCATGAACTGGTCAAAGCCCGGGATGGCTGGGGAGGGTGCCCCAACGGGGGCGGTGGGGTTTGCCGAAATGGTGGCGACATCCGGTCCGCCCCACGCCGTAGCCATCCTCGAGAGCGCATTGAACCCGAGCCGACTGGCAACGAGGTTTCCGTGCCCAATGTTCTTGGCCAACGCGATGATGGTGGAGATCAACGACTCGAAGAAGCCCTGGTTGGCTTCGCTGACGAGGACGCCGCCAAGGTCATGGAGCATGATGATCTGGATGAAGGTGAGGAACTCTCGCCTCAACTCCTGAAGCTGGATCTCGTCATCCGTGCCGCTGATTGGCTCGGAGAGGCCGGTAAACACCCGCTGGAGCAACGGGGTGAGGAGGAGGTCGAGGACATTGTAGATCTCCCCCTTGAAGCTGTACACGACCTGCTCCAGCAGCCGGAGGAACATAGCCATCTCGTCTTTACTAGAGCTCTGAGACAACAAGCCCTCGATCCACTGCGGAAGCTGCGGCAGTACAGCCGACCCCAGGACACCCAATAGGCGTGAGAATGCCGATCTGCATGCCGTGCGGATTTCACTGTTAGTGTTCAGCTCGTTCAAGGCAATGAGAATGGCTTCAGCAGCCCTTGAGAACTCATCTGAGATCTCCTTCGACGGTCGACGCTGGTTGGATTGGCCCGTATGTCCATCGCTGAATCCGTTCGCCAGGGTGCCGAGCGCCATGACTATGTGGTGGATCTGTAGCGCTGCCTGTGCATCCCCCGCTTTTGCCCGGGGAAGGTGCTGTTCCATATCGCGGAACAAGGGATCCATCACCAGGCGAGCGTAGAGGGCCTGCTTATCGGGAGCGGTGCTGGTGGTGGAGGAAATGCAACCGACAGCCTCGAACAGGAACAGTTGGCTGTTGAAGACAGCATCCGCCGAGTGATCGCTCTCATCGGAGGCGATGTCGTCGTCGGCCTCGTCTCCAGAAATCTCGGCTTTGATCGGGAGGAGGTCGCCTATAGACTGGATCACCGTCTCCGCAACGTTGCCGACCTGGGCCCGAAGGTGCTTAACGAACCGCAGGAACAGGTACCACGAGCGTGTCCTGATGCGCACATGTTCGTGATGTACAAGGCGGACGAAGTTCTCGAGCACCTGCGGAATATATTCTTGGTGGGCCTCGAAGAAGGCGCAATACCGGACGCAGATCTCCATGTACTGGAGGAGGATTGCTGGATGAGGAAAATTGGCAATCCCTAGACCACTGTTAGCGGAGACGGCAAGCATGGGCCGGCGGTACAATGCTTCCTACCTGATTCAACCATCTTGCTCATCATGGCGACCAGTCGTTCGGTAGCGGCACTGTTCGGTTGGCTTTTGGGGGTCAACCCCGTATTAGGAAGAGCGAGCTCTCCAAAGAGATACATTTCATGCAAGGCGAGATCAAGATCCCTCCAATCCATCTGTGAACCCTGCTGGTCGAGAGTGGCAAACGTGTTCGCAACCAAGTTACTCAAAGTATCGATGTATAGGCTCTGATCGACAGCGGCGATGCTCTTCTGAAGTATCTGCAGCTTTTTCCGCAGTTCCTGGAACTCAGCCTCGTCCGTCTGCTCGTCCTCAGCCCCCCAGGATGACGTCTCGTCATATCTCATCTTCCGAATTATGGCATTAAGGATCGCGGGAAGCATGCCCGAGTATGCGGGGGGGAGAGAGCCGACTTTCCGGAGGAATGTCAGGAGGTCAGTGAGTGATGGGATCACAGTAGAGCATATCTCGTCGTACTCGTCGGAGAAGAGGCGGAGGAGCGACGGGAGGAAGTCCTGAAGCTGCCGTTCCGCGTTTGCCCGAGTTTCGTTCCCAACCTGATTATCCTCGAGGACGCGGACTATGCCGGTCATGGTTGTATTAACGAGCTTTGCGACAGCTTCGGCAAGATCCGTGTCATATCTGGGAGTGCCTTTGAAGTCGTTCAAGGGCGGGCTCGAAAGCAACTGGGCAACAATGTCGCGGAGGTTGAGAAAGTTGATCATCTCGGTCTTGTCCGCCGGCTTCATCTTCTTGGCCACGACCTCGGTGAAGGTGTCAATGGCCGCGTCTCTCACCTTGTCCTCGCCGCCTGTCGTGTTCGCCCGCCCGACCAGGGGAAGCAGAAGATTAAGCATGTCTTGATTAATAATCAAGGAGATGTCGGTCCAGCTAACCCATTTGGAAATGACCTTGAGAGTCATCTCGACGACGAGGTCGCTCCGGTTCGAATGCTGGGCCAACAGTTCCTTCCAGGAATTTGCAATATTCCCCATGTCTCGGTCCCTCAACAAGTCTTTGAGATCATTGTTTCGCTTCGCCTCAGGGCCCTGGCGGCTCAGGAGTATGTCCGCGATCTCATCGTGGATAGAGCCCAGGATGCGAAGGTAGAAGACAGTCCCGGCCAAATTGTCCCCCTGCGTGCTGTTCGGCGAGCGAGCGAGGTCGAGGAAGTCGTTGATAAAGTTATCCCATCCGGACTTGTAGAGGTGGACGAAGAGATAGGTTAGGGTCTGGGTGAGCTTGTTCTGGAGAGCGGGCGAGTCGACCTGCTCTTCGGCGTTGCTTCCGTATGTCCTCCTGACGTAGTCCAGCAGTGCGTCCTTCAGAAAAGAGAGGCTGGGGCCGTCAAGCGATTGTGTGGAAACAGCATTGTTGACAATCTCCAGCGAGACGTGGCGAACGACCTCGGGTCTCCTTGGTGCTTGTGTAAACAGTGTGGTGCAGACCTGCCATCCCTGGGGATCACAACGCAGCTGGTTCAGGAAGTCGAAGGCCTGCTCCTTCAGGGCTTGGTTTGACGCCGGATTCCAAGCAATCTCGATCGCGTTCTCAACCTGTGACACGGTGGCTGAGTTAGCATCTTCTCGGTATATCAAGCTCTTGTGTTCTCTCCATTGAGGCCGTCGGTTGAGGTGGCGGGACAGGGGTGGCAGCCAGCACAATGAGGGGCAGCCAGGTTGAAGCCGGGCAGGAAGAAATGCATACCTGGGCGTCCATATTGGAGTCACCTAGATGGGCTGGGAGCTCGATAAATAAGCCAGTTAAGTGGGATATGTTTCAGCGAGCTGCTATAACGTCGGCAGCAGTTGTGAGAGATTATTCGGCATAGCTGGTGGTGGCGGGACGGCTACGGAGAAGTCATGATTGATACCTTAGTTAGGCTGCATCTTGTCACGTTGTTTTCGCCCTTGGGTGATTGCGGTCAAAGAAGGGTCGGAGAACGCCCGGGCAGAGCTAATCAGTCTGTGCTAGGAGCAGCCTTTGAGGCGAAAAGATCAAGTGAAGTTGCTCTATGTGAGGTGGGGCAAAACAAATCCAAAAAGTTGGTGGAGGATACATATTAGGCCTCCCTACGGATTGTTGCTCGCTGTGTTTTGGCGGGGAGCTCACGTGCATGCAATATAGGTGATATGGGCTTCGGCCTAGAACATCTCGGACTTTTGTTTAGGAAATACCTGCCTACCTACCTAGGCACCTAGGTAAGGTATAGGTTTACGGAGCACTTATTTTATCTGGCAAATCTGAGCTGTCGGAACATCATGTTATCTGCACTCTTCTCAGCCCTCCATCTTCTACACCTCCTCATCTTCCTCTACGTTAGGTACCTGGGTACGGAGTAGGTACTCTCGTGTGCATACTGTATAGTGGGTCCCGGCTCCATCTCGTGGGGTTGAAATGATGTGAACGTTAGACTGATGCCAGGTCTCCTTTAGACAGGCCCACCGGACTATTACTACATACTACCTACACTCGATACCCCTCTGGCCAAGTTTTCTCCCACTAACGACCTCCTCCGCGGGGAGCTTGGGGAAAAAGAGCTATGCGGACCGAACAGTCCAATGTCGACGTTATCCTACATAGATACTTAGGTACCTAAGGTGGTAGCTCCTGACCATGTGCAGCCCTTTGAACGCCTGCAGATAACTTCCGCCCTCCATGGTAACCAGGAGACTGCTGAGAACACCGAGTTGGAGCTCTTACGGGGAATGTGCTCAACCCGTCTTCTTCTTCTTCTTCTTCGGCTGCTTCTCCTCCTCTTCTTCATCTTCGTCGTCTTCCTCGTCAACTCGATTATCGACATCGCTCTCGCCGCTGCCTGATCCGGAGCTCTCGTGGTCGCTGTCGAATTCCTCCGCGACGTCGCTGTCAGATTCGGCGCGGAAATCCTCGTCCACGCTCTCCTCGTCCTCGTCGGCCGAGCCGCGGTCTGCCTTTGCGCCCACAACCTCTTCGTCGGAGCTCCCCATTACCTCGTCCCGAAGAGCTGCGGCCATGAGATTTGCATCCTCGTCGATCTCGTTCTTAACGCGCAGCCCCTTGAGTTTGAAGAAGTCCTCCAGCGCCTTCAGATCCTCGCGATTAATGTTGCTGAATTGTGACGAACCGGCCCCATTCTTCATGTGTACTGTGATGTCAAAGGTCGACAAGGCGGAGACGGCACCCCCTATCCTGGAGAATGTGACTGACTGTGTCTGCTCGTACGAGATATACGTGGCAGGCTTAGGCACAAAGATGAAGGCCTTCTTCAAACAGTAGAGGAAGCCTTCACTGGCCTTGATCGAGCACTTGATGCCGTATTGCTGGCGATGTCTATTTTATGTGTGTCAGTTGAGATTCGACGCTCCTCGACGACGGGGGACTCACGTCATGAATTCCTCCGCAGGGCTGAGGATGCTCTTGCTAGCCAATCCCTTGAAGATGTAGGCGACAACCTGATGTAACGGCTGTTCATAGTGGGCCTGCAAACTTCCACCATACCTGTCCTTGATCTGCTCTTCGGTCAGATTAAGGTCGAGGGTTGCTTCCTCGTCTTTCTTAAACTGCATGATCACGAAAGGATATCTCGTTTGGCCCTGGCGGAGTGGAGGATCCAGGCCAATGCAGAGCATGACGTGTAGATCGTCGGGCTTCGGAAGGAACATGAACTTCTTGATGGCCTCGTACTGGATCTTGTAGTCGTAAGTCTTACCCCGCAGGCGGAACGAGGAGTCGTACATATCGATGTCGAATCGGCCTCTGCAACGGTGTTAGCACCATTTAGTAACGCATGACAAACGTCGCTTCCGTCGCCGTACCTAGGAGTGAGATGCAGGACATCATGAAAGGAAGCGATGGTATCACCGGCGGTCTCGCCAATGTCGGCCTTCTCGATCAAGGTGTCGTAGAACAGAGTAACGGCATTCTTCTCCTCCTCGTCCGCGTCACTGCCAGCGTCGCCACCCTCTGCCTCCTTTCTTGTCGTCGTTCCGGGGATGTAGAATCGCATCTCGACGAGCTGATCCTTCCCTGCCGCAGCCTTCCTGCCTTGGCCTGGTCCGCCACCGTTCTTGTCATTTGCCTTGCCTTCGTCGGTGACTGAGAACTCGACAGCGATTTCATTTCGACCCGCCAGGTTGGTGTTGGAGATTTCAGAGAACGGAATCTCGAATGCCGGTCGGTTTTGGACGTTGAAGGTAAGCTCGGCCTTGCCAAACTCGGCCTTTCCCCAGTTCCAGCCTCGCAGGGAATGCTCCTTGTTCTCGAGGTTGGTGCTGTACCAACTCTTGAAGATCTTACTCAGACGCTCGTAGTCCTGATGGGAAAGTTAGACAACAAGGCAGACGGATTTCTTCTCGAACAGTATACCATACCTCTTGTTGGAAGCCATCGAGTTGGATGATACCCGAGTTCCTCAGCAAAATCTTCACCTCGTAGCCTTTCGCGGCCCTGCTCCATTGTGCGCCACCGATGTTGCTCTGGTCGAGAGTAAATGCGTCGCCGCCCCCAGCTGGCTTCCAACCTAAACCATTTTCTGCAAATCTGCACTTCCCGTTTTCCTTGGAAAGATCCAAGTAAACGTTGTCGAAGCTCTCGCTAGATTTAGGCATTGGGTCAGTTGCGATTCTGCGCCAGTGTCTCTTCTTGATGCCCTGCAAATAAAATAAAAGAAGGATAGAAGAAAATCCGAACCTACATGGCCGCCATTCCGGGTTATTTACGCTGAAGCCGGGTTGTGAGGATCGGTGTCAATAGAGATGAACAAAGAAAGGATGTACCTGCTGCAAGCTTGATAGTTGGAGCAAGCTAAGCACATAAAAGACGTGACGCGACTTCAATTAATTGATGGCACCTAGGATCTTCCAGTAGGTAAGTAGTGGCGCGTGAAGTGTGGCGCTTGTGTAGTGTGGCACTTCTGTGGCGGTGCATTTTTTTTTTTTTTGGGGGGGGGGGGGGGGGGGGGGGGTTAAAGCGGTGATAAAATTAACAGGCGCATTTTTTGTAAAAAGAACTGGCCCAACGACAATCTCGGATCTAAAAAAAAATGAAGGGCCCCACCCAG